ATTCTGAACATATTTTAAGTTTCTTGTGTTGAAAACGACCACGTAGATTAAGAAAAAAGGCAAAATATAAGCCCCGCCCACCCATCCTGTCATGTTTTTAATTTATTGTAAAGAAATAAGTATTTTGCAGTTAAGCTCCGCCCTCTTGCTTCACGGCGAATAAAAAAAAATCATTACAATTGAGACTGGGTGGGTGGGCGGGCTTACATTTTGCCTTTGTAGTTTTAATATGTGTAGACTTTTTTTCACAACAAGAAACTTAAATCATGTTTTTAAAATGGAAAATTTGTATAAGAAAATATTAATTTTGCAATTAGGCTCCGTTTCATAATTGCAAAACAATGTTTTACGTTTCTTGTTGTGAAAAAATGGCTATGTATATCAAGAAAAAAGGGACAAAATATATGCCCCGCCCACCCACCCCTTCTCAATTATGCTGAATTTTTTATTCATCGTGAGATAAATGGTGGAGCTTATTTGCAAAATTCTCATTTCTCTCCAAGAAATTACAATATAAAATATGTTTTTAAAAGGGCAGAATTTTCTAGAGAAATTTTGACGTTACAATTAAACTCCGCCCCTCGGTCTGATTGGCAATGTTTTCATCACAATTGAGATTTTTGTTTTTTTTTTCTTTATGTACATTGTTTTCTTTCAGCAATTTTTTTGGCACAAAGAACATGAAATGTTATAATAGCAGTAAAAAATATAGGGTTTATATATTATTCAATGATTTTGGACTATACAATGTAAGGATTTTACAATTAAGCTCCGCCCCTCGACTCACAACGAAAAAAAAATCATCAGAATTGAGATAGGGCGGGTGGGCGGGGCTTATATTTTGCCTTTTGCAAGGAAATATGGATTTTGCATTTGTGGAGTGGAGCCTAATTGTAAAATCGAGATTTCCTTATACAAATTGTCCTTTTTAAACATGTTTTAAGTTTCTTGTTGCGAAAAGAAGTCTACACATATTAAAACAACAAAGGCAAAATGTAAGCCCGCCCACCCGCCCTATCGCTATTCTGATGATTTTTTTATTGGACGAGAACCAAGAGGGCGGAGCTTAACTGCAAAATGCTTATTTCTCTACAAGAGATATAGCAGAATTGTAGAAAAGAAAAACAAAAAATTAAAAATTGCAAATAGAAAAACTGAAGAAATGAAAAATTGAAAAAAAGTGAAATTGAAAAAACAAAAAATTTCAAATTAAATCATTTTTGTAGAGAAAAATTAATCACAATTGAGATCGGGGGGTGGGTGGGGTTTAATCTTTGTTTTTTTTTTTTAATATATAGTTTTCTTTCAAGAACAGGATAGTTAATATATTTTCAGTTTCTTGTTGTCAAAAAAGACTTTGTATATTAAGAAAAAATGGACAAAATATATGCCCCGCCCACCCGCCCCTTCTCAATTGTGATGAATTTTTTATACATCGTGACATAAATGGTGGAGCTTATTTGCAAAATTCTCATTTCTCTCAACAAATTACAATATAAAATAGTTATGTTTTTAAAAGGGCAAAATTTTCTTGAGAAATTTTGACGGTACAATTAAACTCCGCCTCTCGATCTGATTGGCAATGAAAAACTGACAATTGAGATCTTTGTTTTTTTTCTTTATGTACATAGTTTTCTTTCACCAATTTTTTGGCACAAAGAACAAAAAATGTTATAATAGGAGTAAAAAATATAGTGTTAATACATTATTCAATGATTTTGGACTGTACGATGTAAGGATTTTACAATTAAGCTCCGCCCCTCGGCTCACGGCGAATAAAAAAATCATCACCATTGCGATAGGGCGGGTGGGCGGGGCTTATATTTTGTCTTTTGCAAGGAAATATGGATTTTGCATTTATGGGGTGGAGCCTAATTGCAAAATCGAGATTTCCTTATACAAATTGTCCTTTTTAAACATGTTTTAAGTTTCTTGTTGCGAAAAGAAGTCTACACATATTAAAACAACCAAGAGGGCGGAGCTTAACTGCAAAATGCTTATTTCTCTACAAGGAATTAAAATAAAAATATGTCTTTGAATATCGAGTTATTCAAAGAATACTAAGTATATTAAGACAAAGAAACCCCAAAATATAAACAAATATTTTTCCGATTTCAATTTTTGAAATTTCAATTTATACATTTTGCAATTTTTCGAATTGAGTTTCTCAAGTTTTCAATTTTTTATTTTTCCATTTGCAATTTTTCGTTTCAGTTTTTTATTTTCTTTATTTTTACAAGTTTTCAATTTGTCGATGCTCCGATTTTATAACTTTTTATTTTTCCAATTTCATTTTTTTCAATTTTTCGTTTCGTCGACTTTTCCATATGCAATTTTTCAATTTTTTGTCTTGTTTTCTACAATTCTGCGATATCTTTTCGGGTTTTCATTTTTCAATTTTCCACTTTTCCGATTTCTCTAGAAAATTCTACCCTTTTATAGACAATGTTCAAATGGTAACTTCTTGTAGAGAAATGAGGATTTTGCAATTAAGCTCACAATGAATATAAAAGTCATCACAATTGAGAAGGGGTGGGTGGGCGGGTCATATATTTTGCCCAGTTTTTCTTAATATACGAAGTCCTTTTCCCCAACAAGAAGCTGAAAACATGCTATCTTGTTGTTGAAAGAAAACTCTATACGTTAAAAAAAAAAAAGATTAAACACCACCCGCCCGCCCCAATCTCAATTGTGATGAATTTTTTCTAAGAAACTTAAAACACGTTTAAAATGGTAAATTGTTGTAAGGAAATATGGTTTTTACAATTAGGCTCCGCCCCTGGGTCTGCGAACTAATGAAACTTCATTATTATTTAGATCAAGGCATGTATGGGTGGGGCTTAATCTTTGGATTTAATTTTTTCTTAATAGTTTACTCAAAAATATGTCTTACATGCTAATTTCTTGTAAAGAAATAATAAGGATTTTGGAAGTAAATTTCGCTCCTTTGGCGGTCGACGATTAAAAAAAAATCATTCAAAAATTCAAAACTCGTGAAATTTGAAACCGAAAAACTGCAAAATCTAATAATTGAAACGTTCGAAAGTTGGAAAATCGGAAAACTGGAAAATTTAAAAATGAAACCTCCAGTTTTGTTTTTCTTGGTAACGTTATCAAAATTCCAAAAACATCATTTTTTCGAAACACCAAAAAACAGAAAATAATAAAATCAATAATAAACCCAAACAACATTAATTTGTTGAAATATATATTAAATTATTATTTATTTACATTGCTGAACGAGCGGTTAAACTAAAGTTTAACTTTTTTTCAGTTCTGAAATTAATTTACACAAGCCAGATTAACCTTTCGAAACTGGGTTTACGACACGTTGATAAATTATTTAATCGCAAATCCCTCATTTGCGCTAAAATGGAATATCCAACGAAATAATATTAACAAAGTGTTTAACACGAAATTATTATTATTAATGGAACGTGGTTTAAATTCTGCAACTACGCCGAATTTACTCCACTTCTGCAATTATTAAAAAATTTCAACTCCTGCAAGTGCTCGAGAAGACGTAATAATATTATCGTTTTCCTTCATCCATCCGCCACAGATTTTAAAAATTACATCATCTGGTGGTCGCGGCTTGAAACAGTGTTTTTAATTTTCCTTTGTATTAACGCTTCAGGCTTTGGAGATTTGAAATGGACTCATAAATTTAAAGTTTCATTATGATTCTTTGTAATCAAAAATATGTTTATACTAACATTCTTTTATTACGGATATTAATCTTTCGTTTCATCATTTATGAATATTATTTTATAAAGCAACATTTTTATTAGCGCCGAAGCAAATACAGCTGCAAACAAGCACAGATTTATGGCGCACAATGCGGTAAATTTTCATTACTTTCTACCCGATTAAATTTTTCACTACATATCTGTAATTAATAGCTCGAATTAATTCAGCTAGTTCTTGCACTTTTTAGATGTAAATAAGGCTGATTTACGGGACAGAACATAAACATTAAACCCTTTGTGTGCTCTGTGTGAAAAACATAATGCATCTGACATTATTTTATAATTCAAAAACATCAATAATTCATGATCAAATGGCATTAAAAACTAAACGGAAATATGGGATAGCTCATTAAAACACAATTCGATTTGTTTTAAAAACGATAAATCGAGAACAAAGGCTTTATCAACATGAAAAGTCGCGGTTGTAGAAACATTTAGCTGAATATTTTAATTTCCTTTTTGTGACGCTTTGATTTCCAAATTTCTACATTCATTTGTCATACACATTACACGATGTGTTGCGAAGTAATTTCGGGCCGCCATCGAATCGTCCGTCGTTTGCATATTAACCCTATTTATCAAGTACAAGATAACTGGAGGGTTTTGCAAATATACAGATGTATTTCAGCCAGCGCGGGTCAGCTTACCGTAATTGCGATTATTTGCATTTCACTCGAGTGCTGCTGAAAAATAGTGGCGATAATTGCGTGACCGGCGCAAGAACTATAGGTAATGCTAGTAATCGAGGTGAAAAGCTTGCTGAGATTGTGAAAATCTAAAGACGCCGCCAGCAGTGGCCTAAACAAGCAAAGGGCGGTAATTAGAATTACTTGGTGGCCAGACAGATTAAGTTAACTTATTGTAGTTTGCTTATGTTAACGGGTTTGCTGGAATAACTAGTATTACGTTACGATATTCTAGACACTGCAGAAACGTCTGCTACGACGTAAACACCTGGATTTTGCTTGTTTTGTTTTTCGTACATAAATAAATACACAACGGCCCTTCGTTAAAAAAATAATAATTAAGCGCATCTAACCTGTTTACTAAATAGACATCAAAGTTTAAATAAACCACTCGTTGCAAAAAATAATCCTTTGAGGGTTTAATTGTGAATTTTTTAACAAAAAAAGCTTTAATTCGCTCGCGCTTGAGCTCCGTTTCTTATACATTGCGTCGCAAACCACCTTATTAATTAAAAATGAACACACAAAATAAAAACGCTGGAAATCAGGTAACGAAAACCCCCAATCCCAATGAATTGTTTATTAGATCTACATCCGTTAACATATTTCTTATTCAAACACAGAGCATAAACAAAATAATCCAAAAGAACTTACAATACAAATCTATACGAAGATACTTACTTGACTAACACAAATCCACAAAAGAACAAAAAGAACAATAGATTATTGATCGAATAAGAAACTTCTTTGTGAAATAATTATAAATTCAGTATCTGCCACTACGCCCTGAGCGATGACGTGGTGAACGAGATTTCCTTTCCCTCGAACGGGAACGTCTTCGTGGCGAGCGTGACCTAGAGCGCCTGCGGCCGGATTTTCTTCGCGAATATAAGTATCTGCAACAACGTTTTGAAAATAATCGCCAGATAAAAAGTGTTTTTAATCCCGAATTAATGGATCGGGGATCCGTGATGAATTACGTTCCCCGAACGACATTAAACGCTCAAATGAATCTGTCAACACATCTTTCTAATTTAATTGATCAATGTAATCGCTTCATCAAAAGGGTCAAGCATGTTTTCATAAACATATCAGTCCATTACGCTAAGTATTCATCGCAATATCTTAATGTAGCGGACCACAAATAACCCCCGGTTATTATCGAAATGTTAATGCATTCGAACCGAATTATTTACAACAGTGAAAGCATGGCGGCGCTTAAATATCACTTGAAATTTATTTATTATCCGACGAGGGTTTTCGGAATCGTGCACTACAACTTGTACGAGAAATACGACAGGATTTCGTCGAGAATATTGGATTGCGTGTTCAGCGTGCCGTATTTTATTTACCATTTGATACTCCTATTTTTGGAAAAAAACCAGTTTTCGGAAATTAATAGAAACAAATTAAAATTGTTCGCTTTGACGATGGTTTGTTTTGGGAAAATTACGACTGACTATTTCTGGTTTGTACTGAAGCGCCGCCAAATGGTTCAGATTATCCATGAAATCGAAAAAATGTGCACAAAGCTGCCGATTGATTTTAACCACAAAAAAATCAAAATTCAAACTGTAACACTATTTATAGCGATTTTAATTCTCTGGATTGTCACTTACGCGATAAATTTTACTAGTGGGTACGACGCAACGGTGACGTGGATCACCGAAATTATTATTTTCATCGGATTTACGAATTATTTCATGTATGTAGTGACAAACGTAATTAGGAGGTTGTTTCTACTCATAAATAACAAAGTCATTAATTTCGCGTTAGAAATGCCCGCACAAAGCGTAATTTTAGCGATGAAAAAAAACACCGAAATACATCTGACGCTCGCAAATCTAGCAAGAAAGTTAAACTCGTTATTTGCCGTCCCACTACTAGGCAACACTTTAATACTTTTTGGTTTAAGCGTAATTGTCGCCTATCATCTCACGCTGAATTTATATCTGTCCAAAAATGTGTCTGAAAACGTAGACAAAATAATCGGGGACTCGATTTTCTTGCTTTTCGTCGCATTCCAATTAGTATTCATGGTGTACTCCTGGGATTCCATTCCTCAAACCGTGAGTATTTTTTCACTCTTTGGTTTGTAACAATGCAGATAATTCAGGCGCACAAAACGGGATTATTTTTGCATAAATTCTGGAACGAGTTTCCCGAAAATGGGTGCGACGAAGAAATAGACAGCATAAGTCTCCACCTACTACAAAATAAAATAAAATTCACTGTGTGTAAATTCGTGGAATTAAACTGGTCCTTAATTCATCTGGTAAGTTACGTTATAACGACCGATTTTACACCTTTTCGTTTCAGATAATTCAAACCACAGCGATGTACCTAGTGTGGCTAATCCAACTTAAATCCTAACAATGCGCATGCGCCTAACACCTGACTCACCGTCTCAGCTCCCGTGAGATGGGTTTCAAGTGCATGAAATTACAGAACCCGGACCTGGTGCACTCCCCCATCTCGTACTGGCGACAGCACGCTTCCCTAAAGTCAGTGACTGGACTCAGCTCAGCATACACCGGGCGCCCCCCAAACCAACGATTATTCAAATCGTTTACAGCCCTCTCGGCATCCTCTTCGCGCCGGAACTACAAAAAACACAATTATATTTACCATAACCCCACAAATAAAACTCACTTTAATATAAACATTCCCTACAAGGTGGTCACCCAAATTATCACAAACATTCATTTCCTCGATTTCCCCGTACTTATCCTCGCACTCAACGAATACATCCTCGAAGAAATTATCATAGTGCTCTTGCATTTCTTCATCAGAGACGTTAGCCACCACTAGAAACGCAAATTTAGGGGGGTTAACTACGACAATGTCAAACTTACAGTGACTTCCGTCCGCCGATTTCGCAGAGTTCTGCGGGTTCACGTACAGGTTTTGGAGGAGGCAGGTTTGAGAGAAAGTCGGTTTGTTGTGGATGCGGGAGCATCGGTCCCCGTGCCGGCAAGCCCCGATTTTGAAGTAGAAGGAACAGTTGACTCTAGAACGTGCAGTTGTAATGGTGCTCTTTTCGAGCTTCGTACTTACTTGTCCTTCTCTGTACCGAAAATTGACGCCAAATATTCTGCCATTTTTGCCTAAGTTTGTTTTTAAATTACAAAAATAATGTGACGCTTTGCCATAACACGAACCACAACGTCAAACCTGCCAAGATGGTGGGTCGGTAAAGCAGGGTGCTGCCGCGGTGTAAATAAACATGGCGGAGGGAGTGGATTCTGTACTGAAAATAGCGAATTCGCAGGTGCTACCGCAAGTATTAAGGTGAATTTAGGTGTAAATAATGACTCTGTAATTTTTTGTGTGTTGTAGTTCTTGCATGACTGCGTGGACGATTTAACAGGGACGAAACAAGCGAATTTTAACAACTACAACAGCGACCTCGAGTGGACGATTGACGACTTTAATCATGCCAAAAGGAGTGTTCAAAAAATTTACCGCCAAAGTGTGATTAATGACAAGGTGGAAATAGAATTCAGTGTGGGAGATAACGTGGAAAGGGAAATCAGGAAGTGTCTAGAATTGAGGAAAGATGATATTTTTGAAACTCTAGTGAAAGAGAAGTTGGTGAACAGTGGTCATAATTTGGTGGAAAATATTGACTGGAAGTTGAAGTGGGTGCTTGGAAATTCAAAATTGGCGTCAGTGAGGGAGGCGTTGTTGCAGGTTGATCTTCATTGCGCGAAAAGTGGCCCCAATTTTGATAAAGTTAGCAAAAATAGTGTTAATTTTGAGGTAAATCTGGAAATGCTGGACTTACTTATTGATCAACTACAAAAAGTTAGGGAAGAGTTGGAAATAAATAAATAGGGTATGAAGGTTTTTTGTATTATTTATCCACTGAGGAAATATACAAAGTGGGGCCTTGTAGTATTGTGTACAGATATTGTTTGAGTATTATTGTTACATTATCTGATTTAAATATGAAATATATTTAAAGCAGATTAATAACAGGAAAAATGTAGACAAGTTCAATTTCTCAGTATATGCTTAACTTCGACTGTTTATGTTCATACTTCAACCGAATTAAAAAAAATCAGCGATTAAAATAAAATGAAATTTGGTTGATTTTGTGTCCTCAGTGCAGAGAAAACACTGACTGATTAATTCATACTCAGTTTTTTTTCCCAAAAACACTCATAAATTTGAAGAAATTCGGCAAAAATGTAAAATGACGGACAAATTTTTACCAACAATTTACCAAGTTTCAAATAATCTTAAAATATTTCTACGATTTCTCAAAAAAAATAAGATCTATAAATTCTTACCAAAAACAAAACCAACAAAAGAAAAGTCCATTAAAGCATAACCAACTAAACACTAGGCAAGATGTTTAAAATTCCTGCCTTATGCACATAAGTAACCTCCGAATTTGGATCATTTAAAGATAAAACTGATTTTGCTAAAGGGCATGCTCTCTAAGAAAAGAGAGGGTGGGTGGGCGAGCGTAATAGCTGCCAAGAAAAGACTGAGTTTGGCAAATGACATAGCTTCTAAGAAAATAGAGGGCGGGTGGGCGGGGTTAGTACTTGCTAATAAGAGAGCGATTTTGGTAAATGACATACTCTCTAAGAAAAGAGAGGTTGGGGGGGGCTAGTAGCTAAGATAAGAGTGATTTTGGCAAATCAGATATCCTCTAAGAAGAGAGGGTGGGTGGGTGGGGCTAGTAGCTGCCAAGATAAGACTGATGTTGGCAAAAGGCATAGCATCTAAGAAAATAGAGGGCGGGTGGGCGGGGCTAGTATCTTCTAAGAAAAGAGAGGGGAGGTTATTTTCTTAGAGAGATCTCATTTGCCAAAATTACTCTTATACTAGCAGGTACTAGCCCTGCCCACTCATCCTCTCTTTTCTTAGAAGGTATCTGATCAGCCAAATTCAGCTTTAGCTTAGCAGCTATTTCCCCGACCACCCACCCTCTCTTTTCTTAGAAGGTATGTCATTTGCCAAAATCAGTTTTATTTTGGCAGTTACTAGCTAGAATAAGACTGATTTTGGCAGATGAGATATCTTTTAAGAAAAGAGAGGGTGGGTGGGCGGGGCTAATCTCTTCTAGGATAAGACTGATTTTGGCAAATGAGATATCTTCTAAGAAAAAAGAGGGGAGGTTATTTTCTTAGAGAGATCTCATTTTCCAAAATTACTCTTATCCTAGCAGGTACTAGTCCTGCCCACTCATCCTCTCTTTTCTTAGAAGGTATCTGATCAGCCAAAATAAGTCTTATCTTATCAGCTACTGCCCCGCCCACCCACCCTCTCTTTTCTTAGAAGGTGTGTCATTTGCCATTATCGATCTTATTGTAGCAGGTACTAGCCCCACCCACCCGCCCTCTCTTTTCTTAAAGAGTATCTCATTTGCCAAAATCACTCTTATCTTAGCAACAAGTACTGGCAACGCCCACCCACCCACCCTCATTTTCTTAGAGGGATCTATATAATACCAAAGAAAAATTAATATATTTCAACAATGTTAGTACTAAGTAAAGTTTCACCCCACATTTTGTTTTTTAATTTATTATAATAATAGGTGTAATATATTTTTAACAGGCCAATTTTGACCTTGAGGTGTTTTTTTTATAAAAATCTCAAAGTCAGGGGTTTCTATGATATATAGATCCACTGAAATCATTGACAAAATCTTTAGAGTTATCCACAACTTAAAAAAAAAAATAACCTTAAAAATGGGGTGAAATGTTAAAAAACGCATTATGAAAAACTTCACAACAAAAATTGTCTTTTTACTTCCCGAGAAATTCTAATGACTATAACTCTGCAACTCTCGGCTCCGCCTCGGGTTTATTTGCAAATTTCAGTTGCAGTTAGGTCCAAGACGAAGCCGAGAGTTGCGAGAATATTAACAATGACTGCAATCATTAATAAAAATAGTAACATAGACTCTAGAGACTATATGTTTGTAGATCTCGGCTTCGTCTCGGCCTATTTGCCATAAATGATAATTGATTTACACGATTTTTAAGTTTGTATTTTTTCTTAAGGTACACCGTTATCCGATAACTTTTTTTTGACGACACTATAAAAATCGGTATATTTTATTTAGTGATTTTGGAAAAACGGTAGGAATTTCTGAAAAAACGAAGCCGACAATGACTTCTAAGATATCGAAATGTACAAGAAAATGTCCAACTAATTTTCGGAAATGGTTGAAAAATGGTCGAAAATATCAAAAGTGCCATAATCAGTCTGATCTTATCAAATACTAGTCCCGCCCACCCACCCTCTATTTTTTTTTAAAGTATGTTATTTGCAAAAATCAGTCTTATTGCAGTCCACCCCCCTTCTTCTCCTTCTAACAACTAATTTTATTTCTGATCATTCATTTTATTCATATCGGTTAAAATCAGTCATTGAAAAGGAAACAGGGTGGGTGGGCGGGACTAATTATGTTCTTCTGTTGACTGGGACTGGAAGCTAATATAATAAATTTTAATACTAAGTATTTGCTATAAAATTTATTTCTTATTTTATGTACCTGACCTGACTTGACCTGTCGTGACTTCTCTCTTGTCCAAAATAAACAAATTTTAAACATTTTTGTAAATATGTAAAAACTACAAAATACACTCTTGAAAGAAATGTATTTTGTGAAACAAAAATTAATAATAATTTTCTTTTTTATCTACAAAATTTTTATACCGAGCTAATTTCGCGAAACTGTAAAAATTGCTATATTTCAATTAGTGATTTTGGAAAAATGGTAGGAATTTCCGAAGAAACAAAGCCGAGAATGACTTTTGGATATCGAAATCTACAAGAAAATGTCTTCAACTAATTTTCGGAATTAGTTGAAAAATGGTCGAATATGTCAAATAGTAGCCCCACCCACCCACCCTCTATTCTTTTAGAGAGATCTCATTTGCCAAAATTAGTCTTATCCTAGCAGGTACTAGGCCTGCCCACCCATCCTCTCTTTTCTTGGAAGGTATTTCATCAGCCAAAATCAGTCTTACTTTAGCAGCTACTGCCCCGCCCACCCACCCTCTCTTTTCTTGGAAGGTATGTCAGCTGCCAAAATCGATCTTATTTTAGCAGGTATTAACCCCTCCCACCCGACCTCATTTTCTTAGAGGGATCTCATTAAATATATAACACCAAAGAAAAAGGGACAAATTAGTAATATATTTACATACCTAAACAATGTTAGTACAAAGTAAAATTGTCCGTTTCACCCCACATTTTGTTTTTTAATTTATTATAAGGTACTTTATCATTTTTAACAGGTCAGTTTTGACGTTGAAGTTTTTTTTATATATATCTTTTTTAAAGTTTAATTTTTTTATTTTTAATTTTCAATTTATAATTTTTGGATTTTTCAATATTCCAATTTCTCGGTGTTTCAATGTTACAATTTTTCGTTTTTCGAAAATTTTACGTCTCTACATATTTATATTTTTACTTTTTTCAGTTTTTGATGTTTCAGCTTTTTATGGATTTACTTTCTGGATTTTTAATTTTTGATATTTGATTTTTCATTTTTTGCTTATTGATTTTGCAATTTTTCAATTTCTTAATTACATATTTTAACTTCCAATATTTCGATTTTTTAATTTTTTCATGTTTCAATGTTACAGCTGTTCGTTCGTTTTCAATTTTTGATTTTCCGATTTAAAATTTTATCCAATTTTTCAGTTTTTGATTGCTCAAATTCTCAATCTTCCAATTTTTTAATTTTTCACGATTTTCTATTTTTTTATATTTTTTATGTTTCAGTATAAAATTTTGAGATTTTACTATTTCTGAATTTGGCAGTTTTCATGTTTCTTTTCAAATTCTAGATATTTTTGTTTTTCGATTTTTAATTGTTAACAATTTTTGGATGTTACGCTACAATTTTTGGTTTTTTCAATGTTGAGATTTTACAATGTCTCGTTTTTTGAATTTTAAATTTTTTCTTCTGTAAAGTTTCATTTTTTCAATTTTAGATTTTCAACTTTTTGGTTATTGTTTTTGTAATTTTTAAAGTTTCGATTTCTCAGTTTTTTATGTATTCACTTTCTGGATTTTTAACTTTTTGATATTTGATTTTTCAATTTTTTCATATATCAATGTTACAATTTTTCAATTTCTGGATACTTTATTTTTGGTTTTTTCAGTTTTTCAATTTTTTGCCAATAAGCAAAAAATCAATAAATTTTTCAATTTTTCAATTACATATTCTAACTCCCAATATTTCGATTTTTACATTTTTTCATCTCCAAGATTTTTTTGACTTCTAAAAAATATAACACTAGATTTTTTAGACTTCTTTAAAAATAAAACATAAGTAATCTCCGAGATTGTTTGGGCTTCTTAGAAAAAATAAACCCCAGTGACCTCCAAGATTTTTTGGACATCCTTAAAAAAATAAAACACCAGATTTTTTGTACTTCCTTAAAAATAAAACACAAGGAATTTCGGAGATTCTTTCGACTTCTTAAAAAAATTACACATCAAATTTCCCACATTTTTTCGTCTTTAAAGAAATAAAACACTAGGGACCCTCAACATTTTTTGACTTCTTCTTTCATTCTTTGGACTTACTTCTTTAAAAAAATTAAAGATCAAATTTCCCATATATAAAAATTTCAAAGTCAGCGGTTTTTATATGGATCCATCGGAATCACGGTCAAAATCTTTAGAGATCCTTAAAAATGGGGTGAAATGTTAAAAAATGCATTAAGAAAAACTTCACAACAGAAATTGTCTTTTTACTTCTCGAGCAATTCTAATGACTATAAATTTGCAACTCTCGGCTCCACCTCGGGTTTATTTGCAAATTACAGTTGAAGTTAGGTCCAAGGCGAAGCCGAGAGTTGCAAGAATATTAACAATGATTGCAATCATTAATAAAAATAGTAACAGAGATTCTAGTGACTATATGTTTGCAGTTCTCGGCTTCGGCTCGGCCTATTGGTAATGTACACTGTTATTCGGAACGTTTTTTTTTTTTGACGAAATTGTAAAAACTGCTATATTTCAATTAGCGATTTTGGAAAAACAGTAGGAATTTCCGAAGAAACGAAGCCGAAAATGACTTCCTGGATATCGAAATATACAAGAAAATGTCAAAAGTGCCATAATCAGTCTTATCTTATCAAATATTTGCCCCGCCCACCCACCCTCTGTTTTTTAGAGGATATATGATTTGCCAAAATCAGTCTTATCGTAGCCCACCCCCTCTTCTTCTCATTCTAACAACTAATTTTATTTCTGATCATTCATTTCATTCAGATCGGTTAAAATCAATCACTGAAAAGGAGGCAGTTTGGGTGGGCGGGGCTAATTATATTCTTCTGTCGAGTGGGAGTGGAAACTAATAATATAATCTAGGATATGAAAAAAGTAAAAAAGCGCTAATTGTTACTTTTTTTAATACTATTTGATATAAAATGTATTTGTTATTTTATGCACCTGACCTGACTTGACCTGTCTTGACTTCCCTATTGTTCAAAATAAACAAATTTTAAAAATTTCTGTAAATATATAAAAACTACAAAATACACTCTTGAAACAAAATTTATTTTGTGAAACAAAAATTAATAATTTTCTTTTTTATCTATAAAATTTTTATACTGAGCTATTTCGCGAAACTGCAAAAATTGCTATATTCCAATTAGGATTTTGGAAAAACGGTAGGAATTTCCGAAGAAACAAAAGCCGAAATTGACTTGGATATCGAAATCTACATACAAGGAAATGTTTTCAACTAATTTTCGGAAACAGTTGAAAAAAGGTCGAAAATGTCAAAGTCTTATCTTATCAAATACTAGCCCCGCCCACCCACCCTCCATTTTTTTAGAGGATATGTGATTTGCCAAAATTAGTCTTATCTTAGCAAGTACTAGCGAATTGACTTTTTATTTTATAAAAAAGCAATAAAAAACTTCAACAATGAAAAAAAAAGTGAGGTCACCAAAAATTATGTTTGGTAAATATGAATTAAAGCGGCAAAATTGTAAAATCATGTCATTATTGTTTTAGAGGGACATAAACGAAGAAAATTTGATTAACGATTTACCTTGCTTACGATAACCTAAAACGTTTCCAAAATTTCAGAGCAGTTTCAAAGTTAAATTGCAAGATGTTGTAATTTTGATTGTTTTTCTCCAAAATCTGGATGTCTAGGATAAAAATTCAACAGGGCTTCATAAATCTTATGTGCTGAAGTATCTTATTTTATAAAATTTAAACAATATTTACTACTACGTCAGCAAATACGGACAGACAGACAGACGGAAATTGCGACCTATTGGCACAATCCGACCCTGTGCAGGGTTAAAGAAAAAGTCCAGTATCAACATTATTTCTATTTATAAAAAGTTACAGTACAATTATAGATTAAAAATAGTGAACAATAGGTACAATAAAACTTTGATCAATTTTGTAACGCAACTGGGAATACTGTATAAGTTCTATGAAGAAGTGACACTACACGTAACATCCTAACATATGCAATAGTTATTGCAAACGATTGTTCCTAATTATTAACAAGATCACAATTTTTAGAAAAATCTAATTCACATCATAAGGCAAGTGTATAATAAAATAAACCAAGTACAAAAATAGAAAAAAATTCATACGAAAATAATCTAAAGCACCAAAACGACATTAAGTAACAAACTCCATAAAGGTATCAACAATACATGTAACAATCATCAAACAATCTTAAAACCTGACCCACGTGATAATGTGACTTACTGAACACATAGATTATTAAAGATAATGACAAACACAAACTCAATTTTATTTACAAAAATCTTAAATTCAAGCTAACCCTGCATCTTTACACATACTGTGAAATACTGACTGATGTTGTTTGAGTAAGTTCGGCGGCGAATCGAACTCCACTATCTTCCCCTGATCTAAAACTATCACCCGGTCCGAGTCCATGATGGTGTTCAACCTATGCGCTATAGTCAAGACCGTGCAATCCTTAAACTCGCTCCTGATGGTCCTCTGGATCAAATCGTCCGTCTCCAAATCCACCGCGGCCGTCGCCTCGTCCAACACCAAGACTTTCGTTTTCCTCAACAGCGCCCGACTCAAACAAATCAACTGTCGTTGACCCACCGACAAATTCTCGCCGCCTTCGCTAACCTCGTGGTACAAACCCGCCGTTAAACCTGTCAAAATACATAAATAAACACGTTTTCACCGAATAAATCCCACCACCTTTCACGAAAGATTTCAAATGAGCGTGCTCCAGAGCCGTCCACACTTCCTCGTCGGTGTGCTTATCGAAAGGATCGAGATTCATTCGAAGCGATCCTGAGAATAATACGGCATCCTGGGGGATAATTGTGAGCCGCGACCGCAATGTATGCAGTCCTAAACCTGCTATATTCACTCCGTCGATAAGGATTTCGCCTTCGGCGGCCTCGATAATCCTGAAGTGTTAATAATTAAAACGTCACGGGATTAGGGAGGGACACTTTACCTAAATAAAGCTAATGTAAGGCTTGATTTTCCCGCTCCCGTCCTACCCACAATGCCCACTTTTTCTCCACCCTGTATGCTAAAGTTGACCCCTTTTAGCACTAAGTCCAGGCCTGGTCTGTACCTCACTGCGTATTTGCTGAATTCGACTTTTCCGCTATCGGGCCACGTGGATGGAGGGCTTTTATTGGGGATCTCCCAGTCGGCTTCCTGGGGGGCTTCGCCGTACTCTTTGATACGTTCGACGGCGACGATGTTGGTTTCCACGTCGGACGTCATCCGCACCAGCCAGTTCAAAGTTTGCGTTATCTATGTTCGAAGAACGGGGGTTATTTTTGTTTTAGCTGGTGGATTGATTAAATACACACAGATAGACCCAGTGGTTGAAAGTAATTCAAACCCGCCCTTTATTTTCTTAGAGGGTATGTTATTTGGCAAAATCAATATCTTAGTAAGTACTAACCCCGCCCACCCACTCTTTATTTTCTTATAAGATCAGGTCATCTGCCAAAATCAGTTTTATTTTGGCAGATGATGCCTTTTTGTTTTAATATGTGTAGACTATAATTGCAAAATCCATATTTCCTTGCAAAAATGTACCATTTTAACCATGTTCTAAGTTTCTTGTTGTGAAAAGATGGCCATGCATAATAAGAAAAAAAGGCAAAATATAGTAGTGAAGTTTTCATTCATTGGCAAACCTAGGGGCGGACCCTAATTGCAAAATCCATATTTCCTTACACAAATTTACCATTTTAAAAGTGTTTTAAGTTTCCAAGATTAAAAAAGATCATTACAATTGAGATGGGGTGGGTGGGCGGGGTTTATATTTTGCCTGTTTGTTGTAATATGTGTAGACTTTTTTGATTTGTATAAGGAAATATCCATATTTTTTTCGACTTTTTCGTTTTACGATTTTTTTCGACTGTTCAGTTTTAAAATTTTCAGGTTTTTTCAACTTTTCAATTTCGAGATGTTTTAATTTTTTGTTTTTTCAATTTTTCTATTTCTTAGTTTCCTGATTTTTAAATTTTTTGATTTGCAATTTTTCAATTCCTCGCTCTTTCAATGTTTAAATTTTCGATTGTTTAATTTGTCAATTTTTTTAATTTTTAGGTTTTCGACCTTTCAGTCGTTATAATCTTAATTTTTCAGTTCACAATTTTTTGATTTTTTAATTTTTCGATATTTGAATTATACGACTTCTCAATTCTTCGATTTTCAGTTTTACGATTTTTCAATATTTCTATTTGAATTTTTCGAGTTTGAAATTTCACAAAAAAAGAAACATAAAATGCGAGCGCAGCGAGCACGTTCAGGTGCAATTTAAAACATCGTTATTGGTGTCCCTGAGAAGCTAAATTATTAAGAACAATTTTGTTGTTATTTAAATAAATAATTTCTAAGGATGTTGAAGTGAAAATTTGGAAAATCGGAAAAAGGAAACGGAAAACTGAAAAATTCAGTCAGTTTTTCAATATTTCATTTTTCGTTTTTTAGAGTTTTCAACTTTTGGATTTGCAATTTTTAAATTTCACAGTTTGTTTTTAATATTGCGATTTTTCAGTTTTCAAGTTTTAATTATTTGTTTTTAAAATTTTTCAGTTTCTCGATATTTTACTTTCACATTTTTCCATTTTTTGATTTGCGAGTTTTCCACTATTAAATTTCAAAATATTCAGTTATGCGTTTTTTCAATTTTTTGATTTTTTGTTTCTCGATTTTTGATTTTTAATTTTTTGTTTTTCCAATTTTTCAATTTCTTAGTTTCTTGAGTTTTCAATTTTTTTAATTGCAATTTTTCAATTCTTCGATTTTTGAGCTTTTAATCTGTACAATGTTAATTTTTGACTTTTTACTTTTTCGATATTTGAATTCTTGGACTTCTAAATTCCTCGATTTTCAGTTTTACGATTTTTCAATATTTCGATTTGAATTTTTCGGGTTTGCAATTCCACAAAAAAATAAACATAAAATGCGAGCGCAGCGAGCACGTTCAGGTGTAATTTAAAACATAGTTATTGATGTCCCTGAGAAGCTAAATTAATTATAAGAACAATTTTGTTGTTATTTAAATACCATGTAAGCCCCGCCCACCCGCCCCATATCAATTCTCATGATTTTTTTATTGGTCGGAAGCCGAGGGGCGGAGATTAATTGTAAAATCCTTATTTTTCTGCGAGAAATTACCGTATGAAATATGTGCTTAAGTAATCGTGTTATACAAAGAGATTAAAAAAGAAAACCAACCACACGTCTCGATCTCAATCGTGATGAATTTTTCATTCTTTGTCAGACCGAGGGGCGGAGCGTAATTGCAAAATCGATATTTCCCTATACAAATTTACCATTTTAAACATGTTTTAAGTTTCTTGTTGTGAAAATATGTTTCTTTGTTTCTTCAATTTTACTATATACAACTGTTCGGGTTTTTGTTTTCAAGTGTTTCAGTTTTGCGATTGAAAATTTGAACTTTCATTTTCTCATTTTTCAAGTTTTCCATTTTTTAATTTTTCGTTTCTTCAATTTTTCGATTTGCAATGTTTCCTTTTGGTTTTTATTTTATTTATTTTTTGACTTCAACGTTTCTTCACTCTTTGATTTGCGATTTCTAGTTTTCATTTTAAATATGTAAGAATGATAGTAATTCTTAAAATTTCCACTTTTTCAATTTTACGATTTTAGAATTTTCCCATTTTTTTATTATTGGATTTTGAGACTTTCATTTATTCGATTTGTCAGTTTTTCGATTTTTATTTTTTCAATAATGTTCCAGTTTTTTGACTATTCAATTTTGACGATTCAATAATTTTTCGACTTTACAATTTTTGGGTTTTCTAATTTTTCGATTCGATTCGTTTTTTCTTTCCAATTTTCCGAAACATTTATTTTTATTTTTAGTTTTTCAATGTTTCAATTTTTCGTTTCTTCGGTTCATCGATTTTTTAATTTTTCGAATCGAAAAATTGCAAAATTATAAAATTGAAAAATCAAAAATGAAAAAACGAAAAAGCATAAAATGAAAACTTACAAAACTCTAAAAATTCGAAATCAAGAACTTAAAAAATTGAAGAAACAAAAAACTGGAAAATCGAAAAATTAAAAATTAATGAACTTAAAAATTGAATAACTGCAAAATAGAAGAAACGAAATATTGTAGAATTGAAATATTGAAAATTATAGAAAACGGAAAATCGCATAATTGGAAATTCAAGAATTGCAAAATTAAAAATTAGAAAACCTACCAATTGAACACTCGAAGATTGAAATTTTTTAAAAATTGAATAAACGAAAAATTATAAAATCGAAAGAAACATTGGAAAAATCCAGGACATGATTAAACGAAAAATTGTGATGTAAAAAAAGAGAAAACGGAAATTAATTCAAAAATAAAACATCAAGAGTCCATATTCTTCCAAAAACAAAAATCTTGGAGGTCCTACAATCTTTTCCAATTTTTCCAAAAATGAAAGTATCAGGAATCCCCGAGGTTTTTTCAAATTGCCCCTAAAACAGAACAAAACCCCAAGGTTCTTTCAAGTTATTTTAAAGATAAAACACCAAAGATTTCTAGGATTCTTTAAAATTCTTCCAAGAACAAGAAAACAGGCCTCCGAAATCCTTAAAAAAAATCAAATATAACATTCATTCGTGTTTGAGACTGTTTCAAATTTTTCAAAAATAAAACAGCAGGAATCCTCAAAATTTTTTCAAATTCTTCCAGAAAAAAAAACACTAGAGCCCTAGAAATTCTTCCAACGTTTTTCAAAAATAAAACACCAGGAATCCTTAAGATTCTATCAAATTCTCCTTAAAACAGAGCACCAGAACCCTAAGGTTCTTTCAAATTATTTTAAAAATAAAACAGCAAGAGCCCTGAAGATTCTTCAAAAATTTTTCAAAAGTAACAAATTTCTACGATTGTTTCAAATTCTTCTAAGAACAAAACAAAAGAAAAATAAACTTGAAGTCCAAGAATTCTGTCAAATTCTTATAAAAACAGGGGCCTCTGACATACTAAAAAATTTAATAAAACATCAAGGGCCCTTCAAATTCTTCTAGAAAAAAAAAACACCGAAACCCCATAAATCCTTTCAACATTTTTCAAAAATAAAACACTAGAAAAAATTCTTTCAAATTTTCCCTTAAACAAGATACTGAAAGCCGAGGTTCTTTCAAACTGCTTCAAAAATGAAACATCGAGTACCAGGAATCCTCGAGATTCTTTCAAATTATTTCAAACTCAAAATACCAAAGGTCCTGAAGTTTCTGCCAGAGCTTTTCAAAAATAAAACACACGTAATCTTCAAGATTCTTTCAAATTCTTACAAAAATAAATCACCGGAAATTCCCAAGATTCTTTTTTTATAAAACATCAGGTCTTCGAGATCCTTTCAAATTTTTCAAAAATAAAACATCAGCGGTTCCCAAGGTTTTTTAACTTCTTCCCGAAACAAAACATCGAACGCCATAAAGATTCTTTATTTTTTTAAATAAAACACCGGGAATTTTCAAGACTCAAATTTTTTCAAAAAAAGGATTTCCAGGATTTTTTCAAATTATTTAAAGAAGGAATAAATTAAAATAAAACACCAGGGGTTCTTGAAATCCAAATTTTGTAAAATAAAACAAGAGCCCCAAAATTGTTTTCTCTCAAGGGATCTCAAGATTTTGTCGATTTTTTTTTATAAAACATTAGAATCTCCAAGATTATTTTAACTTCTTCCAAAAAACCAGAGGCCTACGATATTCTTAAAAAAAAAAATAATAAAATAAAACACCAGGGGCGCATAATATTTTGTTTTGTCTTTTTTTAATAAAACATCAGGTGCCTCAGTATTATTTACAATTCTTCCAAAAACAAAAAACCAGATACCCCCGAGATTGTTTAATAAAATCTACAAATAAAACACTAGGGATTCTCGAGAATCTTTCAGGTTTTTCAAAAATAAAACACCGAGAATAATCAAGATTTTTTAAAATTTTTGAAAAAACCAAATCAAATTAAAATAAAATAAAACATCCGAAGCCCAAACATTATTTCTATTTTTTCCAAAAACCAAAAAAAGAGACCTAAGAGATTCTTAAAAAACATAAAAAACAGGGGATCTCGAAATTTTGTCATTTTTTTCTAAAATAAAACATTAGGTACCTCAACATTTTTTCATATTCTTCCAAAAACAAAAAAAAAAAACGGAAACCCCGAGATCCTTAAAAAAATTTAAATAGAACCCCAGGGATCCTCAAAATTTTTTCAAGTTTTTCAAAAATAAGTCAGCAGGAACATACATTTTGCCTTTGTTGTTTTAATATGTGTTGACTTCTTTTCACAACAAGAAACTTAAATCATGTTTAAAATGGAAAATTTGCATAAGGAAATATCGACTTTGCAATTAGGCTCCGCCCCACAATTGTAAAATTTATTAAGAAAAAGATGATTAAGCCCCACCCACCAGCCTTATCTCAATTCTGATGATTTTTTTTAATTGTCGTAAGCCGAGGGGCGGAGCTTAATTGTAATTCAATGTTATCATGTATGTTAGATAATAAGCGAAACATTTTCTTGGTTAAAATTAAAATAAATTTTCATTGTACTTATATCATAAAATGTGAAAGAAATCACTTATTTTCGAGTATGCGACATACTTTGCCCGTTTTTTAAGACATATTAATGCAAGTGGTTTGTCTTTAGTGCACATCTGCCCCTCTGTAATCTAATAAATTTTCCTTTATATTTATTAGAAACAAAAGCGAGCTCACGAAAGCCTAAACAAATTTTCCAATGTGTTATTTATATTTATTTTTACGTTTTCAATAGCACCAGCAAGTATTTAAAACAAGTGATTGACTAGAAATATCGGCAAAGTTGTGTTAGGCTCACCGGCAACGTTGTAAATAATCTTAATGCTTATGAGTTTCTTACAATTTTTTTCCGTCGCCCTCTATCGAGTGGTAGATTTAAGAATAGTTTTGTTGCTGTTATGGGGGTAGTCATCTCTTATACTAAGATGAGTCTATCTGTATGTACTTAATCGATGCCTGGTGACCACTTACCTGGAGCGAATACGTCACAGACAGCCCAACCAATCCGGGATTTTGGTCTTTCCCTAGCACTGCAAACAAAGCCGCAAAGAAAATGATCAAGTTGCCGATCATCTCGAGCCTGACAGCCAGCCATCTGTTCGAAATGATACTTGGATAATAGCAAACTTGGTTAACGTCCACCTTGTGTTCCGATTCTCTGATAAACCGGTCTTGTTCCCGGAATGCTCTGATGGCTTGCACTCCCGTGATAGTCTCCCCGAAATGCGAATAAATCGGCGATCGAGACACCGACTCTAAACGCTTTAATTGACGTGACGTAGCCACATAGAACCTCTGAATAAAATAGTACAGTATTCCTATTGGTACGATTACACTGATGAAAATCGGCGTCGTATAACTGATTACAACTAGTGTACCCAAGACCTAAAATATCGTGAGTTATTTTCTTTGCGGACGCATTCAAACAACGCGATGCAGCGTGAAGCGAAGCAGTTATATTTAAATTTTCCGTAAATTGCACAACATTTTCCCTCAGACGTAATACATTTAACATAAAATAATAATAATAAAACGGAAAAGGCGTGGGACAGGTAAAAGCCAAATGAATCATGAAATACGAATGGAAACCTCGCTGTGCAAATACTGGGTGTCAAGATTATACCTCAAACAGGCAATAAATTCCGTCTGTCATGCCCCAAGGCAAAGTGGCATCCATAGTTTCGACATCTCGAGCAAAGCGACCCAAAATTCGTCCAAGAGGGGTGGTATCAAAGAACAACATTGGAGCTCGTAAAATACCCCGAAGCATGATCTGGTGTAATTTTATGGAGGCATAGCAACAACCTAATTGAGGCGCCAGATCAGCGAATAATGACACAACGGCTGAAATTTTCAAAAGTCGAGTTAGGGGTGTTACTAGAATTGCTGCCCGTCGCCAGTTTTAGTTACAGTTATAGTTAAAACTAGGAATGTGTTGCGTTTTTCAAAGTAACAACTTATCAACACATTTATTCACCAGATGTGTGCATCGAAAAAGAAATACTGTGTCTGGTACTATACAAAAAAAGCTTGAGTTAGTAGAAATCGGATCGTGTTAGTGATTACTAGTTTTACATATAATTAGACGGAAATAAAATTTACAAGCTTTTTGGCTACTAAAAGCGACTTGCAGAGGAGAAAAAGTTAAATTACAAGCGTGCGTCGTAATTTATATATTTATTTACAATCGACTGAAAGAAAATTCACCTCGGCACCAGTTAGAATACCTAGAGACAAAGAAAATAAGCCCAAAATAAAAGAAACGAAAAAGAAAATAGTTTTAGTGTGATAAAAGAAAACATAAAAATAAATTTGCATTTAAATATAACTGCTGTTAAAGTGTTTAAGATGACACTTACAATACAACTACTCTCAATGACTTCGTAACAATTGAAAGGGAGTTCCTCATCGAGGCCGCCTAAATCTCTAGAAAATCGACTCAGAATTCTGCCGACAGGAATTAACTCGAAAAAACTCATCGGTTGTCGAAAAATGTTAAGTAGGAGACCTTTATGAATTTCGGAGGCGGCATTTAAAGACGCTATTGTTAAATTTACCTCCGACGAACAAATCGATATTGCTACAAGTTCAAAGTTTATTTTACACAAACACAAGCAACGAGAGACTACGCTATGACACTAAACAGGAGATCAAGCAGCTAAAGGTTAACACAAAATTAAAACAAAAAGAAGTGAAGCTGTAAAAATGTCAAGTGTTGTCAAATGTATCGTGAACGAAAATGTTGGCCGTGATAAAGCTTTAAAAAAACATATAACTGCTTTGATGACACTGACTAGTTCAAACACAAACCGAGAAAAAACAAGTGATCCATCCTCTGATAGTCATCGGTAATATATTGTCCAAAGTATCTACATCTTTAGAAAACCTATTTAAAATACGCCCAACTGGAGTAACGTCAAAAAAGGTCGTGCAAGGAACTCGTAAGATGTTTGATAGTAGCAACTGGTGAAGCAACTGAGCTCCGTTTAGCGATCCTATGAATAACGTCAACGCCGATAACAACACGGCAACAGCTGAAAACCGATCACAAACCTCATAAAATTCACATGTACAAGGGGTAAATTCGTCACAAAATAATAAAACAAAGTGCAAATAAATAAGCCAAAACATAAACCAAAAAGCATGTAAGCGGTAAGCTAAATCGGACAAAACACGGTTTTGTTAGTGGGTGATTTTAGAATCGTGTTAATATTTACCGTGAACATCATTACAAAAGCGGATTGAAGGGTGCCTGGTAATACGTTATCCAAGATGTTAATATCGTTAGAAAACCTGTTCAAGATTCGGCCCTGAGGTGTCGTGTCAAACATTAACATTGGCCAACGAAAACTACTGCTTAAAAGGATCTCGTGAGTTTTCACGGCTGCATGGATAAATCCGATTGCATAAGTGAGAGACATAACAAGAGAAGTAACACCTAGAAGTTAATAATGACACAAGTGTTAATCTGATTCCTGTTTGAATTAAAATAATGCGATTGCAAACTAAAGTACCACCAATTTAGCCAGCGTAATGATAAATTCCATTTTATTGGAACGAGATTGAGCTCACTAAACACACTATTATCCTTCCCCGTTCCAATAAAATGGAATTTAGTTGTCATGCTATTAAAAAAAAATTGTCTGCAATTAATGGAAATTAAAAAAGCAGCAAACTAATCATGCCGCTAACTATGAAAAAATAATGAAATAATAGGATTACTTTAGTCGGGGACATCGAAAAAAACTTACCTTGGCCTAAACCTAAGGCACCATAAATGCCAAGATAAAAGTCTCTTGTCCCTGAATCAGTCACATTATCGTCCGCCCAAACACCTAAAAAAAATTGGTGGAATGTTATTTCGATAGAACTTCCCTCGCCCCCCAATATTTCAATTTGAGTTTCTCGAAGTTTCAATTTTTAATTTTTCAATTTTTCGATTCTTTATTTTTTCATTTTAGCTTTGTTTATCCTTCTACAAAATTTTGGAACAAACGTTTAAAAAATTGCGATTTTTTGTAAATTCTTCCAATGCCAAAAAATGTCAAGAATGGGGTGTTTAATCTAAAAAACTAAGCTGTTACGCTTTAGAAATTGACTCTGTATAGTTAAAAATAATTTCAGAGTATAGTCCTCAAAAAACCGTAGAACCGTCTTTGACTTTTTTTCTATCTCTAATAATATTTAATGAAATATCGAGGACGGCGCGTTTGGTGAGTCACCCTGTATATTTATCTCCAAAGTGTATTTCACATTTTTTTTATTCTTTTATTCACAATAACTATACCCAGAAATTGTACCACGTCACAGATTAGACATTAATTTACCGGTTTTTCAGTTTTTTATTTTTCAATTTTTCGATTCTTTCTGTAATTTTTCATTTCTTAAAATTTTCGACTTGCAATTTTTCGTTTCGGTGTTTTATTTTGTTTATTTTTTCAATTATATGAATTTTCTACGTTCCGATTTTATAATTTTTTTTGTTTTTTCAAGCTTAATTTTCTGTTTCTCGTTTCTTCCATTTTTTTTGTTAACTTGATTTTTTGCATGATTTCATTTGTTTTACTCTCGGTTAGTCAAGTTTTTGTCAGTATGCATTGTCAGCTAACCTCTTGTACGTTTATGCAATAAATTATATCTAACTTATCATATCTATTATCTTTCTTCAATTTTTAGATTCTTTAATTTTTTCATTTCTTCAAATTTTCGATTTGCAATTTTTCAGTTATTTTTTTTTGTTTCTTTTTTCATTTTTAAATTCTTCAGTTTTTCGATTTTCCAACTTTTGGATGTTTCAATTTTTAGATTTTGCAGATGTTCGATTTGTAAATTCACGAGTCTTCAGTTTTTGGTATTTCGATTTTTAGATTTTTCAATTTTTCATTTCTTCAATGCAATTTTTAGCTTCTGTATTTTGTTGATTTTTTTTTCAATGTTTTTTGATTTGTAGTGTTTCCAGTTTTCAACTTAAATATGTATCTAATAATAATTATTATAATTTTGAAAATTTTTACTGTAATTTTGGGATTTTAGAATTTTTAATTTTTTCAATTTTTCGATTTTGCAATTTTCCTATTTGCAATTTCACGAGTTTCCATTTTTTAATTATTCAGTTTTTCGATTTCTCAATCGTTCATGTTTTCAATTTTTCGATTTGGAGTTTTTCAGTGGTCTGTCATTAAAATTTTTCTATTTTCCATGTGAAAATTTTCAATTTTTGGATTTTTTGATTTTTCGTTTTTTTAATTCTTCTACACTCCTTCATTCTAGTGACTACTATTGATAGTGTTCAGTCTTATCCTAGCAGGTACTAGCCCCGCCCACCCACCCTCTCTTTTCTTAGAGGGTACATGATTTGCCAAAATCAGTCGTGACTTAGGAAGTACTAGCTCCGCCCACCCGCCCTCATTTTTTTTGGTTATTTTTTAAATTTTCGATTTTTCAATGGGCTGTTTTTATAATTTTTCTTTCTTTCAATGTAAAATTTTAAATTTGGCGATTTTTCAACTTTTATTAGGTTTTTTAATTTCTCGATTTTTCAATTTTTCGTTTCTTTCACGTTTGATTTGCAGTGTTTCCAGTTTTCAATTTAAATTTGTATCGAATAATTATTATAATTTTGAAAATTTTTACTATTTTGTTTTGGGATTTTAGAATTTTTTAATTTTTCAATTTTTCGATTTTTAATTTCTCCCAACTTTTGGATGTTTCAATTTTTAGATTTTGCAATTTTCTGATTTGCAATTTCACAAGTTTCCATTTTTTAATTATTCAGTTTTTCGATTTCTCAATCTTTCATGTTTTCAATTTTTCGATTTGCAGTTTTTCGTTTCGTGTTTTTTTTTGTTTTTTACATTTTCCGTTTTTCAGTGGTCTGTTTTTATAATTTTTCTTTTTTCCATGTGAAAATTTTCAATTTTTGGATTTTTTTAATTTCAATTCTTCTACACTCCTTCATTCTAGTAACTACTATTGATAGTGTTCAGTCTTATCTTACCAAATATTAGCCCCGCCCACCCCCCCTCCTCTATTTTCGTAGAAGATATATCATTTGCCAAAATCAGTCTTATCCTAGCAGGTACTAGCCCCGCCCACCCACCCTCTCTTTTCTTAGAGGGCACATGATTTGCCAAAATCAGTCGTGTCTTACGAAGTACTAGCCCCGCCCACCCACCCTCTCTTTTCTTAGAGGGTACATGATTTGCCAAAATCAGTCGTGCCTTACGAAGTACTAGCCCCGCCCACCCGCCCCCAATTTTTTTTGTTATTTTTTAAATTTTCGATTTTTCAATGGGCTGTTTTTATAATTGTTCTTTCTTTCAATGTAAAATTTTAAATTTGGCGATTTTCAACTTTTATTAGATTTTTTAATTTCCTGATTTTTCAATTTTTCGTTTCTTTCACGTTTGATTTGCAGTGTTTCCAGTTTTCAATTTAAATTTGTATCGAATAATTATTATAATTTTGAAAATTTTTACTATTTTGTTTTGGGATTTTAGAATTTTTTAATTTTTCAATTTTTCGATTTTTAATTTCTCCCAACTTTTGGATGTTTCAATTTTTAGATTTTGCAATTTTCTGATTTGCAATTTCACGAGTTTTCATTTTTTAATTATCCAGTTTTTCGATTTGCAGTTTTTGTTTAATTTTAATTTTTCACTTTTTAATTTCTCCCAAATTTTGGATGTTTCAACTTTTAGATTTTGCAATTTTCTGATTTGCAAATTCACGAGTTTTCATTTTTTAATTATTCAGTTTTTCGATTTCTCAATTTTTCATATCTTCAGTCTGTTTTTATAATTTTTCTTTCTCTTAATGTGAAATTTTTAAAATTTTCGATTTTTTAATTTCTCGATTTTTCAATTTTTCGTTTCTTGCAATTTTGATCTGCAGTGTTTCCAGTGTTCAATTTAAATATGTATCGAATAATTATTATAATTTTGAAAATTTTTACTATTTTAATTTTGGGATTTTAGAATTTTTTAATTTTTCAATTTTTCGATATTTAATTTCCTCCAAATTTTGGATGTTTCAATTTTTAGATTTTGCAATTTTCTGATTTGTAATTTCACGAGTTTTAATTTTTTGATTATACAGTTTTTCGATTTCTCAAATTTTCATGTCTTCAATTTTTCGATTTGCAGTTTTTCGTTTCGGTTTTTTTTTGTTATTTTTTTAAATTTTGGTTTTTCAGTGGTCTGTTTTTATCATTTATCTTTTTTTCAATGTGAAATTTTTAATTTTTCAATTTTTCGATTTTTAATTTCTCCCAAATTTTGGATGTTTCAACTTTTAGATTTTGCAATTTTCTGATTTGCAATTTCACGAGTTTTCATTTTTTAATTTTTCAGTTTTTCGATTTCTCAATTCTTCATGTCTTCAATTTTCCGATTTGCAATTTTTCGTTTCGGTTTTTTTTATTTTTTTAAATTTCGGTTTTTCACTGGTCTGTTTTCATAATTTTTCTTTTTTTCAATGTGAAAATTTTAAATTTCTCGATTTTTCAATTTTTCGTTTCTTTCTGAAAAAATTGCTCGGAGGTTATTTCGACAGAACTTCCCTCGCTCCCCAAGTGCAGTTCAAGAAATCACGCCTCTTCGATTTTCCGAGCTTTTAATTTTTTGGTTGTTCGATTTCTGGATATTTCGGTTATTCAATTTTTCGATTTTTAAGATCAAAAATTTTTAACATCGAAAAATTGAAAAATCGAAACCCGGGAAATCGAAAACTTGAAAAGTCGAGAAATCGAAATACGGAAAATCGAAAACTTGAAAAATCGGTAAATCGAAAAAGTCGAAAGATTGTAAAAATCGAGAAATCGAAATCCGGAAAATCGAAAACTTGAAAAGTCGAGAAATCGAGAAAAAGTCGAAAAATAGTAAAAATCGAAAAACCGAAGTGACAAAAATTCGAAGAAATGTAAAATTTGAAAAATCGAAAAACCAAAAAATCATAAACTAGAAAGCGAGAAATCGCCATATCTACAATTTAAAAAATGGAAAAATTGAAAAAACGAAACTCGAACATTCCCAAAATTGAAAAATCGAAAAATTGAAATATCGTGAAATGGAAACACCACAAAATCGAGAAACTGAGAAGCCGAGAAATCAAAAAATCCAAAATTCAAAAATTTGAACTTAAAATAAACGATAAATCGAAAAATTGAAAAATCTAGAAATCAAAATTTTTCATTTCTTCAATTTTTATAATTTTTCTTTCTTTCAATGTGAATTTTTAAATTTTTCGATTTTTTAACTTTTAGTGTTTCCAGTTTTCAATTTAAATATGTATCTAATAATAATTACAATTTTGAAAATTTTTACTTTTTAAATTTTGGGATCTTTAAATTTTTTAATTTTTCAATTCTTCGATTTTTAGTTATTTAATTTCTCCCAATTTTTGGATGTTTCAATTTTTAGATTTTGCAATTTTTGATTTGCAATTTCACGAGTTTTTTTAAATTATTCAATTTTTCGATTTCTCAATATTTCATATCTTCAATTTTTCGATTTGCAGTATTTCGTTTCGTTTTTTTTTGTTATTTTTTAAATTTTCGGTCTTTCAATAGTCTGTTTTTATAATTTTTCTTACTTTTAATGTGAAATTTTTCAATTTTTAGTTTCTTTCATTTTTGATTTGCAGTGTTTCCAGTTTTCAATTCAAATATGTATCTAATAAAAATTTTTTACTTTTTTAATTTTGCGACTTTCGAATTTTTTAATACATATTTAGATTCTGCAATTTTCTGATTTGCAATTTCACGAGTTTTCATTTTTTAATTATTCAGTTTTTCGATTTCTCAATTTTTCATGTTTCCAATATTTCGATTTGCACTTTTTCGTTTCGGTTTTTTTTTTTGATATATTTTAAATTTTCGGTTTTTCATTGATCCAATTTTTCTTTTTTCAATGTAAAAATTTTCAATTTTTGGAGTTTTTAATTTTTCGATTTTTCAATTCTTCTACACTTTTTCATTCTAGTGACTACTCTTGATAGTGTTCAGACTTATCTTAGCAAATACTAGCCCTACCCCCACCCCTCTATTTTCGTAAAAGGTATATCATTTGCCAAAATCAGTCGTATATTAGGAAGTATTTTTGTTTTTTTTTATTTTGACTAATCAGTTTCATGATTTTTCAATTTTTCTTTTATTCATTTTTTTTCTTTTTTCTAGTTTTCATTTTAAATATGCAATAATAACTACAATTTCAAAAATTTTAATGTTAATTTAACTTTTTTGAGTGACCCTGTAAAAGCAAATCTAAAAAATGAGGTTCTTAATTTGATCAATGAAAAATTGGTCGAAGGCTATGACTGTAAAAATCTAATTTTACGATTTTCGTTTGGTGATAGCCGCTGTAATGTATAAACCAGAGGCATAAATACCACCTCTTGTGCTTCAACATTAGGTAATAGCAATCTGACGCTCAAGTGTTTATTTACATTGGAAGAATGCCACGTAGAAATTAGTTTTTTTACTTTTCGAGATAATTACGCTACTCACCTAGCCACACATTCGACCCGATGCTAAAACCTTGGAACAACATATTGAGGAAAATCGTGGCAAAAGTCAAAAACAACCCAATCGACTTCAAGTAGTGCTTGTAAACACTCCACTTAACGCTACCAGTTTCAGTTTTTTCCACCTCTATCAACTTGTCGCCTTTCACCGGCGGCTTTTTGGGTTCTTCCACTGAGCTAGACCGATGACGCAAACTCCGATCGGCACTATCAACAGACTTTTGCCTCTGTAGCGACAGACTCGTTTGATCAGACCCCGTTTCGGACACCGATTCGGAAACCCGTGACCTATGCCTCGACAATTTCTTACTAATTTCTTCCGAAACGGCAGTCCCACTCAGTTGGTTTTTCAAAGCGTCCAGTTCTACAAAACATGTTTAGAACTTAAGTAAACCCGACTCAGTACCAACCTTCTTCGTCTTCTTCCACTTCGTTAATATGCTGCAACAAAAACTCCGAAAACGCGCCTTTTTTATCTAGTAGTTGTTGATAAGTACCACACTCTGAGACTTCTCCGTCTTTAAGTACAACGATTTTGTCAGTCTGGGGTAAGTACGTAATTCCGTGAGTCACCAATACTCTCGTCTTATGTTTAAGTAACCCTTCTGGTCCAATCACCTGTTCGAAAATATGTTTCCCTACGTGACTATCCACAGCGCTTAACGGATCATCCAAAAAGTATATATCCGAGTTTGCGTAAACCGCTCGAGCCAAACTAACCCTCTGTTTCTGGCCACCGGACAAATTTATACCCTTTTCGCCGATTTCGGTTTGGTCACCGGCAGGCAACATAGCGAAATCCGGCGTCAAAGCACAAGCTTCCACCACTTTATCGTAAAGCGCTTTATCGAACGACTTCCCGAATAAAATATTATCTCTTAAGCTAGCATTCTGAATCCACGCTTGCTGCGCAACGTACGCTATACTACCCAAGGTGTTAACACGACCTGAAGTTTTATCCATTTCGCCTAAAAACGCAGAAACCAAACTGCTCTTCCCTGAACCTACCGAACCCACGACTGCAGTCAGAGTATTTTTTTCTAAACGAAGATTGATATTTTTTAACGTCGGGTCGTCGTCCCAGTTGAAGGAACCGTTTTCGATTACGAGCGGGGCAGCTGAAAATCATCGATTAAACGTATACAAAATTGTAACGAAAAATGTACGTACTTTCAGAAGAATCGTGGGTCACACTAGTCGGATCGAGCTCTTCAGCGTTCATAAATTTGTTTATCCTTTGAATCGAGACCATCGCCTATGAACAGGTGACAAGTTAAGGGGTGCGCTACTATTATGAAAACACGACTGTGCGTGTTTCATAATTTTTTACGGCAAAGAGGCGAAAGAAATTAAAGCAATAATGGAATTATTGGAAAGCTCCCACGATCGTGTCGTTATGGGGAACGCTAGACGAGAGACAAGTTTGAATTGGGCGCCATTTGTTGCCTTAAACGCAACCAGCAATTCTTCTTTAAATCTACCTGATGCGAATAATGATGATTTATGACAGGTCCACAACATACGTTCAGCACAGAATAATCATTTCTCGTATTCTTTTGACATATTAATTTTAATATTCGAGATAATTATTATATTATTCAAACACAATTTAGACCCTGTAGAGCAAACAAGGCTTATCAAGCCCGTCTATTAGTTTATTCGCCTAAATGTATTATTAATACCGTTTTCTTGTTTAGATAAGGGAATAAATTAAATGCACAGTTGTATTTTTAAACGCTCTGTATTTTTGCTCGGTAAAAATGAAAAATGAAATATACTTAAAACAGACAACAAATCGGAAAAATCGAAAAATCAAAAACTTTAAAAATCGAAAAATCAAAACACCCAAAAATCGAAACATTAAAAAATTAAATTAAAGAACCGAAACATTGCAAAATCCCAGAACTGCAATACTGAAAAACTGAAAAATGGAAGGAAAATTGAAAAATCGAAAAAGTGAAAAAATTCAAAACTGAAATCTTCAAAAACTGAAAAATGGGAAGAAAATTGTAATATGTAACTAATAATTAAAATTTCGAAAATTTTTACTTTTTTAATTTTTCGGTTTTTAATTTTTTAATTTCCCCCAATTTTTGGATGTTTCAACTTTTAAATTTTACAATTTTCTGATTTGCAATTTCATGAGTTTTCGTTTTTTAATTATCCAGTTTTTCGATTTGCAGTTTTTCGTTTCGGTTTTTTTATTTTCAAAATTTTCAGTTTTTCAACTTTTTTAATTTCTCGATTTTTCAATTTCTGGTTTCTTTCATTTTTGATTTTCAATTTAAATATGTAAATAATAATTAAAATTTTGAAAATTTTTACTTTTTTAACTTTTCGATTTTTAATTTCCCCCAATTTTTGGATGTTTCAACTTTTAGATTTTGCAATTTCCCGAGTTTTCATTTTTTAATTATTCAGTTTTTCGATTTGCGGTTTTTGTTTCGGTATTTTTATTTTCAAAATTTTCATTTTTTTAACTTTTTTAGTTTCTCGATTTTTCAATTTTTGGTTCCTTTAATTTTTGATTCTCAATTTAAATATGTAACTAATAATTAAAATTTTGAAAATTTTTACTTTTTTAATTTTTCGATTTTTAATTTTCCCCGATTTTTGATGTTTCAGCTTTTAGATTTTGCAATTTTCTGATCTGGAATTTCTGCAGTCTTCAGTCTGTTTTTATAATTTTTCTTTCTCTTAATGTGAATTTTTTAAAATTTTCGATTTTTCAAGTTTTAGATTTTTTAATTTCTCGATTTTTCAATTTTTCGTTTCATTTTTGATTTACCGTGTTTCCAGTTTTCAATTTAAATATGTATCTAATTATAATTTTGAAAATTTTTACTTCTTTAATTTTGGGATTTTAGAATTTTTAATTTTTTCAATTTGTCGATTTTCAATGTTTTAAATTCTTCCAATTTTTGGATGTTTCAATTTTTAGATTTTGCAGTTTTCTGATTTGCAATTTCACGAGTTTTCAATTTTTGATTATTCATTTTTTCGATTTCTCAGTTTTTCATGTCTTCATTTTTTCGATTTGCAGTTTTTCGTTTCGGTTTTTTTGTTATTTTCTAAATTTTCAGTTTTTCAATAGTCTGAATGTGCAATTTTAAAATTTTTCGATTTTTCAACTTTAATTTCTCGATTTTTCAATTTTTTGTTTCTTTCATTTTTGATTTTCAATTTAAATATGTATCTAATAATTATATTTTGAAAAATTCAAAAATCAAAAATTGAACACTCGAAAAGCCAAAAAGTCGAAAAATCGAAACATCGGAATGTTCAAAAACTGAAACATCGAGAAATCAAAACATCAACAGTAGAGGAGTCAAAAAATCAAAAAATTAAGAAATCAAATTAGACCAAAATCGAAAAATCGAAAAGTTAATAATTGAAAAATTGAAACATTTTAAATGAAAAAAAATCGGTAAACCGAAAAATTGAAAAATCTAAAAATCGAGAAATTGAACAATCTAAAAATTAAACAATGTAAAAATCCAAGAATTGGAAAACCAAAAAATCTAAACCGAGAACTTGAAAAATCGAATAATCGAGAAATCAAAACATCAAGGAAAACAAAAAAATTAACGGAAAATGTAGAACTTAAAAATTGAAAAATTAAAATACCTATCGAAAAATTGAAAAACCGAGAAATCGAAACACCAAAAAATGAAAAAATTGAAGAACCGAAACATTGCAAAATCCCAGAACTGAAATACTGAAAAACTGAAAAATGGAAAGAAAATTGAAGAATCGAAAAAGTGAAAAAATTCAAAACTTAAATCTTGAAAAACTGAAAAATGGAAAGAAAATTGAACAATCGAAAAAGTGAAAAAACCCAAAACTGAAACATTGAAAAATTCAGAAATGGAAAAATTGAAAAATCACAATTGAAGAAAGAATTGAAAAATCGAGAAATAGAGAAATGGGAAAATCAAAAAATCAGTTAATCGAAAAATTTAGAAACGTCAAAAATTGAAAACTGAAAAATAAAAAAAAAAAATAAAAATCGTAACACTGAAACATCGGAAAATTGAGAAATCGAAAAATGAAGAAATTCGAGAAACCGAAAATATGAAGAATCGAGAAATCGAAAAAATCGATAAATTAAAAAAACCCAACAGTAATATGTCGAAAAATTGAAAAATCGAAATCGGGCAAAACTGAAGTACCGTAAAGTTAATAAATTGAGAAACTGAAAATTTAAAAAAAAAAATCGTATCAAAATCTAAAAATTCAAAAAATCGAGAAATTGAACAATCAAAAACTCAAAACATTGAAATCCCAGTAAGTTGATAAATAGGAAAATTTAAAAAACAAAAATTTTCAAAATCCAAGAATTGAACAACAAAAAAAATCAAGCCTGAAAACTCAGAAAATCGAATGATCGAGAACTCAATACATCAAAGAAAACAAAAAATCTAAAATTTAAAAATTCGTCAAATTGAAAAATCATGGAACTGAAAAATCGAAAAGTCGAGATAGTGAGAAATCTAAAAACCTAAAACTTTAACAACTGAAAAATTAAAATATCGAAAAATTTAAAAACCGAGAAAACACAATATTAAAAATTTGAAAAATTGAAGAAACGAAATACTGCAAAATTCCAAAGCTGAAATATTGAAAAACCTAAAAATGGAAGGAAAATTAAAGAATCGAAACAGTGAAAAAATCCAAAACTGAAACATTAAAAAATCAAAAAATTAAAATATCTGAAAATTGAAAATTCAGAAATTGAAAAGTTCTCAATATTCAAATCCTGAAAAATTGAGAAATCCAAGCATCAAAAAATAGTAAAATCGAAAAATGTAAAATTTAAAAAATCCAAAAATTGAGAAATAAAACAAAAAGAAAAATCGAAAATTTAAAAATTCGAAAAACTGAAAAATTAAAATATCGAAAAATTGAAGAATTGGGAAATCGAAACACCAAAAAATCAAAAAAACAAAAAACTAAAATTGAAAAATCACAAAAATGAACACTCGAAAAGCCAAAAAGTCGAAAAATCGAACCATCGGAATGTTCAAAAACTGAAACATCGAGAAATGAAAACATCAACAGTAGAGGAGTCAAAAAATCAAAAAATTAAGAAATCAAATTAGACCAAAATTGAAAAATCGAAAAGTTAATAATTGAAAAATTGAAACATTTTAAATGAAAAAAAAATCGGTAAACCGAAAAATTGAAAAATCTAAAAATTAAACAATGTAAAAATCCAAGAATTGGAACACCAAAAAATCTAAACCGAGAACTTGAAAAATCGAATAATCGAGAAATCAAAACATCAAGGAAAACAAAAAAAATTAACGGGAAATGTAGAACTTAAAAATTGAAAAATTAAAATACCTATCGAAAAATTGAAAAACCGAGAAATCGAAACATCAAAAATGGAAAAATTGAAGAACCGAAACACTGCAAAATCCCAGAACTGAAATACTGAAAAACTGAAAAATGGAAGGAAAATTGAAAAATCGAAAAAGTGAAAAAATTCAAAACTGAAACATTGAAAAATTCAGAAATGGAAAAATTGAAAAATCACAATTGAAGAAAGAATTGAAAAATCGAGAAATAGAGAAATGGGAAAATCAAAAAATCAGTTAATCGAAAAATTGAGAAATCGAAAAATTTAGAAACGTCAAAAATTGAAAAGTAAAAAATAAAAAAAATTAAAAATCGTAACACTGAAACATCGGAAAATTGAGAAATCGAAAAATGAAGAAATTTGGGAAACCGAAAATATGAAGAATCGAGAAATCGAAGAATCGATAAATTGAAAAATCCCAACAGTAATATGTCGAAAAATTGAGAAATGGAAATCGGGCAAACTGAAGTACCGTAAAGTTAATAAATTGAAAAACTGAAAATTTTTGAAAAAAAAATCGTATCAAAAACTAAAAATTCAAAAAATCGAGAAATTGAACAATCAAAAAATCAAAACATTGAAATCCCAGTAAGTTGATAAATAGGAAAATTTAAAAAACAAAAATTTTCAAAATCCAAGAATTGAACAACAAAAAAAATCGAAGCCTGAAAACTCAGAAAATCGAATGATCGAGAACTCAATACATCAAAGAAAACAAAAAATCTAAAATTTAAAAATTCGACAAATTGAAAAATCATGGAACTGAAAAATCGAAAAGTCGAGATAGTGAGAAATCTAAAAACCTAAAACTTTAAAAACTGAAAAATTAAAATATCGAAAAATTTAAAAACCGAGAAAACACAATTGAAAAATTGAAGAAGCGAAATATTGCAAAATTCCAAAGCTGAAATATTGAAAAACCTAAAAATGGAAGGAAAATTAAAGAATCGAAACAGTGAAAAAATCCAAAACTGAAACATTGAAAAATTGAGAAATGAAGAAATGGGAAAATCAATAAAATAAATTTACGCATTAATTAATTTTTGGGGTCATCCTGTATATGCAAATTAAAAAAACATGAATGGAATGGTAAATCACAAGAATAGATTCATCATATTTTATACAATTTAGATAGTATTTATTCAGCACAATTTTGGGGTGACGTCATCAATTTTTTAGAGGGGATAAGTAAATATATTGTGATTTAAACGGTCCTGGTTTAATAACAAAAAAATATGTCGTAAAAAAATGTACGATTATGGTTTAAATATTTTTTAGATAATCCTGACATGGATGTAGAAACATTTATGACAGCCAAAGAGGTTTTTTTTTTGAAAAAATTATCTTTGAATTTAGACCAAATTGAAATAGACACTAGGCAACAGGCACATCTGGGCAAAAGAAAGAGAAATTAGGGTTACGGCTTCAAATTTTGGATGTATTTACAAACTTAGACCGACTACAGCAACAGCCAAAACTGTGGAGTCTCTGTTGTATAGTACATTTAGAGGTAATAGCCATACATACTATGGACAACAAAGTGAGGAAAAAGCTGTCAAGTGTTTTGAAATAAATAAAAATATAAAAACTTGTTTATTTCAAAACAATTGCCTTACTTGGCTGCTAGTCCAGACAGGGTTCTAGAGGACAGGAGTGCATTAGTCGAAATTAAATGCCCTTCAAAATCGCAAGATTTGTCTCCCGAAGAAGCGGTAAGAAAAAAAATAATCAAATTTTGTACATTGACTGACAGAGAATTGAAACTAAAAAAAATCATGTTTACTACTTTCAAGTCCAGGGACAAATGCTTGTTACGGGTATTTCACAAGTTCATTTTGTTGTGTGGCCACCCAAAGGAATTAATATAGGAAAAAAACGAAGAAATATATAAAAAGATGGCAGATAAACTTGGCAGATTTTACTTTGACGCATTATTGCCCGAAATAATTGGTTTAAGAAGAAAGAGGAACCTGCCTTTGCGAGAGATTTTTTTAAAATAAATAAAATTTGTTTCTATTTTTTTATGTACTTTAATAATTTATTAGGAGTACATTTTTCATCACCAAGACTTGCATATTTTTATTATAAATATATTTTGAAAATGATCTCTCGGCAAATGAAAACATATACGAGCACTTTTTTCGAGTAAACAATGAAGGGAGAAGTTACTGGGCGTAGGGCTTTTTTAAAACACCTCCTTTCTGGGATAAGTAGTAGATACACTTAGCTACTTATACGTGTTAAACAAAAGCTGTATTTTATATATTTTTTATTATTATTATAAATATATTTATTAGTTTTATTAATTAACAAAGCAAAATATATATTAACAATAATATTACAATGAATTTTTAGTAATCATAAATTTTAGTGGCGCTCCTATCGGCAAAGTACTTAACTAACGGCTCAAAATCTGTCGAATTGATAACCATTTTTTTCAATAATTGTTAGTTTTTATTAAAAACTCTGCTAACCAATAGATCATTAATTTTCCTCTGATATTCCTGTTAAAATTATTCGACGTATTTTGCATTAATTTGTGGTATATTTTGATTTTAATAAACACATTATTATTTAAACAAATTGTACGACTAACTAACATTTAATGACTCTGCGGCCTGTAAAAAATGATGTTTTATCCATGTGCGAATTTTCAAGCGATTCTATGATGGTTATGACTCAAAAAACTTGAAAAGAAAACATACAATGGTGCTTTTTTTACGATATTTCTGAGCCATATTTTTTTAGTTGATTGAACTGTTCTCTGCGCTCTAGAATATGAAAAAAGCTGCAGTTTGATGTATGATTCATCTATATTAATGTCATTTTTTCATACAAAAAACCAAAAAAATATTATACCTCGTCTAGCGAGTCCCCTTAAGGTCCAGATTTGTGAACAATCTGAATGGTTTAAGTCGATCGTGCGAACTTCTACGAATACGATATGTTTATAGCTTACTTGGACCAGGTTTGAAATCATCATTGGCAACATGCTCAGCGGAAACCTTAGTATATTGAAGAGAGAAACAGATACAAAGGCCTTACTCGCATCAAGAACGTTATTCTCGTCCACCAGGACATATGTACCGAAAGAGACTAGTGATACCTAGAGCATGCAGATGAAACAAATAGTAGAATAGGCTTAAACCACATCCGTTAAAATTCAAGTGCTATGGTTTCAGTACACCTCCATGTTAAAACGCGATGAAATGTGTTATTGTTTTTATTGTAATCAATGTAATCAAGTACCTCAACACAGTACACTATCAACATGGGTAGTAATGACATTGGCAGTCGCATTATGCTAAACAAAGAGAGTGAAACAAATGCCACTTCGGGTGTCAATATGTTCTCGGCGCTGCTGTAGACGTAAACTGCGAAGGTGACTAAACACACCTACACATGTAAAGTATTACAAAAACGAAAATCAAAATAAATACATAATTTAAAAATAAACAGCTGTAAAAAATATAGTTAAACACGAAATTATTTTTTTTTTTTATTGAAACTGTAGTATATTTTTCATTGCCAATTGTGTCGATTTTCGCGTAAATACTGAACCATTTTTTAAAAATACGATATACTCACCAGGAACGGTGCGCATGACCAAATAAACGACGTGCCTGCGTTCATATAAGCCGCTTCTTTAAGCACTTGTATTTCCTTCCCCCTAATCTTCAAAATCTGCTTCTCAAAACTCGGCTCCCACGCATACAACTTAAGTACTTTAATTCCGCTAAGTACTTCATTCATCAACTTCACGCGTTCATCCTTATTCTTCATTTGCTTGATTTGTAAAACTTTGACTTTATTGGCTATGTACCCGTTGATAGGAATCAAAATAATCATGACGGCCAAACCGGCCAAAACCGACGGTCCTAGAATATCCCACAGGAAGTACAACGATAGAATAATCTGCAGAGGTGCCGACCAGATCATATTAATATAGGCCGTGAGATCAATGAATTTTTGTGCGTCGACTGACATCAAATTGACTATTTCTCCGACTGTGCTTTCTTTGCGCGCTTTATTCGAAACTTTCAGCGACTTCTTATAAATCGCGGAAACCAAAGCTGTACGTATCCGCATTCCCACGACGAACATCCGATTAAAGTACTGGGACAAAACGATAGTTTGGATGGTGGCGGTGACAAAAAGCAAACCAGCGTAGAAAAACCCTTTCCATTGCTCTTCGCTATTTTTGACGAACTGTATAAGCAAACTAAACACAAAAACAGTTGATTTAGTGTCACAAAAATCCAACCTGACTTACTTTAGTATCTGCGGGCTCACGAAAGTGAGCAAATCTTGAATTAACTTTAGTAAGGCACCAAATACGAACGTGGGTCCGAACGCTTTGACCAGAGCCGGGAGGATCGACGCTTGTTTCTTTTTGGTCGAGCTGTCGACAATATCCACACGTGCTGAGTCTAATTTATACGAAGCGCGCGTTTGATGTGTGGGAGAATTTCTGTAAAAAAACACTACTGAGGACGAAGTACGGGTTAAACAAGCACAACAGCGGAAAACTGACTCTACAACAAAGGTGAGTTTGTGTTAGGTACGACAACAAGCGGCGCGTGTTATATTGAAGCTGAAGCAATTTTATTTTGTTAGTGTTACCTTTCGCTTTTTTGGAGAACTTTTCGCCAGTGTTTCTCGAACATGGGGACCACTTCTCGCGCCGAGTCTTCGTGTTTCATGTCCCATAGGTCCGAGTCTACCAGCGGGCGTCTGAAGCCGCGCCACGCAAGGGGGTCGAACCACGAGAACAATAAGCGAGAGAGGAAACTGCTGTTTTCTTCGGGGCATGGGTGCTGCAATTTCGGGTACTCGCTATGTCTTGGAGGTCGATCCGCGAAACAATTTAAAAACAACATGATTAGGACGACGGGGTAATAAATTAAGTAACTGATGTACGCATATTGAGACTCTGGTAGATCTTCTTTGGAACCTCTGACTTCGGTTCTGAATTGGACGGCTCCACATACCGCCGTTAATAGCCAAAATAAGAACTGCAATCCGGACGTGCAGAGGCCATATTTACGATTATAGACTAAAAGTACGGCCGACAGAGCCTGGAATAAACAAATACGGATTACTCACAAAAATCGCAAAATCTTTAAACATTTATAACTGTCAATTAAAGTGTCAACTAGGTGTAATGCCAACATCATTATTTTAAAAATAAATTGCATGGCCTACTAGAGGACTTTTGGTATCGCTACTAACAACAAAGAATTGAAATACTGCCTAAAAACACGAAAATAGTGAAAATTAAATGTCAAACAGCGACAAATCATCACCTGTCTTGAATTATCAATTTTGATTTTTTTTAACGCGTTTTTTGATGGTTTGACCATAGATTAATATAGATGCGACATACAGGCTGATTTTGCAAAACCACCATTACTGACATTGGATTCCTCAACCGCCAAAGACAAGCGCCAAATTTAAATAGTACAATAATTAACAGTGAGAAAAAAAATGAAAAATTAAAATAATCGAAAATTCGAGAAATTTAATAATCGAAAAATCGAAACCTTAAAAAATCGTAAAATTGAAACATTGAAAAATCGAAATATCGAAAAAATGTAAAATTCAAAAATCTAAAATTTAAACACCGAATAACGAAAAATCGAGAAATCGAAACATCCAAATTTAAAAAATCGGATAACTGAAAAATCGAAAAACCGAGAAATCGAAAAATCAAAAGATCAAGAAATCGTGGAGTCGAAAAGTCGAACAATTGAGAAACCGAAATAGGCCAAAATCGAAAAATCGAAAAGTTAAAAATTGAACAATTTATAAATAACTTTTTAAATAAATAAATAAATAAATAAATTGAGAAATTGACAATCAAAATATCGAAAAATCCAAATTTCGACTTCTCGATTCGTTGATTTTTCAGTTTTTCGATTTTTAAATTTTAGATTTCCGAACTTTTATTTGTTTGATTTTTTTATGTTTGGATTTCTCTATTTTCAATTTTACGATATTTTAACTTTTCAATGTTTTAAATTTTCGATCTTTCGATTTTTCAGTTTTTGAATATTTTTTTATTTTTCAAATTTTGACGTTTCTGAATTTACAGTTTTCGGATTTCTCAATTAATCTATTTTTTTATATTCCCATTTCTCCACTTCCCAAAGTTTCGATTTTTCAGTTCTTCAGTTCTTCAATTTTTCGATTTTTTAAGTTTGCGATTTTTCGACTTTTTTGACTTTTCTGTTTCTCAATTTTTTAATTTCCTAACTTTTGGATATTTCGTTCAATTTTGTGGTTTTTCAATTTTTCGATGTCTCAATTTTAACTTCTTAATTTTTAAAATACTAGGTTTTTTCGATTTTTTGAATTTCCAGTTTTTCTATATTTCAACTTTTCGGAATTTTCGGAATTTTTAAATTTTCGATTTTCCAAATTTTCGATGTTTCAATTTTTAAATTAACCGATTGTTCAATTTCTCGATTTTTAAATTTTAGATTTTCCAATTTTTATTTTTTTTATTTTTTATGTTTCGATTTCTCTTTCTCCATTGTACAATTTTCCCATATTTGAACTTTTCAATGTTTTAAATTTTCGATTTCGAGGAAATTGACAGTTTATAAATGCCAAATTTGAAAAATTGAAAAATCGAAAATTTTAAAACACGACATGAAAAGTCGGGAAATCGAAAAATCTAAAATTTTAAATATTGAAAAATTAAAATACCAAAAAATTGAGAAATCTAAAATTTAAAAATCGAAAAAGTGAAAAGTCAACACAGAAAAATCCAGAAGTCAAAAATGGAGAGTCGAAGAACAGAAATATTGAAAAATCCAAAAACTGAAATATCCAAAAACTGAGAACCTAAAGAATCAAAAATTTGAGAAATTGAAAAATCAAAAAAGTGAAGTCGAAATATCGAAACCTTAAACAAATCGAAAAATTGAAAAATCGAAAACCCGAAAAATCAAAAAATTAAAGAATTGAAAAACAGGAAAATCGAAACACTCGAAGGTCAACAAATGGGAAAATCAAAACATCGATTAATTGAAAAATCGAAAAATAGAGTTTATGAAAGTCAAATTTGAAAAATTAAAATATCCAAAATATGACAAAATGACAATTGAAAAACAGGAAATCTAAAACCGGGAAGTCGAAAAATCAAAAGATTAAGAAATCGAAACATTTGAAAAATTCGAAAACTTGAAAAATTCAAATATCGAAGAACTGAACTGAAAAATTGAGCAATCGACAAATCTAAAATTTTAAAAATTAAAATCTCTAAAATTTAAAATCGAAAATTGAAAAATCCAGGAGTCAAAAATCGAAAAGTCACATCGAGATATTAAAAAATCCCAAAACTGAGATATCGAAAAACTGAAAAATGAAAGATAAACTGAGAATCTAATAACCTGAAAAATCCGAAAACTGAAATATCCAAAAACTCAGAACCTAAAACGTCGAAAAATTGAGCAATTGAAAAATCCAAAAAGTGAAGTCGAAAAATCGAAACCTCAAAAAAACTAAAAATGAAAAATTCAAAAATTAAAGAATTGAAGAACAGGAATATCGAAACCCTCGAAAGTCAAGAAATGGGAAAATCAAAACATCGATTAATTGTAAAATCGAAAAATTGACAGTTTATAAATGCCAAATTTGAAAAATTGAAAAATCGAAAATTTGAAAAAACGACAGTTGAAAAACAGAAAATCTAAAACTGGAAAGCCGAAAAATCGAAACATTTGAAAAACTGAAATATGGAAGAGCTGAAATGAAAAATGGAGAAATCGAAAAATCTAAAATTTTAAATATTGAAAAATCTAAATACCAAAAAATTGAGAAATTTAAAATGGAAAAGTCGAAGAATAGAAATATTGAAAAATCCCAAAACTGAAATATTGAAAAACTGAAAAATCCCAAAACTGAAATATCCAAAAACTGAGAACCCAAAGAATCGAAAAATTGGGAATCGAAAAATAAAAAAAGTGAAGTCGAAATATCGAAAAATCCAGAAGTCAAAAATGGAAATGTCGAGGAACAGAAATATTGAAATATCCCAAAACTGAAATATCGAAAAACTGAAAAATGAAAGAAAAACTAAAAAATCCCAAAACTGGAATATCCAAAAGAATCGAAAAATTGAGAAATCGAAAAATCAAAAACCTGAAAAATCAAAAAAATTACAGAATTGAAGAACAGGAAAATCGAAACACTCGAAGGTCAAGAAATGGGAAACTCAAAAAATCGATTAATTGAAAAATCGAAAAATTGCGAGTTTATGAAAGTCAAATTTGAAAAATTAAAAAATCGAAAATTTGACAAAATGACAATTGAAAAACAGAAAATCTAAAACCGGGAAGTCGAAAAATCAAAAGATTAAGAAATCGAAACATTTGAAAAATTCAAATATCGAAGAACTGAACTGAAAATTCGAGAAATCGACAAATCTAAAATTTTTAAAATTAAAAAATCTAAAATTTAAAATCGAAAAATTGAAAAATCTAAAAAGTAAAATAATCGACACATCGAAAAATCCAGGAGTCAAAAATCGAAAAGTCGAAGAATCGAAATATTGAAAAATCCCAAACCGAAATATCGAAAAACTGAAAAATAAAAGATAAACTGAGAATCTAATAACCTGAAAAATCCGAAAACTGAGAACCTAAAAAGTCGAAAAACTGAGCAATTGAAAAATCCAAAAAATGAAGTCGGAAAATCGAAACCTCAAAAAAACTAAAAAATGAAAAATCGAAAAATAAAGAATTGAAGAACAGGAATATCGAAACCCTCGAAAGTCAAGAAATGGGAAAATCAAAACATCGATTAATTGTAAAATCAAAAATTTGACAGTTTATAAATACCAAATTTGAAAAATTGAAAAATCGAAAATTTGAAAGAACCACAATTGAAAAACAGAAAATCTAAAACCAGGAAGTCGAAAAATCGATAGATTAAGAAATCAAAACATTTGAAAAATTCGAAAACATTAAAAACGGAAACATCGAAGAACTGAAATGAAAAATCGAGAAATCGAAAAATCGAAAATTTAAAAATCGAAAAATTGAAAAAACGACAATTGAAAAACAGAACATCTAAAACCGGGATTCTTCAGATTTTCAATTTTTCGAAGTTTCGGTGTTACAATTTTATGATTTTCCGGGGTTTAGATTTTTCACTATTTCGATTATAGTTTTTCGATTTTCCATTTTTTGGTTTTTCACTGTTCCGATTCTTCAGCTTCTCAACTTTGCAATGTTTCGCTTTTTCAACTTTTTAATTTTTCGATTTTCCATTTCGTTTTTTTTTTTAATTTGAACTTTTTCGAACTTGTAGTTTTTCCATTTGTACATTTGTTAGAATTTTCGATTTTCAGTTATCCGGTTTTTCAACTTGAGTTCTTTAATTGTCAGATTTTTCGTTTCTTTAGTTTGTCGATTTGCAATTTTTCGATTATGAATCTTTCAATACTTCGACTTTTCAATTTTCCGATTTTTAATTTTTGAATTTTTCAGTTTTTCGATTATTAATTTTTTAATTTTTATTTTGAAATTTTTCAAATTTACAGTTTTTTGGTTTGCAATTTTTCGATTTTCTACTTGAATTTTTGGATTTTTCAATTTTTCGATTTTCCAGTTTTTCACTTTTTTGATGTTTCAGTGTTCCAATTTTTCGACTTCCCAATATTTAGATTTTTCAGTACATATATATTTCCATTGTAGTTTTTCGATTTTCCAATTTTTGATTTTTCAGTGTTCGGATTTTTCAGTTTCTCAGATTTGCACTGTTTTGATTTTTCATTTGTTCGATTTTTCAACTTTGGAATTTTTTAATTTTTCGATTTTCCAATTCTGTTTCAATTTTTAATTTGAAATTTTTCGAATTTGTAGTTTTTCGATTACACACAATTGAAAAAGAGAAAATCTAAAACCGGGAAGTAGAAAAATCGATAGATTAAGAAATCAAAACATATGAAAAATTCGAAAACAAAAACTGAGGAATTAAAAAATTGAAAAATTGAGAAATCGAAAAATAAAAAAAGTGAAGTTGAAAAATTGAAACCTGAAAAAATAGAAAAATTGAAACCCAAAAAACCTGAAAAATCAATCAATTGAAAAATCGACAAATAGAGTTTATAAAAGTCAAAAATTGAAAAATCGAAATATTTAAAAATCGTAAAATTGAAGAGAAAAACTGAAAAATTGTGAAATTGTAAAATCGAAAAACTCATTTAACTTAAACTACGGCGCTTCTCTATGTTCTCTGGTCTGACAGTTATGGTCAAATAACTGTCAAATAGCTGCAATCCCAACATAATTATTTTAAAAATAAACTTCATGGCCAACTAGGCGACTTTATCAAGTCTTTGAAACGCATTAAAAAAATTGTGCACCCAGATTTCTTACAAATTAAATTCTTATGTAAATCGAAACCCCGATGTTTGCATACAATGGAACAAAAACTTAATGTTTGCAGCACTAAAATATAATTACAACGACAAGATTCTTAAAAAAAAAAAAAAAACAAAATAAATGCAAACAATTTTTAACAAACAAAATATGGAGGGTGTTTTATCAACTCATTTAATATGCAACTTGATAATTACTCTTTTTACATCGTTTAATTTGTTCCAGGAAGCAATTAATAGTATATTACATATCGAGGGTGGTAAGAAGCTAATTACGAACGAAGTTTACACACGAGCGAGCGTAGCGAGCGAGTGATGTAATATGAGTTCGTAATTAGCTTACCACCAGAGTTGTGTCATATACTTTTTTCTACTCATTAAGGTTGAAGTTTGTCATTTTCCCATCGCTGGCAGTGGATGAAATTTCATTTCACCCTCTAGTGGAAAAATACTCGGCCGTCTACGATTTTAAAGGGTCGTCCAGCCTGAGCGTTTCGCAGCTAGCGAAACGTGTCGCGTATCGCCTGCACCGACCGCACCGTCCGCTTCGCGCGCTTCGAAAATCATGACGCCTAGGCTGGACGACCCGTTAGTGTTTGACGTTTAATACTGCTAGTTTACACAAGTGAAAACAATGAACATGAGTGAGACTGACGAAGTTTCTGAAGAAATTTTGAATGCTGCCAATGCGGCATTTTCGAATCTGGGGTGGGATTTTGTTTCTCGATCGAAGTGATAAATTATCACTTGCGATAAATGTCATTGCGTAGCTTTCAAATGCAAGTTTGCATTTATTTTTTGCATATAAGCTTATTAAATGCTCAAAAGTTTACAATTACCTTAATTTTAAGAACTTATAACTCAGAATTACGCTTTTGAACTTCTATTTTGACATAAATTCCGAGGTTATGTCTCCAAAATTTATCACTTCACTCAGAGCTATCGAGAAAATATCACTCCATGAAGAGTTGATTTCGTGCAAGAATCGAGAAATGTGACAGAAATGTCTCACCAACTCAGCCTCTCAACCAATCAGCAAACGAGATTTTATCGCTATCGAGTTTCTTTCGATCGAGAAACAAAATCCCACCCCTGATACAAGTGCAGTTATTGATACAGGAAGCAGCCAACTAAGTTTAAACAAAGATACAAGTTCAAATAATATTTTACTTACGATAAAAGTGTAAATATTATTGGTGATAATTGCACAAATTGTTCTATTACAGTTAATGTATTTCAAAAATAAAATACCTACCATAAACAAACATTTATTTCCTAATTTCTTAGAAAAAATAGTATATGCAACTCGCGGATGAAGAAATTTCAACGGCTCGAGTTTCTTTTTCGCACTCGCTCGTTGCACTCGCTCGTGTGAAAAAATCACTCTCGCCGTTGAAATTCAACTTCATCCACTAGTTCCATAATGTACTATTTCTACGATCTATAATGAAGAATCACTTTCAGAAGAATTTTTTTTTGGGAAAGCAGATATTTAAGTTGCTATGGAAACTACCCAAACAGGCACGTAATATACAGGGTGTCTCAGAAATAAGTACATTAATTTTAATCAGTTATAGAGCTCATTGAACTCAACAACTTTTTTTAGTAGAGTTTTGTCAAGAACTTTTTAATTATCAAGTTAAAAATTGTTAAAGTTATACCCCAATTAAGGTTACCCGCCCATGGATCCTCAGTCACCCATGGACACCAATAATTATTATAATTAATAATTTATGGTCAAAAACAGTTACTAGGATACGTATTTTCCTAATCTTGTCAATGTGACAAACATTTAGAGAGAAATTGCTCCCTAATGGCGTACGGAATTTCATCGGCCCAAATGTGGGTGTTGAACACCTTCCCTCGTGTAACCGAGCTCATCAGTTGAAGGTATAAGAGATACAAAATTTGCTTGTTCGTTTATTTTTCTATTAACCCACTCACAAAAGTCTTGCCTACGTGGTAAGTCTGTTAGTTTCAATAACTGAACTTTCTGGTCCTGAAAGGTGTACATTTGTTCTCTGAGTATCCTCCAAATACTACTCTCCGATACATCACACTAGACAGTGATACGTGCTAGTGCCCGGTCGAACTTCGCCACTCTTCAAAACAGCCTCTTCAATATTAGCAATTCTATTACAACGTAACTCACCCCGATCCTGAGATCCAGGTTTAAAAGATCCGTACTCTCGAAAATGCTGCAACGTTCTTAAAACTGCGCACATTTGGCAGACGACGATTTGGGAGATTTTCTGAAAAAATTCGTTGGGCGCGAGTGCCGTTTCTCCGAGCTTCACCGTACGTTAAAACGATATCGGTGCATTCCAGATTTGAAAACAAAGCCATTTCAACACATTTCGTCTATAAATTAGAAATCTGTGCCAAACAAACTTTAAAGAGACAACGTTTAATAACATTGACATAAAAATAATTGTCAGTGTCAAAACGGTTGCTACGGTACCTTCTTCATTGTTGTAGTGTTGCTATTATTTTTAAGTTATTATTTAAGGTGAACATAGACGGCTCGTGAATATATGGGTGGGAAAATTCGAAATTCGACTTGAGTTTTCGAAAAAATGTTAGATAAAAAAGTTGTTCCGTTTCACGAGTTCTGTTACTGGTTAAAATTAATGTACTTATTTCTGAGACACCCTGTATATATATTACGTGCCTGTTCATTCATTACATACCAGTGGGTGTAACTATGGTTTTACTATGAGGCTAGACAGTTCGTAATTCATGGATTACTATGTGGGAGTAGAAAAAGTAGTTTTACTGGCTAGTTTAGGTAAAACACACTTTACAATAAATAAATATCTAATGTTAATTTTAGTCTACCGTGAGAGACGCCAATGGTCTAGGGAACCCCACTATTTACGACTTTCTCGGAGATTTACGTTGACTGAAACCTTGACCAGTCACACTTAATATTACTTCACAATAATTAGCCGTTTTTTGCATGCTACAAATAGAAGTCTACGGATTTTTTTAATGTGGAACTAAGTGTAAACAATGTCCGGAACTCGACCCAAAAATGGGAAACTCCCACTACCGCTCAAAAGTAAAATTAAATGAACATTTTCAAACAAAAAAACATTGAATTTCTACAAAATTTGCACCAGTGCCGTCACTGTTTATTATTTTTAAATCATTATGTAACAACAATTATAAACAATCGTAAATTGCGACTTTCGCCAGATTACCCTCAATAAGTGACCTAGTGTGAAGGATGAATTTGAGGTTATCCATGACAGATGTCAAAACGCCACTAAATAAAAATAAATTTGTACTTACAAAAGACAACAGTTTTATAATGGGTGTATAAATATCCACATTGCTAACACCACTATCACTAGAACTCGCTGAATTTATTGATGTCACTAAATCAGTTACAGTCAACACAAAAAGAACTGCAGTCCCGAGCAACTTTGACACATTTACCCAGTTCCACGGAATATCACGTTTTTTGCTATGTAAAATATAATAAACTTCTAAACTCGAAAACGTCCACAAGAAAACACAAGGAATCCAAATCAGCACTGTCTTCTCGAAGCATTTTGTAACGTCTGGATCATTTGTGTGCCACGACAGCGACGAGTTCTAAAACAAAAAAAATCAACGGATAACGACAAACCCCAACGAACAAAAAAACCGCACACGTCTTTGTTGTAAACCAATTTGAGCGACACCGGCGCTTCATAACCTAATTTCATTCAACTAACACCCCGATTTTTATAGCACGAAAAATTCAATTCGCTAATTGGTAGACAACAAAGCCGTTTTAAGCGAACAGAATCGATAATTAACACTTTACTTACCCAAAATGTGGAGCCGCAAAACTTGTCCATCGAACTCTCCGCCATTTTTGCCCGGGAACTGCGCAGACGCTGTGGCAATCGAGGTGGTGAAACCGCTAAAATAAAAAAAAGTGAAAGAAACGATTTCGACTTGAGTGTTCCGGTCACTCAATAAAACGCCAGAAAAATCCAATTAAAGACGTTTTTTTAATAAACGAGAAGAATAATAATAGTGGAGTAGGTACAATGACGAGTCGGTTTTAGTGACTGACGCATGTGCACTACTCGCACAACTGTCAAATTAACTTGAAAGTGTTTGTTTTGGTGTTGAATTTCTTATTGATTACACGTTCAACATGACTTCGAACTCGTCCTCGTCGAAAAATGTGTTTTTAGATATCGATCCTACAATCGTCGAAAAAAATCTTCGCTTCACGGTACGTGGACTTGGGGGTTTTTTGCGATTTTTAGGTTAACTCGTGTTACAGGCGGACCCCAGCGAGGATGAGTTTAGTAAAATGTTTCAGCAGCCGGAGCAGTACCCCTCGAAACTTGTAAAACCCTTTCCTGGTAAGACGGACAATACGATGATTTATTATTTAAACTTAGAAAGTCGGCGAAATATACATCTGCATTTTTACGTTATCAACAAATTTGATTGATAAGCAAAAGTCATTCCACAACTGATAATAAAGTCATGAGTCATTATAAATCAAGGTTGAAACAATTATCTAAGAATAGTTGATAAATTGGAGTTGGTGATACACAACAATGTATTTAATTAGAACTACAGATAAACACTCCTTTTAATTGTTGTTATTGGGGACAATAAACGCGTTAATTTCTTGACTTGTTGTCGTTTTGGACAAGATTAACGAACTACCTGAAAATCGCGACCTCATTGTTAATAACACTTGAATTATCAAAAAATAAACCGGCAAGGACTTATTCAGAAGACGCTCTTTCGCAACGTCGTTTATTAAAAAAATCTGATGACGTCAACTTTACAGTTATTTAAATAAAACACAGGATCCGACCATGAGAAAACAATACTTGTTATTTTAAAGATTCACATTTCCTGTTGTACGTTTTTAAAAATTATATTATAACTAAACCTACACTTGACTTTTTGTTGACTTGTTCTCGTTGCTTAAATCTGAACAATTGCGTTCTGACTTTATGTTTTACGACGGCTTATCACCTAATCCACACACAATAGCAACTGAACTACTTATCTCTTAAATTTTTTTTTGAGTAAAAAATTTCACCTGACTGAAAACCTAAAAAACTTAGGAATGTAGCTGTAACCGGTTGTTGGAGACCCGAAGATGGGTTTTGTGCACACCCATATTCCTTTCTTTCACCTTTAAATTAAAAATAAATTGCATAACTGTGGAAACGTCAAGGTCGCTTACTATAAACAATTCTTAATTTTGGTGTTCAAGTTTATTTTAAATGGACAGAATCTTGCAAGTCGGATGTATTTATAAGAAACAGGTTTTGCGTGCTTCGCTCGTTGCGCCGAAAAAAATTTACACACTTTTCCGAATTTGTTTAATTTAGAGTCATACGGTCACTACGTGGAGTTAAATTCGGAGTTATGTAACGAATTCAGCTTGTGCAACAGATTAATAAGAGCAACCGTTGTTTCGGGGTACAAGTTATAATTACCTTTCTTTCCGCACTGATTGCAACACTTGAAAAATTTTCACACAAAGTTACCAGTTTTTTCGAAAATGTGACACTCAAAGGTATAGTTTTTGACTAATCGTCCGTGATTCTGACACCGAATTCACGTTTGGAAAAGAGCGCCTGTAATTTCGACCGCGCTTTACGCGCGTCACTACTTGACTGATGCTATCGGAATCGGACAATCTATTTATTTTAATTCATGTAATGTGCGAACACTAACCAGATAATACATAAACAATTAATACCATGAAAACATGTCCAATTAATTAATAATAACACAAGTGTTATTTTCATTATTAATTGCACAAGTTCTTCAGACTCATGTAGGTGTGATAAAACCGTAAAATCAATTTCGTATTTTAATAAACCTGAAATTACGCAACTTGTGGCAATTTTGTTACACTCTTATCACGAACGTGGCGTGCGAGTGTCTAAAATTCGAATATTGAATGAAAATGGGTAACGCTGAGGTGCTGAATTATATCAAGGCCTCGGTCACGCTCCTATTCATCACCTGTACAAACCCACTGATCGATTTTCAGTTTAGCGTAATTGTTGTTCGATCGGTGTTTTCGAAAAAAATTGTTTTGTTGTTACAATTTAGTAATTGAGTATGTAAATTCCACCCGTTTGGCTTGGGATCTCACTCCTATTTTTATTTAATCTTATCTATTGACTTTATGCAAACGTAACGCGATTGTTCAGCTAACGATAATGCGAAAAGTGATGTGTAACGCCAACCACCCTGTTCTAGAATATCGATTGTCAAGAGATAGTCGTTATATTTTAGGAAATGATTTATTGAGTCCGCTGTACGATACTCTGAGATCGCGATTTTGTTACTTCAGGATGCACACAATTATATAATAATTTATTCCGAGAAGATATTAAGTAAATAACTGAAAGTTTTTACTTTTGATGTTTATAAATTGACTCACACGTTATTATACATTAAAACATCAATACAATGTTTAAATTGCTGTGAAGCAACTATGTTGATGAGTGATGACGATGACTAAATTTATTGTCCTTGAGAAATTCCGCGTACCGTCAATTTTGGGGACTAGGATAACGCTGAATTGTAGTGATGTATATAATAGCCGTCGATTCGCACAGAATGTTACCTGTTTAACTCAGCAAAAAAAGAACACTAAGAATCCGACACGAATTTTGTTGTGTTGTCTTAAAAAATTCGGTCATTTATGGAAGAAGAAGAAAAGTTGTCTGTAAGACCATGGAATTTATTGTTTCAATAACAAGCGACGTCAGTTTTGGCAACATAATATTTTAAGTTTAAATTTCAGCGGTTACTAGACAACTTTTTTTTCATCACAACAAAGGTAATTAAATTCATGACGTAACAAAGATTTACGATTCACGGAACTACATGTACATATTTAAAAATTTAGCATCAAAGTGAACACAAGATTCATAAATGCACTGAAATATAAAATAATAAATATAATATGGTGAAACGCTGATCAAAATTTGCCTAATCATCCCCGCCAACAATGGGATGACGTCATCTACAAAATTTACAGTACTAAATGTTATTTAACTTTTATAAAGTAAACTACTCTTGTACGTGTCGTTTACTTCAAGAGGCACGGGAAGTTCTGTTTTGGTCTGGTTTTTTGCTGCTTTTGAGGACTTTAATTCGTGTTTTTGTGGCCTGTTTTTCTTGTCGCCCTCTTTTTTGACGTCTTTTTTTAAGGTTATTTTTTGTTCCTTTTTTTGTCGGAAATTTTTGCCCTTTTTATGGGATTTTATTTAGTCGCTTTTTTGGTCGTGTTTTTTGTTACCTTTTTTGTGTTTTTTCTTGTGGCATTTTTTACGCCTTTTCTCGACTTTTTTTGTAGTCTCTTTTTTGCCTGCCTTTATTTTCTCATTTTTTTAGCACTTTATGAACTTTTATTCATGTTTACTTTCCGAGCGTAAGCTAAGGAAGTATAGTAAACGAGTCCATCGGTCGAATTGCCACTTTCATATTTTCTTGATGTCTCATGACCTCTAGAGTACGAAAAAAGTGGTCTCTCGTTTCCGTTGTTTGATTTTCTTCCATTTTTCAGATTTTTGATATTTCAGTTGTGGCATTTTTCAGTATATCCATTTTTCAATTTTTTGGTTTATTTCAAATATTTCGATTTTTCAATTTTTAACTTTTCGATTTTGGCCTATTATAATTTTTCAATGTTTGAGTGTTTGAATTTTTCGATTTTCCAATTTCTCAATTTTTGGTCATTTCTGTTTTGGAACTTTTCAATTTCTCGATTTTTCAGTTTTTTAGTTAAGTATTAGATTTTTCGATTTTACAATTTTTCGAATTTTTGTTTGCTTTTTTAGTTTTTTGGTTTTATAATTATTAGATTTTACAAATTGAATTTCTCATTTTCTCGATTTAATGTTTCAATTTTGCGATTCTTCAGTTTTTGTTCTATTTTTCGGATTTTCGATATTTCAGTTCTGGCATTTTTCAGTATTTCGATTTTTTAATTTTTGGTTTATCGATTTTTTTTTTAATTTGAAATATTTCGATTTTTCAGTTTTTAAATTTTCGGTTTTGGCCTCTTTCGATTTCTCAGTTTTTCGGCATCTGGATTTTTCGATTCCTCGATCATTTGATGTTTCGATATCTCAACGTTTCAGTGTTTGAATTTTTCGGTTTTTCGACTTTTTGGCTTTCCAATTTTCGAATTTCTTAATTTTTCATCATTTCTGTTTTGGAATTTTTCAATTTCTCAATTTTTCCGTTTTTCGGTTTCTTGATTTTTTTATATGAATTTTAATTTTTCAATTTTTTAAATGAGTACTAGATTTTTCGATTTTTTGTTTGCTTTTTTAATTTTTTGGTTTTATAATTTTTAGATTTTACGATTTGTTTCTTGACATCTCGGCTTTTCGATTTATAGAATTTTACGATTTTTCGATTTCTGAAATTTGGGAACCTTTTAACTTCTGGATTTTTCAGTTTTTCGAGATTTTGATGTACGGACGGATTTTTCGTTTTTTCAATTTGTTTGATTTCTCATTTTCTCGACTTAATGTTTCAATTTTTCGATTGTTCAGTTTTTCTTCCATTTCTCGGATTTTCGATATTTCAGTTGTGGCAATTTTCAATATTTCAATTTTTTAATTTTTTGGTTTATCGATTTTTTTTTTTTTTTTTGATTCTAAATATTTCAATTTTTCAGTTTCTGAATTTTCGATTTTGGCCTCTTTCGATTTCTCAATTTTTCGACATCTGGACTTTTCGACTCCTCAATCATTTGATGTTTCGATTCTCAAGGTTTCAGTGTTTGAATTTTTCGATTTTCCGACTTTTTGGCTTTTCGATTTTCCAATTTCTCAATTTTTCGTCATTTCTGTTGTGGAATTTTTCAGCTCCTCGATTTTTCAGTTTTTCGGTTTCTTGATTTTTGGATATGAATTTTAATTTTTCAACTTTTTAAGTATTAGATTTTTCGGTTTTTCAATTTTTCGAATTTTTGTCTGCTTTTTAGTTTTTTGGTTTTGCAATTTTTAGATTTTACGATTTTTTGATTTCTAGATTTCTGAAGTTTGGGAACCTTTCAACTTCTGGAATTTTTTAATTTTTCGACATTTTGATGTTGGGACAGATTTTTCGTTTTTTCAATTTGTTTGATTTCTCATTTTCTCGATTTAATGTTTCAATTTTTCAATTCTTCAGTTTTTCTTCCATTATTCGGATTTTCGATATTTCAATTGTGGCATTTTTCAATATTTCGATTTTTTAATTTTTTGGTTTATCGATTTTCTTTTTAATTTTAAATATTTCGATTTTTCAGTTTCTAAATTTTCGATTTTGGCCTCTTTCGATTTCTTAATTTTTCGACATCTGGACTTTTCGACTCCTCGATCATTTGATGTTTCGATTCTCAAGGTTTCAGTGTTTGAATTTTTCGTCATTTCTGTTTTGGAATTTTTCAGCTCCTCGATTTTTCAGTTTTTCGGTTTCTTGATTTTTTGATATGAATTTTAATTTTTCAATTTTTTAAATGAGTATTAGATTTTTCGGTTTTTCCATTTTTCGAATTTTTGTCTGCTTTTTGGTTTTCTGGTTTTACAATTTTTAGATTTTACGATTTTTTGATTTTTAGATTTCTGAAGTTTGGGAACCTTTCAACTTCTGGAATTTTTGAATTTTTCGAGATTTTGATGTTTGGACAGATTTTTCGTTTTTTCAATTTATTTGATTTCACATTTTCTCGATTTGATGTTTCAATTTTTCGATTCTTCAGTTTTTCTTCCATTTTTCGGATTTTCGATATTTCAGTTGTGGAATTTTTCAGTATTTCGATTTTTCAATTTTTTAGTTTATCGAAATGAATATGAATTTTTAGATGAGTTTTTCAAAACTGAAATTGTCCATTATGTATTCGTATTAGGTACCCCTTATGCAAATTTAAACCCATTCTCGACGATTTTCGAAATTTAACTAAATACATATTCTTGTGGATTTTGGACCGTAGAAGTCACTTCTGGCCTCATTTCTTCGATAACTTAAACAGTTTTTCCAGAATCGTCCATTGAAATATCGCAATTTTTAAAAATTTCGAAAAAATCGAATTTCACACGGAATTTTCCGAAAATATTGCTTCGTTATCATCAACACGCTATATTTTTGGAATCAGCATGTCGAGATCTACGTCCCTGAATTTTTTCCGAATTTTTTGACAACTTTTTTAAAAGTGAAATTTTTCCAATGGTCCCCCCTTCTTCAAATTTCGGCAAATTTTTGACATTTTCGAAACTTAACTAAACACATTTTCTTGTAGATTTCGAGCTCTAGAACTTATTTCGGGCCTCGTTTCTTTGATATCTGCAACCGTTTTTCCGGAATCGACCGTTGAAATATCGAAATTTTTAGAAATTATAAAAAATTCCCATTTCGTACCGATTCTTTCGAAAATGTTGCTCCGTGACCATCAACACGCTATATTTTTGGAATCAGCATGTCGAGATCTACGCCCCTGAATTTTTTCGTGATTTTTAGACCACTTTTTTAAAAGTGAAATTTTTCCAATGGTCCCCCCTTCTTCAAATTTCGGCCAAATTTTGACATTTTCGAAACCTAACTAAATACATTTTCTTGTAGATTTCGAGCTCTAGAACTCACTTCGGGCCTCGTTTCTTTGATATCTGCAACCGTTTTTCCGGAATCGACCGTTTAAATATCGAAATTTTTAGAAATTTTAAAAAATTCCCATTTCGTACCGATTCTTTCGAAAATGTTGTCCGTGACCATCAACACACTATATTTTTGGAATCAACATGTCGAGATCTACGTCCCTGAATTTTTTCCGAATTTTTAGACAACTTTTTTAAAAGTGAAATTTTTCCAATGGTCCCCCCTTCTTCAAATTTCGGCAAATTTTTGACATTTTCGAAACTTAACTAAACACGTTTTCTTGTAGATTTCGAGCTCTAGAACTCACTTCGGGCCTCGTTTCTTTGATATCTGCAACCGTTTTTCCGGAATCGACCGTTGAAATATCGAAATTTTTAGAAATTATAAAAAATTCCCATTTCGTACCGATTCTTTCGAAAATGTTGCTCCGTGACCATCAACACACTATATTTTTGGAATCAGCATGTCGAGATCTACGCCCCTGAATTTTTTCGTGATTTTTAGACCACTTTTTTAAAAGTGAAATTTTTCCAATGGTCCCCCCTTCTTCAAATTTCGGCCAAATTTTGACATTTTCGAAACCTAACTAAATACATTTTCTTGTAGATTTCGAGCTCTAGAACTCAGTTCGGGCCTCGTTTCTTTGATATCTGCAACCGTTTTTCCGGAATCGACCGTTTAAATATCGAAATTTTTAGAAATTTTAAAAAATTCCCATTTCGTACCGATTCTTTCGAAAATGTTGTCCGTGACCATCAACACACTATATTTTTGGAATCAGCATGTCGAGATCTACGTCCCTGAATTTTTTCGTGATTTTTAGACAACTTTTTTAAAAGTGAAAATTTTCCAATGGTCCCCCCTTCTTCAAATTTCGGCCAAATTTTGACATTTTCGAAACTTAACTAAATACATTTTTCGGCAAATTTTTGACATTTTCGAAACTTAACTAAACACGTTTTCTTGTAGATTTCGAGCTCTAGAACTCACTTCGGGCCTCGTTTCTTTGATATCTGCAACCGTTTTTCCGGAATCGACCGTTGAAATATCGAAATTTTTAGAAATTATAAAAAATTCCCATTTCGTACCGATTCTTTCGAAAATGTTGCTCCGTGACCATCAACACACTATATTTTTGGAATCAGCATGTCGAGATCTACGTCCCTGAATTTTTTCGTGATTTTTAGACAACTTTTTTAAAAGTGAAATTTTTCCAATGGTCCCCCCTTCTTCAAATTTCGGCTAATTTTTGACATTTTCGAAACTTAACTAAATACATTTTCTTGTAGATTTCGAGCTCTAGAACTCACTTCGGGATTCGTTTCTTTGATATCTGCAACCGTTTTTCCGGAATCGACCGTTGAAATATCGAAATTTTTAGAAATTTTCAAAATTCGCATTTTATACCCATTCTTTCGAAAATGTTGTCCGTGATCATCAACACACTATATTTTTGGAGTCAGCATGTCGAGATTTACGTCCCTGAATTTTTCCCGAATTTTTAGAAAACTTTTTTAAAAGTGAATTTTTTCCAATGGTAGAAATATAAACATAAACAACCGAAGTTAGGATGTCCTGAGAAAACATTTTTCCTGTTAGTTATCTGCTTTTTTTTTATTGACAAGGATCGATGAACAGAAATGATAATACTTCGCAAATCGCAACTGAGATAAAAAAAAAATTAAAACGCTTTAGTGAAATGACCTTAAGATATCTGATGATAAGTGAAGGCTCCTGCATCATAAAACGATAAAATCTAGCTTGTGGACTTTTGGAGTTATCAAATACAATTATCTTGCTTTTTCATAGTAACATAAGCACACTCCAAGGTGTTATCTCACCGATTTAAACTATAACAATAAGTGCACTACAGCGTGCACTCTTATCAGTATTAGGGATGATGAGCGAAAAAACCAATACTGTCGGTGTGCTTTAATTTACGATAATCTATTTTTGTAAATAGAATAAACACTCATTTTATTGTACGAGTATAAGTCAAACTCTTCTCTATTCGTTTCTAGGATTCTGCATCAAAACCCGAGAAGTCGGTTCCGACTCAAAATTCTTCGTAAATATTTGCCACACTGACGCAATTCCGCCACCGAAAGACATAACCGAAAAAGAGCTCGCCAATATTCTAGAATCAGATGACATCGCGGACTACAGAGTACCGATGAGCATCGGTGATGTTCGCACCGAAACCGACAAAAAAGGGGAAGAAGCCCGGGTTTCCGACGTCGCTATACACCCCGATTTTTTCCAGAAAATAGAACGAAGCGTGTTATTCAAAAATTTCTTCATCACGATTGTGTTCGAGGGGTTGAAAGATAAGCACGGGATTATCACCCACGACGATAAAATAATTTTGAAAAATAGGAAAGCGTTCGGGACGTTGCAGGTGCACAGGATACAGCAACGGGAGATAAATGAGAAAATGAAAAACGTGAGTGGTGCCTCAATAATTGAGGATAGTACGAAGAGGAAGCCTTTGATTGAAACGATTTCGAGTGGCGAAATTCCGTGTAGAAGCCCCGAGTACAAACTATTTAGGCGAAGAGCGCAACCGAATTGTCTGATTGGAGAATTTAAATTCCCCGACGTTGTAAGACTTGTAAATATTTGTTCACGCGTTTTTGTACGTTTTATTAATGTTTCAGATTTCAACTAAAGAGCTCACGCTAGATGTGGGTGAAGATAGAATTGTTATAGAGTCGACCTCAAAACATTATTTACTTGATATATTTGTTCCCCTTGTTATTAGACAATCGTCTTGTACGTCCATTTTCAACAAATCTACAAAGGTAAGTAATTGAAGTCGATCGTTTCTCAATATTTATATTTTGTTTTAGATTTTAACGGTAACAATGCCCCTGGTTGGAGGCTAAATCTCACTTAAATTTATAAGGAATACAGTGGTTACTTAAATGTATATAAATTCAGTTACAATATAAAAAATTGATTATGACTATGGCATCTGAATTGTTGTTTAAATTTCAGTTATCACAAGCTTTCTTGATTTGCCGCACTACGAACACTATGTTTTATTATCGTATAGTTTGAGCATAAATTCAGCGAATACTTGAAAAAGTTTGTGTAAATGCATTGACTGATATGTACTTAAAAGTGTAGTGTAGATTGTCTCTCTTTAGAAAAAAGTACTCATTAAACAAAAAAAAAACAATCTCGCTGTACTTTATTCTAAAGCGACATAGCATGCAAATATCCCGAGATTCCGATAATCAGATCTACATGATGAGCAGTAAAACGAACACTATTTATTGCTTTTAAAGCCACGAAACGAAACAATAAATTAACAATTTGATTGAATTAATTCACTACTATTAAATCAAGATCAAAAAATCACCGCTATGAAAATAACTACACATCAACAGCCACTATCAAATCTCCGTGAAAAACGTCGGTCTTTCAATTTTCAAATATCTAAAAAGCTGCGGAATGAGATAGAGGGCGTTGAAGCCGATCATGCCACAAGTGATATATTTGCACCCCAATTCGACAATCGTCTTGTGTTTATTGCTTAACGAATTGACCGATTTTTTCAAAACGTCGGCGTCCTCTCTCAATAAAGCACAAATGAAGTTGTAGGACGCGCTTTTCGATATTGCTCTCGTGAGTAACACTAACGCGAAACCGATTATCGTACGTAAAATCGTACAACCTAACATGGTATACGAAGGCCACATTATTGCATAAGGCGGTGTTAAGTCTGAAGACGTCATTATTCCGAGTTGGTAGTTCAGCCATGCTCCGACGTGGATTCCGACGCAGACGGAAAGGATCATCGCTGTATCACCTCTGGAAAGTCACAAATTAGTTGATAAGTTTGGGGGTGGAGGAAAGGTACCTTGTTGGTGTCCATTTACCGCTATTTGGGTAGTACACAATCATGAGGATTGATGCAACCAATAGCAAGAAGGGAGAAGTGGGGTCGGTTAGTAAATAATTGTCCAAGTAGTCGACGACGGGCACGAGTGGGGTCATGATGCCTATAGCCAACGCCAATCCAACGATGATGTCCTGCAAGAAAACTTTTTGTAATTTTTGGAATAATTTTGTCATTGTTTTGGAATATTTTGATATCAAATGAAGCACAACTCATATTTAATTTTTTTTTTTTCAGAAGGGATAAATTTTAGTTGCTATATAATATCTAAAATAAAATGAGTAATTGAAATTAAAAAAAAAAAAAAAAAAAAAACTCAGGCGGCAGCTCTTTGTGCAGGTGGCTGCCTGGCTACAAGTCATAAATTAGTGGAACGCCCTATTTTGCATTTTGTGCAATCTCGAGATCATATGTCTCAACAAACGGTCAGTCGAAGACGAAATCGTATTTTTGTAATAACCAAATTAAAAACAAATAAATTTTATTTTCCGTTATATTTAGATCAGAAGGGGTCCCTTAACTTCCGGTGATGGTTCAGCATCACAAGCATATCCGTATAAAATGTTGATGTTTATACATCGGAAGAATGTCATGTAGATATTTGTTTGATTGGAATGAGTATATCGCCTCAAAATAGACTAAAATTATCCATAAACAAAATATTTTGAATGTTATTTTGATCAATAATAAATTGACCGATTCATTAATTTTTTTGAGTCACCCTGTATAAGCAAATCTCCACGTTTAAAATGTTCGCAGTTAATTTTAAGTGTTATTTTTTATGAATTTGAAAAAGTCTTGGGTGCCGGAGGTTTGGTGTACAATTTTTGGAAAATTCTGACATGATCTGTTTGGGATCCCATTTTTTTTTTTTGAAAAATTTAAAACAATCTTGAGGTTCTAGGTATTCCTTTTTGGAAAGAATTTGAAAGTGCTTTGGAGCTTCTAGTGTCTTTTCCTATAAAAATTTAATTAAATTTCTTAGGGGATATGTCATTTGCCAAAATCAGTTTTATCTTAACATGTACTAGCACCGCCCACCCACCCTCTCTTTCCTTAGAGGCTCTATTTTTTAATTTTTCGTTTTGTCAATTATTCAAGTTCTTGGTTTTTATTGTTCATTTTCCTAATGTTTTAGGTTTCATTTCCTTTATTTTTTGAGTGTTTCTTTCGATTTTATAATTTTGCATTTACTCAATTTGTCAAATTTTCATTCTTTGATTTTTAGATTTTCCAGTTTTCCCAATTTTTAAATTTTTCAATTTCTATTCGATTTTCTGATTTCTTTAATTTTCAATATTTCGATTTTGCATTTTTTTTTTTTCGATTTTGCACGTTTAGATTTTTAAGTTTCTCAATTTTTAACCATTCGTTTCTTCAAATTTCCAAGTTCTTGATTTCCAGTGCTTACATTTTTCAGAGTTTGTATTTTATATTTCTTCGTTTTTTTGATTCGAAAAAAATTGTTGAAAAATCTAAACAAACTGAAAAATCGAAATTTGCAAAAGCAAAAAATTGCAAATTGAAAAAAATTAATGAATCGAAAAATTTGGAAACTGAAAAATTGTAAAGTTGAAAAACTGTAAAACTGAAAGATCGAAAAAGTTTTAAGTGAAAACTAGAAAAACTGAAGAAACGAAAAATTGAAAAATCGAAAGTCTGAAAACCGAAAAATTGAAAAATCGAAATACTGAAAATCGAAAATCTCATTTGCCAAAATCACTCTTACCTTAGCAGCAACTAGCCCCGCCCACCCGCCCTCTATTCTTTTAGAGGGATTTCATTTGCCAAAATCAGTCATCCTAGAAGATACTAGCCCCGCCCACCCGTCTTCTATTTTTTTAGAGGGATCTCATTTGCCACAATCAGTCATCCTAGAAGACACTAGTCCCGCCCACCCACCCTCTCTTTTCTTAAAGGGTATGTGATTTGCCAAAATCAGTCTTATCCTAGCTAGTGGCTGCTAAGATAAAACTGAGTTTGGCAAAAGATATATCCTCTAAGAAAAGAGAGAGTGGGTAGAGCTAATAGCTGCTAAGACTGATATTGGCAGATGAGATAGCTTCTAAGAAAAGAGAGGGTGGGTGGGCGGGGCTAGAGTATCTTCTAGGATAAGACTGATTTTGGCAAATCTTCTTCTTCTCTTTTCTTAGAAGGGATCTCATTTGCCAAAATCAGTCATCATACTCGTAGAAGACACTAGCCCCGCCCACCCACCCTCTCTTTTCTTAGAGGGTATGTGATTTGCCAAAAGATATATCCTCTCAGAAAAGAGAGGGTGGGTGGAGCTAATAGCTGCTAAGACTGATATTGGCAGATGAGATAGCTTCTAAGAAAAGAGAGGGTGGGTGGGCGGGGCTAGTATCTTCTAGGATAAGACTGATTTTGGCAAATCTTCTTGTTCTCTTTTCTTAGAAGGGATCTCATTTGCCAAAATCAGTCATCATAGAAGACACTAGCCCCGCCCACCCACCCTCTCTTTTCTTAGAGGGTATGTGATTTGCCAAAATCAGTCTTATCCCAGCTAGTAGCTGCTAAGATCAAACTGAGTTTGGCAAAAGATATATCCTCTAAGAAAAGAGAGGGTGGATGGAGCTAATTAATAGCTGCTAAGACTGATATTGGCAGATGAGATAGCTTCTAAGAAAAGAGAGGATGGGTGGGCGGGGCTAGTATATTCTAGGATAGGACTGATTTTGGGAAATCTTCTTCTCTTTTCTTAGAAGGGATCTCATTTGCCAAAATCAGTCATCATAGAAGACACTAGCCCCGCCCACTCACCCTCTCTTTTCTTAGAGGGTATGTGATTTGCCAAAATCAGTCTTATCCTAGCTAGTAGCTGCTAAGATAAAACTGATTTTGGCAAATGATATATCCTATAAGAAAAGAGAGGGTGGGCGGGCGGGGCTAGTATCGTCTAGGATAAGACTGATTTTGGCAAATCTTCTTCTTCTCTTTTCTTAGAAGGGATCTCATTTGCCAAAATCAGTCTTATTCTAGAAGATACTAGCCCCGCCCACCCACCCTATCTTTTCTTAGAAGATATTTCCTTTGCCAAAATTGGTCTTATCCTAGAAGACACTAAGCCCGCCCATCCACCCTCTATTTTCTTAGAGGGTACGTCATTTGCCAAAATCAGTCTTATCATAGAAAATACTAGCCCCGCCCACCCACCCTCTCTTTTCTTAGAAGATATTTCCTTTGCCAAAATTGGTCTTATCCTAGAAGATACTAAGCCCGCCCATCCACCCTCTATTTTCTTAGAGGATACGTCATTTGCCAAAATCAGTCTTACCATAGAAAATACTAGCCCCGCCCACCCACCCTCTCTTTTCTTAGAAGGTATCTCATCTGTCAAAATCAGTCTTATCCTAGCTAGTAACTGCTAAAATAAAACTGATTTTGGCAAATGAAATACCTTCTAAGAAAAGAGAGGGTTGATGGGCGGGCTAGTAGCTGATAATATAAGACAAAATTTTGCCGAATAAATCCCATCTAAATTGTACAAAATATGGTGAGTCTCTTCTTGTGATTTATCATTCCATTCATATTTTTCGGATTTGCATATACAGGGTGACTCAAAAAAAAAATAATGAAAGCGTGAATTTATTTTATTGATTTAACCAGGAACTACAAAACCGAATCCTTTGAAATCTTGGAGATGTTTTAAGGTTATCACAAGCATGGTAAATTTTTGATGAAAATGAATTTGCTCATCCCCCCTAAAAAATTGATGACGTCACCTCAAAATTTTGCTGAATAAATCGTATCTTAAATGTGCAAAGTATGAGTCAATACTTGTGATTTATCACTGAATTAATGTTTTTTTGATTTACTTATAGGGGGTGTCTCAACAAAATTAATGACGTCATCAACATTTTTGCAAGCACACGTATATCAACTTGGATTGGTGCGCTGTAATACTAAAAGTAACAGTATTGTATTCCCAAAATTTGCTATGAGAAAGGAGTGAGCCGTTCCTGATCTATCAATAAAATAAAATGACTCATTCATTCATTTTTTGAGCCACCTGTTTAAGTAAATTGTGGTGACCGAATTCGAATTAAAATTTCGCGCTGAACTTAATTAACAGCGGCGCGAAATCACATCTGAATAATTTGAATTTGAAAAAAAATCAATCTAAAAAATCGTTAAACATAGGCAACCATGTGCACGTTCACGCTTTTTGGCTAGTTGGTAGCTCGCTAGGGGATTCTAGTGAGAGGGTTTTTTAACTTTGATGATTTATTAATTAGAACAGCGGACAGTCGGTTTATGAGTTTTATTAACAAATAACAAGTGTGTGCTAGAATAAAAATAGAATATGATCATTAGGTCCACAAATGAATATAGAGTGAATGTTGAGCGCTTGAAGAATGAATGAATATTGACTGACGGAGTTATGATGAATGAATGCGTTTAGAATTATGAATTCATGCTACCCAAAGTTCCAAAGTGGGGCCTTACGGGTGGAGAGGGGTGAAACAGGTTCCCGCCAGACGCACTAACAGCGTCACTTTTGGTATATGTGTTGTGAGTGTAACCACGTGGTGAGTAGGTTAAATTAGTTGGCTTGGTGGTTAATAAAAAAAAGAAAGCCTTTGTTTAACGACAATTAATCGTAACAATGACGACGCCACAGTTTCCCCAACGCGTGTACCTAATTCTTGCGGCTTTCTAATCGGGAACACGTGAAAATTTAATTCATTGTTTGTAAATTCACAGATCAGGTTAGGATTTTAATCGTTAACTGGCGCTAACACAATTTAACAGACATTAGATTTATTTAAATAAATGCTTCCAGGAAAATTTCATGAAATTCACTGAGTCAGAACTCGTTTGATTGAAGTGAAAAAAAAAATTGTCTAATTACGAATAAGTTTCGTAAGCATTCGGTTTTACAGATTCCAAATTAAATTGCAGAATGTTGTTTCACAATTTTCATTTTTTTTTTTCCAACAATCTGGACGTTTCGGGTAAAAACTCAACACGGATTCATAAACTACACGTGTAGAACTATGTTATTTTATACAATTTAAAACCCATTTACTATGTACAATTTTGAAGTGACGTCATCACATTATTATTGGGGATGATCAGACAAATTTTGGTTAGCGTTTCGCCATCTATATGATATTCCTCATATAAATATAAAATTTGACAACAATCGGCCCAGTACTTTCGGAGATTATCTGTCTAATAAAAATCGGGACGGCAGACAGACGACAACGTAAAAACAAAAATATACAGAACAACACTTATAAAGTTTGACTGGAAATGGACACCTGCACATTAAAGTTGATAACCCAGCCCATAATGGCCCTGTTATCACTACATGTAATCACAAGAAATTTTAAAATCGCGTCATACATTCGCGATTAGTGAATTAGTTGGAATTGATTAAATATGAGTCACAAAATCAGCCCACCTTACTAAATATAATCACAAAAATTTAATCTATGAAAAAATAGTTACCAAAACTGAGTGCATGCCCAAGTAGAGTCGACTTAAACAAATAACAGAGCACCATATTATTGCAATAACCAACCCCAGTGGAATGTTGTACTGGTAGCGATTTACGGTACACAGAAGAAACGAAAACGGGAACGCGACGGCTACCATCGCATGGGTGGAAGGCATTCCATATTCCAGCGACCATTTACTTTGTAGTCGGACGACAGGGGGACCTGGTCTAGGCCAGCGCAGAATATCTTTAATAGCTTGACCTACAAGTCATACATAAACACACGAAGTGTGGCCATTTTTTCATTACCTATATACATCACGATGGTCCAAATTAAAACAACCCTTCTCCCTACAGCACCATCAATGTTCCAGAACCAAAACGGAATGAAACTTGAATAAAACGTTTCATCGCCAAGCGCGGTTCCAAAAACAAATAAATAGTACCAAAACTTATTAGCTATCACATACTTTTTTCCACTTGATTCACTACTATCACTGTTGTCTGGACTCTTCTCGGGGTTGGTGATAACCCCAAAGTAAGTTTGAATTTTCGCCACTAATTCGGGTTCCTTTAAATAAGACATATTTAATAACGAATTTAATGCCACTTTTTCGTTGAAATATAAAAATATTAAGGAAATATTAAAGCGAATTTGTTTGACTTTTGACAAAATGCGGTAATCGGAACATCGGCATTTGTTTTATGCAGTTGTGCGTCGGCCGACTTCGATGTTTTTCGTGTTGGTTAAACGTGGTCAAAAGTGGGTCAAGATAATAAAGTCGATACAAATATAATAAAGCAGTTTGTGTTGATTCCGGAAAGTAAATAATTATTTAAGACGTGATTACACTCATCCGCATTTTTGGAATTTTTTTACAAAAAGACGCATCGCGGGATTGCGTACTTTTGTTATCCCGGCGGTGACAACTCCGTTTGACGGTTGACAGTTTTCCTGTGAAAAATCAATATTTTCATGATTTTTGCTCCGATTTTCGTATATGTGTTATAATTGAATCATTTTCAGACATTATATGAGTTCTAAGTGACAATGAAATGGATGTCCAAATTCTGGATATATTGTGGTTATATTTCCGTTTGTTTACTACTAAATGCACTAGCGGAATTAGGTAACCCCTACGAAATTCTGGGTGTACATAGAAAGGCGAGTCAAGTGGAAATAAGAAAAGCCTACAAACAACTAGCGAAAGAATGGTAAGAAACGATTTTGCAGACCCATTAGAACCCTCACCCACTCTTGTCAGGCACCCGGACAAAACCAAGGACCCATCAGCTGAGGAGCGCTTCGTCAGCATCAAACAAGCTTACGAGTTGTTATCCGACCCGGAACGCAGAAAAAAGTACGACGATAAAGGAATAACAGAGGATGATTTTTACAACAAACCTGAGCACCCCCCTTTCCAAACCAATAACGCTTTTGACGACATTTTCGGCTCCCACGGGGCTCATTTCAACTTTCAGGAGAACGACATAACGTTTTTTCACAAGTTGTCGATAACTGCGAGGTACCGTGGTCACGATTTATTAAATCAATTACAATTTTCGTTGCAGGCAATATGACAAATTAATTGTTCCAAAGAGCGAGAAGACGCCTCATTTAATATTTTTTTACACTGATTGGTGTTTCGCTTGCCTTCAAACTGCTCCATACTGCCGCAAATTGATCGACAAATTGGAACCATTGGGTGTGAATTTTGTGACCGTTCATTCAGGGAAAGAGTCGCTGCTAGCAAGGCGCCTTAATATACATAGTATACCGTGCATTGTGTTAGTGCTTGATGGAAACGTGTTTGTTTACAAAGAGACAATTACTAGTGTTCAGAAGATTATTGGTGAGTCTTGAAAAAGACTAGTTTTGTGTTATAGTATTGATTTTGGGTTGTAGAATTTCTTAGGAATAAGTTGCCATATAAACTCGTTCCGAAATTGAAGAATGACGATGTGGGGGAGTTTTTGAATGGTTGGGAGGATAATAGAGTGCGCGGGTTGATTTTTGAACCACGACAAATCACGCGGTTGCGGTATATAGTCACTGCCTACCATTTCAGACATAGGGTTGCCTTTGGGTACGTTTTTGATTGAATTTTTAAATTAATTAATTTATTATTTTTTTTAAGCTTTGTAGATTCTCAAGAAATCAGGCGCAAGTATCAGGTTCCACAAGACATGGACACGGTGTTGCTTTTCAACGAGAACACTTCCTCCCCCATGGCTAGTTTGTCAATGAAAGACATACCGACTTCCACTTTGCACCATATTGTGTCCTCAAATCAGTACCTTGCACTTCCAAGGTTGTCTTCTCAGGTAGTCCACATTTCTGTGTCCATTCCCAACTTATTAACTCGTTCTTCATAGGAAGTTTTAGATGCTTTATGTCCCTGTGAGTGGAACAAACCCCGCAAGCGCTTGTGCGTCGTTCTGGTGACTAAAACCTCCTCCAGTCACGATCCTCACCGCCAATCTTTCAGAATTTACGCACAAAACTCGCCCTACAACACCGAGAAAGTGCGCTTTGCGTACATCTACCACGACAAGCAAGCGGAGTTCGTGAATTCTTTAATTCCAGGTAGCGTTCGTTAATTTCTGTGTCTTTTCTACAATTTATTTTTTCAGAAGGCGAGTTTGTGGAACCGCTGCTGCGGATTGTGATTCTGTGGCGCAGAGACACGTCGCACATCAAGTACGAGTGGATAACTGACAAGTGGGAGTGGGAGACGAATTTGAATCAGACTACGCAAAAATTGGACAGCACGATTAGCAGGTTGCTGCGATCGAGTGAAGCTTTGACGTATGAAGCGTTCGTTAACGATTTGTTTGACGAGCACGCGAAGGGGATCATTGGACGGATTGTCGCACGAGTTAGGACTTTCCTTGAGTCGATTTATGACGATTTAGGCAAGGACCAGATTCTACCAGCCTTGTCTATTATTGGAACGATTATTTTTATACTGGCGGTTGGATATTTTATGGCGTATTTAGTGTGAGTATTTTCTTTTGTGTTTGTTGCGTCATGTAGTTGTTAAAAAAGCGTAAAATAGTTGTGTGGGTTCGTTTATGGAAACTGTATTGTTGTTAAGATTGGGTCATTGTACACTGTAACGGTGTTTATGTCGCGGGAAGTAGCTCAAGGAAGGTTGGAGGTCTGTTGTTATTGACCTGTCTGAAAGTTTAAAATTTTGGAAGCTAAGATTGTTCCCGTCGTTCCAAATGTTGTGGTTAAAGATTAAATGCGTCGTAATATGAGGTTTGATAAAGCCGCTGATCCGGCTCGAAGGACCATAAGTTGAATGTTATAGCTCAGGATGAATTTGACTTTGATTTTGAGTAATTAATAAGAATTTGCTACCTGAAGTCACCGCACTACTTTAAGAAAGTCGAATTTAAGTATACTGTGGTAAAGTAGGTACTTAGATCCAACGGGTTTCTTTGGGGATAGTACTCAACAATTACCATGAAGATAGTAAATCGTTAATTTTTTATCACTCCAAAAACGATGACTTCACTTAAAATTTTTAAGATAAATTTTTCTTAAAAAATTACGGATGGTCTACGTTTGTGGTTTCTAATGTATTCATTTTTTTGCACATTTTTCTGTTTTTTTTTCTGTTCCCCTTTATTGTCCCCCGTTTTACCCCTTTTATTTGTGTCTTTTTTTCGCATTTTTGTCCAATATTTTTCGTCTTTTTTGTCTCCCTTTTTTTGTGGACTTTTTTCGCGTTTTTTTTTTCCGCCGTTTTGCAGCATTTTGTTGACTTTGTCGGGTCTTCATAGTGGCTATTTTTGCTGCCTCTTTTTTTGTCGGATTTTTTTATCGTCTTTGTGCGGATTTTTTTTTTTTCTCTTTTTTTCTTGTTCCTTTTCCCATTTTCTGTTTGTTATTTATCGCCAATATTTCGTCCCATTTTTGACCCTTTTTTTCGCCTTTTTCAACTTTAATTGTCACCTTTTTGTCGGATATTTTTCACCTTTTTTTTTTGTTGGATTTTCTTTAGTCGCCTTTTTTTGTTGACTTTTTGTCGCTTTTCTTGGCGCTTTTTACGCCTCTTTTCCGCTTTTTTTCTCCCCTTTTTTTTGTCCCCTCTGTCGGAAATTTTTTACTTGTGTTTTTTTATCCCTTTCTTTGTCGGAACATTTATCCCCTTTTTGTGGGATATTTTGGCCTATTTTTATCTAATTTTATTTAGTGGACTTTTTCTACCTCCTTTTTTTGTTCCCTCTTTGTCGGATATTTTTTGCTTTTTTTTTACCCCTTTTCTGACACCTTTTGTCGCCTTTGCACATTTTAGATAGGATTTATTCGGCCAAATTTTGAGCTGACGTCCAGTGCCGAAACTAGCTATAGGCCAAGTAGGCCCTTGCCTAGGGGCGCCAACGACAAGGGGCGCCAAATTCGTCCAAAAATTATGTTGTATAGTTTTGGAAATTTCATTGTACCCTATAAAATTTTATTGGCAATAACGAGACGGACAGTAGTACAATAGCAAGAGATATTTACAACTTAAGTTGTCAGGTGTCGGTAATCCCCAGATGATGGAAACCAGAATAATCCAGGTCCTAGCAGGGACCATCGTTACTTATGAACGGAAATGACCATTATTTTATGAGTATAACTACCTGCCAAATGTTCTCAGACAAATTCGAGTGAAATGGTGTGAGCCATAAATATTTCTTACCATTGTACTACTGTCCGTCTCGTTATCGTCAATAAAATTATATAGGGTAGAATGAAATTTCCAAAACTATACTAAGAATTATGTCATATTAATTTTTTTTTTTTTTGAACGGAAGCTCAGAAACATGTAACCGGTGCGACAGGTTTTTGAATGTTTATTTTATTTTGAACTTACATAATATTTATAGATTTATACATATTATATGTATACCTACATGTATAATCTTGAATTTTTTTTCTTTTTTTTTATATTTTATCATAGTATCTGTTTTGCATACTTAAAAAATATAAATAAAACTGTTCTGTAAAATTGGGGGGGCGCATAACGCAAGGTTCGCCTATACCTAAATATTCTTTGGTTTCGGCACTGCTGACGTCATCAATTTTTTGGAAGGGATAAGCAAATATGTATACCGAGTGTCTGGAAAATAGCGGATTAACTCTTCAGTACGTTATGTACGAGGGTTTCGGGAGTTGCAAAAATAGTGACTGAAATCCACCTTTTAAGGACAACAAACATAAACTGATTTTAGAAACTACTAGCCCCGCCCACCCACCCTCACTTTTCTTAGAGAATATGTCATTTGCCAAAATCGATCTTATCTTAGAAGGTACTAACCCCGCCCACACACCCACATCCACTTAAAGGGATCTCATTTGCCAAAATCAGTCTTATCCTAGCAGGTACTAGCCTGCCCACCTATCCTCTCTTTTTTTTAGAAGGTATCTCATTGTCCAAAATCATTCTTATCTCAGCAGGAACTAGTCCCGCCCACCCGCCCTCTCTTTTCTTAGAAAGTATCTCATTTGCCAAAGTCACTCTTATCTTAGCAAGATCTAGCCCCGCCCACCCACCCTTTCTTTTCTTAGAGGCTATATCATTTGCCAAAATCACTCTTATGTTAGCAGGATCTAGCCCCGCCCACCCACCATCTCTTTTCTTAGAGGATATGTCATTTGCCAAAATCACTCTTATCTTAGCAAGATTTAGCCCCGCCCACCCACCCTCTCTTTTCTTAGCGGATGTCATTTGCCAAAATCAGTCTTATCCTAGCTAGTAGCTGCTAAAATGAAACTGATTTTGGCAAATAACATTCCTTCTAAGAAAAGAGAGGGTGGGCGGGCGGGGCTAGTCGCAGCTAAGATAAGACTGATTTTGGCAAATGAGGTCCCTTCCAAGAAAATGAGGGTGGGTGGACGGGATTAGTACCTGGTAAAATAAGATCGATTTTGGCAAATAACATACTCTGTAAGAAAAGAGAGGGTGGGTGGGCGGGGCTAGTATCTATTAAGACTAATTTTGACAAATGACATATTCTTTAAGAAAAGAGACGGCGAGTGGGCGGGGCTAATATTTCTTAAGATAAGGCTGATTTTGATAAACGACTGAACAATATTACGCGTAATCACTGGAATGAAGAGGGGGTGGGTGGATGGGGCTATTGCTTGCTGATAAAAGACTGTAAGAAACAGTTAAACTTAGCCCCGCCCACCCACCCATTCTCTTGTTTTTTCTTCTAAAATAAGAAATAAATTTTATATCAAGTAGTATAACAAAAAATTACGATTAGCGCTTTTTTTTAACAGCCTACATTTTATTAGTTCGCATTCTCGCTCTACAAAAAAAAAGAACATATAATTAACCCCGCCTTCATTTACACTGATTCATTTTATCTGGTTCGAATGAAAGGTGGGTCTCATACTGAACAGAAATAAAATCGTTAGAATGAAAACTGCGCGCGTGGGCGGGACTAGTACCTGCTAAGATAAGACTAACTTTGGTAAATGACTTACCCTTTAAGAAAATAAGGAGGGGTGTGGGAGGGGCTAATATTTGCTAAGATAAGACTGACTGGAAAATTACATACTCTCTAACAAAATAGAGGAAGGGTGGGCGGGGTTAGTATTTCTTAAGATATGGCTGATTTTGTTAAGTGACTGAACAATTTGAAGAGTAATCACTGGAATAAAGACGGGGTGGGTGAGCGGGGCTATTGCTTGCAAATAAATGACTGTAGGAAAAAACTTTTTTCGCACCTGTTTTTTTTTTGTTGCCCCTTTTATTTAACGCTATTTTTTGGTGTTTTTTTTTTTGGCACATTTTGGTCCACAAAATTTTTTTAGTCACCTTTATTTGGTGGACTTTCTGTCATGTTTATTGTCGCCTTTTTTGGCCCCCTTTCCATCGCATTTATTGTCGAACAATTTTCATCCTTTTTCGTCTCTCTTTTTTGTGGAATGTTTGTTCGTTTTTCTTGTCCCTCTTTACGCTTTTTTATCCGTACTTTTTTATCGCTTTTTTTCCTGTTCCCCTTTGTTGTCCCCCGTTTTATCCCCATTATTTCTTTTAGGTGTCTTTTTTGCATTTTTGTCGGATTTTTTTCGCCTGTTTTTTTTTTATTCCCTTTTTTGACTTCTGTGAACTTTTTTCGTGTTTTTTTGTAGATTTTTTGTTTTTTTTGTCGCCTCTTTTTTCACCTCTTCTTTTGAAGGCATTTTCCCCCTTTTTTTATCGTTTTTTTTTTTTATGAGATATTTTCCGCCATTTTGCAGCGTTTTGTTGACTTTGTAGGGTCTTCATAGTCGCTTTTTTTGTGTCTCCTTTTTTTGTCGGATATTTTGGGCGATTGTGATAGGATTTTATTGAGGCCTATTTTTTGGACTTTTTGCTGCCTCTTTTTTTGTCGGATTTTTTTTATCATATTTTTTGCGATTTTTTTTTTTTGTCTTTTTTTCTTGTTCCTTTTCCCATTTTCTGTTTGTTATTTATCGCCAATATTTGGTCCCATTTTTGACCCTTTTTTACCCCTTTTTCAACTTTAATTGTCACCTTTTTGTCGGATATTTTTCACCTTTTTTTGTTGGATTTTCTTTAGTCGCCTTTTTTTGTTGACTTTGGCGCTTTTTGCACCTCTTTTCCGCTTTTTTTCTCCCCCTTTTTTGTTCCCTCTTTGTCCGAAATTTTTTACGTGTGTTTTTTTACCCCTTTTTGTCAGAATATTTATCCTCTTTTTTTGACATCTTTTGTCGCCTTTTTTGTGTTTTCTTATTTATATAGCATTTTTTGTGGGATATTTGTGCCTTGTTTTATCTTATTTTATTTAGTGACCTTTTTTCTCCCTCCTTTTTTTGTTCCCTCTTTGTCGGATATTTTTTGCTTTTTTTCCCCCTTTTTTGACACCTTTTGTCGCCTTTGGACATTTTAGATAGGATTTATTCGGCCAAATTTTGACCTTACGTTATCAATTTTTTGGAGGAGATAAGCAAATATACCATACAAAAATAGTGACCGAAATCCACCTTTTTAGGACAACAAACATAAACTGATTTTAGAAACTACTAGCCCCGCCCACCCATCCTCACTTTTCTTAGAGAATATGTCATTTGCCAAAATCGATCTTATCTTAGCAGGTACTGACCCCGCCCACCTAACCTCTCTTTTCTTAGACGGTATCTCATTTTCCAAAATCACTCTTATCTTAGCAGGAACTAGCCCCGCCCACCCGCCCTCTCTTTTCTTAGAGGGTATCTCATTTGCCAAAATCATTCTTATCTTAGCAGGATCTAGCCCCGCCCACCCACCCTCTCTTTTCTTAGAGGATATGTCATTTGCCAAAATCACTCTTATCGTAGCAAAATCTAGCCCCGCCCACCCACCCTCTCTTTTCGTAGAGGCTATGTCTTTTGCCAAAATCAGTCTTATCCTAGCTACCAGCTGCTAAAATAAAACTGATTTTGGCAAATGACATACCTTCTAAGAAAAGAGAGGGTGGGCGGGCGGGGCCAGTACCTGCTAAGATAAGACTGATGTTGGCAAATGAGGTCCCTTCTAAGAAAATGAGGGTGGGTGGGCGGGGTTAGTACCTGCTAAAATAAGATCGATTTTGGCAGATGACATACCCTGTAATAAAAGAGAGGGTGGGTGGGCGGGGCTAGTACCTGCTAAGATAAGAGTGATTTTGGCAAATGATATTCTTTAAGAAAAGAGAGGGCGGGTGGGCGGGGCTAGTATTTCTTAAGTTAAGGCTTCTTTTTCACCTTTGTTGTCTTTTTTGTCGGATATTTTGGCCGATTTTGATAGGAACTTATTGAGTAGCCTATTTTTGGACTTTTTTGCTGCCTCTTTTTGTGTTGGAATTTTTTTAATCGTTTTTTTTCGTCATCAATTTTTTGGAAGATAAGCAAATATACCGGGTGTCTGGAAAATAGCGGATTAACTCTTCAGTACGTTATATACGGGAGTTTCGGGAGTCGCAAAAAATAGTGACTGAAATCCACCTTTTTAGGGCAACAAACATAAACTGATTTTAGGAACTACTAGCCCCGCCCACCTATCCTCTCTTTTCTTAGAATGTATCTCATTATCCAAAATCAGTCTTATCTTAGCCGCTACTAGCCCCGCCCACCGACCCTCTCTTTTCTTACGAGGATATGTCATTTGCCAAAATCAGTTTTATTTCAGCAACTACTAGCTAGGATAAGATTTTTTTTTTTTTTTTTGAAAAATTTAAAACAATTTTAAGGTTCTAGGTATTCCTATTTGGAAAGAATTTGAAAGTGCTTTGAAACCTTTAGTGTCTTTTCTTATAATACTTTAATTAAATTTCGTAGGGGATTTTTTTTTTTTTTTTTGATTTGCCAAAATCACTCTTATCTTAGCAGGTACTAGCCCCGCCCACCCACCCTCTCTTTTCTTAGAGGATATGTCATTTGCCAAAGTCAGTCTTATCTTAGCAAGAATCAGTCTTATAGTACCTGCTAAAATGAAACTGATTTTGGCAAATGACATTCCTTCTAAGAAAAGAGAGGGTGAGCGGGCGGGGCTAGTAGCTGCTAAAATAAGATCGATTTTGGCAAATGACATACCCTGTAAGAAAAGAGAGGGTGGGTGGGCGGGGCTAGTACCTGCTAAGATAAGACTGATTTTGGCAAATGAGATCCCTTCCGAGAAAATGAGAGAATATTAAGCGTAATCACTGGAATGAAGAGGAGGTGGGTGGGCGTGGCTATTGCTTGCTGATAAAAGACCATAGGAAAAAGTTAAATTTAGCCCCGCCCACCCACCCGTTTTCTCTTTTTTTTTCTAAAATAAGAAATAAATCTTATAGCAAATAGTATAACAAAAAATTATGGTTAGCGCTTTTTTTTAACAGCCGACGTTTTATTAGTTCTCTTTCTCGCTCCATAAAACAAGATATATTTAACCCCGCCTTCATTTCCCTGATTCATTTTATCTAGTCCAAATGAAACGTGGATCTCATGAACTGAACAGAATAAAATCGTGAGAAAAAAATAGAGGGCGGGTGGGCGGGGTTAGTATTTCTTAAGATAAGGCTGATTTTGGTAAGTGACTGAACAATATGAAGAGTAATCACTGGAATAAAGAGGGAGTGGGTGGGCGGGACTATAACTTGCTTATAAATGACTGTAGGAAAAAGTTTAACTTTTTTCACCTGTTTTTTTGCTGCCCCTTTTATATAACGGCACTTTTTGACGTCTTTTTTGACACATTTTGTGGACCTTTTTTGTCGAGATTTTTTTAATCGCCTTTTTTTTTGTGGACTTTCTGTCGTGTTTATTGTCGCCTTTTTCATCGCATTTTTTGTCGGACAATTTTTATTTATATTTTTTTTTGTCTATTTTGTTTTTGGTCTCGCCTTTTTTTCGCCTTCTCTTTTGTCCCCTTTTTCTGTCGCCTTTTTTATGACATTTTTGATTGTTTTTGTAGTCGCTTTTTACGCGTTTTTATCCCTTGTTGTCTCGCGTTTTACCCCCTTTCTTTGTGTATTTTTTTGCTTGTTTTTTTTTTTGTTCCTTTTTTTTATTTTTTTCGTGCGCTCTTTTTTTGTCTCTTCTTGTGAAGTCATTTCCCTCCCTATTTTATCCTTCTTTTTAACAGAATATTTTTCACCTTTTTGTTGAAGCGTTTTGTCGGATCTTCATGGTCGCCTTTTTCGTGGACCTTTTTTCCTTGTCGCCGTTTTTCCGATGGCTTTGGAGTTTTTGGTGTAATCGCCTTTTTTTAATCCTTCATGGCAATTTTTTCCGACTGTTTTTTTTTTGTCCCCTTTTAAAACGGATATTTTGACCGATTTTGATAGGATTTTATTGAGTGGCTTATTTTTTGGACTTTTTTGCTGCCTCTTTTTTGCAGGCATTTTTTTTGACAGAATTTTTTAATCTTTTTTTTTGGTGGATTTTTTTGTCTTTTTTTTCTTGTTACTTTTCCCATTTTTTGTTGGATATTTATCGCCAATTTTTTTGTTCCATTTTTGACACTTTTTTACCCCCTTTTCAACTTTTATTGTCACCTTTTTTGTCGGACATTTTTCACCTTTTTTTTTTGTTGGATTTTCTTTAGTCGCCTTTTTTTATTGACTCTTTTTATGGCTTTTCTTGACCCTTTTTATGCCTCTTTTTCGTTTTTTTTTTCTCCCTCCTTTTTTGTCACAGTTTTTGTCGCCTTTTTTATGTCTTCTTTTTTATATCGCATTTTTTCTCGGATATTTTTGCCCATTTTTATCGGATTTTATTTTGTGGCCCTTTTTGGACTTTCTAAAAGAACATATAATTAACTCCGCCCACTCTCCCCACCTTCATTTCAGTGATTCATTTTTTCTAGTCCGAATGAAAGGTTATAATAAGAACACAGCGAGTGGGCGTAGCTAGTACTTGCTAAGATAAGACTAACTGTGGAAAATTAGATACCCTCTAAGAAAATAGAGGGCGGGTGGGCGGGGCTAGTATTAATTAAGTTATAAGGCTGATTTTGATAAATGACTGAACAATATTAAGAGTAATCACTAGAATGAAGAGAGGGTGGGTGGGCGGGGCTATTACTTGCTTATAAGAAAAACTAAGCCCCGTCCACCCACCCGTTCTCTCATTTTTTTCTTATAAAATAAAAAATCTTATAGCAAATAGTATAACAAAAAATTACGGTTAGCGTTTTTTTTAACAGCCTACATTTTTTTGCTGGCTTATAAATGACTGTAGGAAAACAGTAATTTTTTTCACCTGGTTTATTGCTGCCCCTTGTATTAAACACTTGACGGTTTTTTTACTCACATTTTTTGTCGCATGTTTTTTTGTTATCTTTTTGCCTTTTTTGTCTAATTTTATTTAGCTGCCTTTTTTCGCGTTTTATATTGCCGGTACTATGTCTGTTTTTTCAGTCGCCCTTTTTGCCTCTTTTGTATGGCATTTTTGTCGGAGATAATATTTACTGCAATAATATTATTAGTGTTGTTATAGATGAGATTTTTTCAGGTTTAAATTATCGAGAATACTAAATAGACTAGAATGGGTTTAATGAGGACAGTACGACATGCTAAACTCTGTATTTCTTTTAGAAAAACATCGTGCAGAAGTGGTGCCTTTACAAATATTTTTTATTCTATAATGTTTCCACAAAGCAATAAATTTTAATTTTATACTTATAAGTAGTTGCTTTCAACTGTCATTAATTTGCATCTTTTGTCTACGACAGGATAAATTTTCCACCCGTTTCGAGCATATTTTAATACTAAAATCTTTTTCATTTACTTGAATTAACTCTGAAGTGTCATTGACACAAATTTTGTACAGATCGTACTCATGTAATTACATAACTTTATTAAACCAAAACAGTGATACAGATAAAATCTCGATAAATTATATAAATATTTTCAAGTATGTTCGTTGATATTTTTATTTTTATCGGTCACGTTCAATCGAAAATAAAACGAGTCAGAGTTGGCGTTGCCCCTCCAGCTTTGGGTGGTACCACTGCACAACTAAAACATAAAAATATTTATTTTTGTTATTAGGCGTTTGGAGGAAGAGAGCATTCAGCAACAAAAAGCCAAAGCAAAATCCGGAAACAATAACAATGACAGCTCGAATCCTTCCTACCAGCCGGAATTGCGTCTACACGAACTGCGTGCAGAAAAGTACAACGGTCTAGTGAGACTTTTAAAGCCCGGTTGTCGAACAATTCTACTGGTATTGGACATGCAGTCGCGCCAACAATTAATTCCACCCTTCCACAAATCGGTATGGCCGTACCGAAAGTAAGTCATTTTATTTGCTTGTTAACTCTTTTTAATTTATTTATTTTTTGTTATTATTATAGAAATAAGACATTGATGTTTTCCTATATGTACATTGAACGTGGCCTTAGCTGGTATAAGGAGCTACTTCAGTTGTCCTTGCCAGAAGAGCGTGAACTGAACATTAATCCTCGAAATTGCGTCGGTACAGTGCTGTCGCTGAACGGCCACAGAAAATACTTCTGTATGTTCCACGCCAAGCACACCGAGCGCAAGTCAAAAAGCAAGCACAGAGCCAAAATAACGAAAAAGTTCGACGAGAAAGACTGTGAGAGCGGAACGTTTATCGGCTTCGATTCCGAGTCGTCCGAGTCAGAAGAGGAACTTCTGCTTCAAGAAAACCTACTGGACGGTCTGCCGAATTGGCTAGACCGACTATTCGAGGGAACAACACAACGTTATCACATTAATTATTGGCCAGAATTTCCAAATAAATAAATACCGTTAACACGTGAATATAGCATATAGAAGTTACATAACTCATGTTATTTGTCTGTTTGTTGTATTTATACATATCCGTAATGTTTGTATAATTCCACGCATTTTACGCCTTATTTCGACTGTTGTTTTTATGTGGAAATACGTTTGTTGTGTTCTACTTTCAATCATGATTCTTCTAGTCACATTCTTAGGATAGAATATAGCTGAATCGGTTTCGATAAATCCAGTTTCATATTGAAATTTTTCAAGTGGATTGTTAGAGTAGCTTGAATTTTTAAACGCAAAAGCGGGAGTTCCCAGAAAATTTTATGCTTATTTTCGGTTTTCGGAACTCGTCGTAAGTAATACTCATAGAGCCTACTGAAATTTTAAAAGTTATACTAGTTGGTTAGTGGTCGCTAGACTTTAAGATTCTTTTTATTCAGTGGTCTATAAAATATTATATGTTAATTTATTTGTGCCATATTTATTTATTATTGATTGGATAATTTCATCCAAACTTTGTGTATTATTACCTTGTGATTCGAATTTACAAATAAAGTTGTTTTCAGTTATTCAGGTTTATGCTCCACGAGACCATTTTCAAAAATTTACGAATAATTTTCATTGGATAATTTTGAGCATAAAGACAACTGCACCAACTGTTGCAGGTCTGCCAACATAAAGTAACATTGGTGTTTTTTTTTTCTCTTTTATTAATTAAACACATAATATTATAATAAAGCAATTTGTACAATTCACCAACACACAAAGTAAACAGCAAACTATGAGTATGAAAAGATTTATTCGAACAACGGTAACTTAATAGTCGTGGATTGAGGTTATGTATACATTTGGTGTTGACATTTTGAAATTCGCAACTTATTGATTTCTTGTAGTAAGTTTTCCGTGTCGTAGGCCACACGACCACGCTAAAATGAACGCTGCTATTAACATCGGTGTCGAAGACATGACCGCCACCATTGTACGGTACGGTCTTTATCTGGGGGCCCTCTTCCAAATCGCCTGTTTGGCTGCCTGCATTTTCATGCCGGATTCATCGGACGACAATAACTGGTTATCCAGAGTACGTATCAACTCCCATTTTCACCCATTTAGTTGGTACTTTCAGGGAGACAGCGACGACGAAAGTTCCGAGCAAAGCACCCCTCAAAATACCCCCCGTAGACCGTACCATCGAACCCGAAAACAAGAAAAAAAGAAGCGACGTTAAAATCCTCATTTTAAATATTTATTTAATTAAAAACAATAAACTTCTTAACAAGCATTAGTGAACAGTTAGAATCCTATTATTTACAAAGTATTGCATAAATACACTAAAAAAATATTCATTTTTATCCACAGTGAAGCAAATACAGTTATTAAATACTCTTAAAAGAACAACAGTGCGTTCGTCATTACTTAAGACTTGAGAGCTGCTAATCTGCTTTGCATTTCTTCGATTTCTTCCTCATCTTCTTCCTCGACTTCTACAGGTTTCTCAACCGGTCTTTCTCCCACTGGAGGAGCTGGAGCTTCACCTAATTTACCTTCAGTGATTTCCCATAATACTTTATCAATTTCGTTCTGCGCGGCTTCCTCCATTTCTTCAGTGTTGTCCTCAAAAGTGTCCATGGTTTCATCCAACATTTCTTCAATAATTCCGGCTTTCATCATCTCTTTGGACATGTTTTGCATGGTTTGGGCTACCTCTGGTACGCGGATCAAGCGCTGCATGGCTTGCATGACTTCCGTGGATTTAGCTAGAGAGCCGGCAACTCTGAGAGTAGCTACAATTTAACTAATAATAATAATTTTCAAGTGTCAAAATCATTCATTACCCAGCTGGTTTTTCATCTGCAACATGACTGAGTTAATGTGCGCCTTGGAAGTATAAATTTTAGTTATAGCACGACGTGCGTGCAAAATTTCTTTCGCCAAAATGTTACAAGTGTCTTTGTCACCCTTCTTTGCGGCTTCCTTAAGAGAGCGCTTCACTTTCTCCTCTTCTCGTTTGATAGCTACGGGATTCACCGAGTTTGTAATCAGGGGGGTTATTCACGAACTTACCTCTAATCTGACGGTCCAATTGGTATCCTTCTTTCCTGAGTTTGGAGTTCCATTCGTTTACCTACAACACAATTAGTGTCAAACGCAGATTTGCCTTTTTTTGTGTCAAGTACCATGTCCTTTGGGTTTCTTTCTGGTGTTTTCCCGAACAGACCCATGGTGTTATCGAAAATTTATAAAGACTCTCCCGAATTAGTGGTCGAAAGTGATCTCATCCTCACGTTGACAAGTGTTTGACAACACAAAATTTGACGTTTACCGCATAGTTAACTGTAGGACGCGATCACGATTTACGATTTTCAATTTCAATTTTATTAACGGGATTCATGAATAACGTAGACTGAGAATTTGTCGTTTAGTTGGATTGAACCCGAATTTCGCATCCAAAACCCCTTTGTCGTGATTTTAACATGACCATCTCCGCCTACTAAGCAAAATCCCCTAAAACTTCTGTCACCTGTCATGGATTTAAAATAGTGCGCTAATGTCACACCCAAGGTGCAAATCTACCCCAATTCTGCCGCTACCCCTTTAGATTATCCAGGCAAGCACTCGAAACCCGTTTAAACACACATTCTGAAAATATCTCTGACCTCATTGGACTATTGGACATCTTGGCACGAAAATTGATTGACCTCCCAAAAAAAGATGGCTACGCAAGTGCTAGTGGAAGAGGAGTTGGGCCGAAAATGGGACCGGTGTTTTTCGGATTCATTACTGAAATTCGGTAAGAACGACGCTTTAGCACGACTTTACAATTTGTTTTTCGTAATTGTATTATGTCATCAACATAACCTATAATTGTCACCAGGCGGCGGACTTGTCCTAGGCTCGGTCTTTTCCCTGTTATTTTTTAAGAGAAGACGGTGGCCCATTCTTCTAGGTGGCGGCTTCGGCGTGGGAATGGCATACTCGAACTGCGAGCGAGACTTGAACGCCACCATTCGTGATCGAAGCCTCTAATCCAGCGCCTCATTAGTACATTAGCCTATTCCTACAAACATCTTTTGGTAGAGTGTAAATAAATGGTTTAGTTGTTTAAGTTGATTTATTCCATGTTACACAATTGACGTTCCTAATGTCCAATTGTCACTTTTTTTGTGAATGAAGTCAACAATGGCTGAACGAAAGTACACAAAGATTTATTTTCGAATTTTTCCGATGGAGAAGATGCTCTGGGACTATTTAAAAATTCTCGATGATCACAGGACGATCTATATTCGGTGCTTGCAGCAGCTGGCCAAGTCAAAAGAGCACATGATGCCCACGTTTTGGACGTTTCGTACTGATTGTGGGCATCATCTATCTGGGAGATAGATGTAGACGAACTAAATCCAAAACTATGGCATGTTGATAGTCCTAGTCCAAGATTGAGACCTATAATTGAAAGTTTCCGGAAAAACTTGGTGGCCAAAAATTATGAAAAACATCGTGTTTATCCAGGAACTATGCGTCGATCAAATAGAATAATCTTAAGTCGATACAACGAGTGGTTTTCGAAATATCCGGTTTCTAAATACATATTTTTTAATATCTCAAAAATTGTCATATTTCATTGTAGCGATTTTGTAAAAATGGCACGAATTTTGGAAAAACTGAAGCTATAAAAAACTTAAGAGGATCGAAATGGATGAAAAAAATTTCTTTCGCTTAATTTTGAAGAAATTTTAATTTGTATTGAAAAAAATTGGCCTTTAGTGAAGTTGCCTAAAAATTCATGAAAAATTCTAGGAAATTGATTTCGATGAGCTGAAACTAAAAATATAGCACATTGTTGGTCACAGTCCAAGATTGAGGGCCACAACTGAAAATACTGGAAGAATTTTGACAATTTTTTTATACATTTTTCATTTATTTAAGTCTGTCCATGTGTAAACTTTGATCTTTAAAATTTTCAAGTTTTGACATTTCTAACATTTGCCTTGTATATAATATACAAGGGAAATGTTAGAAATATACTAGTTTTTTTGAAGTATAAAATTTCACCTTGGCACGAATGGGTCTAGGTTTTAAAAATAAAAATATCTTTTTGACAAAAAATATGCACAGACAATAATATATTAAAAAAATATTTAGTTCAAAATTTTATTTTATTTTATTATTTGATAAGTTAAGACTGATTTTGCCACTTTCCACTCCCACTCGACAGAGGAACACAATTAGCCCCGCCCACCCTCCCTACCTCTTTCAGTGATTGATTTTATCCGATCTGAATCAATGATCTTATACTCAACAGAAATAAAATTAGTCGTTAGAATGAGAAGAGGGGGGGGTGGGCGGAGCGAGTACTTGCTAAAATAAGACTGATTTTGGCAAATGACATACTCCCCAAGAAAATAGAGGGTGGGTGGGCGGGGCTAGTGCTTGATAGATAAGACTGAAGATTTTAAGAGGAGTCAGTGGGCGGGGCTACTGGTTGCTTATAAGACTTTTCAGAAGAAAGCCAAACTCAGCCCGGCCCATTTCTTTTCTCTATTTCACTGACTTATTTAATTTACTATAAAATGGGATTTAAATTATATTTTGAGAAATGGTAGAATCTAAGATTGAAAACAGAGTAAAAAGTACTTACCTCTACTCCGTTTTATCCTCCATTCTTATTGGCCCTGATTTTATATTGATAAATAATAGAATCTAGGATTAATACAATTTAATTTTTACTAATTGTTTCAGTTTTTAGATTTTGCAATTTTTCGATCAGCAAATTCACGTGTTTTCAATTTTTTATTTCTTCCATTTTTTAGTTTTTCATTTTTTTGTTAGTATTTGCTAAGATAAGACTGACTTTGGCAGACAATATATCCTTTAAAAAAACAGAGGGCGGGTGGGCGGGTCTAGTACTTGCTAAGATACGATTGATTTCGATAAATGACATACCATCTCAGAAAATAGATTTTTTTCTGGATTTTTAGACATTTCAACAAAATCTCAATTTTTCAAAACCTCATTACTTAGGCACTTTGAAAATTTCGATACTTTTTCGACCACCCACGAGAGTTTAAGCATACTTTATCGTAGATTTCGGGTTCCAGTAGTTACTTTTGGAAACTCTTTTTTCCACAATCGCCCAAGGAAATTATGGCAAAATTAAGGATTTTTGAAAAAAAAAAAGACTTTCAAACCGAATATTTCAAAAATTTTGCTCCGTGAACATATTTTTCGAATCGGAAACCTACATGACAAATTTTTTTGGGATTTTTGAACAACTATCTCAAGATCTGAATTTTTCGATTTATGAAAATTTCACTGTTTTTTCGACCACTTTCGTTGGATGTTTTTTTTTATAGATTTCGACTTCCTGAAGTTACTTTCGGCCTCGTTTCTTTGAAAACTCTTACTATTTTTCCAGAATCGTCCGACGAAATTATGGCAAAAGGGCAGTATACGATATGGTTCTAAATTCGGCCAAAAATATGGCGTGCTGATAGTCCCAGTCCAAGATTGAGGGCTTAATCGAAAATTCTCGAAAAATTTTGGAAATTTTGTAAAAGACCTATTTCTAGCGATTCCGGAAAAACTGGCTGGCCAAAAATTATTAAAAAAATCGCGTTTACGCCGGAATTGTGTGTCTATCAGACAGAAACATCCCAAGTCGATACGACTACTAGTTTTCGGAATATTTGATTCCAAAATCAAAATTACCTTTTTAGTCGATTTTGGAAAAATGGTAGGAAGAACAGAAGCCGCAAGTTACCTAACACTTCACAAAAAAATCTGGGAGATAGATTTAGACGAGCTAAATCCAAAACTATGACATGTTGATAGTCCTAGTCCAAGATTGAGAGCTATAATTAAATTTCCGGAAAAACTTGGTGGCCAAAAATTATGAAAAACATCGTGTTTATCCAGGAACTATGCGTCGATCAAATAGAATAAAAATGGTACGAATTTTGGAAAAACTGAACCTATAAAAAATTTAAGAGGATCGAAATGGATGAAAAAAATTTCTTTTGCTCAATTTTGAAGGTGCTCGAGAAAAGATTCAAAATCTTAAAAGGGGTGGTATTGGAAAAAAAGGCTCTTTGTGAAGTTGCCTAAAAATTCACAAAAAATTCTGAAAATTTGATTTCGATGAGCTCAAACTAAAAATATAGCACATTGTTGGTCCCAGTCCAAGATTGAGGGCCATAAATGAAAATACTGGAAGAATTTTGACAATTTTCTTATACATTTTTCATTTCTTTAAATCTATCCATTTGTAAATTTTGATCTTTAAAATTTTCAAATTTTGACATTTCCAACATTTCGCTTGTATTTAACATACTAGTTTTTTTGAAGCATGAAATGTCACTTTGGCACGAATGCGTCTAGGTTTTAAAAATAAAAATAAATTTTTTTGACAAAATATATTTAGTTCAAAATTTTATTTTATTTTAGAATTTGTTAAGACAAGACTGATGTTTGGCACTTTCCACTCCCACTCGACAGAAGAAGATAATTAGCGCCGCCCACCCACCCTGCCTCCTTTTCAGTGATTGATTTTATCCGATCTGAATGAAATCAACGATCTTCTACTCAATAGAAATAAAATTAGTCGTTAGAATGAGGAGAGGGGTGGGCGGGCGGGGCTAGTACTTGCTAAGATAACACTGATTTTGGCAAATGACATACACCCCAAGAAAATACAGTGTGGGTGGGCGGGGCTAGTATTTGATAAGATAAGACTGATTTTGGCACTTTGAAAATTTTCGAAAATTAGTTGAAAACATTTTCTTGTAGATTTCGATATCCAGAAGTCATTTTTGGCTTTGTTTACTTTACATCGTAGATTCTATTATTAGTTTCCACTCCCACTCGACAGAAGAACATAATTAATTTTAGCCATTTTGAAAAAACTGTCTGGCCGAAAATTGTGAAAAAAATCGTGTTTGCGCAGAAGTTATACGTCTATCGGATAGAATAATTCCAAGTCGACACGACAACTAGTTTTCGAAATATTCAGTTTCAAAGTGTAATTTTTAAAATATCACAAAAATTGCCATCTTTCGATTTAGCAATTTTGGAAAAATTGTAGGAATTTTCGGCAAACTGAAGCCATAACGATTTTCAGAGGAACGAAATGAACAAAAAAATCTTGTTTGCTCAATTTCAAAAGTGCTCAAGAAATCCAAAATTTCAAAACGGGTGATATTGAACAATTGGGATTTTTGCGAAGTTGCCTAAAAAATTCACGAAAAATTCTGGAAGATAGATTTCGACGAGATGAATCCAAAAATAAGCCAAGTTGATAAGTCCAGTCCAAGATTGAGAGCTATAATTGAAAATTCCGTAGGAATTTTAGCAATTTTGTTAAGCAATTTATTAGTTAGTAAATAGTTAATAGTTTTTCCGTTTTATATAAAAAGTAACGCAGATATGCAACAATGTTTAATTGGTTTAATCAACCTGGCGCCTCCACCACAATCGTCCACCACACACCCAAGTTTTACATTTTATTTATAAAACAAAATAAAAACCCCCATTTACATTAATACGTTAACCACCCACGATGCTTCATCTCATACAATTTCTTCTTACGTTGTTCGATTTCAATCAAATCTTTAAATTTTTCAAACGCTTCAGCTTCCAAATCTTCAGGCGTTTCTAGTACTTCACAGACTTTTATTTCTTCTTCCTCGTCTTCCTCTTGTAACACGTCCTCGATATTCTAAGCAGCCACATTGTTACCCTCATCCCCACAACCAACTCAACTCACCAGCGGCATTCCTTCCGACGACTCCACTTCACCAACCGTGGTATTTCGCCTCACAAAAAGCATTAAAATCGTCATTAAGCGCCTTCTTCTGCTCTTTACAAATATTAACATGAGTTTTAACCTCGACTTGACACTTCAAAACTAAGTCTTGTTGATCGACTTGGTCTTGTTCGTTTTTTTGCAGCTCTTTCAAAACGCACTTTTCGTAGTTACTTAAGACGATTCTAGCGCCTTCTTGACCCATTGCTTGTTGAAATTCGCGCGTCATTTTTGCCTGGTGCCAAAAAACATAGTACAAACCGACAAACACATCAGAAACCTACCATAAACAAGTCGTTTCTGTGTTTTTCCACCCGACAGGTAATCCCTCTCAAGTTTCCCAACTCTTTCAAGTACAATTTGTTTTTCGTAATTGTATTATGTCATCAACATAACCTATAATTGTCACCAGGCGGCGGACTTGTCCTCGGCTCGGTCTTTTCCCTGTTATTTTTTAAGAGAAGACGGTGGCCCATCCTTCTAGGTGGCGGCTTCGGCGTGGGAATGGCATACTCGAACTGCGAGCGAGACTTGAACGCCACCATTCGTGATCGGAGCCTCTAATCCAGCGCCTCGTTAGTACTTTAGCCTATTCCTATAAACATCTTTTGGTAGAGTGTAAATAAATGGTTTAGTTCTTTAAGTTGATTTATTCCATGTTACACAATTGACGTTCCTAATGTCCAATTGTCACTTTTTTTGTGAATGAAATCAACAATGGCTGAAAGAAAGTACACAAAGATTTATTTTCGAATTTTTCCGATGGAGAAGATGCTCTGGGACTATTTAAAAATTCTCGATGATCACAGGACGATCTATATTCGGTGCTTGCAGCAGCTGGCCAAGTCAAAAGAGCACATGATGCCCACGTTTTGGACGTTCCGTACTGATAGTGTTTTTTTCCAAAACACCCAGAAACAGATCTATGATGGGGTCATGCCTGAGGTTTTAGATAAGTATGTCTGTATGATTTTCCAAACGATTTCGTCATTTTCGTTGTAGTGTCTCGCAGGGGCACGATGCCGTCGTTATGGCGTACGGACAAACCGGATCTGGGAAATCTTTAACGATTAGCGACTTGCATAATCGTTATGAGGTTAACACACGTTTGATATTAACGCTTTTATTAATCAGTTAGTTACACTAGGATAGAGGTATTCTGCCAAGAGTAGCGTCAGATTTACTACACATGAAAGCAGAAGCAACAAAAAACAACATGAAAGTATGCATTCAAGTGTCCTACGCGGAATTTTCCAGATCCACAGTCAACGATTTACTGAAACCATGTCCCAATCACCTCCACAATTTGAAAGACATAGTTAAAATAAAAGCTAAAACGGTGGAAGACGCGTTTAAAGCCATATTTAAAGGTTGAATCTTGAGGACAAAAACCCAATACCGAGTTTCGTTTTTCAGGTGAAGGCCGTAAAACATTCTCTGAAAATAGTCGCTACCCTTCGCATTCCTGTAGCTCGATTTTTACGTTTCATATCCACATGAAGAAGCTAGAAATGCAGGAAAACGCGATACGAAAGTGCAAGGTTTCTTATTAAATTTGATCAAACGTATTACGTAATTATTGTTTTGTGTAGCTGCACGTTATAGATCTTGCAGGAGCCGACTCCATCGGAAATTTCTCTTGTTTGTTTAAAAATCCACAAGAAGTGGGGGCCGGCAATTTAGCTAAAACCCAACTGGAACAATTTTTTCTAGTGTTGTGTTCTAACATCCCTGAACATATTAGAATCAAGCAGAGATTAAATCCGATGATCCAGTATTTGGGTGATTCTTTAAAAAAAGCTACTATATTTCGGTATATTGACACTATATCGGTAAACAATTTAAATGATGTGTTTTTATAGCTTCGTTGGTCATATTCGTGTGTCCAGAGAAGATTTACTAGTAACGATTTCAATGCTACGTTTTGGCGAACTCATTGGTGGTTTAAAAGCCACAAAGTACGAACTTAGAGTCGATAAAGCAGTTAAGCACGAACAAGTGATTGATTTACAGGTAAACAACACACTGCTGGTGATTAAGTACAATCACGCCAGTTCTAGAAACAATTAACTAAGCTTAAGTTGGAAAATAAGTACAACGCGATTTTAATGCACCAAGACCTCGCTAAATCGCTAAGTGGGGAAAGGTTCGCCCACATTGAGAGAACAGTCAACGAATATCTACAAAACAAAATCACCCAATTAACTCTACTAAACGTGTGCGATATTAACATCGCACTAGAAATTCTAAAAATGATTTGCAAGAAGTTTGAAGAAGAAAAAACTATGGAGAGAGACAGCGTAGTTTCTGCTACGAAACCAAAACGGTCGTCGTCTGGAAGCAATAAAGTATTAAAAAAACGAAAACGAAGTGGTGGTAAAAACGATGTTCTAGGTCCAACAAAAATCAGCTCGAAGTTCTCACAAATCCTCGATGTCTGATAAGATGATAAAACGTACAACCGACGAAAAAGGAACCTCGGACAAAGTGCGACCTTCTTCTGCTAAACCCAGTAAAGAAAAAGTGCCTTCGGGTGAGTCGTTGATCCGGCTTTCGTTTGTCTGAATTTATTAATCTAGTACACGAAACTGCATCCAAAAGATCCAAAATTGCAAGCAGTACAAGTTTGATCAAGCAGCAAGTTGCCGAAAAACGCAGGTCTTCTAGTAGACTTTCATTGCGTTCTAATGAGGCTTTGTTGATGGGCCACATTCCTCCCGAGTCTACCGAAGCCTGGAATTTATACACCCAAGAGAGACAAGATGAGTACGCCCGGCTTGTGGAAATTTACAAAACTAACGAAGCCGCTGCCAAAGTCGCGTATAAAACGTACTTGAAAGAGTTGGGGAACTTGAGAGGGATTACCTGTCGGGTGGAAAAACACAGAAACGACTTGTTTATGGTAGGTTTCTGATGTGTTTGTCGGTTTGTACTATGTTTTTTGGCACCAGGCTAAAATGACGCGCGAATTTCAACAAGCAATGGGTCAAGAAGGGGCTCGAATCGTCTTAAGTAACTACGAAAAGTGCGTTTTGAAAGAGCTGCAAAAATCCGAGCAAGACCAAGTCGATCAACAAGACTTAGTTTTGAAGTGTCAAGTCGAAGTTAAAACTCACGTTAATATTTGTAAAGAGCAGAAGCAGGCGCTGCATGACGATTTTAATGCTTTTTGTGAGGCGAAATACCATGCTCCGGTTGATGTAGAGCCGTCGGAAGGAATGCCGCTGGTGAGTTGGGTTGGTTGTGGGGATGAGGGTAACAATGTGGCTGCTTAGAATATTGAGGACGTGTTACAAGAGGAAGACGAGGAAGAAGTAGTAAAGGTCTGTGAAGTACTAGAAACGCCTGAAGATTTGGAAGCTGAAGCGTTTGAAAAATTTAAAGAGTTGATTGAAATCGAACAACGTAAGAAGAAATTGTATGAGATGAAGCATCGTGGGTGGTTAACGTATTAATGTAAATGGGGGTTTTTATTTTGTTTTATAAATAAAATGTAAAACTTGGGTGTGTGGTGGACGATTGTGGTGGAGGCGCCGGGTTGATTAAACCAATTAAACATTGTTGCATATCTGCGTTACTTTTTATATAAAACGGAAAAACTATTAACTATTTACTAACTAATAAATTCCTTAACAAAATTGCTAAAATTCCTCCGGAATTTTCAATTATAGCTCTCAATCTTGGACTGGACTTATCGACTTGGCTTATTTTTGGATTCATGTCGTCGAAATCTATCTTCCAGAATTTTTTGTAAATTTTAGACAACTTCGCAAAAATTCCAATTTTTCAATACCACCCGTTTTGAAATTTTGGATTTCTTGAGCACTTTTGAAATTGAGCAAACAAGATTTTTTTGTTCATTTCGATCCTCTGAAAATCGTTATGGCTTCAGTTTGCCGAAAATTCCTACAATTTTTCCAAAATTGCTAAAATGAAACATGACGATTTTGAAATATTTTAAAAATTCCATTTTGAAACTAAATATTTCGAAAACTAGTTGTCGTGTCGACTTGAAATTATTGTATCCGATAGACGTATAACTTCTACGTAAACACGATTTTTTTCACAATTTTCGGCCAGACAGTTTTTTCAAAATGGCTAAAATTAATTATGTTCTTCTGTCGACTGGGAGTGGAAACTAATAATAGAATCTACGATGTAAAGTAAACAAAGCCAAAAATGACTTCTGGATATCGAAATCTACAAGAAAATGTTTTCAACTAATTTTCGAAAATTTTCAAAGTGTCAAAATCAGTCTTATCTTATCAAATACTAGCCCCGCCCACCCACCCTATATTTACTTGGGGTATATGTCATTTGCCAAAATCAGTCTTATCTTAGCAAGTACTAGCCCCACCCGCCCTCCCCTCTCCTCATTCTAACGACTAATAATTTTATTTCTATTGAGTAGAAGATCGTTGATTTCATTCAGATCGGATAAAATCAATCACTGAAAAGGAGGCAGGGTGGGTGGGCGGCGCTAATTATCTTCTTCTGTCGAGTGAGAGTGGAAAGTGCCAAACATCAGTCTTGTCTTATCAAATACTAAAATAAAATAAAATTTTAACCAAATATTTTTTGTCAAAAAAATATATTTTTATTTTTAAAACCTAGACGCATTCGTGCCAAGGTGACATTTCATGCTTCAAAAAAACTAGTAAATACAAGCGAAATGTTAGAAATGTCAAAATTTGAAAATTTTAAAGATCAAAATTTACAAATGGAGAGATTTAAAGAAATGAAAAATGTATAAGAAAATTGTCAAAATTCTTCCAGTATTTTCAGTTATGGCCCTCAATCTTGGACTGGGACCAACAATGTGCTATATTTTTAGTTTCAGCTCATCGAAATCAAATTTCCAGAATTTTTTGTGAATTTTTAGGCAACTTCACAAAGAGCCCTTTTTTCCAATACCACCCCTTTTAAAATTTTGAATCTTTTCTCGAGCACCTTCAAAATTGAGCAAAAGAGATTTTTTTCATCCATTTCGATCCTCTTAAATTTTTTATAGGTTCAGTTTTTCCAAAATTCGTATCATTTTTATTCTATTTGATCGACGCATAGTTCCTGGATAAACACGATGTTTTTCATAATTTTTGGCCACCAAGTTTTTCCGGAAATTTAATTATAGCTCTCAATCTTGCACTAGGACTATCAACATGTCATAGTTTTGGATTTAGCTCGTCTAAATCTATCTCCCAGATTTTTTTGTGAAGTGTTAGGTAACTTGCGGCTTCTGTTCTTCCTACCATTTTTCCAAAATCGACTAAAAAGGTAATGTTGATTTTGGAATCAAATATTCCGAAAACTAGTCGTCGACTTGGGATGTTTCTGTCTGATAGACACACAATTCCGGCGTAAACGCGATTTTTTTAATAATTTTTGGCCAGCCAGTTTTTCCGGAATCGCTAGAAATAGGTCTTTTACAAAATTTCCAAAATTTTTCTAGAATTTTCGATTGAGCCCTCAATCTTGGACTGGGACTATCAGCACGCCATATTTTTGGCCGGATTTCTACGACCCGAAATCTGCAAGAAAATGTATCTAGTGAAATTTCGAAAATTTCGTTGAAAATTGGTCGGAAAATGGTCGTATTTTGCTTAGATTTATACTTTTCAAAGGACGATTCTGGAAAAACCATTGGATTTATCGAAGAAATGAAAGCGGGAGTAACTTCTACGGCCAGAAATCTACAAGAAAATGTATATAGTGAAATTTCGAAAATTTCGTTGAAAATTGGTCGAAAAATGGTCGTATTTTACTTAGGTTTGTACTTTTCAAAGGACGATTCTAGAAAAACCATTGGAGTTATCGAAGATATGAAAACGGGAGTGACTTCTACGGTTCGAAATCTACAAGAAGATCTATATAGTGAAATTTCGAAAACTTTGTTGAAAATTGGTCGAAAATTGGTCGTATTTTGCATAGATTTGTACAATTCAAATGACGATTTTGGAAAAACCATTGGAGTTATCGAAGAAATGAACGCGGGAGTGACTTCTACGGCCCGAAATTACAAGAAAATGTATATAGTGAAATTTCGAAAATTTCGTTGAAAATTGGTCGGAAAATAGTCATATTTTGCATAGATTTGTACTCTTCAAAGGACGATTCTGGAAAAACCATTGGAGTTATCGAAGAAATGAAAGCGGGAGTGAATTCTACGACCCGAAATCTACAAGAAAATATATAAAGTGAAATTTCGAAAATTTCGTTGAAAATTGGTCGGAAAATGGTCGTATTTTGCTTAGATTTATACTTTTCAAAGGACGATTCTGGAAAAACCATTGGAGTTATCGATGAAATGAAAGCGGGACTGACTTCTACGACCCGAAATCTACAAGAAAATGTATATAGTGAAATTTCGAAAATTTCGTTGAAAATTGGTCGAAAAATGGTATTTTGCATAGATTTGTACTTTTCAAAGGCCGATTCTGGAAAAACCTTGCGAGTTATGGAAGAAATGAAAGCGAGAGTGACTTCTATAGCCCGAAATCTACAAGAAAATGTATATTGTTTTTTATCCCTTTTCGTCCTTCTCGTTCTTTTTCGTCATTATTATCCTTTTTCGTCCTTCTCGTCCTTTTTCGTCTTTATTATCCCTTTTCGTCCTTTTTCGTCCTTACTATTCTTTTTCGTTCTTCTTCGTCATTTTTCGTCCTTTTCTTCCTTATTATCCCTATTCGTCCTTTTTCGTCCTTCTCGTCCTTTTTTGTCCTTATTATCCTTTTTCGTCCTCTTTCGTCCTTTTTCGTCTTTTTTCGTCCTTTATCGTCCATTTTCGTCCTTATTATCCTTTTTCTTCCTTTTTCGTCCTTCTCGTCCTTTTTCGTCCTTATCATCCTTTTTCGTCGTTCTTCGTTATTTTTCGTCCGTTTTCATCCTTATTCGTCGTTTTCGTCTTTTTCGTCCTCTTAGTCCTAATTATCCTTTATCGTCATTTTTCGTCATTTTTCATCCCTTTCGCACTTATTATCCTTTTTCATCCTTTGTCGTCCTTTTCGTCCTTTTTTGTCCTTAACCTTTTTCGTCCTTTATCGTCCTTTTTCGTTATTTTTCGTCCTTTTCGCCCTTATTATTCTTTTTCGTCTGTTTTTGTCTTTTTCGCCCTTTTTTGTCCTTATTATCCTTTTTCGTCCTCTTTCGTTCTTTTTCATCCTCCTGTTCCGAAAAGGACGAAAAAGGACGTTCGTTCTTTGTTGACCTTGTTATCCTTTTTCGTCTTTTTTTGTTCTTTTTCGTCTTTTATCGATTTTTTTCGTCCTTTTTCGTCCTTACTATCCTTTTTCGTCCTTCTTTTCGGACGAATAAAGACGAAAAAGGAAAATAAGGACGAATAAGGACGAAAAAGGAAGAAAAAGGACGAAACGCTATGACATAGAGGGCGAAGTTTAACTGCAAAGTCCGCATGTTTGGGGCATCATCGTATTGTTGAAAATAGACTATTTTTGAATAAAATAGGGAAGAAATATTCTTATTTTTGGCCATCTAGTTTTTCTGGAATCGCGCTAAACACCTTCAAAATGGCCAAAATTCCTCCGAAATTTTCAGTTAATCCTCGACTAGAACCATCAACATAGTTTTGGATTCAACTCGTCTAGATCTATCTTCCAAAATTTTTTGTGAATTTTTAGCCAATTTTGACAAAATCCCAATTTTTCAATAATTTTAAATCTTTTCAAAGGGTATATTTTTATAATAGTCTCCTTTTCACAACAATAAACTTAAAACATGTTTAAAATGGTAAATATTTGTAAAGAAATATGGATTTTGTAATTAAGCTCCGCCCCTCGATCTGACAACAAATGAAAAATTCATCACAATTGAGACAGGGGTGGGTGGGTGAGGCTTAATCATTGGCTGATCTTTCTTATTATAAAACAGTTTTCTCTTTCATTTGTAAGTAATTTTTTTATTCGTCGTGACCCGGGGGCGGAGCTTAATAACAATATCCTTATTTCTCTACAAGAAATTACCATGTGACCCATGTTTTAACCGAAAGTTATACCGCACTCATTTTTACAAAATCGCCAAAATAAAATGTGTCAATTTTTGAAATATTTAAAAAAAATTATTTAGAAACTGGATATTTAGAAAACCAGTCGTTGGATCAACTTGGGTTTAATTTATTTGATAGACGCACAACTCCGGCGTAAACACGATTTTTTTCATAATTTTTGGCCAGCCAGTTTTTCCGGAATCGCCATAAATATGTCATTAACAAAATTTCCAAAATTTTTCTAGAATTTTCGATATAGCCCTCAATCTTGGATTGGGACTATCAATATGCCATATTTTTGGATTCAGATCGTCGGAATCTATCTCCCAGAATTTTTTGTGAATTTTTTGGAAACTTTGCGAAAGGCCCAATTTTTCAATTTTGGAATTTTGGACCTTTTCTCGAGAACTTTCAAAATGCAAAAGAGACTTTTCGTCCATTTCGATCCTTTGCCGGTTATTACGGCTTCAGTTCTTATAAAAATCCAAACATCTTTACAAAATCGCTAAAATGAAATTTGACATTTTTTTTTATATTTTAAAAATTCGAGTTTGAAAGGGAATTGTCAAAATTCTTCCAATATTTCCAGCTATGCCGCTCTATCTTGGACTGGGAGGAGCCATATTTTCTATTTTTAGATTCAGTTCATCGAAATTAATCTCCCAGAATTTTTTGTGAATTTATATGCAATTTCTCAAAAAGGCCAACTTTTTCCCTTTTGAAATTTTTGATTTTTTCTCGAGCACCTTAACAATTAACCAAAGAGGTTTATTTGGTCCATTTGATCCCCTGACGTTTTTTACGCCTTCAATTCTTTAAAAATATCCACCATTTTTCCAAAATTGTCAGAATGAAATCCAACAATTTTTGAGATTAAAAAAAAAATCACCTAGAAACCGAATATTTCGAAAACTAGTCGTCGTATCGATTTGAGATTAGTCTATTTGATCGACGCCTAATTCTTGCATAAACAGGATTTTTTTCATTATTTTTGGCCACCCAGTTTTCCGGAATCGCGTTAAATACCTCATTAACAAAATAGCCAAAATTCCTCCGAAATGTTCAGTTTCAGCCCTCAATTTTGGACTAGGACTATCAACATGCCATACTTTTTGATTCAGCTCGTCTGGATATATCTCCCAGAATTTTCTATGAATTTTCGCGAAAAGCCCAATTTTTCTGTACAAGATGTTTAAAAGGGTAAATTGTTCTATGAAAATATTGAATTTGGAAGTATGCTCCACCTTTTGGTCTGACAACGAATCAAAAATTTATCACAACTAAGACTGGGGCGGGTGGGTGGGGCTTAATCATTGGCTTGACTTTCTTAATCTTTATAGTTTTCTTCCAACAACACGATGCTGAAAATATGTCTCACTTGGTAATTTCTTGTAGAGAAATAAAGGATTCTGCAAATAAGCTCCGCCCCCGGTTCCTGCTTCAACGAATAAATAAAAATTAATCACAATAAAGATGGCGGCGGGTGGGTGGGGCTTAAACATTGGCTGCTTTTTGTTAGTATATCGATAGTTTTCTTTCTACAATGCAATATTAAAACATAATTGTAACTTCACTTCACTCTAAATTCACCATTTGATATATTATATACCTTATTGTTGAAAGAAGACAATGTATATTACGAGAAGAAAATCAAAGGACAAGTCTGCCCCACCCACCCGCCCCATCTCAATTGTGATTAATTTTTTTATTCGTTGTGAATCGAGGGTGGAGCTTAATTGCAAAAGCCTTACTTTTCTACAAGAAATTACAATGTGAAACATCGTGTTGTTGAAAGAAAACTATATAAATTAATAAAGAGAAGCCAATGATGAAGCCTCGCCCGCCCACCCGAGTCTCAATTGTGACAAATTTTTCATTCGTTGTCAAAGAGAGAGGCGGAGCATAATTGCAAATTCGATATTTTTCTACAAAGTTACATTTTCTTGAACTTTAGAGTCGTTTAAAGAGATAATTATACAAGGATTTTCGAATAATAATGCACAAGTTTTCTTTAAAATTTTGGTTGTTTAAAACAGCGATTATCGCATAAGACTGTGAAGAATTTTTATCAAAAGTCCAATCTGGGCTCATTTCAAAGTTCATTTTCTTGTGAAATTTCAAATTGTTTCAAGAAATTTTTGTAAATTAAAAATTTTATATTATGTAAATTAGTGGTGAGCCGGGAGGCGGAGCTTAATAACATCCTTATTTCTCTAAAAGTGTTGTCGAAAGAGATCGATAGATATTATATTAAGAAAAAGAAAGAAAATTATGCCCCACCCACCCGCCCCGGTTTCAACTGTGATGAATTTTTTATTCGTTATGAAATAGAGGGCGGAGCTTAACTGCAAAGTGCAAACATGATCGTATTGTTGAAAATAGACTATTTTGAAAAAAAAAATAGGGAATGAATATTCTTATTTTTGGCTATCTAGTTCCTCCAAAATTTTCAGTTAATCCTGGACTAGGACCATCAACATAGTTTTGGATTCAGCTCAATTTTTCAATACTTTTAAATCTTTTAAAAGGTTACATTTTTATAATAGTCTCCTTTTCATAACAATGAACTTAAAACATGTTTAAAATGGTAAATATTTGTAAAGAAATATGGATTTTGTAATTAAGCTCCGCCCCTCGATGTGACAACAAATGAAAAATTCATCACAATTTAGATAGGGGTGGGTTGGTTGGGCTTAATCATTGACTGGTCTTTCTTAATATAAAATAGTTTTCTCTCTCATTTGTACCGATTTCAATTGTGATGAAGAAGAAAAAAAACAAAATCACCAAAATGAAATATATAGCAATTTTTGAGATATTTTAAAAATTCGACTTTGAAACGAGTATTTTGAAAATTAGTTTTATAGTAAACAAGAGTATACTTTGAGTAAATTTAATGTAAATTAAATTATATATTTATAACGAATAAATAAATATATCAACTCGGGTTCGGTTTTGACACTTTGAGAACCTGTCAGAAAATAGCCCCATTTAGTGAACACCCTGATACTAACTATAATTATACCGGAATATTCTCCAGTCGTTGACTTTAATGAATAGTGTGTTTGTTGTCTATTTTTAAATTGAGTAAAAATAGTTTCGATAAGTTTTGTTTGACTGTGGTTTGAGTTGAAAGTAGGCAACCAGTAATTCATCATTTTCGCAACGTTTAAAACAAAAAATGCAACCCCCAGGTGGCAAAAGTGACACAACGGAAGTTAAAAGTCACTAAAGTTTCCTAAAACCTGCGACACATTTTAATTTTTCGCGAACCATGCCCATTCAACCTTGATTTTCCCATCAATTTTGAATCTCGCGCCAAGCAGGGCTGACCCGAATCAATTTTGCGCAAGTAGGAAGTCAACCATCTTCCTTTTTGTCGCACCGGTTTCAAAGCACATGTGCTTTGTTAGCACCACAGAGAAAGACTGGTAAATAACAGCAAAACTATCCCCAGAATAAACGTTCTCCAAGCCGTCGATTGTGCAGTGTTAACGTAGCGCGATTTCAGACCATCCGTCACAATGAACACAGAAAAGCTGAAGAAGTTGCAGTCACAGGTGAGGATCGGTGGTAAGGGCACACCACGACGCAAAAAGAAGGTCGTGCACTCCACCCAAGCCACAGACGACAAGAAGCTGCAGTCCTCCCTGAAGAAACTCTCAGTAAACACAATACCTGGTATCGAAGAAGTCAACATGATCAAGGACGACGGCACGGTTATCCACTTCAACAACCCGAAGGCTCAAGCGTCCTTGGCGGCGAACACCTTCGCCATCACCGGACACGGGGAAAACAAACAAATCACAGAAATGCTGCCGGGCATTCTTAGTCAGTTGGGGCCGGAAGGTTTGAATCAGCTCAAGAGATTAGCCAGCACCGTCGCCAACACGGGGTTGGGGAGAATCGTGCCGGATGACGAGGAGGACGTGCCAGATTTAGTGGAGAACTTCGACGAGGCGTCGAAGGCGGAAGTCGCGAAGAAGGACGGCGAGGAGAAGCCGAAAGAAAACTAATTCTGTTAAGCTTAGTGAGCTTGATCTTATTGCTCTTGTTTGTATGATTTTTCGAGGCACATTTTGTGGTGTTTGGTGGAAATGTGTCAAATAATAATGTACCAAATCTCTTTTCGTTAAAATTTAAACATCCATCTTGTATAGAATATTTTATAGGAAATACAAAATATTCTAATGCAAATGCTCGTATTCTTAATTAAGCGCAGTCGCAATGGCTAGTTTTTTGTGGTTGAGGTTTCTAGTGACGTCTTTGTTATCAAGAAATGAAAATGTAGTTGGAAGGCGTAATTACAACATTATTTTTATGATGTTTTGTTCCGAGACCTGAGGTATAATTTGAAATACACATTTGGGGTTAGTGTGGTTTCATAAAGTTTATATCTTGCCTATTGTAAAATTTATTAGTCATTTATTGAAAACTTAGACGAAATTTTCAAGGACTTGGAATTCTTTTGAACAATTTTTTTTCACAGATGATTTACTTACAAAAATTTCTCTCAACAATTTTAAATTTCACAAAAAAAAACCTTTTTCATTGTCTTCTTTTTTTTTAGAAAATTTGTCTTAAAACCCAGGTCGGAAATTGGAAAAAAAAAATCATCACGCTCTTTTTTTCTGTGATAATTCGCTCTTTAAACAACTTTAAAGTTCAAGAAAATTTAACTTTGTAGAAAAACGTCGGATTTGCATGTAAGCTCCTCTTGCTCTGACAACGAATGAAAAATTTATCACAATTGAGACGGGCGGGTGGGCGGGGCCTAATCATTGACTTCTCTTTATTAATCTGTAGTTTTCTTTCAACAACAGGATGCTTAAAACATGTTTTACATGGTAATTTCTTGTCGAAAAATTTAATTTTGAAATTTTTAACCTTTTCTCGAAAACCGTCAAGATCGTGCAAACATTTTTTTTTTGTCTATTTCGATCCCCTAAAGTTTTTTACGGCTTCAGTTTTTCCAAAATTCGTACCATTTTTACAAAATCGCCAAAATAAAATGTGTCAATTTTTGATATATTAAAAAAAATACTTAGAAACTGAATATTTAGAAAACCAGTCGTCGAATCAACTTGGGTTTATTCTATTTGATAGACGCACAACTCCCGTGTAAACACGATTTTTTCCATAATTTTTGGCCAGCCAGTTTTTACGGAATCGCCATAAATAAATTTCCAAAATTTTTCTAGAATTTTCCATTATAGCCCTCAATCTTGGATTGGGACTATCAACATCCATATTTTTGGATGCAGGTCGACGAAATCTATCTCCCAGATTTTTTTGTGGATTTTTTGGAAAATTTGTGAAAAGCCCAATTTTTCAATTTTGGAATTTTGGACCTTTTCTCAGAACCTTCAAAATTGAGCAGAAAACATGTTTTTATCCATTTCGATCCCCTGAAGTTTATTAGGGCTTCAGTTCTTCTAAAAATCCTACCATCTTTTCAAAATCGCTAAATTGAAATATGGTAATTATGAAGATATTGTAAAAATTCGACTCTGAAAGCGGATAATTCGAAAACCAGTTTTTATGTCGACTTTTATGTCAGTTTCAGGCCTCAATTTTGGACTAGGACTATCAACATGCCATAGTTTTGGATTCAGCTCATCTGGATCTATTTCCCGGAATTTTCTCTTTTTTTTTCGTCACCACAATATGTTTAAAAGGGTAAATTTTTCGATGGAAATATTGAATTTGCAATTATGCTCCGCCTTTCGGTCTGACAACGAATGAAAAATTCATCACAATTGAGACTGGGGGGTGTGGGTGGGGCTTAATATTTGTTAATCTATAGTTTTCTTTCAACAACACGATGCTTAAAATATGTTGACATGGTAATTTCTTGTAGAAAAATACGGTTTCTGCAACTAAGCTCCGCCTCCGATTCGTGACGAATAAAAAAAAAACATCACAACTGAGATGAAGTAGTCATTTTTTCGTAATAAGAAACTTAAAAACATGTTTAAAATGGTAATTTTTGTAGGCAAATGTGAATTTTGCAATTAAACTCCGCCCCTCGATCTGACAACAAATAAAAAAAATATCACAATTGAGCTGGGGCGAGTGGGTGGAGCTTAATAATCCGCTTCTATTTCTTAATGTATATAATTCTCTTTCAACACGATGCTTAAAACATATTTCACATGGTAATTTCTTGAGAGAAATAAGGATATTGTCATTAAGCTCCGCCCCCGGGTCACGACGAATAAAAAAATTACTTACAAATGAAAGAGAAAACTGTTGTATAATAAGAAAGACTAGCCAATAATTAAGCCGCACCCACCCGCCCCAGTCTCAGTTGTGATAAATTTTTCATTCGTTGTCAGAGCGAGAGGCGGAGCATAATTGCAGATTCGATGTTTTTCTACAAAGTAAAATTTTCTTGAACTTTAGAGTTGTCTAAAGAGATAATTATCACAGTAAAAAAGTTCTATCTTTAAAAAAATTTCTGCAAGTCTGAAATTGAAGTCATGTTCAGAAAATATTTTCGAATAATAGCGGACAATGAAAAAGTTAAAACAGAAAATTTTGCCCCACCCATCCGCCCCGATCTCAACTGTGATGAATTTTTTATTCGTTATGAGATAGGAGGCGGAGCTTAGTTGCAAAGACCATATGTTTGAGATGAAATAGCGAATAAATATTATTCTTATTTTATTAATTTTCATGTCGACGTTGTATTTTTCTGTCTGAGAGACACATAATTTCAGTTTTTTCCGAAATGGGGCTAAATAACTGCTTAAAAAAATTGTTAAAATTCTTCCATTATTTTCAATTATGGATCTCAATCTTGAACTGGGACCGTCAATATGCTATATTTTTAGATTGAGATGAATTTTTAGGCAAGATATGTAAAAAGGTAAATTTTTATAGAAAAATATTGAATTTGCTCCGCCTTTTATTCTGACAGCGAATGAAAAATTTATCGCAACGGGGCCTGGGGAGGGTGGGTGGGGCTTAATCAGTCACGTCTTTTTGTTATTTTTCATTCAACTACACGATACTTAAAATGTGCTTCACATGGTCACTTTTTGTATAGAATAAGCCTTTTACAATTAAGCTCCACCCCCCCCCCCCCCATTCACGACGAATAAAAAAAATCATCGCAATTGAGACGGGGCGGATGGGTGGTGCTTATATTTTGCTTTTTTTTTTTCTTAATACGCACGTAGTAATTTTTTCACAACAAGGAACTTAAAAACATGTTGAAAATGGTAATTTTTGTAGACAAATGTGGATTTTGCTATTAAACTCCGCCCCTCGATCTGACAACAAATAAAGAAATCATTACAATTCGGACATGGGTGGGTGGGTGGGGCTAAATCGTTTCTTTCTTTTTATTAATATATAGTTTTCTTTCTACAACAGAATTACTTAAAACATAATTCGTATCTTAAATTCACCATTCGATATTTTACGTATTTTATTGTTGAAAGAAGACTACGTATATTACGAGAAGAAAATCAAAGGATAAGCCCCACCCACCCGCCCCATTCCAATTGTGATTAATTATTTTATTGGTCGTGAGCCGGGGGCGGAGCTAATAGCAAACTCCTTATTTCTCTACAAGAAATTACCATTAACCATTAAGTATTGTGTTGTCGAAAGAAAACTACATATTAAGAAAAAGAAACCGAAAATTATGCCCCACCCACCCACCCGTATCTCAATTGTGATGAATTTTTTATTCGTTGTGACATAAGAGGCGGATCTTAATGCAAAGTCCGTATGTTTGGGACATTATCGTATTGTTGAAAATAGACTATTAAAAGAAAGTTGGGGAATTAAAATTCTTATTTTTGGCCACCTAGTATTTCTGGAATCGCACTAAACATCTCCTTGACAAAATGGCCAAAATTCCTCCGAAATTTTGTATTATAGCCCTTGATCTTGGACTAGGACTATCAGCATCCCATAATTTTGGATTCAGTTTGTCTAGATCTATCTCCCAGAATGTTTTATGAATTTTTAAGCAACTTCGCGAAATGCCAAATCTTCCAATGCAATGGTAAATTTTTTTATAGAATTAACGAATTGGCAATTATGCTCCCCCTCTCGCTGAGACAACGAATGAAAAATTTATCGCAATTGAGACTGGGGCGGTGGGTGGGGCTTAATCATTGGCTTCTCTTTATTAATCTGTATAGTTTTCTTTCAACAACACGATGCTTAAAACATATTTCACATGGTAACTTCTTGTGGAAAAACTTTAAAATTTTTAGGAAACTTCGCGAAAAACCCACTTTTTCAATTTTGGAATTTTGGACCCCTTCTCCAAAACCTTCAAACTTGTGCGAAAGAATTTTTTTTTTCTATTTCGACCCCTTAAAGTTTTTTAGGGCTTCAGTTCTGTGAAAATTCCTATGATTTTTCCAAAATCGCTAAAATGAAATATGACAATTTTTAAGATATTTTAAAAATTCGACTTTGAAAGAGAATATTTCGAAAACCAGTTTTCACTACGACTTAGGATTTTTCTGTCTGAGAGACACATAATTTCCGCGTAAACAAGATTTTTTTCACAATTTTTGGCCACCCAGTTTCCGAAATGGAGCTAAATAACTGTTAAAAAAAAATTGTCAAAATTCTTCCAGTATTTTCAGTTATGGAGCTCAGTCTTGGACTAGGACCATCATTACCATCAATATGCTATATTTTTAGATTGAGATGAATTTTTAGATAAAATATTGTAAAAGGTAAATTTTTATAGAGAAACATTGAATTTGCAATTATGCTCCGCCTTTCATTCTGACAGCGAATGAAAAATCTATCGCAACGGGGCCTGGGGCGGGTTGGTGTTACTTAATCATTGACCTCTTTTTATTAATCTATATATATTTTTCTTTCAATTACACGATACTTAAAATGTGCTTCACATGGTCATTTTTTGTATAGAATAAGGCTTTTGCAATTAAGCTCCGCCCCCCTGATTCACGACGAATAAAAAAAATCATCGCAATTGAGACGGGGCGGATGGGTGGTGCTTATATTTTGCTTTTCTTTATTAATACGTACGTAATAATATTACGTAGTAATTTTTTCACAATAAGGAACTTAAAAACATGTTGACAATGGTAATTTTTGTAGACAAATATGGATTTTGCTATTAAACTCCGCCCCTCTATCTGACAACAAATAAAGAAATCATCACAATTCAGACATGGGTGGGTGGGTGGGGCTAAATCATTTCCTTCTTTTTCTTAATATAATAGTTTTCTTTCTACAACACGATTTCTTAAAACATAATTCGAATCTCAAATTCACCATTCGATATTTTAGGTATTTCATTCTTGAAAGAAGACTACGTTATATTACGAAAAGAAAATTAAAGGATAAGCCCCACCCGCCCGCTCCATTCCAATTGTGATTAATTATTTTATTGGTCGTGAGCCGGGGGCGGAGCTAATAGCAAACTCCTTATTTCTCTACAAGAAATTACCATGTGTTAAGTATTATGTTGTCGAAAGAAAACTACATATTAAGAAAAAGAAACGGAAAATTATGCCCCACCCACCCACCCGTACCTGAATTGTGATGAATTTTTTATTCTTAACTTTTTTTTGTTAATCTATATTTTTCTTTGAAGTACACGATACTTAAAACATATACTTCACCTGGTAATTTCTTGTATAAAAGAAGGCTTTTGCAATTAAACTCCGCCCCCTGATTCACGACGAATAAAAAATGTATCGCAATTGAGACTGGGATGGGTGGGTGGGGCTTATATTTAGCTTTTTTTATTCTTAATATACGTAGTCATCTTTTCACAACAGGAAACTTAAATTTTTGTAGAGAAATAAATTTGATAATTAAGCTCTGCCCCTCGATCTGACAACAAATGAAAAATTCATAACTATTGAAATATGGGTGGGTGGGTGGGGCTTAAACTTTCAAGAAAAATTGTCCGTCATTACTTGAGGATTATTATGAAAAGGGCTCCAAATTATGCAACATATATACACCAAAGAATGATAATTTTACTCTTATTTATTTTTTCCAAAAAATTTTCTTATTGATTTTTCTGCTACACTAGTCAAGATTTAAACGTTTAATATGGCATGTGTTTTTTGGGTTGCGTGATTTTTCCGCTCTTTTAATAAAATGAAGTTTATAATACTGTAGGCCAGCGAATCTCGACTTTAACCAAAGAAGATTAACAAAATTTGTTAATCAATTGAAAAAAATTTGTTCAAATTTTGTTAATCTTTCCTTTGTGTGTTAAACGCGTACGTTTTTTTTAAGTGTCAAAAACACTGCTATCTGTACTGATTTTAGTAATCAAATGTGGTATTTTCGTGGTTTAGTTGTTTATTTAACTATAACTCACTGAATATCGTCGTCGTTTTATCTGTTTTTTATTTTGCAGCTGGTAATTAAGCGATAATAAAAAAAAAACAACTTGGCAGGGTGACACTTTTTCAAAATCGTCACTCGTCCCGCGCCAAAGTGACATCATCCGATGACCGGCAACCCAGCACGCCCTTCACAAAATCCGCAAAAAATAATCTCAATCGATAGATAATACCGTATTATTAACAATTACATAAGCCGAATTCTATTTATCTCCCCAACATAAATAGTTCCGATATGAAACATCTTGTTATGACAGTTCTCTGAACGATGACTAATAACAATGGCGTGAAGTAGGTTACAAATATTGTCAGCGAGTTGTAGCTGTCGCAGAGGTGGCCGTAGTGTTGTAGCACGCCTCAAGCCCAAGAAACCCATTAATGAGTTACTCTTCACCCAAAACCCACCAAGACTATCACCACAACAATCAATCACATTAAAAACCCCAAAGGTAAGCCAAAACACGACACCCCCATCGAGGTCAATGACTGTTTAAAGCGCCGGCACACTTTACCGAAAAATCGCCCCCTTTTCAGCGAAAATGTCGAAAAAACCGACCGCCCAACCCGCCCTGCATAAGGTCATCATGGTCGGCAGCGGGGGTGTGGGAAAATCGGCCCTAACGCTGCAATTCATGTACGACGAATTCGTCGAAGACTACGAACCCACCAAAGCCGATTCGTACAGGAAGAAGATTCTTCTGGATGGAGAGGACGTGCAAATTGATATTCTGGATACCGCCGGACAGGAGGACTACGCTGCCATCCGGGATAATTACTTCCGTAGCGGCGAGGGGTTCCTGTGTATTTTTTCCATTACGGAGGACGAAAGCTTCCAGGCCACACAAGAGTTCAGAGAGCAGATTCTGAGAGTTAAGAACGACGAAAACATTCCATTTCTGTTAGTTGGTAACAAAAGTGACCTTGAGGATAGGCGAAAAGTGTCGTTTCAAGAGGCTAGCGAGAGGGCGAAGCAATGGGGTGTTCCGTATGTTGAGACGTCAGCTAAGACGAGGGAGCATGTGGATAAGGTGAGCGTGTTTTTGGGGGAATTAATTTTTTTGTGGTGTAAATGAGGTTTCACAGATATTATCTCATTGGTGGGAACTTAGTCATACAATAACAGATAAGGTCAGAGAGCAACTGACACGTTAATAATTATACACTATTTTAATTATTTTTGCGGAACGCATAATTTTCCTTTTTTAGTATCAGGGTGAGTCACTGGTTGATAACGAGTGTTTTTGTAGGTTTTCTATGACTTGATGAGGGAGATCCGCGCCCGCAAAATGGAAGAAAACAAAACGAATAACGGCAGAGGCAAAGATAAAAGTAAAAAAAAGAAATTGAAATGTACCATACTGTAGAATGGTGGGTGTTTGAATGCTTATGCTTTAAGTGTAGTCGTAAACTATTTTCTACGACACGATTGGAATGTTGTAATATATCGTATTTGTATGTTTGTACTTCTTATACTTCAGTTATTTTGATTATAGGATCTATATTAAAGGCACTCTTCAGCCAAATTTATCCACTCATACTTTTAACTCGCATTTTGTTACTCTAGTTTTAAGAGTGTAAATGTGTTTCGTTTTTAAGAAATTATTTATTTTTAAACTTCATTATTGTGTAAAACAGTTTTAAAAAACAACTGTTTTGTTACACAACATTCTACATCACCAGTATTTTTATTTATTGTTATCATTCAGAGACGTTTGCACAATAATGATAGTTATCCATGGCTTTTAATGTAAGAGTAAGTAAATAAGTAAGTAAGAAAAATGAAATGCCTACATGTTTATAGCAATAGAACTTATTGGTTTGGTTAACCTAAAACAGATCTGTAACTTTCGTGGGGGAAGTATATTTTCGTACTTTTCATCAGTAAGTTGTTTTGACATCATTTGTACTGCCAATGCAATATGTTAAATAAAACCTAATCACGTCATAAGTAATTTTATTTCGACGCAAAATGATAGTGGGTAGTACGCTTCAATTGTTTTAATAGCTGACGTCAGTACAGTACAACTGTGAAAAAAAAACGACCTTTAATTGACTCTGGACCAATGAAAAACGTGCTTGTTGGCTCACGTGACCACAATAATGGTTTTGCACGCTTGACGGTGTTTATTTCATGGCTAACCCGATTAGTCACACACAACCACCACAGTGTGTTAAATTTTCTTTTCTTCGATAAATGAACAGATCGCTCATGCGTATTATAGTCAGTTGGTGTAAATGCACCTTTAGCTAATCGCGTAATTGGCTGACAGTTATGACAGAGAACATAGAGAAGCGTCATAGCTTAAATTAAATGAAGGTTGAGGGTGGTTGAGGACTCCTCGACTTATGTTGGCAACGGTGTTTCTCAATTTTTCAATTTCTCGGTTTTCAGTTTTTCTCTTCAATTTTACGATTTTTAAATATTTCGATTTTTCAATTTTTGACTTTTATAAACTCTTTATTTGTCGATTTTTCAATTGATTGATTTTTCAGGTTTTTTGGTTTTTCAATTTTTTCAGGTTTTGATTTTTCAACTTCACTTTTTTAATTTTTCGGTTTCTTAATTTTTAAATTTTTTAATTTCTCAGTTTTTGGACATTTCAGTTTTGGGATTTTTCAGTTTACTTATTATTCAATTTTTCGATCTTACGATTTTGCCGGTTTTCTGATTTTTCGATATCTCAATTTTTTGATTCTTTAGGTTCTCAGTTTTTGGATATTTCAGTTTCGGATTTTTCAGTTTTTCTTTCATTTTTCAGTTTTTCGATATTTCAGTTTTGGGATTTTTCAATATTTCTGTTCTTCGACTTTTCCATTTTCGACTTCTGGATTTTTCGATGTGTTGACTTTTTACTTTTTCGATTTTTAAATTTTAGATTTCTCAATTTTTTTGGTGTTTTAATTTTTCAATATTTAAAATTTTAGATTTTTCGATTTCTCGATTTTTCATTTCAGCTCTTCCATATTTTAATTTTTCAAATGTTTCGATTTTTCGACTTCCCGGTTTTAGATTTTCTGTTTTTCAATTGTCGTTTTTTGAAGTTTTCGATTTTTAGATTTTAGATTTTTCAGTTTTTTGATATTTTAATTTTTCAATATTTAAAATTTTAGATTTTTCGATTTCTTGATTTTTCATTTCAGTTTTTCGATATTTCCGTTTTTCATGTTTTCGAATTTTTCAAATGTTTTGATTTTTCGACTTCCCAGTTTTAGATTTTCTATTTTTCAATTGTCGTTTTTTCAAATTTTCGATTTTTCAAATTTGACATTTATAAGCTGTCAATTTTTCGATTTTTCAATTAATCGATGTCTTGATTTTCCCATTTCTTGACTTTCGAGGGTTTCAATATTCTTGTTCTTCAATTCTTTAATTTTTCGATTTTTAATTTTTTATTTTTTTTAAGGTTTCGATTTTTCGACTTCACTTTTTAGATTTTTGGATTGCTCAATTTTCCGACTATTTAGGTTCTTAGTTTTTGGATATTTCAGTTTTCGCATTTTTCAGCTTATTAGATTCTCAGTTTATCTTTCATTTTTCAGTTTTTCGATATCTCAGTTTTGGGATTTTTCAATATTTCGATTCTTCGACTTTTCGATTTTTGACTCCTGGATTTTTCGATGTGTTGATTATTTTACTTTTTAGATTTTTCAATTTTTCGATTTTCAATTCTAAATTTTGTAATTTTTAAAATTTTTGATTTTTCAAGTTTTCGAATTTTTCAAATGTTTTAATTTCTTAATCTATCGATTTTTCGACTTCCCGGTTTTAGATTTTCTCTTTTTCAATTGTGTATAATCGAAAAACTATAAATTCGAAAAATTTCAAATTAAAAATTGAAACATTAAAAAAAAATTATTGGAAAATCGAAAAATTAAAAAATTCCGAAGTTGAAAAATCGAACAAATGAAAAATCGAAAAAAAAATGCAAAACTGAGAAACTGAAAAATCCGAACACTGAAAAATCAAAAATTGGAAAATCGAAAAATTGGAACACTGAAACTTCAAAAAACTGAAAAACTGGAAAATCGAAAAATTGAAAAATCCAAAAATTTAAGTAGAAAATCGAAAAATTGCAAACCAAAAAACTGTAAATTTGAAAAATTTCAAAATAAAAATTAGAAAATTAATAATCGACAAACTGAAAAATTCAAAAATTAAAAATCGGAAAATTGAAAAGTCGATGAACTACAATCGAAATATTGAAAAATCTAAACATTGGGGAATTGAAAAACTGATACACTGAAACATCGAAAAATTGAAAGATTCATAATCGAAAAATTGCAAATCGACAAACTAAAGAAACGAAAAAATTTGACAATTAAAGAATTCAAGTTGAAAAACCGAAAAACTGAAAATCGAAAAAAATTCTAACAAATGTACAAATGGAAAAACTATAAGTTCGAAAAAATTCAAAATAAAAAAAGAAACGAAATGGAAAATCGAAAAATTAAAAAGTTGAAAAAGCGAAACATTGCAAAATTGAGAAACTGAAAAATCGGGACAGTGAAATATTAAAAAATGGAAAATCGAAAAACTAATCGAAATAGTGAAAAATCTAAACCCTGGAAAATCATAAAATTGTAACACTGAAACTTCCAAAAATTGAAAAGCTGAAGAATCCCGGTTTTAGATGTTCTGTTTTTCAATTCTCGTTTTTTCAATTTTTCGATTTTTAAATTTTAGATTTTTCGATTTCTCGATTTTTCATTTCAGTTCTTCGATATTTCCGTTTTTAATGTTTTCGAATTTTTCAAATGTTTTGATTTCTTAATCTATCGATTTTTCGACTTCCCGGTTTTAGATTTTCTGCTTTCAATTGTCGTTTTTTCAATTTTTCGAATTTGGCATTTATAAACTGTCAATTTTTCGATTTTACAATTAATCGATATTTTGATTTTCCTGTTTCTTGACTTTCGAGGGTTTCGATATTCCTGTTCTTCAATTGTTTAATTTTTCGATTTTTCATTTTTTAGTTTTTTTAAGGTTTCGATTTTGCGACTTCACTTTTTGGATTTTTCGATTGCTCAGTTTTTCGACTTTTTAGGTTCTCAGTTTTTGGATATTTCAGTTTTCGGATTTTTCAGGTTATTAGAATCTCAGTTTATCTTACATTTTTCAGTTTTTCGATATCTCAGTTTTGGGATTTTTCAATATTTCGGTTCTTCGACTTTTCGATTTTTGACTCCTGGATTTTTCGATGTGTCGATTATTTTACTTTTTAGATTTTTCAATTTTTCGATTTTAAATTTTAGATTTTTTAATTTTTAAAATTTTAGGTTTTTCGTTTTCTAGATTTTTCAGTTCAGTTCTTCGATATTTGAATTTTTCAAGTTTTCAAATTTTTCAAACGTTTCGATTTCTTAATCTTTTGATTTTTCGACTTCCCTGTTTTAGATTTTCGGTTTTTCAATTGTCATTTTATCAAATTTTCGATTTTTTAATTTTTCAAATTTGACTTTCATCTCTCAATTTTTCGATTTTTAAATTAATCGATGTTTTGATTTTCCCATTTCTTAACCTTCGAGTGTTTCGATTTTCCTGTTCTTCAATTCTTTAATTTTTTGATTTTCGGGTTCCTGATTTTTCACTTTTTTGATTTTTCGATTTTTCAGTTTTTACATATTTCAGTTTTAGGATTTTTCAATATTTCAATTCTTCGACTCTTCTGTCTTTGACTTCTGGATTTTTCGATGTGTCTACCTTTTTACTTTTTCGATTTTTCAATTTTTGGATTTTTAAATTTTAGATTTTTCAATCTTTTGATATTTTAATTTTTCAATATTTTTTAATCTTTCGATTTTTCGACTTCCAGGTTTTAGATGTTCTGTTTTTCAATTTTTCGATTTGTTAATTTTTCAATCCCGATTTATCGAGATTTGATTGTTCAAGTTTTCGATTTATTAGTTTTTCAATTTTTTATTTTGGCCTATTTCGATTTCTCAGATTTTCCAGTTTTCCATTTTTTCCTTTTTTGATTTTTCCGCTTTTCCAATATTTCAACTTTTAACTTTTTGTTTGTCGATTTCTCTATTTTTCGACTTCATCACTTTTCGATTTCTCGTTCTTTTGATCTTTCAATCTCTCAATTTTTCAATTTTTCGAATTTTTAAGTCTTTTGATTTCTCGATTTATCGAGATTTGGATTTTTCGATATTTTGATTGCCAACTTGTCGATTTATAAATTGTTCAATTTTTAACTTTTCGATTTTGGCCTATTTTGGTTTCTCAATTGTTCGACTTTTCGACTCTATGATTTCTTGATCTTTGGATTTTTCGATTTCTCGGTTTTCGATTTTCCAGTTTTTCGATGTTTCGATTTTTCAGTTATCCGATTTTTTAAATTTGGGAGTTACGATTTCTCGATTTTTCGTTATTCGGTTTTTAAATTTTAGATTTTTGAATTTGACATTTTTTCGATTTTCTGAAGTTTGATTTTTCGATTTTCAGTTCTTCGATATTTCAATTTTTCAATGTTTCAGTTTTACGATTTTTTTAAAGTTTCGATACTTCGACTTCACTTTTTTGATTTTTCGATTCTTTAGGTTCTCAGTTTTTGAATATCGCAGTTTTGGGATTGTTCAGTTTTTCTTTCATTTTTCAGTTTTTCGATATTCCAGTTTTGGGATTTTTCAATATTTCTGTTCTTCGACTTTTCCATTTTTGACTTCTGGATTTTTCAATGTGTTGACTTTTTACTTTTTCGATTTTCAAATTTTAGATTTCTCAATTTTTTGGTATTTTAATTTTTCAATATTTAAAATTTTTGATTTTTCGATTTCTCGATTTTTCATTTCAGCTCTTCCATATTTTAATTTTTCAAATGTTTCGATTTTTCGACTTACCGGTTTTAGATTTTCTGTTTTTCAATTGTCGTGTTTTCAGATTTTCGATTTTTCAAATTTGGCATTTATAAACTGTCAATTTCCTCGAAATCGAAAATTTAAAACATTGAAAAATCCAAATATGGGAAAATTGTAAAATGGATAAAGAGAAATCGAAACATAAAAAAATCAAAAAAATAAAAATTGGAAAATCTAAAATTTAAAAATCGAGAAATTGAACAATCGGTTCATTCAAAAATTAAAACAGCGAAAAATTGGAAAATCGAAAATTTAAAAATTCCGGAAATTGAAATATAGAAGAACTGAACTCAAAAAATCGAAAAAACCTAGTATTTTAAAAATTGAAAAGTTAAAATTGAGGCATCGAAAAATTGAAAAATCACAAAATTGAACGAAATATCCAAAAATTAGGAAATTAAAAAATTGAGAAACAGAAAAGTCAAAAAAACAGAGTCGAAAAATCGTAAACTTAAAAAATCGAAAAACTGAAGAACTGAAAAATCGAAACTTTGGGAAGTGGAGAAATGGAGAAATGGGAATATAAAAAATTAGAATAAAGGAGAAATCCGAAAACTGAAAATTCAGAAACGTCAAAATTTGAAAAAAAAAAATATATTGAAGAAATGAAAAATCGAAAATTTAAAACATTGAAACGTTAAAATATCGTAAAATTGAAAATGGAGAAATCCAAACATCAAAAAATCAAAAAAATAAAAAATCGAAAATCTCAAATTTAAAAATCGAAAAACTGAAAAATCAACGAATCGAGAAGTCGAAAATTTAAAAAATTGGAAAATTGAAAAATCGGATAAATCAAAAATCGAAACATCGAAAACTCGAGAAACTGAAAAGCAAAAAATCAAAATATCGTAAAATTCAAAAACTGAGACATCGATAAATCGAAAAATCAAAAGACCAAAAAATCGAGAAGTCGAAAAATCGAAAAATTGAGAAACCGAAATAGGCCAAAATCGAAAAATCGAAAACTTAAATATGGAAAAATTGATAAAGCGAGAAATTGAACAATCAAAACATCGAAACATTCGAATTTCAATAAATCGAGATCTCAGAAAATTGAAAAATTCGGAAAATTGAAAAATTAAAATATGGAAAAGTTGAAAAATTGAGAAATTGAAATATAAAACAATCGAAAAATTGAAAAATCGAAAGTATAAAAAACGAAAAACTGAAAACCAACAATAAAAAATCGAAAAATCTAGAAGTCGAAAAATCAAAGAATCGAAATATTGAAAAATATCAAAAATGAAAGAAATATCCAAAAATTGAGAAATCGAAAAACCAATAAAGCGAAGTCGAAAAATCGATTCGTTTTTTGATTTTTCCGCTTTTCCAATTTTTAACTTTTTGCTTGTCGATTTCTCTATTTTTCGATTTTTCGACTTCATCACTTTTCGATTTCTCGTTCTTTTGATCTTTCAATCTCTCAATTTTTCGAATTTTTAAGTTTTTTGATTTCTCGATTTATCGAGATTCGGATTTTTCGATATTTTGATTGGCAATTTCTCAATTTATAAATTGTTCAATTTTTAACTTTTCTATATTTCGATTTTGGCCTATTTCGGTTTCTCAATTGTTCGACTTTATCTTTTGATTTTTCGATGTTTCGATTTATCAGTTATCCGTTTTTTTAAATTTGGGAGTTTCGATCTCTCGATTTTTCGTTATTCGGTTTTTGAATTTTACATTTTTTCGATTTCTGATGTTTCATTTTTCGATTTTCAGTTCTTCGATATTTCGATTTTTCAATGTTTCAGTTTTACGATTTTTTAAGGTTTCGATTTTTCGATTATTAGATTTCTCGAATTTTCGATTATTTTAATTTTTCATTTTTTTTTCTCACTGTTAATATCATACAGTGTATCGAAAACAACCACAAAAATTGTCACTAAAAACATTTAAAAATTCATACAAAATAGAACAATGTTTTCAAAACATTTTCCCGAAAAAAATCCATTGGATTATTACGATTTTAACAATATTCTTAGTTGAAGACGTTTTGCTAGTATAAAACACAAATAAAGAACTAATTCTTAGTAAAACAAAATATGTAAAATCATCTAAAGATGTACCAAAAATATTCACTTAGTTGTTATAAAAACCGACTAAACAACTATTTCCCGCAGAAATTATAGTCCAAACCAACCAAATCGCTTCTGAACGCTTAGAGTCGACATTGGCCTGAGCGCGCTCTGGTCTGTAGATAAAACAAGTTCTCAGGCGACGAGTTGTAGTGAAACAAGTTTTTTTATTGGCATCGACTATTTAAATTTGGCGCTTGAGGATTCCAATAAGGGTGGTTTAGCAAAATCAGCCTGTATGTCGCATCTATATTAATCTATGAATACACCATCCATGTTAGAGTCTTTATTTTTCTTAAGATTAGCAATTTTAATATAAACTGTTATTTACAACATTTACAAAGAAGATAACAAATCACTAAAGAGCGTGTCGGGTTGATCTTTGATTTTATTAAAATTCTCAATGAACGTCTCCTTTTGCTTCTCGTTCGTTAGATTCTTATAGAAATCGGACCCCGCTATACACAGCATTTTCCTGTCTTCATACTCATACCGCCCCACACGTATCTGTACATACGGAAAAAATAGCCGCAACCACTCATTGGAGCTCGCACTAATGAAGAAACACGTCAGACACCACGTGGCCATCCCCACAGACAACGACTGCGTGAAATTGGAAAGACTAAAAACCACCCAATCTTGGAGCAAAGGCAGCTGTTTCTCTTCAATCGCTCTTTCGAAAACCTGCAAACCTAACTGAAGCTACGTTTTCTCCCAATAATTACTTACCCTAAAAACGACTTTACTTAGCAATTTGGGGTGTGGTTGCTGCGGCGACAAAAACTCCCCTATCACTTTAGTCAGAATATCAGCCGGTGAGAAAAAGTCGTTCAAAATATCAGGTAACACGTGACACAAAATTTCAACCTCGAAAACATAACCGCGCTTAATGTGCTCGAAAATGGCTGATATTTTTTCAATGGTTTGTACTAAATGGTCTGGGTTGGTTTGCGAACCGACGGCTTTGAGGTGTTCTGAACAATCTGTAAAAACCTACAAGTAACAACGATTTTTTTTAAACATATATGTACCTGTATACATATAAGTGAGAAGCAACTGAATCCCGAGCATCGAAACATACGGATTTTCGCTTTTAGTCTTCTCCATTGCCAAAGTCATTATTTGTTTGCCAGTGTTTTGGGTGATATTTTTCTTAAAAATGACCAATCTTTCAAGCGCCTTCATTAACACGGTTTGTAACGTATTGGTGGGTTTTTGTTGGAGCAAAACCATGAAAGCTGTGTGCATTGTGTTGTTAACGAAGGTGGATTCCAGGTGGATTTCGTCGACGTTTTCGATGAGAAAAAACGCCAAAGTCCATACTAACACAGTGTGTTCTTGTGACCGTTTTAATATCCTGAAACGTGCGTCATGAAGATTTGTTTTATCACGAAATGGGGGACCTACTCGTTGTTTGTGTTCAAGTTACACTGCACATATTCCACCGCGCATGGCAAAATTATCTGCATTTCTTCCGAAATTCCACCGATACTAATATTGCTCAACTTACACCCTTCCAAAATGTAGAGTAATCCGTGCAAACACGCCATTCTCGACGGGAGAAACGAACTTTTTAAGTATTGCACCAAAGTTTTTTTGATGTTTTCGTAAATTTCCAAATCCTGAAACGAGATGGCGCTTTAGTGGCAGTGTTGTCAGATTTCGCTACATACCGGTGTTAACACAGCCACAGCCTTACAAATTCCAATGATCAAATACTGGTGCAACAATTCGTCCTCAACAGTGTGCACTTTTGACAGTTCTAAAAACACCTCCAACATCCAATTGAACTGGGACTTGTCGGTGAACAGATCGGAGATGATCACAGTCGATCTGACTATTTCGTGAAGGAATCTCACCGGTGTTGTGAGCTGCAAAAATTCAACAGCTACTAAATTCTTACAACCAAATTAAACAAAAATTGATCGAAGGTTATTTCAACAGAACTTCCCTCGAGTTTTCGTTTTTAAATTTTCCAGTTTCCCGATTTTCCAACTTTTGGGCGTTTCAATTTTTAGATTTTGCACTTTTTCGATTTAGAATTTCACGAGTTTTCAATTTTTGATTTTTCAAATTTTAGATTTTTCAGTTCTTCATAATACTAGCCCCGCCCACCCACCCTTTATTTTCTTAGAGGGTATATAATTTGCCACAATCAGTCTTACCTTAGCAAGTACTGACTTGAAAAAAATTGAAAACTCGGGAAATTTTAAATCGAAAAAACTAAAAAAGAAAAAACTGTAAAAATTAAAATTGAAGAAACAAAAATGATCAAATCGAATCGTTGAAAAAATTAAGAGAATAAAAAACCGAAACGAAAAATTGAAATCCCGAGAAATTCAATACGAAAAATTCAAACAACATTGAAAAAAGAAAAATCATGAAATCAGAACACTGAAAATCCGAAAAATTGAAAAAATAAAGAAAATAAAAAACCGAAACGAAAAATTACAAATCGAAAATTTGAAGAAATGGAAAATTAAAGGATAGAAAAATTGAAAGATTAAAAATTGAAAACACGTGAAATTGCAAATCTAAAAATTCTAAGCAGTAGACAACCGCCCACCCACCCCCTCTTCATTCCAATGACTACTCTTACTATTGTTGCGTCTTATTTTAGCAAATTTTAGCCCCACTCTTCCGTCCACTATTTTCTTAGTCATTTGCCGGTGAGTGTATTTCATTTGTTAATTTCTTGTAGAGAAATGAGGATTAAACTAAACTCCGCCCTTCAGCTCACGATTAATAAAATATGTATTCATCACAATTGAGAAGGGGTGGGTGGGCGGGGCTTATATTTAGTTCATTTTTTCTTAATATGCGAAGTCTTCTTTTCCCAACAAGAAACTGATAATATATTTAACTATCCTGTTGTTGAGAGAAAACTCTATATATTAAAAAAAAAGCCCCACCTACCTGCCCGATCTCAATTGTGATTAGGTTTTCATTCGTAATCACAGCGAAGGGCGGAGTTTAATTGTAACGTCAATATTTCTCTAAGAAATTCAATCCTTTTAAAAATCTATTTCATATCGTAATTTCTTGTAGAGAAAGAAATGAGGATTTTACACCTAAACTCCGACCTTCAGCTCACAATGAATACAATATTCATCACAATTGAGAACGGGTGGGTGGGCGGGGCTTATATTTGGTCCATGTTTTCTTAATATCCGAAGTCATCTTTTCTCAGCAAGAAACTGACAATATGTTTAATTGTCCTGCTGTGTCCTGTTGTTACAAGAAAACTCTATATTTAAAAAAAAATTAAGCCCCACCCACCCGCCCGATCTCAATTGTGATGAATGCGTGAATTTATTTTATTGATTTAATCAGGAACTGCAAAACCGAATCCTCTGAAATCTTGCAGAAGTTTTAAAGTTATCATAAGCATGGTAAATTATTATTAATCAAAATGTATTTGCTCATCCCCGCTAAAAAATTGATGACGTCACCTCAAAATATCGCTGTATATATCCTATCTTTAATGTTTAAAATATGATGAGTCTATACTTGTGATTATTTTTAATATATAACTAATATTTTTTTAAATTTGGTTATACACGGTGTCTCAGAAAAATTAATGACTGAGTTGTTAAAAAATAAATATCCAATCAGATTTAGGAATTTAACTCCTTCTTTTGGAAATATGCAACTTAACACCTTTTAAATTTAACAAGTTTTTTCAAGATTAATAGGGGCAAAATCAGTCTTATCTTAGCAATTGCTAGCCCCGCCCACCGCACTTTCTCAGAGTTTGTCATTTGCCAAAATAATTTTTACCTTTGCAAGTACTAGCCCCGCCCACTCCCCCTCTATTTTCTCCGAGGGTATGGCGTCTGCCAAAATCAGTCTTATCTGAGCAAAAATTAGCCCCGCCCACCCGCCCTCTATTTTCTCCGAGGGCATGGCGTCTGCCAAAATCAGTCTTATCTGAGCAAATATTAGCCCCGCCCACCCGCCCTCTATTTTCTCCGAGGGTATGGCGTCTGCCAAAATCAGTCTTATCTGAGCAAATATTAGCCCCGCCCACCCGCCCTCTATTTTCTCCGAGGGTATGGCGTCTGCCAAAATCAGTCTTATCTAAACAAGTATTAATAAAATATTCATCCCAATTGAGAAGGGGTGGGTGGGCGGGGCCTATATTTGGTCCATTTTTTCTGAATATGCAAAGTCTTTTTTTCCCAACAAGAAACTGACAATATATTTAACTACCCTGTTGTTGAAAGAAAATTCGATATATTAAAAAAAAAACAAGATTAAGCTCCACCCACCCGTCCCGATCTCAAATGTGATGAATTTTTCATTTGTTATTAGACTGAGGGGCGGAGTTTAATTGTAACATCAATATTTCTCTAAAAAATTCTATCCTTTGAAAAACATATTTCATATGGTAATTTCTTGTAGAGAAAGAAATGAGGATTTTGTACCTAAACTCCGCCTTTCAGCTCACAATGAATAAAGTATTCATCACAATTGAGAAGGGGTGGGTGGGCGTTGCTTATATTTTGTCCAGTTTTTTTAATATGCGAAGTCTTCTTTTCCCAACGAGAAACTGACAATATGTTTAACTATCTTGTCGTATCCTGTTGTTGAAAGAAAACTTTATACACTAAAAAAAAATAAGCCCCACCCACCCGCCCGATCTCAATTGTGATGACTTTTTCATTCGTAATCAGACCGAAGGGCGGAGTTTAACAGTAACATCAATATTTCTCTAAAAATTATGTCATTTCTATCCTTTAAAAACATATTTCATATGGTAATTTCTTGTACAGAAAGAAATGAGGATTTTGCAACTAAACTCCGCCCTTCAGCTCACGATGAATAAAATATTCATCACAATAGAGAAGGGGTGGGTGGGCGGGGCTTATATTTTGTCCAGTTTTTCTTAATATGCGGAGTTTTCTTTTCGCAACAAGAAACTGACAATATGTTTAACTATCCTATAAAATCCTGTGGTAGAAAGAAAACACTATATATTTAAAAAAAAATAATATTTTTTAAATTTGCTTATACAGGGTGTCTCAGAAAAATTAATGACTGAGTTGTTAAAAAATAAATATTCATTCTGATTTAGGAATTTAACTCGTTACTTTGGAAATATGCAACTTAACACCTTTTAAATTTAACAGTTTTTTCAAGTTTAATAGGGGCAAAATCAGTCTTATCTTAGCAATTGCTAGCCCCCTCCTTTCTCGGAGTTTATGTCATTTGCCAAAATAATTTTTACCTTTGCAAGTACTAGCCCCGCCCACCCCCCTCCTCTATTTTCCTCCGAGGGTATGGCGTCTGCCAAACTCAGTCTTATCTAAGCAAGTATTAATAAAATATTCATCCCAGTTGAGAAGGGGTGGGTGGGCGGGGCTTATATTTGGTCCATTTTTTCTTAAAATGCGAAGTCTTCTTTTCATAACAAGAAACTGACAATAAGTTTAACTATCCTGTTGTTGAAAGAAAACTCTATACATTACAAAAAAATTAAGCCCCACCCACCCGCCCGATCTCAATTGTGATGAGTTTTTCATTTCTAATTAGACCGAGGGGCTGAGTTTGATTCTAATATCAATATTTTTCTAAAAAATTGTATATTTACAATTCTATTAAAAACATATTTCTTATGGTAGTTTCTTGTAGAGAAAGAAATGAGGATTTTGTACCTAAACTCCGCCTTTCAGCTCACAATGAATAAAGTATTCATCACAATTGAGAAGGGGTGGGTGGGCGGGGCTTATATTTTGTCCAGTATGTGAAGTCTTCTTTTCCCAACAAGAAACTGACAATATGTTTAACTGTCATGTTATTGAAAGAAAAAAAAACAAAAATTAAGGCCCACCCGCCCACCCGATCTCAATTGAGCTTTTCATTCCCAATCAGACCGAAGGGCGGAGTTTAAATGTAACATCAATATTTCTCTAAAAATTTCTATCCTTTTAAAAACATATTTCATATGATAATTTCTTGCACAGAAAGAAATGGGGTTTTGCAACTAAACTCCGCCCTTCAGCTCACGATGAATAAAATATTGATCACAATTAAGACAGGGTGGGTGGGCGGGGCTTATATTTTGTCCCGTTTTTCTTAATATGCGAAATCTTCTTTTCCTAACAAGAAACTGAAAACATGTTTAACTACCCTGTTGTTGAAAGAATATTCTATATATTAAAAAAAAAAAAAAAAAACTAAGATTAAGGCCCTCATTCGTCGTTAGACCGTGGGGCGGGGCGTAATTGCAAAATACATATTTCTCTTTTGATTTGAATGAGTTTGTCTTCTCAAAACAGAGGACTAAAATTATTAGTTAAACTACAATCGAACAAAATGTTGTGGATATGAACATTATAATTCTTATTCTTCTACACGATATTTCTAACATGCATATGAAATATAACACTCGGTCTAGCAGTTTCGAAGATTACGTGTCTAATAAAAATGACAGACAGACAGACAGACAGACGGAAACGGCTCAGCTCGCGCTCGGGCAGTAAAAATACCTGATTTTTCAGCAACTGCGTGTAATAATCCAGCAAAAACTGCAAACACGAATTAATATCCAAACCACTACTCTCCAGCAAGCTTTCTTTATGCTCCCAAATCTTCGCCGTCTGACAATTATCTTCAATTTCGACCGTTTTAGTCGCCACCAGTAAATATTTAACCGACATCTGACTATACGAATAGTGCTGAAACCGCTTCTCCAAATTCGGGTGTTTGAAAATATTCAAAACCTTCGGTAGGTAGTTTTCTTCTAAATGTTTCGTCTCAATCGCGTGTTGTATCCTCTTCAGTTTCTCAACTCTGAAAAACCGGTTTAGTTTACAAACGAGCGAGTGCGAATTTTACCCAATGGAAGCTGGCGTGGCCGGCTCGGATCTGGACACATGAATCAGCTGCGACACGTTGGTTTGACCGGGTACTGGAAAGTACAACGTCTGTACTAAGAGTGCAGTTATGGCTTTAACCGCTAAACTGGATGCGTGAATCACGTATTGTAACATTAGGGCGTCTTTATCGTCGAAATTGTTACACAAAACGCTGAGTAAGCACATCCAGGTTTCTTCGAATTGTTGTCTGGATGTCCACCCCAGTAACGTGATTCTGAAATTTATTGTCAGACAATTGTGTGACAGTTAGTTTCAGTTACCGATAGATGAATTCTTCTAGAATGTCGACTTCTTGGAGGAAATCAATTGGTAGTGGAGGGACTTGGGTATGGAAAGGACCCACCAATTCCGGCGACCAGCCGCTTTTCCAAACTTGCGCCGGTATGACAATGTAGGAGTTGACTAGAGGCAGTCTGGATAACGATATAATCGTGTTTTTGATCGGTTTAAAAATAAACTTTGGAATAGTTAAGCGTGAACCTTGACTTTTATACAACCACGTTACTAAAATATAAAGTTGGTAACAAGTTTCACCTACCGAGACCGTTTCGATATTTTCTAGCGACGTTTGTAGCCCGTACTTGGGAATCACGGGCAGACACTTTTTACTAGGTAACAGATACTCTACTAACTTGTATAGACTATTAACGGCGGAACACAACCATGATATGTGAGTATTCAGGCTCAGTATACTACATAAAGTTTTTTCTTTAAGTACGACCTCCGCACAATGTATAGCCAAATCGATATAATTTATATTAAAATTTGTATCGTTACTGATCAAGTAGTTTATTGATTCTAAACAAATTACACCAAACTTAACGACAGTTTCGGAATTGTTGTCAGAAAGTTGAGGTAGGTGAGGTAGGGATTCGACAAAGAAACTTATCGAGGGGATGATTTCGTAAAGTAAGTCGGTGAAGGTGGAGTCGTGGAAGAGCGCTGACAACTTTGACGAAAATTCGACTTCCGAAGTGGACGCGTCTCGTCCTTGGACATTGTAGACCTACAACAATCGCGTTATTGTGGCCGATTTTGACAAGAAAAACGACAACCTGATGTGGCTGCGGAATTCGGTCACAAATCTTCTTAACTTCATCGAGTAAACATTCGACGGACGCTCGAATTAAGGGTGACTCGCTTGTCCCGACTGAGTTCAACCCCAATCGGAGACACTCTTTAAAAAGAACTTTACAGAAATCCCCACTTTTCAAAAAACTGATTAGTTCTTCATAACTTAAGCGACTTAAAAGCTGCACTGTTTCTTTATTGGTACACTTTTTTCTAAGCTGTGACAAAAACCAAGTTTTGTTAATTTGGAGTTTCTTTATGTAGCCAGGATTGACGCAGCGTTTTTGGTCGAACTCCAACGGACTGATATCGTAGTACTGCGTACACAGCTTATTTAAAAGACTGGACAAAGCTTCGTGTCTATAACCACACAATTAATTTAATTTAAAACAACAAATCGACTCACTTTTTAATAAGCTTCAAAGTAACCATTTTTTTAATCATTCCGAGTAAGTCTTCCTTGACTAACTGCTCGTTTACTTCGGTCATCGACATAGTTAGAAGTAGCTCGATTTTCCGACTTGCTAAGTTAGCTACAGATCTAGACACCGCACGTTCACGCGACAACAACAACTTTGGTAGTAAAAGTTTCAACAAATGACCCGTGTGACTGGGATGGGTGTTTTCCACCGATTTTAAAATTTTCAGGATGAACACAGGCTGCACCAATACAAAATTAGCAAATATTTTAACACCCACGAGACTTACATCACACAATGCGATATCCTGACCCATCAAACTATCTATGAAGATTTTACTAGCGCTACTGTTGCGATGTATTGACGAAATAAACTCCGAAATTGGGTCTTCATCACGCAGTTCCACGATTCGAACAACGTGGCTGTGCAAAAACCACGACAACTGTTCGATTTTAAACGTATCCTGATTCTTAAAAAATCGTCACATAATCGTGCATTAATAAATTCGGGACTCACCAAATAGTCGCAGAACAAAATCACACTCCCTGTGGACAAAATCTTCCGATTCATCGCCGCTGACTCCAAAGTAGTCACTTCCGACCAAAACCCGTGGTCGTTGTAATTCAACAAAGTCAAAACGTAGCACCACAGGAAAATCAAAACGGGATACTCGGTTGCCACTTTCAAAAAATTGTTACTGATTTCGTCTAGGTGGAACGCTTTGGTGTTGGAAATGGCATACACGGCAATTTTACAATGACTACCTGCACACCCAATTGGTTAAAATAAAAACACTTAAGTCACTTTTACCTGATTGGAAAATATGGACACAATACATGAGTAAAATTGACACTTCTTCTACTAAAAAATCGTCTCCGGGTTTTTCAGAACATCTCCTGGACGCCAATCCAAGAATTTTAAACAAGTAACGCACGAAAATCATCTCTGCCGGAATATCGTGAAAAATATCGACGCTATTTAACACATTTAACGGGTCCGCTTTTGGTACGTATTTCTCGAAGACGCACCCTGGCGCAAAGTCGGCTTTCAGTTCGTTAATTTTTGATATGAGTATTTCTTCTTTTAGTGGCGATATGACTAAAACGGCGATTAAAACTTTGGCTAGTCGGCGAGTGAAACTCGGGCGCCAGTTTTCCTACAACGAGAAACAACAACATCAACCCCACTCACACCAAACAAAATTACATAATTCAACGACTCCTGAAAAACCATCAGTATGACGGCATCCACGGGATCGAAAACCGACGGTTCCAAAACAAACAGCAACTTTCTTAGCGAAATCAGGGATTGGATGTCGTCCAGTCTGATTTTGTTTTGGCGCAACATTGGTAGAACGACGTCGACGACTTGTGTTGACCACCTTAACCACTTCTCCGAGTTGTTACAATACTTACTGTCGTCCAAAATCAACACTATTAAGTCTATGACTTCGTGGTGTTCGTACAGTCGGAGTAACATCGAAAGCACCACGTCTCTCGTGGTTTCTAGTTCTTTGGCGTCCACGGTGTTCGATTTGTTTCGCGTTAGAAAAATATTTTCGACGATGGGTTCCAGTGCCGGGATGCAGTGAGTCAAAGGCGACTGTTCGCTCGCCATTAACCCGTCACACAAGTGAATTATTTTCGGTATTGTAATAATACTTTTAGAGTGTTGTTTGCTATGAGAAAGTTGTACTAAAAACTGAAAGATTTTTTTAATTAATTCGTTCGCCGACCTAGTAAACATATAGTTACTAACGTATGAGCAAGAAAGTGTGGGTCTTACGAAATTTGTCCTTTTTCGATATAGTCGAACTGCTTTAGCACGAAACCGATGAAAATCTGCTCAGAATCGAGAAGACAATAGTTCACTCTGAGTTGGATTAGTTGGTTGAGTAGTTGCAGGACTTTACACTGAAGTCGTACGTCACTCGTAACAGTGTAGTGCTTAAAACCGTGATTACACACTACAAAATTTCAAATAACTACTTACTTTCAACGACTTAATCACCATGGGTTCGAAAATCCGGATATAATTGGCTAAAATTTTATCAGAGCTGCGCGATATTAAAGGCTTGACGTCCTTCCTGTGTAAATACCCCATCACAGTGTAGTCGCCGTCGCACTCAACTTTATGTATATTTTTAAACGAGTTGAAACAACTAGCTACATCGTCGTACGATTTTTGAAACACGTTATAATAAAAACCGTGAAAGTGTCCCTCCACGGGGCTCTCGTGCCCGCAATTTAGTTTCACCTCGCCAATATTACTGGTTAAATTATTACCAAACAAACACTTAAGTAGTTGCTGCACGCACTCGACCGTCGCTGACGCTTCCAAAGCAAACGTGAACCGAAAATAACTCAAAATTTCCTCTGCTATCCCCTGAAACTCGACTAACGTCCCCACTTCCATTAAAACCGAAAACGAGTGAAGTATTTGGCGTAATAAACCCAGAAACTTCTCACACGATTCCGACTCTAGTGTAACTTTGTAGTTGGTGTAGGCTTGCCGCATTATGTCGTAAATTTTAATATAGTGCGGCAGATGCACGAAACTCCCGATCGTATTCGGCTTCAAACTATCTTTCTTTTCTTTGTCTTCTTTTTCCGGGGTTTTACTAGGACTTAGTACCTTTTTATCTAAGTCGCTTTTGCGTCGTTTGATTGGAGACGACGCCGATAGGTTAGACAAGACGGGTTTGGATTGCAGCTGGCTTGGAATGACGTCTTCGAGCACGTAGTGCAAAATGTTGAGTAGTTTTATCATGTGACTTAAGTAGTGTTCGGTGAGTTTGGAGAATTTCGGGTTGGAGAACATGTCCCAGGGTTTGTTTGACATTTCAGCTTCAGATATAGGTTTCAATAAACAAAGGGAGTACCCTATTACAAAAATAGACAACAGTTTTCAAAACAACTAATTAATACTCACCAGCATACAAATTGGAAGACAGATTCATCAAATTAAGGTGGCACGTTAAATCGTAACTTAGAACGGAATGACTCAAAAGGTGCACACAGATATTAAACAAGTCTAGAGTGACTTCTGAGTTTTCTTTGTCTTTTTCTGTGGAAGTTGGCAGTTTGCAACAGTTCCACGATCGTGCGTAGACAGTAGTGGGGTATGCGGTAGACAATAGTGACAGTGTTTCAATACAGCCGTACTAAAAATACAACAGTCACAAAGTTTGGGTACACTTTACTAATTTATACTTACAATCAAATAATTCGATGTTGCAGTTAGTAAACAATGATACAATTTAGTAACAATTTTTGATAAAGCAAATTCAATTTTATCACAGCTCTTTTGCTCTATCTCGCTAAATGGAAAAGGCATGTTGTCAACAAGGTGTTTCTTGTTGAGATTAATTCCCTCACTGTGGTCGCACAAATTCGACAGATACAATTTTTTATAGTAGATGGCCTTAGTTGTCACCGAATTTTCTTTCAAATGGAATTGTTCGTAATACAAGTGTGGTATTATCCTGAAATAAACACATTTGCCGCCTCGTCAAAATAAGGATTATAATACAAGCGTGACGTGCCAGCCAATGGCGTCGCACTAATACCAGGTGTCCATATTTTCTGAGAGGGTATGTGATCAGTCTTATTCTAGCTAGTAACTGCTAAGATAAAACTGATTTTGGCAAATGACATACCCTCTGAGAAAACAAATGAAACAGTCGAAAAATAGAAAAATGTTAAATTTAAAAAACGAAAAAGTGAATCTCCAAGAAGTAAAAAGTCAAGAAATCAAAAAATCCAGAACTCGAAAAATCGAAATATTAAAAAATCCCAAAACTGAAAGAAATATCCAAAAAAATTAAAAAATTAGGAGATCGAAAAGGCAAAAAGCAAAGTCGAAAAATCGCAAACTTAAAAACCGAAAAATCGAAGAACTGAAGAACTGAAAAATCGAAACTTTGGGAAGTCGAGAAATGGGAAAATTCACAAATGGATTAATTGAGACGTCGGAAACGTGAAAATTTAGAAACGTCAAGATTTGAAAAATTAAACATTATTGAAAAACTGAAAAATCGAATAATCTAAAATTTTAATAATTAAAAAATTAGAAAAACCAGATATTGAAAAGTTCCCAAAAAAATCGAAAAATTGAGAAATAGAAATATTGAAGAACTGAAAATTCGAGAAGTCGAAAAATCTAAAATGTAAAACAATGAAAAATTCAAATATCGAACAAGCGGATAATTGAACAAACATCGAAAAACTGGAAAATCGAAGAATTAAAAATTCCGAAAAGTGAAAAATTGAAATAGGTACATATAGAACTGAAAATTCGAGAAATCGAAAAACCTAAAATTTTAAAAACTGAAAAGTTAAAATATCGAAAGGTCGAAAACTTGAAAAATGTAAAGTTTTAAAAACGAAAAATTGGAACTCCAAAAAATAAAAAGTCGAGAAATCGAAAAATCGAAATACTAAAAAATCCCAAAAGTGAAAAATCAGAAATTTGAACAATCGAAAAACTTGAACAAAATATCCAAAAATTGGGAAATTAGAAAACAGAAAAATTGGGAGATCGAAAAGTCAAAAAAGCAAAGTCGAAAATCGTAAACTTAAAAAAACCGAGAAATTGAAAAATCAAAAACCTGAAAAATCGAAAACTTGAAAATTCAGAAAAGTCAAGATTTGAAAAATTAAAAAATATTGAAGAACTGAAAACTAGAAAAATCTAAAATTTTAATAATCAATAAATTTAAAAAACCAGAAATTGAAAAGTTCCCAAAACTGATAATGTTGAAAAAAATTGAGAAATCGAAAACTTGAAAAATCGGGAAATCTAAAACCCGAAAATTCGAAAAATTTTAAAAATCGAAAAACCAAGATGGCAAAATTAAAAAATCGAAACATTGAGAAATAGAAATATTGAAGAACTGAAAATTCGAGAAGTCGAAAAATCTAAAATGTAAAACAATGAAAAATTCAAAAAAATAAAAATTGGAAAATCTAAAATTCAAAAATCCAGAAATTGAACACGCGGATAATTGAACAAACATCTAAAAACTGGAAAATCGAAGAAATTAAAAAAAATGGAAAATCGAAAATTTAAAAATTATGAAAAGTGAAAAATTGAAATACATATAGAAGAACTGAAAACTCGAGAAATCGAAAAACCTAAAATTTTAAAAACTGAAAAGTTAAAATATCGAAAGGTCGAAAACTTGAAAAATGTAAAGTTTTAAAAACGAAAAATTGGAACTCCAAAAAATAAAAAGTCGAGAAATCGAAAAAAAATCGAAATACTAAAAAATCCCAAAAGTGAAAAATCAGAAATTTGAACAATCGAAAAACTTGAACAAAATATCCAAAAATTGGGAAATTAGAAAACAGAAAAATTGGGAGATCGAAAAGTCAAAAAAGCAAAGTCGAAAATCGTAAACTTAAAAAAACCGAGAAATTGAAAAATCAAAAACCTGAAAAATCGAAAACTTGAAAATTCAGAAAAGTCAAGATTTGAAAAATTAAAAAATATTGAAGAACTGAAAACTAGAAAAATCTAAAATTTTAATAATCAAGAAATTTAAAAAACCAGAAATTGAAAAGTTCCCAAAACTGATAATGTTGAAAAAAATTGAGAAATCGAAAACTTGAAAAATCGGGAAATCTAAAACCCGAAAATTCGAAAAATTTTAAAAATCGAAAAACCAAGATGGCAAAATTAAAAAATCGAAACATTGAGAAATAGAAATATTGAAGAACTGAAAATTCGAGAAGTCGAAAAATCTAAAATGTAAAACAATGAAAAATTCAAATATCGAAAAATTGTAAAATCTAAAATTCAAAAATCCAGAAATTGAACAAGCGGATACTTGAACAAACATCGAAAAAGTGGAAAATCGAGGAATTTAAAAAAAATGGAAAATCGAAAATTTAAAAATTCCGAAAAGTGAAAAATTGAAATACATATAGAAGAACTGAAAACTCGACAAATCGAAAAACCTAAAATTTTAAAAACTGAAAAGTTAAAATATCGAAAGGTCGAAAACTTGAAAAATGTAAAGTTTTAAAAACGAAAAATTGAAACTCCAAAAACTAAAAAGTCGAGAAATCGAAAAATCGAAAAGTCGAAATACTAAAAAATCCCAAAAGTGAAAAATCAAAAATTTGAACAATGGAAAAACTTGAACAAAATATCCAAAAATTGGGAAATTAGAAAACTGAAAAATTGGTAGATCGAAAAGTCAAAAAAGCAAAGTCGAAAATCGTAAACTTAAAAAACCGAGAAATTGAAAAATCAAAAATCTGAAAAATCGAAAACCTGAAAATTCAGAAAAGCCAAGATTTGAAAAATTACAAAATATTGAAGAACTGAAAAATAGAAAAATCTAAAATTTTAATAATCAAGAACTTTAAAAAACCAGAAATTGAAAAGTTCCCAAAACTGATAATGTTGGAAAAATTGAGAAATCGAAAACTTGAAAAATCGGAAAATCTTAAAATCGAAAAGTCGAAAAATTTTAAAAATCGAAAAACCAAGATGGCAAAATTAAAAATTCGAAAAATTGAAAAATAGAAATATGTATTGAAGAACCGAAAAAAAATCGAGAAATCGAAAAATCTAAAATGTAAAACAATGAATAATTCAAATATCGAAAAATTGTAAAATCTAAAATTCAAAAATCCAGAAATTGAACAAGCGGATAATTGAACAAACATCGAAAAAGTGGAAAATCGAAGAATTTAAAAAAACGGAAAATCGAAAATTTAAAAATTCCGAAAAGTGAAAAATTGAAATACATATATGTAGAAGAACTGAAAACTCGAGAAATAGACAAACCTAAAATTTTAAAAACTGAAAAGCTAAAATATCGAAAGGTCGAAAACTTGAAAAATATAAAGTTTTAAAAACGAAAAATTGAAACTCCAAAAAGTAAAAAGTCGAGAAATCGAAAAATCCAGAATTCGAAAAATCGAAAAGTCGAAATACTAAAAAATCCCAAAACTCAAACATCGAAAAATTGAAAAATACAAGAAAAATTAAAGAATCGAACAACTGAAAAAATCAAAAAAATTGACAAATCAAAAACCTGAAAAATCGAAGAATTTGAAGAACTAAGAAACTGAAAGATTGAAACTTTGGGAAGTCGAGAAATGGGAAAATCAAAAATAGATTAACTGAGAAATCGGAAAACTGAAAATTCTGAAACGTCAGAATTTGAAAAATTAAAAAATTTTGAAAAACTGAAAAATCTAAAAATCCAAAATTTAAAACATTGAAAAATTAAAATATCGTAAAATTGAAAACCCGAAAAGTAACAATCGAAAAACCGACAAATCGGAAAATCGAAACATCGAAAAATTCAAAAACTGAGACATCGAGAAATCGAAAAATCAAAAGATCGAGAAATCGAAAAGTTAAAAATGGAAAAATTGATAAATCCAGAGAGATAAATCGAGATCTCAAAACATTGAAAAATCGAAAATTTAAAACATTGAACAATTAAAATATCGCAAAATTGAAAAATCGAGAAATCCAAAAATCGAAACATTGTAAAGTTCAAAAACTGAGACATCGAGAAATCGAGGAGTCGAAAGCCGAGAAGAAAAAAAAATTGAAAAATTGATGACTAGAGAAATTGAACAATCGAAACATATGAATTCGATAAATAAAGAAATCAAAAAACTGAAAAATCGAAAAACTTGAAAAAAGAAAAACCGGAAAATTCGGAAAATTAAAAAATTGAAATAAGCACAAGAACTGAAAACTCAAAAAATCAATATATTGAAAAATCTCAAAACTGAAAGATATCCAAAAAATTGAGAAATAAAAAAATTCGAAAATTGAGAAATCGAAAACCTGAAAAATCGTAAAATTAAAGAAGTGAAAAATCGAGACTGGAAAGTCGAGAAATGCGAAAATAAAAAAAAAAGATTAGTTCAGAAATCGGAAAACTGAAAATTTAGAAGCACCAAAATTTGAAAAATTGAAAAATCCAAATATTTAGAAATCGTAAAATTGAAGAGGACAAAAATTGAGAAATCGTATCATTGAAACATCAGAAAATTGAGCAATCAAAAAATAAAAAATCGAGGAATCGAAAATTTAAAAAATGGAAAAACTGAAAATATTGGAAAATTGAAGCACATAAAGTTGAAAAATTGAGAAATCGAAAAGCCGAAAAATCTCAATAGCGTATTTATAATCCACAAGTTCAGGACTATGCTACTTTTTAACATTTAAATAACATTTATTCGACAAAATTCTAAGATGACATCATCAACTCCTGGAGGGCATCAACGGATAAATAAATCTCGACTAATGATTTGACACGCTTCCAATAATATAAATTAGAAAATGCTAATTTTTTTCCAAAAATCTTGACGCTAAGGTAAAAACTCAACACCATTTTACCATTTGATAATTAACTCTAACGAAGTCGGCTTATAGATAAATCTCTTAGAGTCGACATTCGCCTGAGTGCACCCTGGTCTGTAAATCAAACAAGTTCTCAGACGACGACCTGAAATGACGTATCCTCTAAGAAATTTAATTAAATTATTATAAGGAAAGACACTAGAGACCCCAAAGAGCGTAGCGGAGAGTTAATCCGCCGTTTTCCAGACACCCGGTATAATAAGCGTCGCTATGACAACAATACTTACGACACAATCGCATTTGCCGCCCCACTTCGCACCCTCGCGTCTTCATTTTGCAACAAATTGAACAACACATCGTTGACTATTCTATTCTGGAAATCGCTACAACCACTAACATCGTAAATGGTAACGTATGGAAGTTTAGACACCAGTTCGGAAAAAGCGACCTAAAAAAAATAATTATATCAGGTTTAAACTAAGTGTTTATTTACTTTGACTAGCCAGTATGGATTTGTGGCTAAATCTGGCAACACGTGTAAAATAGGCAAAATATGAGTATTACTTGGCGACTCTATAAATTTTTCTAGGCAAGAGTTCAAACTCATTATGGTTTGTTTGGAGCAGTTGGACGACTCATCCTCCAAACCCTACAATAAAGAAATAAAAAACTTGACAGCTGTAAAATCAAGCGAATCCACGTACTTTGATTATTATTTTCACCAAATAGTCCAACTGAAATCGAGCTGTATTGTCATCACAGCAATTTTCCTTAACCCATTCCGTGAAAGTGGACTCATCTTCGCTTAAAACAGCCCCAATAAAATTGATCAACAGAGTCCTTAAAATACCCCGTAGTTGAGGGTCTGCATGATCCTCAAAAAGCACCACGTCTGCGATTGGTTGATGACAGACGTTCTTCGGAAGCGACTTAGTACAATTTTTATCCAAATACAGCATCAGCACTTTGGGGTAAATTTTAACGATGGATGATAAGCTTGACAGGGCTAGGGATTTCACAGAAACTCTGACGGATTTATCGGAAATGTACGACCCCGTCTGGCCTGACAAGAGAAATAGTTTACACAACAATCTGGCGCAATACACTAGTGAAACATCAGAATCTAAAAAACTGCCAATTGAAATATTCTACAAAAAAAATGTTAATGTGGGTTTGATGATTTTAAATAACGCACTTGAAATTGCGTGGGTTCGGACTGTTTCTCTTCTTCATTGTAGGAAAAACTCTTGTCAGACGAATCGTCGCTCAACGTCAGTCGCTCTAAATTATCTCCGATACTATGCGTTTTCGAAGGAACGTACTCGGACACTTTAAACTCAAAACTTTCGTACTGTGTCAACGGGATATCGGAGCTTTTGCTGTCGGTCGAAAGCGACTTTTCAAGGTCGTTATTTTTGGCACACGTGACGTTCATTACTGACAATTTTGATTCGTCGATCCACTTCTCTATATCCGATCTCAGGGTGTCAGTTAATTCTGACTCAACGAATAAGTCTTCCGTTGCGCCACTAGTGGCCACGCTAAGCTGACCTACACGACTGACTTTAGTAAACACCCTGTATATGCAAGTAGAGCTTACTGGGGGAGCGAAGTGCCGAAGTCGAAAACGACGTGGGTAAATTAATCCGACTTTTGTCGAGTCCGCTATCACCTACTAGAACCTGTTTTAAGTCAAGTGGACAATTTAAGAATAGAGTGTTTGCGGTTTCTAGGGCTGCGTTAATAACGTTGTGGTCTTTGCTTGAAAAATAATACAAACAGAGTTCATAAACCTGGAAACTATTATAATAACAAACGACTCGTCGTCACTTTTCCAACTAATACCTGTAATAGTTTATCTACTGTTATCAGAGAATCTCCCTTGTTACCCTCGTCCGCTTTATCATCACTCAAATGTGTCAATATATTTTTCAAACAAGTCATAACACCCAGAATTAAATGCGTACTTTGATTTTCATTAATAGGAATCAATAAATCTACAAACAACTATAAACTCGCGAAAATTCAAACCACAACATACCTAAAAGATGATTCATGACGTACATTATAAACACTCTTGGTTTTTTACAGTTCAAACAAACATGCATAACGCAACTGGTGGCAGACCTTCTAATAACCGCCGACGGACTTGAAATATTTTTCAAAAACCCTTTCAACAATCCCTGAAAACCCACAATTATTTTTAAGACAATACAAAATGATTTTTACTTTTATTTCAATTTCGGTTGAAAAGCACCCTAAAACTGTCATTATAGGGGACAAACTATTAGCCAGAGTTTCATGGATTTGTTCTTCTGGGCGTTCAGCCACTTTAATTAAAGTTGGGTATAGGTTTACTACGTATGGTTTGCCTTTATGGGGCCGTATTAAATGCGCTAACTGCGAAAAACGTTTTAATGCGGCCCGTAATGTTCGCGCGGGGCCGTTTCGTTTTATTCCTTTGTGTAACTCAATTTGTACTTTTCCAATATTACCGTCATTCATAGCCTGTAAGTTTACATGTATTGATGAATCAAAAAACGGTTTGTGGGTACCCTGATGATCCTGTTTAGGCAGTCTCCTGCGGTCATACGCACGTCTGACTCTTGATCGTCACATAGTTGCAACAGCACTTCTATCGTTATACTCAGGTAAGTGTGGAAATTGGGGGCGATTTTGATCGTGGAGTTTGAGATTGCCTCAGTGACAATGTGACAGTGCTGGATTTTATCCTTTTTTCTATCCAATTCGAGTGTTACATACTTTGTTCATTTAATATTAAATCGTACTTACTTTGACGCATCAAATGTTTGGTTAGGAGCTGATAAATTTTTCAGGATTTCCAAAGACTTGAGTAGCTTTTCTTGGGTTGCCATTTTTCGTTTGTGGAATGAAATTCAAACAGTGGGATTTGGGGGTTAAACGTAAAATTTAATTTTAAAATACACTGTTTACTTCGACATTTTTTACACATATCACAACCACGGGGAAACGAACTGTCAACATCTGTCAGTTGTCAAACGGCTGTCAAAGCGCGTCAGGTTACAATATTGATCAATTTTACCTCGTTTAAAAAAAAAAAGAAAGAAATTACACAACACGAACAACTACCCACTTCTGGACTGATTTATGGGAAACCTTCACCGGTGATAGTCGTTTGAAAATCCGCATTTTTTGAATTTAAATCAGCCGCCATGTTGTGTTTGTTGAAATGTCAAAAGGTTACTTGTTGGGTCGAGCGGACTCCAAATAAATAATCAAATTGTCCAGAGTCGATAAATCCGGCTAGAGTGAGCAATGATCAATAAATTCGCACAACGAAGACTAATTCTAATTGTTATTGTTTTAGTAAACCCAGTGCACACACCATGTGAAACAACTAAACAATCTGTCCTTCACTTGTAAGTGTAAAAAATGAATCTCATAACTTAATTACCATACGGAAGGTGAAGCAACAATGCAGTAACCATTTAGAAAAAATGAATAACTATGTGCAACATCTGGGCTTAACAGCTTGGCGCAGAAAATCCGCACTGTTAATAGCATCAGCACTGCTTTCTTTGATAATATTTGGCTTACAATTCTCAAGACTGACCGATAAACCCACCCTCAAGGAAGAAAATGGAAGCCCGCAAATGGTTGCGGACGCTCTTATCAGTAACGTCAGATTTGTCGAGTCGAATCAAAAATCCAACACCGCGAAAACCGTCACCGCTGAATTAAGTCTGGATGAATTCGCCAATATGGAGCAACCCTTCGTAGACGGCAATGTGCGGAAGCGATCAGGGAATGAGGCTTTGGAAACTGAGCAACAAATGGGAATTCCATATGTTGTGTTGAATGCTGAGAGACCCTATATACCCCGGAAACGCATAGTTCATCTGGATTTGAAGGGGGCGCCGCCGCTTATCTCGTTCTTCAGGAAGTTTTTCCCGTTGATCCGGAATTTGGGGGCCACAGGGATCCTTTTAGGTTTGTAACATAGATTAATGTAGATGCGACTAACAGGCTGATTTTGCAAAACCACCCTTATTGACATTGGAGTCCTCAAGCGCCAAATTTAAATAGTCGATGCCAATAAAAAAAACTTGTTTCACTATAACTCGTCGTCTAAGAACTTGTTTGATCTACAGACCGGAGCGCGCTCAGGCCAATGTCGGCTCTAAGCGTTCAGAAGCGATTTGGTTGGTTTGGACTATAATTTCTGCGGGAAATAGTTGTTTGGTCGGTTTTTATAACGACTAAGTAAATATTTTTGGTACATACATATTTAGATGATTTTACATATTTTGTTTAACTAAGAATTAATTTTCTATTTGTGTTTTATACTAGCAAAACGTCTTAAACTAAGAATCTTGTTGAAATCGTAGTAACCCAATGGATTTTTTTCGGGAAAATGTTTTGGAAACACTGTTCTATTTTGTATGAATTTTTAAATGTTTTTAGCACGTTTTTAATAAGAATTTTTATGGTTTTCGATACACTGTATGATATTAACAGTGAGAAAAAAAAATGATAAATTAATTAATCGAAAATTGGAGAAATCTAATAATCGAAAAATCGAAACCTTAAAAAATCGTAAAACTGAAACATTGAAAAATCGAAATATCGAAGAACTGAAAATCAAAAAATGAAACATCAGAAATCGAAAAAATGTAAAATTCAAAAACCGAATAACGAAAAATAGAGAGATCGAAACTCCCAAATTTAAAAAATCGGATAACTGACAAATCGAAACATCGAAAAACCGAGAAATCAAAAGATCAAGAAATCGTGGAGTCGAAAAGTCGAACAATTGAGAAACCGAAATAGGCCAAAATCGAAAAATAGAAAAGTTAAAAATGGAACAATTTATAAATTGAGAAATTGACAATCAAAAACTTAAAAATTCGAAAAATTGAAAAATTGAGAGATTGGAAAATCAAAAGAACGAGAAATCGAAAAGTGAGAAGTCGAAAAATCGAAAAGTAGAGAAATCGACAAACAAAAAATGGAAAACTGGAAAAACTGAGAAATCGAAATAGGCCAAAATAAAAAATTGAAAAACTTATAAATCGAAAACCTGAACAATCAAATCTCGATAAATCGGGAATGAAAAATTAACAAATCGAAAAATTGAAAAACAGAACATCTAAAACCAGGAAGTCGAAAAATCGAAAGATTAAAAAATATTGAAAAATCTAAAATTTTAAAATCCAAAAATTGAAAAATCGAAAAAGTAAAAAGGTAGACACATCGAAAAATCGAGAAGTCAAAAATAGAAAATCCGAAGAATTGAAATATTGAAAAATCCTAAAGTTGAAATATCTAAAAACTGAAAAATCGAAAAATCAAAAGAGTGAAGTCGAAAAATAGAAACTTTAAAAAATCGAAAAATTGAAAAATCAAAAACCCGAAAATCAAAAAATTAAAGAATTGAAGAACAGGAAAATCGAAACACTCGAAGGTCAAGAAATGGGAAAATCAAAACATCGATTAATTGAAAAATCGAAAAATTGACAAAATGACAATTGAAAAACAGAAAATCTAAATCCGGGAAGTCGAAAAATCAAAAGATTAAGAAATCGAAACATTTCAAAATTCGAAAACTTGGAAAAAATTGAAATATCGAAGAACTGAAATGAAAAATCGAGAAATCGAAAAATCTAAAATTTTAAAAATTAAAAAAATTAAAAATTTAAAAATCGAAAAAGTAAAAAAAATGACACATCGAAAAATCCAGGAGTCAAAAATCGAAAAGTCGAAGAATCGGAATATTGAAAAATCCCAACACTTAAATATCGAAAAACTGAAAAATGAAAGAAAAACTAAAAATGGGAAACTAAATCGGGAAATCAAAACATTGAAAAATCGAAAAATTTAAAACGACAATTGAAAACAGAAAATCTAAAACCAGGAAGTCGAAAACTCGAAAAAGTAAAAAATCGACACATCGAAAACTCCAGAAGCCAAAAATCGAAAAGTCGAAGAATAGAAATATTGGAAAATCCCAAAACTGAAATATCGAAAAGCTGAAAAATGAAAGAAAAACTGAAAAATGGAAAACCTGGAAAATCCGAAAACTGAAAAATCCAAAAAGTGAACTCGAAAAGTGATGAAGTCGAAAAATCGAAAAATAGAAAAATCGACAAACAAAAAGTTTAAAGTTGAAAAATTGGAAAAGCGGAAAAATCAAAAAACGAAAAAATGGAAAACTGGAAAAACTGAGAAACCGAAATAGGCCAAAATAAAAAATTGAAAAACTTGTAAATCGAAAACCTGAACAATCAAATCTCGATAAATCGGGAATGAAAAATTAACAAATCAAAAAATTGAAAAACAGAATATCTAAAACCAGGAAGTCTAAAAATCGAAAGATTAAGATATATTGATAAATTAAAATATCAAAAGATTGAAAAATCAAAAATTTTAAAACCCAAAAATTGAAAAATCGAAAAAGTAAAAAGGTAGACACATCGAAAAATCCAGAAGTCAAAAATAGAAAATCCGAAGAATTGAAATATTGAAAAATCCTAAAACTGAAATATCTAAAAACTGAAAAATCGAAAAATCAAAAGAGTGAAGTCGAAAAATAGAAACTTTAAAAAATCGAAAAATTGAAAAATCAAAAACCCGAAAATCAAAAAATTAATAAATTGAAGAACAGGAAAATCGAAACACTCGAAGGTCAAGAAATGGGAAAATCAAAACATCGATTAATTGAAAAATCGAAAAATTGAGAGTTTATTAAAGTCAAATTTGAAAAATTAAAAAATCGAAAATTTGGCAAAATGACAATTGAAAAACAGAAAATCTAAAACCCGGAAGTCAAAAAATCAAAAGATTAAGAAATCGAAACATTTGAAAAATTTGAAAACTTGAAAAATTCAAATATCGAAGAACTGAACTGAAAAATCCAGAAATTGAAAAATCTAAAATTTTAAAAATTAAAAAATCTAAAATTTAAAATCGAAAAATTGAAAAATCTAAAAAGTAAAATAATCGACACTTCGAAAAATCCAGGAGTCAAAAATCGAAAAGTCGAAGAATCGAAATATTGAAAAATCCCAAACTGAGATATCGAAAAACCGAAAAATGAAAGATAAACTGAGAATCTAATAACCTGAAAAATCCGAAAACTGAAATATCCAAAAACTGAGAACCTAAAAAGTTGAAAAATTGAGCAATCGAAAAATCCAAAAAGTGAAGTCGAAAAATGGAAACCTTAAAAAAAAAACCGAAAAAATGAAAAATCGAAAAATTAAAGAATTGAAGAACAGGAAAATCGAAACCCTCGAAAGTCAAGAAATGGGAAAATCAAAACATGGATTAATTAAAAAATCAAAAATTTGACAAAATGACGATTTTTCAGTTCTTCAATAGTTTTTTATTTTTCGAATTTTGACGTTTCTAAATTTTCAGTTTTCGGCTTTCTCAATTAATCTATTTTTTTATATTCCCATTTCTCCACTTCCCAAAGTTTCGATTTTTCAGTTCTTCAATTTTTCGATTTTTTAAGTTTGCGATTTTTCGACTCTGCTTTTTTGACTTTTCTGTTTCTCAATTTTTTAATTCCATAATTTTTGAATATTTCGTTCAATTTTGTGATTTTTAAATTTTTCGATACTATTTTTTTTCGATTTTTTGAGTTTTCAGTTCTTCTATATTTCAATTTTTGCAATTTTCGGAATTTTTAAATTTTCGGTTTTCCAATTTTTGATGTTTCAATTTTTGAATTAACCGATTGTTCAATTTCTCGATTTTTAAATTTTAGATTTTCCAATTTTTATTTTTTTGATTTTTTTGTATTTCGATTTCTCTTTCTCCATTTTACAATTTTCCCATATTTGGATTTTTCAATGTTTTAAATTTTCGATTTCGAGGAAATTGACAGTTTGTAAATGACAAATTTGAAAAATTGAAAAATCGGAAATTTGAAAAAACGACAATTGAAAAACAGAAAATCTAAAACCGGGAAGTCGAAAAATCGATAGATTAATTAATCAAAACATTTGAAAAATTCGAAAACATGAAAAATGGAAATATCGCAGAACTGAAATGAAAAATCGAGAAATCGAAAAATCTAAAATTTAAAAACCGAAAAATTGAAAAAACGACAATTGAAAAACAGAACATCTAAAACCGGGATTCTTCAGCTTTTCAATTTTTCGAAGTTTCGGTGTTTCAATTTTATGATTTTCCAGGGTTTAGATTTTTCACTATTTCGATTATAGTTTTTCAATTTTCCATTTTTTGATTTTTTACTGTTCCGATTTTTCAGCTTCTCAATTTTGCAATGTTTCGCTTTTTCAACTTTTTAATTTTTCGATTTTCCATTTATTTTTTTTTAATTTGAAATTTTTCAAACCTATAGTTTTTCCATTTGCACATTTGTTAGAATTTTCGATTTTCAGTTTTTCGGTTTTTCAACTTGAATTCTTTAATTGTCAGATTTTTTCGTTTTTTTAGTTTGTCGATTTGCAATTTTTCGATTATGAATCTTTCAATTTGTCTATGTTTCAGTATATCAGTTTTCAATTTCTCAATGTTTAGATTTTTCAATATTTCGATTGTAGTTCTTCGACTTTTCAATTTTCCGATTTTTAATTTTTGAATTTTTCAGTTTTTCGATTATTAATTTTCTAATTTTTATTTTGAAATTTTTCAAATTTACAGTTTTTTGGTTTGCAATTTTTCGATTTTGTACTTGAATTTTTGGATTTTTCAAGTTTTCGATTTTCCAGTTTTTCAATTTTTTGATGTTTCAGTGTTCCAATTTCTCGATTTCCCAATATTTAGATTTTTCAATACGTATATACATATTTCGATTGTAGTTTTTCAATTTTTCAGTGTTCGGATTTTTCAGTTTCTCAGTTTTGCAATGTTTCGATTTTTCATTTGTTCGATTTTTCAACTTTGGAATTTTTTAAATTTTCGATTTTCCAATTCTTTTTTTTTTAATTTGAAATTTTTCGAATTTATAGTTTTTCGATTGCACACAATTGAAAAAGAGAAAATCTAAAACCGGGAAGTCGAAAAATCGATAGATTAAGAAATCAAAACATTTGAAAAATTCGAAAACATGAAAAACGGAAATATCGAAGAACTGAAATGAAAAATCGAGAAATCGAATAATCTAAAATTTAAAAATCGAAAAATTGAGAAAACGACAATTGAAAAACAGAAAATCTAAAACCGGGAAGTCGAAAAATCGAAACATTTGAAAAATTGAAATATGGAAGAGCTGAAATGAAAAATTGAGAAATAGAAAAATCTAAAATTTTAAATATTGAAAAATTAAAGTACCAAAAAATTGTGAAATCTAAAATTTAAAAATCGAAAAAGTAAAAATTCAACACATCGAAAATCAGAAGCCAAAAATGGAAAAGTCGAAGAACAGAAATATTGAAAAATCCCAAAACTGAAATATTCAAAAACTGAGAACCTAAAGAATCGAAACCTTAAAAAAATCGAAAAATTGAAAAAATCAAAAACCTGCAAAATCGTAAGATCGAAAAATTGAATAATAAGTAAACTGAAAATTCCCAAAACTGAATTGTCCAAAAGTTGAGGAGTCCTCAACCGTCATTTAATTTAAACTATGACGCTTCTCTATGTTTTCTGTTTGTAACTACTAATTTCAAAGTAATCAAGGTGGCTAATTTTCAACTTGACAACTTGACAAAAAAAAAGTAACCAAGTGAAATTTTCATTATTTTCCAGAATATGAAGACATGTTCCCCTACACCGGTATTCTAAAAAACATAACTGCCAAAAACGCTTTCACCCCAGAACAAGTCAAAGAAATCCTAGACTTAGCCGAAAAGTCGCAGCTTGAACTCATTCCGTTAATCCAGACTTTCGGTCACGTCGAGTTCGCGCTTAAGCACCCAGAATGGGCGAAGCTGCGCGAAGTTCCCGGCAGCCCCCAAGCCCTGTGCCCCAGCCGAAACAGCTCTCTCGATTTCGTCAAAGAAATGGTAACCCAAATCATGTCCATGCACCCCCACATCAAATATCTCCACATTGGCTGTGACGAAGTTTTCCAAATCGGCGAATGCGAAGTTTGCCGACTAGAACTACACGAAACTCTTTTCCTAAAGCACGTCCAAAACGTGGCCAAACTCATCCACGAGAAATTCCCGAAGTTGCGTTTGATAATATGGGACGACATGTTGCGTCACTTGTCCCAACAGAGCATGCTTGATGTGAGTCTGGGCGACATTGTGGAACCCATGGTGTGGGTGTACGCGGAGGATATCTACAGGTTTGTGCAGCCCCCGGTGTGGGACAAGTACGGGGTGGTTTTTAAGACGGCGTGGGCTGCGTCGGCTTTCAAGGGGGCGTTCGGGGAGACTTTATCTGTACCTGATTCTAGGAGGCATTTGGAGAATAATTTGAGGTGGTTGGAGGTGATGTCGCAGCAGGATAAGAATTTCAAGAGGGGGTTTACGGGGTTGGTGTTAACGGGGTGGCAGAGATACGACCACTTTGCAGTTTTGTGTGAGTTGTTACCAGCAGGTATACCGTCTTTAGGGTTAAGTTTAGTGGCGACTACTCATGGGTATTTTAATTCGAGCTTAAAACATAAATTTCTGTCGGGGTTGACTTGTCCGCAGCACAATTCGGGGCGTAATCAACCCTTTATTGAGTTGGAACTGGATCCGTACCTGTGGGATAAACTGGCGCGGTGTATGTTCCCGGGGAGCCCGTTTTTTCGGTTAACGTTTAGGCTACACACGATGGAAACCGAGGTCGACGACTTTATTAAATCTACAAAGCAGTCGAAAGGGTGGATGACTGACTATAACGTTAGACATAATTATAGTTTACCTTTAAGGGTCGACGAGTTGACGGGTGATTTACCGAGAATTTATCATGGTACCACTGCTCTAGTCAGGTCGGCGGTAGACGCTATGGTGGATGTTTTTGATAATTATACAATTAGCGAATGGATAGAACAAAAAATATATCCGTATATAATTGAGTTAGAAAAAATACAAAATCAAAGTATTGCGTTGAAAAGTGTCAATCAGTGGTCTGCAAGACCATTGCCTCCTTTGAAAGATCTTCAAAGATTGGGCGTTTCTATAAATGCGAATTAATTGTTGTTATTCATAGTTTAAACAAAGCAGTTGTGTTCAAACTGGAAACTTGAGTACCTTTATGATACAATCGTTACCTATGATTTATTTGCTATTCAGTTGAAAGGAAAAAATACTCGTATACAGGATGATGTAATACTCGATTTAAACTACTCCTACGTCTTTATTAAATATAGAATGTTTTATGATAGTTGTAACTGTGTAACTGTTATTTTATTGTAAATTATAAACTGATAACTAAGAATCTACAAGTAACAACAAAGAGAAATTTGTCTATAAATTTTTAAAAGTAAAAATTCGTGACGTGTTACATTTCTAATACAGGATTGTATTATAAACTGATGTTATAATATTTAAATTTGAAAATCAGACTCTTAAAACTGTCACTCGTATAATATCAAAGAAAATCGAAAACATGCACTTTTTTGTTGAAGAAATCTTCCAACATCGGCACAAAGTTTATACAGTATTTAAGGTCGTCGTGCAATTAAGCTCCACCCCCTTGGCTGACGACGAATAAAAAAATCATCACAATTGAGATAGGGCGGGTGGGCGGAGCTTACATTTTGTCTTTTTTTCTTAATAAGTGTAGTCATCCTTTCACAACAAGAAACTTAAACATGTTTAAAATAGTAAATTTGTTCAGAGAAATATCGATTTTACAATTACGCTCCGCCCCTCGGTCTAACAACGAATGAAAAATTCATCACGATTGAGATCGAGACGGATGGGTGGGGCTTCTCGTGTGGTTTTCTTTTTAAGTAATACATTTAGTTTTCTTTGTATAACACCATTACTTAAGAACATATTTCACCTGGTAATTTCTTGATTTAAGTTTCTTGTTGCGAAAAGAAGTCTACACATATATATTAAAACAACAAAGGCAAAATGTTAAACCCGCCCACCCGCCCTATCTCAATTGTGATGATTTTTTTTATTTGCCGAGAACCAAGAGGGCGGGGCTTAACTGTAAAATATTTATTTCTTTACACGAAATTAAAAATATGGGTTTGAGCATCGTGTTGCTCAAAGACATCTATGTATGTTAAGAAAAAAGGGATATAGTTAAATTTTTCAAGTTCTTGATTTAAATTTTTTATTTTCTTGATTTTCTAACTTTTGTTTCAATGTTTCTTTCGATTTTATAATTTTTCGTTTATTCAATTTTTCAAATTTTCAATCTTCGAATGTTCAATTGGTTGTTTTTCCAATTTTTCCAATTTTGAATTTTGAAATTCTTGAATTTCCAATTATTTTTAAGTTTCTTAATTTTGAATCTTTAAATTTTCCAATTTTTTGTTTCTTCAATTTTTTAAGTTCTTGATTTTTAATTTTTATAATTTTGTAAATTTTCGTTTTATACTTTTTGTTTTTTCATTTTTGATTTTTCAATTTTACAATTATGCAATTTTTCGATTCGAAAAATTAAAAAATCGAAAAACTAAAAAGTCAGAAAAAATTGAAAAATCGAAAAACTGAAAAAAGGAAAATTTGCAAAATCGAAAAAGTTAAAATCGAAAAACCTCATATCGAAGAACTAAAAAATTGAAACATTGAAAAGCTAAAAATCGAGAAACTTAAAAATAAAAAAAAGTATTTTTCGGAAAATTAGAAAGAAGAAAAAACGAATCGAATCAAAAAAGTGGGACAGTGAAAGATCGAAAAATTGAAAAATTAAAAATCGAAAAACTGAAAAATCAAATAAATGAAAAAGTCTCAAAATCCGATAATAAAAAAAATGGGAAAATTCTAAAATCGTAAAATTGAAAAAGTGAAAATTTTAAAAATTACTCTTACGTTTTTAAAATGAAAACTAGAAATCGCAAATCAAAGAGTGAAGAAACGAAAAATTGAAAACATTGAAATTGTAAAAATAAATAAAATAAAAACCAAAAGGAAAAAATGCAAATCGAAAAATTGAAGAAACGAAAAATTAGGGATAAATATTTCAATTTTTCAAGTTCTTGATTTAAATTTTTCATTTTCTTGATTTTCTAATTTTTGTTTTCTTTTTTTACATCACAATTTTTCGTTTTATCATTTCCTAGATTTTTTCAATGTTTCTTTCGATTTTATAATTTTTCGTTTATTCAATTTTTCAAATTTTCAATCTTCGAATGTTCAGCTGGTTTTTTTCCAATTTTTAAAATTTTTAATTTTGTAATTCTTGAATTTCCAATTATGCGATTTTCCGTTTTCTCTAATTTTCGACATTTCAGGTCTACAAAATCTCGTTTCGTCGATTTTGCACTTATACGATTGTTACGTTTTGTTAATTTTTAATCTTTCGATTTTCCAATTTTTTGTTTCTTCAATTTTTTAAATTCTTGATTTCAAATTTTAAGAGTTTTTAAGTTTTCATTTTATGCTTTTTCGTTTTTTCATTTTTGATTTTTCAATTTTACAATTTTGCAATTTTTCGATTCGAAAAATTGAAAAATCGAGAAACTAAAAAGTCGGAAAAAATTGAAAAATCGGAAAACTGAAAAAATGAAAAATTGCAAAATCGAAAAAGTTCATTGATGAATTGAAGAAACGAAAAATTGAAACATTGAAAAGCTTAAAATAAAAAAACAACAATGTTTTCGGAAAATTGGAAAGAAGAAGAAACGAATGGAATCGAAAAATTAGAAAACCCAAAAATTGTGAAATAAAAAATTATTGAAGCGTCAAAATTGCATAGTCAAAAAACTGGAACGTTGACAGATTGAAAAAGTGAAAATTTTTAACATTATTATTATATTATCATTCTTACATATTTAAAATGAACACTAAAAATCGCAAAACAAAGAGTGAAGAAATGAAAAATTGAAAAAATTGAAATTGTAAAAATAAATAAAATAAAAATCGAAAGGAAAAATTACAAATCGAAAAATTGAAGAAACGAAAAATTAAAATAATCAGAAACTTGCAAAATGAGAAATTGAAAGTTGGAGAAATTTTAAATCGGAAAACTGAAAAACTTTGAAACACAAACTCGAATATGTCGTAAAATTGCAGAAACAAAGAAATTTTTTTCACAACAAGAAACTTAAAACATGTTTAAAATGGTAAATTTGCATAGGAAAATATCGATTTTGCAATTACGCTCCGCCCCTCGGTCTAACAACGAATGAAAAATTCATCACGATTAAGATCGAGTCGGGGGGTGGGGCTTCTCTTTTGGTTTTCTTTGGATAACACGATTAGTTAAGAACATATTTCGCATGGTAATTTCTCGAAGAAAAATAAGAATTTTGCAGTTAAACTTCTCCCTCTTGGCTCACAAAGAATAAAAAAAAAATCATTACAATTGAGATAGGGCGGGTGGGCGGGGCTTATATTTTGGCTCTTTTTTTCTTGATTTACGTAGTCATCTTTTCACAACAAGAAACTTAAAACATGATTTTGAAACTATGAAACGGAACCTATTGATATTTCTTTATAGAAATTTTCCATTTTAAACATGATTTAAGTTTCTTGTTGTGAAAAGAAGTCTACACATATTAAAACAACAAAAACAAAATGTAAGCCCGCCCACCCGCCCAGTCTCAATTGTAATGATTTTTTTATTCGCCGTGAAGCAAGAGGGCGGAGCTTAACTGTAAAATATTTATTTCTTTACACGAAATTAAAAATATGTTTTTGAGCATCGTGTTGCTCAAAGTCATCTATGTATGTTAATAAAAAAGGGATAAATATTTCAATTTTTCAAATTTTTAATTTTGTAACTCTTGAATTTCCAATTATACGATTTTCCGTTTTCTCTAATTTTCAATATTTCAATTCTACAAAATCTCGTTTCGTCGATTTTGCACTTACACGATTTTTACCTTTCTTAATTTTTAATCTTTCGATTTTCCAATTTTTTGTTTGTTCAATTTTTAAGTTCTTGATTTCGAATTTTTAGAGTTTTGTGAGTTTTCATTTTATGCTTTTTCGTTTTTTCATTTTTGATTTTTCAATTTTACAATTTTGCAATTTTTGGATTCGAATAATTGAAAAATCGAAAAAATGAAAAATTGTAAAATCGAAAAAGCTCATCGAAGAAATGAAGAAACGAAAAATCGAAACATTGAAAAGCTAAAAATAAAAAATAACAATGTTTTCGGAAAATTGGAAAGTAAAAACGAATGGAATCGAAAAATTAGAAAACCAAAAATTGTGAAATGAAAAATTATTGAAGCGTCAAAATTGCATAGTCAAAAAACTGGAACATTGAAAGATCGAAAAATTGAAAAATTAAAAACCGAAAAACTGAAAAATTAAAAATCGAAAAATTGAAAAATGGAATAAATCAAGAAGTCTCAAAATCCAATAAAAAAATGGGAAAACTAAAATCGTAAAATTAAAAAAGTGAACATTTTTAACATTATTATTATCATTCTTACATATTTAAAATGAACACTAGAAATCGCAAATCAAAGAGTAAAGAAACGAAAAATTGAAAAAATTGAAATTGTAAAAACAAAACATCATAAAATCGCAACGTTGAAAAATAAAAAAATTGTAAAAATAAATAAAACAAAAACCGAAAGGAAAAATTGCAAATCGAAAAACTGAAGAAACGAAAAATTAAAATAATCGAAAACTTGCAAAATGAGAAATTTTAAATCGGAAAACTGAAAAATTTTAAAACAAAAACTCGAACAGTTGTATATCGTAAAATTGAAAAACAGAAAAATCTGTTCACAACAAGAAACTTAAAACATGTTTAAAATGCTAAATTTGCATAGGAAAATATCGATTTTGCAATTACGCTCCGCCCCTCGGTCTAACAACGAATGAGAAATTCTTCACGATTGAGATCGAGGCGGGGGGTGGGGCTTCTCTTTTGGTTTTCTTTGGATAACACGATTAGTTAAGAACATATTTCACATGGTAATTTCTCGAAGAAAAATAAGAATTTTGCAGTTAAACTCCTCCCTTTTGGCTCACAAGAAATAAAAAAAATCATCACAATTGAGATAGGGCGGGTGGGCGGGGCTTATATTTTGGCTCTTTTTTCTTGATTTACATAGTCATCTTTTCACAACAAGAAGCTTAAAACATGATTTTGAAATTATGAAACGGAACCTATTGATATTTCCTTATAAAAATTTTCCATTTTAAACATGATTTAAGTTTCTTGTTGTGAAAAGAAGTCTACACATATTAAAACAAGAAAGGCAAAATGTAAGCCCGCCCACCCGCCCAGTCTCAATTGTAATGATTTTTTTATTCGCCGTGAAGCAAGAGGGCGGAGCTTAACTGCAAAATACTTATTTCTTTACAAAAAATGAAAAACATATTTTTGGGTATCGTGTTGTTCAAAGAATACTATGTATGTTAAGAAAAAAAGCCAAAATATAAACCCCGCCCACCCATCCCATCTCAATTGTGACATTTTTTTTATTCTGAGAAATTTAGAACACGTTTAAAATGGTAAATTTTTGTAAGGAAATATGGATTTTGCAATAGGGCCCGCCCCTAGAACTGCCAACGAATGAAAACTTCATTACTCTTTAGATCGGGGCAGGTATGGGTGGAGCTTAATCTTGGGCTAAATTTTTTCTTAAGATAATATATATTACGTGGAAAAATAATAAGGATTTTGCAATTAAATTCCGCTCCTTTGACTAATTAAAAAAAAAATCATCACAATTGAGATGGGGCGGGTGGGCGGGGCTTATATTTTGCCTATTTTCTTAATTTACATAGTCGTCTTTTCAGAACAAGAAACTTAAAATATGTTTAAAATAGTAAATTCTTGTAGACAAATATGGAATTAAGCCCCGCCCCTCGATCTGACAAGGAATGAAAAATTCATCACATTTGAGACTTGAAATCGAGGCGGATATGGATGGGGCCTAATCTTTGGCTTTATTTTTTTCTTAATAAACATAGTATTCTTTGAACACGATACTCAAAAACAGGTTTTTAATTTCTCGTAGAGAAACAGCGATTTTGCAGTTAAGCTCCGCCCTCTTGGCTCACGATGAATAAAAAAAGTCATCACAATTGAGATAGGGTGGGTGGGCGGGGCTTATATTTTGCCCATTTTTTCTTAATATGTGTAGACTTATTTCGACAAGTAGAAACTTGAAACATGTCTAAAATGGTAAATACTTGGAGTTTATAAGTGACAATTTTAATTATTTGTTATAAAAATTTACGCACATTATTATTGGTTAAATCCGTATGCAGAACAGGGGAGGATTGTCCCAGATTTACGGATTTCAAATTCCATATGAGTTAAGGAACACAAAGGCTGCTAGATGTTCGCCACTCCACAAAAAATCCAGTTTTTATTTATACAAACATTTTATATTTATATTCATTATTTCATCTGTGTATTGTGGCGTTCAGTGATATTTTCAGACAAGTTTAGTTTAAATTTCGTATTCTAAAAAAAAAGTCGCAAGACACTAAAATAACCAAATAAATAGCACATTCGATTATTATATTTTACGTTAAGTGTTTATTCCACGTTGATGTTTTATGACTGAACCTTTCGTGTCGCCAGATTGGTTTTTTGGGGACAGTGAATACATTCCATGACAGTAAAAACATAATCCATGAAAGATAGATATATGTTATAAAACGTAAATGAATAAGAAGCTTTCGTACTTTTTGTGTAATCGTTTCAAATTTGAAAATGTGATGGTTTTTATCGTCGTACTGAAACACCCGTATTGTAAAAATAGACTGTACAACAGAAAAACATCTAAAGGCAACTGAAATCGCAAAAAATGACTTAAACAGTTGGTGCCTTTGTGGACTTGAGTGTATAGATACATCAGTATACAATTTTGTTAATCGAGAAAGTTACCATCGAATCTCTTAAAAAAAAATACACCCGAGTGTAGAATCGAACTCGATGATTCGTTGTAGTTAAACATTTGGTCCAACTTCGCGGAAACGTGCAATAAAACAGGAATGTTTACAACGAGCACCCACTGAACTTGAAATTATTCGTATAACCGAATGTTCGAATTAATATTTTTCAGTGTTCCTATACACTAAAAATGTTAATAATAAATAGGGAAAATATAGGTCGTAGTTGAAGAGCAAATTCATAAAATACGTAGCACGCAGCACATTTAATTCAAAGAAGTATAGAAAGTTGATGAAGTTCGTGTGTAGATGAAAAACGATATACAAGAATGATACTTTTATACCGAATGTTTTATAAACATGTTGCAAATACTGATGAAAATATTTATGGCGGTCGAGAAATTTTAATTCGTCATGTATGTGTACTTTGTATTACCATTTTTACAGCCGTTTATGTCTCTCAAATTGTTAAAAGTGAAAACAAGTTAATTGTTTACGATGAACTAACTTTTGTCAGTGTGAAATAAAGTCAATAAACCTAGACTTGTATACCTTAATTTGTGTTTTTTTACCCTGCCACTTTAAATACATAGGTTCGACGGCGATTAACTAAATAAATAAGTAATTACACACAAAATCCTACCAAGATTGCTTCCCAGATAAATGCAAGCACGACCAATTTTCCGATTAAACTAAACTAATTCTTATTGTTTTCTTATCATATGTATATTTGACTATTGAACTATCGCTTACATAAACAGTGCCTTAGTATAACTTACAGAGGATAATGGTAATTTTATATTGTGTTGTTTTTTGTGACGTACCGCATATCTGTGAAAATGCTAAGCATGTAAGTGAAAAACATCCATAGCTGTTTTTAAAATCATAGCAAGCCCACTTTACATGAATAAATATTAAGATTAGTCCCTATTTACTAACAATTTGTGTGTCTCCTCCATTTTAAACTTATTCCGATTTTAAAAACCCGAAATTACGAGACAATGATTCATTTTTGAAATTTTTCAAACGCTTGTTACCGCTTGTGTCGCAGGAGCGCCAACACAAAACAGTAAATGTCAAAAGTCACTAACGTTCTGTCAAAACATAACCTCTCGGCAAAAATTGCAAAACAATGTTTATTTAATTTAACCTTGTATGCAGTGATTATCGACATAAGTTGAACGTTTTGTAGATTCCATAGGATGTCCTCCAAGTTGGAGATACAATGGACACCTATTCCAAATAAATTCATAACATGGGGGTCTGAAATCTGCTTGTATGAAGTCCACCAAGACAGAGACAATGTTTTCCAAAGTTAGTTGAAACGAATTGAAGTAAAAACGGGTTTAACGTTTATTTTTAGGTATTAAGCTCTCAAGTACAACGTCTGCGAACTTATTGGCAACTAACACTAATCACCACTATGTGAAGTGTTTGGACATTTACCCTAAATCAGACGCCGATTTATTGTTGGCGGTTGGTTTATCAAACGGGAGGATTTCGCTATCGACGTTTGGACCCACAGAGTACGACTCGTTGGGTTTGCCTGGTAAAGAATTAGTGCCGCGGCATGCCCGACAGTGTAACACTGTCTGCTGGAACACCATTGAAACAAGTTGGGTGGCTGCCGGTTTAGATAAGTACAGATCCGACAACTCCGTTTTAATCTGGGACATAACCAAATCCTCCCAAAACAATGACAATAGTTCAGGAAGACTGGCGGTTAACACAATGGCCCCCGCCGTAGAACTCGCTAAACCCATAGCAGAGTTCGGGGTGTCAGAAACCGCTCACAGCATGGCGTGGTTTAGCAGCAACAGTAAACTGATTGCAGTTGGTATGAATCTAAAAAATATCAAATTTGTGGATATCAGAGGTAGGTGACTGAATTAGCTATTTTTCTTCTATTATTATTTTCATCACAGATCCGAATAAAATCACGAATTCAACCCTAACTAAGGCGGTTTTTGGGGTTTGTATGGACCCGAACGACGACAGACATTTGGCGTCGTTTTTTGAGAACAATATTTACGTGTGGGATACTCGGAATTTCGAAAAACCGATTCTGACGTTGCATCATAATAAACCCGTGATTAAAATTGCGTGGTGCCCTACAAAGTTGGTAAATGCGGGGTGTATTTTTTAAAATAAAGGTGAATTTGTAGGTATAATTTGTTGGGGTCGTTGCAAAAGGAGAGTTCTGTTATCAATTTGTATGACATTCAGCACACTGTTATTGGAAATGAGGAGGTCGAGCCGTCTGTTTTGGAAAGGGACGTGGCTCCGGGGTCCCCACATAATATTATGTCGTTTTCGTGGCACAACACCGACGAAAATCGATTCTTGACGATTGCGTTATCAGGTACGAATTTTGGATTTATGCATTACTTTAACAATTACTTTTTGCACTTTGAAAAATTTGATGGACATAATTTTAGATGTTTGTTTATTTCTGTAAAGCGCAATGGATTTTTTAGTACAATTTCTGCTAAATGTACCTTTTAGAAAATTTCAAATTAATCCATAAATAGCGAAAACCAGATAATCTCATACTCATCACAATTTTAACGCACCCGCCCCCGATTTTTCCAGAGGATATGACATTTGCCAAAATCAGTCTTTTCTTACCAAGTACTAGCCCCGCCCACCCGCCCTCTATTTTCTCAGAAGATATGTCATTTGCCAAAATCAGTCTTATCTTATTAAGTACTAGCCCGCCCACCCGCCCCCAAGTTGCTCAGAGGATATGTCATTTGCCAAAATAAGACTTATGTTAAAAAGAACTAGCCCCGCCCACACGCCCTTTATTTTCTCAAAGGATAGTATTTGCTAAGAAAAATCTTATTTTGTCAAATGACATACTATCTGAAAACATAGAGGTTGGGTGGGCGGGGCTAGCACTTGCTAAGATAAGACTGATTTTGTCCCCATTATGAAAACTTAGAAAAACTTACCAAGCTAAACTTGCTCCCTGTGCTTGTATTCTAAACGTCCTTTTTTTTTAAGTTAACCTATAGATTAAAAAAAAACGCACACACCCTTCAAATACGAGCGCAGCGAGCACTTTTAGACTGCTAGTCTCCGCAACTTGAATAATTATAAACATTTTAAAATTCACTTTTTTTTTAGACAGTAACAAATTTTTTTTATTATTAATTTAGCTTCTCAGGGACGCTAACGAAACATTTTTAATAACGCCTGAACGTGCTCGCTGCGCTCGCATTGTTATATGGGTTTTGCAATTATGCTCCGCCCCTCGGTCTGGCAACGAATGAAAAACTAATCACAATTGACATCGGGGACGGTATAGGTGGAACTTAATCTTTAGCTTTCATTTTTACTTAATACATACAATTCTCTTTTAACTACGCAATTACTTACGAACTTGTTTTATATGGTAATTACTCCCGCTCCGCCTCCCGGTTCATGACGAATAGAAAAATTAGTAACAATTGAAATAGGGTGGGTGGGCGGGGCTTATATTTTGCCTTTGTTTTTCTTAATATACCTAGTTTTGTTTTCATGAGAAGAAATTTTAAATATGTTTAAAGTAGTAAAAAAGAGGCAAAATACAAATTCAGTGACTTCTGCGCCCCGAAATCTACAAGAAAAAGCATTTAGTTAAATTTCGAAAATCGTCGAAAATGGGTCGAAATTTGCTAGTACTTGCCAAATAACCTAGCTTCTAATAAAATAAAAAGCGCGTAGGTCAGGCTAGTATTTGCTAAAATAAGACTCACTTTGGCAAATGACCTACTCTTTAAGAAAAGGTACTAGCCCCGCCCACCCACCCTTATTTTCTTAGAGGATATATCATTTGCAAAAATCAGTCTCATACTTGCCAAGATAAGAGTGATTTTGGCAGATGACCTATTATTTATTTTCTTAGAAGAGTAGGTTATTTGGCAAGTGCTAGCTCCACCCACCCGCCCTTTGTTTTCTTAGAGAGTAGATCATTTGCCAAAATTTTTTCGAATTTTTCAATTTTTCGCCTTTTAAATTTTCATTTTTTGATCTGTCTTTCGATTTTTTAATTTTACAGTTTTGGCAGTTTTCTGATTTCTCAATTATTTGATTTTTAAAAATATCGAGAAAATACATGTTCATTTTTTTTAATTTTCGATTTTTGATTTTTTGTCACCGGATTTTTGGAAGGGAGTAAAAAGTAATTTTGATCAGCGATTTGCCATGTTTACCGTAACTTTAAAACATCTGAAAATTTTGTTTCTAATTTTCAATTTTTGATTTTTCGGTTTTTCAAAATTTCGGTTCGAATAAACTTGTTCTTTTAGTTAAAAAATCGAAAAATGAGAAATCGTGAAAAGAAAAATTTTAACTTGAGAACTTGAAAAATTAAAGATAAAAAAATTCCAAAATTGTAAAGTTAAAACTTGAAAATCCAAAGATTGGAATTAAAAACTGCAAAATTGTCAAATTATCAAATGAAATATTCAAAAGTTGAAAAATCTAAAAATTAAAAAAAAAATGAAAACTGGAATTTCGAATTCGGTTATATAAGATTTTTTTTTCAATTTTTCGATATTTCAGTTTTTGATTTTCGGATTACACAATTGTACAATTTTCCGATTTCTCGTTTATCCGATTTTTCAATTTGTCATTTTTTGATTTTTAAATTTTTTATTTTTATCAAGTACTGGCTTCACCCACCCGCCCTCTATTTTCTCAGAGGATGTCATTTGCCAAAATCAGTTTTATCTTATCAAGTACTAGCCCCGCCCACCCGTCTCCTATTTGCCCAGAGGATGTCATTTGCTAAAATCAGTCTTATCTTATCAAGTACTAGCCCCGCCCACCTGTCCTCTATTTTCTCAGGGGATGTCATTTCCCAAAATCAGTCTTATCTTATCAAGTAATAGCCCCGCCCACCCGCCCTCTATTTTCTCAGAGGATATGACATTTGCCAAACTTAGTCTTATCTTATCAGGTACTAGCCCCGCCCACCCGCCCCCTAATTTCTCAGAGGATATGTCATTTGCCAAAATAAGTCTTATGTTAGTAAGAACTATCCCCGCCCACACCCCTTTATTTTCTCAAAGCATAATGCTTGCTAGTATTTGCTAAGAAAAATCTTATTTTGGCAAATCACATATCTTCTGAGAAAACAGGGGCGGGTGGGCGGGGCTAGCACTTGCTCAGATAAGACTGATTCTGGCAAACGCCATACCATCTGAGAAAATAGAGGGCGGGTGGGCGGAGCTAACACTTGCTAAGATAAGACTGATTTTGCCTCTATTATGAAAACTTGTAAAAACTTGTTAAATTTAAAAGGTGTTAAATTGCATATTTCCATAGTAATGAGTTAAATTCCTAAATCTAATTGGATATTTATTTTTTAACAACTCTGATATTAATTTTTCTGAGACATCCTGTATAAGCAAATTTAAAAAACATGAATGCAGTGGTAAACCACACACTGATCATATCTTGCACATTTTAGATAGAATTTATCCGGCAAAATTTTGAGATTACTTCATTGATTTTTTGGAGGGGATACAATATATTTTGAGTAAAAATTTATTATGGAAATTCACAATTTAACACATTTAAATTTCACAAGGTTTTACAAGATTAATAGGGGCAAAATCAGTTTTATCTTAAGAAAAACTAGGCCCACCCCCCGCCCCCTATTTTCCCAGAGGATGTCATTTCCCAAAATCAGTCTTATCTTAGCAGTTACTAGCTAAGATAAGACTGATTTTGGCAAATCACATACCCTCTAAGAAAAGACAGGGTGGGTGGGTGGACGGGGCTCATATGTCAAAATCAGTCTTATCCTAGAAGATACTAGCCCCGCCCACCAACCCTCTCTCTTCTTAGAAGATATCTCATTTGACAAAATCAGTCTTATCCTAAAAGATACTAGCCCCGCCCACCCACCCTCTCTTTTCTTAGAGGCTATCTCATTAGCCAAAATTACTCTTATCTTAACAGGAACATGGAACATGGAAATTTACAATTTAACACCTTTAAATTTCACAAGTTTTTGCAAAATCAGTTTTATCTTAACAAATACTAGGCCCGCCCACTCGCCCTCTATTTTCTCAAAGGATGTGTCATTTTCCAAAATAAGACTTATGTTAGCAAGTACTAGCCCCGCCCACACGCCCTTTATTTTCTTAGAGGGTAGTAATTGCTAAGATAATTCTTACTTTGGCAAATGACATTATCTTCTGAGAAAATAGGGGCGGAAGGGCGGTACTAGTATTTGCTCAGATAAGATTAATTCTGGCAAATGCCATACCCTCTGAGAGAACAGAGGGCGGGTGGGCGGGGCTAGCACTTGCTCAGATAAGACTGATTCTGGCAAATGACACGAACTCTAAGGAAATACGGGGCGGGTGGGCGGGGCTAGCACTTGCTAGGATAAGACTAATTTTGCCCCTATTATGAAAACTTGTAAAAACTCGTTAAATTTAAAAGGTGTTAAATTGCATATTTCCATAGTCATGAGTTAAATTCCTAAATCTGATTGGATATTTACTTTTTAACAACTCTGATATTGATTTTTTTGAGAGACCCTGTATAAGCAAATTTAAAAAATATTAGTTATATATTAAAAATAAATCATAAGTATAGACTCATCATATTTTGCACATTTAAGATAGGATATATTCAGCAATATTTTGAGGTGACGTCATCGATTTTTTGGAGGAGATAAGCAAATATATTGATTAAAAATTTATTATGGAAATTTACAATTTAACACCTTTAAATTTCACAAGTTTTTGCAAGATTAATAGGGGAAAATAAGTTTTATCTTGACAAATATTAGGTCCGCCCACCCGCCCCCTATTTTCCCAGAGGATGTCATTTGCCAAAATCAGTTTCATCTTACCAAGTACTAGCCCCGCCCACCCACCCTCTATTTTCTCAGAGGATATGTGATTTGCCAAAATCAGTCGTATCTTTTCAAGTACTAGCCCCACCCACCCGCCCCCCATTTTCTCAGAGGATATGTCATTTGCCAAAATAAGACTTATGTTAGCAAGTACTAGCCCCGCCCACACGCCCTTTATTTTCTTAGAGGGTAGTAATTGCTAAAATAAGTATTATTTTGGCAAATGACATATCATCTTCTGAGAAAACAGAGGGAGGGCGGGTGGGCGGGGCTAGCACTTGGTTAGATAAGACTGATTCTGGCAAATGACACAAACTCTGAGAAAATATGGGGCGGGTGGGCGGGGCTAGCACCTCCTAAGATAAGACTGATTTTACCCCTACTATGAAAACTCGTGAAAACTCGTTAAATTTAAAAGGTGTATTTAAATTGCAAATTTCTATAGTAACGAGTTGAATTGTTAAATTGAGTGATTGGATATTTATTTTCAACAACTCAGTCATTAATTTTTCTGAGATACCCTGTTTAAGCAAACTTAAAAAATTTGAATGCTGTGATAAATCACACACTGATCATATTTTGCACATTTTAGATAGGATATTTATCCGGTAAAATTTTGAGATGAGATAAGTAAAAAGTAATTGTAAAAGTGACTAAATTAAGTAATGAATTACTTCCAACCACTGGATTTATTGTTTTCATTTGTAAAATTATATATTGTAGGAACCATAACCGACTATACAGTTTTCGACCGAATTACGTTAAACTGGGCCCCCACTTCCAACGTCGTCTGGACTTACGGGCGAAAAACCATGAAATACATCAACGACTATCCGCTGCAGGACATTTCAACGAAAATCAAACAGAGGGCGCTGGCGGGCTACGGCTTAAAAGTAAGACCACACAATACTTAAACCAATAAACTGTGTCCTTTGAAGGCAGAAATTTACAAAAACGGCGAAATTGTGGACAACGAAATGCTATCAAACGTCTGGAACTGGCTATACTTGAGTGGAAAACTCGTCGAAGACGGTCTCCTAAACGGCACCCAATGCAAACACCCGGGAGTCCAAGCCGTGTTAAAACTGGACCCCAGCAACAACAAATCGGACCACTACTCCCTCTTGTGGTCAGATCTGGGAAACAAAAACTGTCAGGGTGTCGTGCGAATTTTCAAGTACTTTTACTCGCTTTGGTGACAATTTTTCGTAATTTTGTTGTTTCAGGCACGAGGATCGCGACAAAGCGCTACATTTGTGTAGTTGGCACTTCGAACGAGACTCAAACAAGTTAACCCAATTTCTTGAACAACTTGAGAAAGAGCAGGCGTACACAAGAGCCGCCGCTATAGCCGTTTTCAATTTAAAAATCCGTCTAGCGATTGATATTTTAAGTCGGGCGCCGGAAAACGTGTCGTTTGGGTCGAGTTTGAACGTGATGGCGATGGCGCTTGCGGGTTTTACGGACGACAAGAGTAGCGTGTGGAAGCAGTTTTGCTCGACCGCTAAACAAAAATTGTCGGATCCTTATCTAAAGGCGATTTTTAGTTTTCTGACTACGGAAAACTACAATTATGAGAGTGTTTTGGTACGATTTGGTGATACAGTTGTAAATTTTTGGGTGATTTTTTAAATTTTAGAATGAAAGTGGGGTCACGGTCGATGATAGGGTGGCGTTCGCTTGTATGTTCCTTCCAGACAATCGTTTACATGATTATTTGAAACGATTGTCGGATAAGTTGATTGAGGAGGGTAATTTGGACGGGCTGTTGCTCACGGGGACCAATCAAGACGGGATCCGGCTGCTGCAGCGGTATTTAGACGCCACTGGAGATATTCAGTCGACGGCGCTTATCGCTGTCCGTGCCTTTCCTGTGGAAATGTTTTCTGAAACGATAAAAGAATGGATTTCCAGGTGAAAATTTACCCCATCACGATCATCCAACTGTTGTTTTTTTGTAGCTACCGCAACCTTCTGGACACGTGGCAACTATGGAACGAAAGAGCCCACTTTGACATAATGTTGAGTACTTACTGGCCGGCGGATACCGCCCCACAGCAAGTCTACGTTTCGTGTAACTTCTGTGGCAAAAGTATCTCGGCCTACATGTACGGCCTTACTAGAGGACGCGGTCCCTTTCCACGTATCAGTGGCACCGCTAATAAACTTAAGGTAGCTTCATAACCCACTCTTATAAATACTGATTTGGGTTTTGCAGATGTCGTCTTGCCCCAACTGTCGCAAACCTTTACCCAGATGCGCTATTTGTTTGATGCATATGGGTACCACCACGGGCAGTGGTAGTGGGGGCGACAGTAACAAAATTATCGAATTTCCTAACTGGTTTACGTGGTGCCAGACGTGTAGACACGGAGGGCACGTTTCTCATATGACACACTGGTTCGAGTAAGTTGGTGTGAAGTGAAGGTCGATTTATTTACTTGCCGCTGACGTTGAGGTGACGTTCGAGATGAAAAATTTTTGTAGGAAAGTATACATTTTCAATTAGGCTTCGCCGCGCGGTCTGACAACGAATGAAAAATTTCATATTTTCTTAACGTGTCATGACCTCTAGAGTCCGAAAAAAGTGGTCTCCCGTTTCCGTCTGTCTGTCTGTCTGTCTGGTGTCTGTATCCAATTTTATTAGACAAGTAAACCCCGAAACTACTGGACCGATTGTTGTCACATTTTGTATGTATAATAGTTAAACACTAACTTAAATTTAGTTTATCAAATTAAAAAAGGTTTTTTTTAATTCGATAAAATACTATACTCCTGTACTTGTAATCTATGAATCAGTATCGAATTTTCACCCTAGACATCCCGAATTTCTGAATAGCAATACATATTTTGCAATATAACTTTGAAACTGCAAAACCGATTGCTCTGAAATCTTATAAATATTTTAAGGTTAACGTAATCATCGTAAATTGTTTATCTCCTCCCAAAAAATTTTTGACATCTCAAAATTTTGGCGAATAAATTTTTGGTCTTTGGAAATTTTCGACTCGCCGATTTTTCGAATTTTTCATTTTTTGACCTTTCGATTTCTCAAGTTGTCGATGTTTCGGTTTTAACATTTTTCAATTTTGGAATTTTTCAATTTTTCGGTCCTTCAATTTTTCGACATTTTAATTTAGAGGATTTTTCAATCTGTCGATTCTTCAAATTCTCGATTTTCCGAATTTTCCATTTCCGATTTCTCGATTTTTCAGTTTTTTAGTACTTAAGTTTCCAATTTTCAATTTTTCGAATTTTTAAATGTTGGATTTTTCACTTTTTTGATGTTTCGATATTTCTATCTTTCGATTTTTTAACTTCTCGCTTTTAGATTATTCGGTTTTTCAAATTTTCGATTTCTCTGTTGTTTATTTTTCGATTTTCCGATATTTCAGTTTTAGGATTTCACTTTTTCGATTCTTCAATTTATCAATTCTTCAATTTTTTTGATTTTTCAATATTTCTATTTTTGGCGTTTCGAAATTTTTGATTTTTCCTTTCCTCAATTTCTCTATTAAGCGATTCTTCGATTTTCCAATTTTTCCATCTTTTGATTTCTAGATTTTTCAATTTTTCGATTTCTTAAGGTTGCGATGTTTTAGTTTTAGGATTTTTCAATTTTGAAATTTTTCGGTTATTTCGATTTTTTGATGTTTTGATTTCTTCATTTTTCAATTTTTCGATTCTTCAATGTTTCGACATTTTAATTTAGAGGATTTTTCATTTGTCGATTCTTCAAATTCTCGATTTTCCGAATTTTGCATTTCTCGATTTTCCGACATTTCAGTTTTTCGATTCTTCAAATTATCGATATTTTAATTTTTCGTTATTTTTTAATTTTAAATATTTCGATTTTTCAGATTTTTAGTACTTCAGTTTCCAATTTTCAATTTTTTAAATTTTTAAATGTTAGATTTTTCACTTTTTTGATGATTCGATATTTCTATCCTTCTATTTTTCGACTTCTCGCTTTTAGATTTTTCGGTTTTTCAATTTTTCGACATTTTAGTTTGAGGATTTTTCAATTTGTGGATTCTTCAATTTTTCGAATTTTCGATTTCTCTATTTTTAATTTTTCGATTTTCCGATATTTCAGTTTTACGATTTCAGTTTTTCGGTTCTTCAATTTATCAATTCTTCAAATCTTTTAATTTTTCAATTTTTGGCGTTTCAAAATTTTTTATTTTTCCTTTCCTCAATTTCTCTATTAAGCGATTCTTTGATTTTTCGACTTTTCGATTTCTCAAGTTTTCGATGTTTCAGTTTTAGGATTTTTCAGTTTTGGAATTTTTCGATATTTCGGGTTTTCAATTTTTCGATGTTCTGAACTCTTCATTTTTCAATTTTTCGACATTTTAATTTTTTGTTTTTTTAATTTTAGATATTTCTATTTCTTAATCTTTCGATTTTTCGACTTCTCGCTTTTATATTTTTCTGTTTTTCAATTTTTTGATTTTTCAAGTTTTCAATTATTCGGTTTTTAAATTTTTCAATTTTTAGTTTTCCGATTTTCCAATTTATCCAGATTTCGATATATCGATTTTTTAATTTTTCGATTGTTCAATTTGTAGACTTCTCGATTTCTCAATCTTTTGATGTTTCGGTTTCTAGATGTTTCAATTTTTCGACATTTCAATTTTGGGATTTTCCAATTTCCCGATTTTTTAGTTTTTCGAATTTTCAATTTTTCGATTTTTTTATTGCAGATTTTTCGATTTCTAGTTTTTTGATTTTTAGTTTTCGATTTTTTAAATTTTAAGCATATTAGCGATTTTTCCATTTTACGATTTTACGATTTTTTGATGTTTCGAATTTCCGATTTTAAACTTTTTAGTCTGTATGTACATATTTAAATTTTTCGACTTTTAATTTTTTGATTTCTCGATTTTTCAAGTTTTCGATTTCTCAGTTTTTCAACATTTCAATTTTGGAAATTTTTCAGAATCTCATTTTTTTCAATTTTTCGACTTATCGGATTTCGAATTTTCGGTTTTTCAATTTTCGATTTTCGGTTGTTTGATTCCTCGGTATTTTTTGTAATTTATCAAAGGACCAAGATTTGTTGGGCTGCACTTTGGGAACGAGGGAAGTTCTGTCGAAATATCCTTCGACCAATTTTTTCTTAATATAATAATATTTTTTGAACAACACGATACTCAAAAACATGTTTTTTATTTCTTGTAGAAAAATGAGGATTTTGCTATTAAGCTCCGCCCCTCGGCTCACGACGAATAAAAAAAATCATCCGAATTGAGATAGGGCGGGTGGGCGGGGCTTATATTTTGCCTCTTTTTTCTTAATATACATACATGACTTAAGTTTCGTGTTGTGAAAAGAAGTCTACACATATTAAAACAAAACGGCAAAATATAAACCCCGCCCACCCATCCCCTTCTCAATTGTGATAATTTTGTTTTATTCTTAGAAACTTAAAGCACGTTTAAAATGGTAAACTTTTGCACGGAAATATGGAGTTTGCAGTTAAGCTCCACCCTCTTGGCTCACGACCAATAAAAAAATCATCACAATTGAGATAGGGTGGGTGGGCGGGGCTACATTTTTCCTGTTTTTCGTAATATGTGTAGACTTTTTTCGACAAAAAACTTAAAACATCTCTAAAATGGTAAATTTTTGTAGTAATCAACTTAAATCCGCAACGTCAACAGCAAGTTTATAAATCCCACTTGAAGCTGTCATTTTTTTTTTTGCAGTGAACATTCGGAGTGTCCGGTGACCGCTTGCACTTGCAAGTGTTTCTCAGTTGACTCCGTCAGCAACGCCATTATTAAGTGAACTGCACTGATTGTGATATTTTAGACTGTTATATACATTTTGGTAACGAATTGTACTTTAATAACGATTTGACATTTGTACGCGCAGTCGACATTTTTGTCCGTTTGGGTGTGTTAATTTGAGTGTTTTTTGACAAGAATAAATATACATATTTGAGACGTGTGTGATCTGACCTCAACGACTTGCTAAATACTTTATTAAAAGTTGCTCACATATACATAATACAATATTCTTAATATACACATCACGCTTGGCTCGAAATTTTATCAAAGATAAAATCCTTTGCTACGATCTCGATTTTCGGTAAACCGTTATTTTCTATAAAATTGCTAATTAATAATTTACGATCGTGGTTGTTTTCTGCTAGCACGACTAGATTAACTTCGGGCGTCAATTCCTTATTCACAGCGCCTTTGTAAAATTCAAACTCTAGTTCGTCCGGATACGAATAGTAAATTTGTTTTGAACCAGGGTTGTTAATTTCCTCGAAACGGTCAAAATAAGCAACATAATCGCTGAAATAATAGCTACCATTAACCGCCAGCGCGTCGTTCGTGTTCAAAAAATCGTCCTTTTTGCGCATCATGTCGAAAGCACGTTGCAACGACGCTTTGGATGTTTTTGCCATAAACGAATCACCGAATTGATCCAAATTTGTGGATAGATTTCGACGAAAATTACTACCGCAATAAAATATTTCGTCTGATTTGTAATCAACCAACTCGCGATCCTCCAAAACCCGTCGCAACCAATCAACGTGGATTATATCAAAACCGTTTGATTGTTTCATGGCGTTGGATATTTTCGTGTTTAGTTTTGAAATCAACACTATGTCGACGTTGGGTTCCAGGCGATAGCTAACCTCGCCGCCTAGTTTTTTAATAGAGTGATAAATCTCCTCAGTCCCCCATTTTTCGGTACCAGAATCAACATAAAAACGTATATTTTTTAAAAAATCACCTGCATCCGGTTGTTCGAAACTCACAACTTCGACTTTAATTTTCTTAGAAGGTCGCGCTTTTGATACAATCTCGTCCAAATCGATGTGTCTTTTGTTGAGTTTGACGATGGTTTTATTCTGACTCAGTTCTAATAATTCGTTCATGGATAAACAGTCATCTGGTGGTTTGTCGTTCCGTATTTTCAACACACGAGGAAATCGTAAAGTGTAGGGACACTTGACTGCGTCATTAGTGACTCTGATTAGTTCGGTCGCTCGGATTTGGAAAATGTACGAATTTTCCGGCTCTATGTAGACATGAGGGGTTTCCCGACCAAAAAATAGCTTGCCTTTGGTTTTTGTACCAAAGTCTTTAAAATCTATACCGTGTGTTTTAAATTTATCGCTTAACAAGTCTAGCTCTTCGTCGTTCAAACCCGAACTGATGCTTCCGAGGGAGTAATAGGTGCCCACTCCTGCAGACACTCCAACGATGAAAGAGTTGAGTTTGTTGCCCGAGCCGTACGTTCCACCCATCATTAGTACGTCCAAATCGTGAACCACATCATCGAAATATTCCATCTTCATTTTAAACCAGCCGCTATTTCTATCGCTGCATTTATACACACTAGAAGTGTCTTTAACGACTATGCCTTCCTCGTTATTATCAACTGAGGTGTTAAGTGCATCAACAACGTCACTTCTAGTGCTCACTTCTGAGTACTTACTCACAACAACTGCACCCTCCACTGGGTTTTTGACCACTTTTTTCAAAATTTGCAGTCTTTTACGCAACGATTGGTTAGTCAAAATCGTATCATTGTGCATCAGTATGTCAAAAGCGCAAAAACTTGGCTGATACTTCCTCAAACCGAGTTTCTTGACGTCATAGTTCATCCCTTTTGAACCAAACCGCTTCGTTTTTTTATTCCATAGCATCATCTTCCCATCAAGGATCACCCTCTTAGTCTCCAAATCAAAAACGTTTTTTAACAACGATTTGCTGAATTTTCCATTTCTGGATTTTTCGATTTCGCGATTTTCCGACATTTCAGTTTTACGATTTCCGTTTTTCGATTCTTCAAATTTTTTGATGTTTTAATTTCTCGATTCAATTTTTCGATTCTTATTGTAGTTTTTGTTTTTTTTTTAATTTTAAATATTTCAATTTTTCAGTTTTTTAGTACTTTAGTTTTCAATTTTCAATTTTTCGAATTTTTAAATGTTAGATTTTTCACTTTTTTGATGTTTCGATATTTCTATTGTTCGATTTTTCGACTTCTCGCCTTTAGATTATTTGGTTTTTCAATTTTTCGACATTTTAGTTTGAGGATTTTTTAATTTGTCGATTCTTCAAATTTTCGATTTCTCTATTTTTTTATTTTTCGATTTTCCCATATTTCAGTTTTACGATTTCAGTTTTTCAATTCTTCAATTTATCAATTCTTCAAATTTTTTAATTTTTCATTATTTCAATTTTTGGCGTTTCGTAATTTTTTATTTTTCCTTTCCTCAATTTCTCTATTAAGCGATTCTTTGATTTTTCGACTTTTCGATTTCCCAATTTTGCGATCTTTTGATTTCTAGATTTTTCAATTTTCGATTCTCGAATTGCCGAATTTTCCATTTCTGGATTTTTCGATTTTTTGATGTTTTAATTTCTCGATTCAATTTTTCGATTCTTATTTTAGTTTTTAGTTTTTTTTTTAATTTTAAATCTTTCGATTTTTCAGTTTTTTAGTACTTTAGTTTTCAATTTTCTACTTTTCGAATTTTTAATTGTTAGATTTTTCACTTTTTTGATGTTTCCATATTTCTATCGTTCGATTTTTCAACTTCTCGGCTTTAGATTATTCGGTTTTTCAATTTTTCGGCATTTTAGTTTGACGATGTTTCAATTTGTCGATTCTTCAAATTTTCTATTTCTCTATTTTTTATTTTTCGATTTTCCGATATTTCGTTTTTACGATTTCAGTTTTTCGATTCTTCAATTTATCAATTCTTCAAATTTTTTAATTTTTCAATATCTCAATTTTTGGCGTTTCGTAATTTTTTATTTTTCCTTTCCTCAATTTCTCTATTAAGCGATTCTTTGATTTTTCGACTTTTCGATTTCCCAATTTTTCGATCTTTTGATTTCTAGATTTTTCAATTTTTCGATTTCGCGATTTTCCGACATTTCAGTTTTACGATTTCTGTTTTTCGATTCTCCAAATTTTTCGAATTTTTTGATGTTATAATTTCTCGATTCAATTTTTCGATTCTTACTTTAGTTTTTGTTTTTTTTTAATTTTAAATATTTCGATTTTTCAGTTTTTTAGTACTTTAGTTTTCAATTTTCAATTTTTCGAATTTTTAAATGTTGGATTTTTCACTTTTTTGATGTTTCGATATTTCTATCGTTCGATTTTTCGACTTCTCGCCTTTAGATTATTCGGTTTTTCAATTTTTCGACATTTTAGTTTGACGATGTTTCAATTTGTCGATTCTTCAAATTTTCGATTTCTCTATTTTTTATTTTTCGATTTTCCATATTTCAGTTTTACGATTTCAGTTTTTCAATTCTTCAAATTTTTTAATTTTTCGATTTCCCAATTTTTCGATCTTTTGATTTCTAGATTTTTCAATTTTTCAATTTCTCGAGTTTTCGATGTTTTAGTTTTAGGATTTTTCAATTTTGGAATTTTTTGATCTTTCGATTTTTTAATTTTTCGAATTTTTGATGTTTTGATGTCTTCATTTTTCAATTTTTCCACATTTTAATTTCTCGTTATTTTAATTTTAGATATTTCTATTTCTTAATCTTTCGATTTTTTTCGACTTCTCGCTTTTAGATTTTTCGGTTTTTCAATTTTTGATTTTTCAAGTTTTCAGTTTTTCAGTTTTTAAATTCTCCAATTTTCAGTTTTCCGATTTTCCAATTTTTCCAGATTTCGATGTTTAAGTTAAATGTTTCAATTTCAAAATTTTCATTTTCGATTGTTCGATTTCTAGGCTTCTCGAGTTCTCAATCTTTTGATGTTTAAGTTTCTAGATGTTTCCATTTTTCAATTTCGATTTCTCAGTTTTTCAATTTTTCGACATTTCAGTTTTGGTATTTTCCAATTTCCAGATTTTTTAGTTTTTCGATTTTTCAATTCTCCGATTTTTTTAATTGCAGATTTTTCGATTTCTAGTTTTTTGATTTTTAGTTTTCGATTTTACGATTTCTTGGTGTTTCGAATTCCCGATTTTAAACTTTTTAGTCTGTATGTACATATTTAAATTTTTCGACTTTTAATTTTTTGATTTCTCGATTTTTCAAGTTTTCGACATTTCAATTTTGGGATTTTTCAATTTCTCGATCTCTAGTTTTTTGATTTTTCCATTTTTCGATTTTACGATTTTTTTATGTTTCGAGTTCTCGATTTTAAACTTTTAATTATGCATGTATGTACATATTTCAATTTTTCGAATTTTAAAATTTTTCGCCTTTCCAATTTTTTGATTTCTCGATTTTTCAGTTTTTCAACATTTCAATTTTGGAAATTTTTCAGAATCTCATTTTTTTCAATTTTTCGACTTATCGGATTTCGAATTTTCGGTTTTTCAATTTTCGATTTTCGGTTGTTTGATTCCTCGGTATTTTTTGTAATTTATCAAAGGACCAAGATTTGTTGGGCTGCACTTTGGGAACGAGGGAAGTTCTGTAGAAATATCCTTCGACCAATTTTTTCTTAAGATAATAGTATTTTTTGAACAACACGATACTCAAAAACATGTTTTTTATTTCTTGTAGAGAAATAAGGACTTTGCTATTAAGCTCCGCCCCTCGGCTCACGACGAATAAAAAAAATCATCCGAATTGAGATAGGGCGGGTGGGCGGGGCTTATATTTTGCCTCTTTTTTCTTAATATACATATGTGACTTAAGTTTCGTGTTGTGAAAAGAAGTCTACACATATTAAAACAAAACACTCAATTGTGATAATTTTGTTTTATTCTTAGAAACTTAAAGCACGTTTAAAATGGTAAACTTTTGCACGGAAATATGGAGCTTGCAGTTAAGCTCCACCCTCTTGGCTCACGACCAATAAAAAAATCATCACAATTGAGATAGGGTGGGTGGGCGGGGCTACATTTTTCCTGTTTTTCGTAATATGTGTAGACTTTTTTCGACAAGAAACTTAAAACATCTCTAAAATGGTAAATTTTTGTAGTAATCAACTTAAATCCGCAACGTCAACGGCAAGTTTATAAATCCCACTTGAAGCTGTCATTTTTTTTTTTTTGCAGTGAACATTCGGAGTGTCCGGTGACCGCTTGCACTTGCAAGTGTTTCTCAGTTGACTCCGTCAGCAACGCCATTATTAAGTGAACTGCACTGATTGTGATATTTTAGACTGTTATATACATTTTGGTAACGAATTGTAGTTTAATAACGATTTGACATTTGTACGCGCAGTCGACTTTTCGTCCGTTTGGGTGTGTTAATTTGAGTGCTTTTTGACAAGAATAAATATACATATTTGAGACGTGTGTGATCTGACCTCAACGACTTGTTAAATACTTTATTAAAAGTTGCTCACATATACATAATACAATATTCTTAATATACACATCACGCTTGGCTCGAAATTTTATCAAAGATAAAATCCTTTGCCACGATCTCGATTTTCGGTAAACCGTTATTTTCTATAAAATTGCTAATTAATAATTTACGTTCGTGGTTGTTTTCTGCTAGCACGACTAGATTAACTTCGGGCGTCAATTCCTTATTCACAGCGCCTTTGTAAAATTCAAACTCTAGTTCGTCCGGATACGAATAGTAAATTTGTTTTGAACCAGGATTGTTAATTTCCTCGAAACGGTCAAAATAAGCAACATAATCGCTAAAATAATAGCTATCATTAACCGCCAGCGCGTCGTTAGTGTTCAAAAAATCGTCCTTTTTGCGCATCATGTCGAAAGCACGTTGCAACGACGCTTTGGATGTTTTTGCCATAAACGAATCACCGAATTGATCCAAATTTGTGGATAGATTTCGACGAAAATTACTACCTCAATAAAATATTTCGTCTGATTTGTAATCAACCAACTCGCGATCCTCCAAAACCCGTCGCAACCAATCAACGTGGATTATATCAAAACCGTTTGATTGTTTCATGGCGTTGGATATTTTCGTGTTTAGTTTTGAAATCAATACTATGTCGACGTTGGATTCCAGGCGATAGCTAACCTCGCCGCCTAGTTTTTTAATAGAGTGATAAATCTCCTCAGTCCCCCATTTTTCGGTACCCGAATCAACATAAAAACGTATATTTTTTAAAAAATCGCCTGCATCCGGTTGTTCGAAACTCACAACTTCGACTTTAATTTTCTTAGAAGGTCGCGCTTTTGATACAATCTCGTCCAAATCGATGTGTCTTTTGTTGAGTTTGACGATGGTTTTATTCTGACTCAGTTCTAATAGTTCGTTCATGGATAAACAGTCATCTGGTGGTTTGTCGTCGCGTATTTTCAACACACGAGGAAATCGTAAAGTGTAGGGACACTTGACTGCGTCATTCGTGACTCTGATTAGTTCGGTCGCTCGGATTTGGAAAATGTACGAATTTTCCGGCTCTATATAGACATGAGGGGTTTCCCGACCAAAAAATAGCTTGCCTTTGGTTTTTGTGCTAAAGTCTTTAAAATCTATACCGTGTGTTTTAAATTTATCGCTTAACAAGTCTAACTCTTCGTCGTTCAAACCCGAACTGATGCTTCCGAGGGAGTAATAGGTGCCCACTCCTGCAGACACTCCAACGATGAAAGAGTTGAGTTTGTTGCCCGAGCCGTACGTTCCACCCATCATTAGTACGTCCAAATCGTGAACCACATCATCGAAATATTCCATCTTCATTTTAAACCAACCGCTATTTCTATCGCTGCATTTATACATCTTTAACGAGTATGCCTTCGTCGTTATTATCAACTGAGGTGTTAAGAGCATCAGCAACGTCACTTCGGTGTTAAGAGCATCAACAACGTCACTTCTAGTCCTCACTTCTGAGTACTTACTCACAACAACTGCACCCTCCACTGGGTTTTTGACCACTTTTTGCAAAATTTGCAGTCTTTTCCGCAACGATTGGTTAGTCAAAATCGTATCATTGTGCATCAGTATGTCAAAAACGCAAAAACACGGCTGATACTTTCCCAAACCGAGTTTCTTGCCGTCATAGTTCATCCCTTTTGACCCAAACCGCTTCGTTTTTTTATTCCATAACATCATCTCTCCATCAAGGATCACCCTCTTAGTCTCCAAATCAAAAACGTTTTTTAACAACGATTTGCCGAATTTTCCATTTCTGGATTTTTCGATTTCGCGATTTTCCGACATTTCAGTTTTACGATGTCCGTTTTTCGATTCTTCAAATTTTTTGATGTTTTAATTTCTCGATTCAATTTTTCGATTCTTATTGTAGTTTTTGTTTTTTTTTAATACTTTAGTTTTCAATTTTCAATTTTTCGAATTTTTAAATGTTAGATTTTTCATTTTTTGATGTTTCGATATTTCTATTGTTCCATTTTTCGACTGCTCGCCTTTAGATTATTTGGTTTTTCAATTTTTCGACATTTTAGTTTGAGGATTTTTTAATTTGTCGATTCTTCAAATTTTCGATTTCTCTATTTTTTTATTTTTCGATTTTCCCATATTTCAGTTTTTCAATTCTTCAATTTATCAATTCTTCAAATTTTTTAATTTTTCATTATTTCAATTTTTGGCGTTTCGTAATTTTTTATTTTTCCTTTCCTCAATTTCTCTATTAAGCGATTCTTTGATTTTTCGACTTTTCGATTTCCCAATTTTTCGATCTTTTGATTTCTAGATTTTTCAATTTTCGATTCTTCAAATTCTCGAATTGCCGAATTTTCCATTTCTGGATTTTGCGATTTTTTGATGTTTTAATTTCTCGATTCAATTTTTCGATTCTGATTTTAGTTTTTAGTTTTTTTTTAATTTTAAATATTTCGATTTTTCAGTTTTTTAGTACTTTAGTTTTCAATTTTCTACTTTTCGAATTTTGAAATGTTAGATTTTTCACTTTTTTGATGTTTCCATATTTCTATCGCTCGATTTTTCAACTTCTAGGCTTTAGATTATTCGGTTTTTCAATTTTTCGACATTTTAGTTTGACGATGTTTCAATTTGTCGATTCTTCAAATTTTCGATTTCTCTATTTTTTATTTTTCGATTTTCCGATATTTCGTTTTTACGATTTCAGTTTTTCGATTCTTCAATTTATCAATTCTTCAAATTTTTTAATTTTTCAATATCTCAATTTTTGGCGTTTCGTAATTTTTTATTTTTCCTTTCCTCAATTTCTCTATTAAGCGATTCTTTGATTTTTCGACTTTTCGATTTCCCAATTTTTCGATCTTTTGATTTCTAGATTTTTCAATTTTTCGATTCTTCAAATTCTCGATTTGCCGAATTTTCCATTTCTGGATTTTTCGATTTCGCGATTTTCCGACATTTCAGTTTTACGATTTCCGTTTTTCGATTCTTCAAATTTTTCGATTTTTTGATGTTTTAATTTCTCGATTCAATTTTTCGATTCTTATTTTAGTTTTTAGTTTTTTTAAATCTTAAATATTTCGATTTTTCAGTTTTTTAGTACTTTGGTTTTCAATTTTCTGTTTTTCGAATTTTTAAATGTTAAATTTTTCACTTTTTTGATGTTCGATATTTCTATCGTTCCATTTTTCGACTTCTCGCCTTTAGATTATGTATTTGGTTTTTCAATTTTTCGACATTTTAGTTTGAGGATTTTTCAGTTTGTCGATTCTTCAAATTTTCGATTTCTCTATTTTTTAATTTTTCGATTTCCCAATTTTTCGATCTTTTGATTTCTAGATTTTTCAATTTTTCGATTTCTCAAGTTTTCGATGTTTCAGTTTTAGGATTTTTCAATTTTGGAATTTTTCGATATTTAGATTTTTTCATTGTTTTGATGTCTTCATTTTTCAATTTTTCGACATTTTAATTTTTCGTTTTTTAATTTTAGATATTTCTATTTCTTAATCTTTCGATTTTTGTCGACTTCTCGCTTTTAGATTTTTTGGTTTTTCAATTTTTGATTTTTCAAGTTTTCAATTTTTCGGTTTTTAAATTCTTCAATTTTCAGTTTTCCGATTTTCCAATTTATCCAGATTTCGATGTTTAAGTTAAATGTTCCAATTTCAAAATTTTCATTTTCGATTGTTCGATTTCTAGGCTTCTCGATTTCTCAATCTTTTGATGTTTCAATTTTTCAATTTCGGTTTCTCAGTTTTCCAATTTCCCGATTTTTTAGTTTTTCGATTTTTCAATTCTCCGATTTTTTTAATTGCAGATTTTTCGATTTCTAGTTTTTTGATTTTTAGTTTTCGATTTTACGATTTTTTATGTTTCGAATTCCCGATTTTAAACTTTTTAGTCTGTATGTATATATTTAAATTTTTCGACTTTTAATTTTTTTGATTTCTCGATTTTTCAAGTTTTCGACATTTCAGTTTTGGGATTTTTTCGAATTTTAAAATTTCTCGCCTTTTCATTTTTTTGATTTCTCGATTTTCCAAGTTTTCGATTTCTCAGTTTTTCAACATTTCAATTTTGGAAAATTTTCAGAATCTCATTTTTTCAGTTTTTCGATTTCGATCGATCTTTCGACTTATCGGATTTCGAATTTTCGGTTTTTCAATTTTCGATTTTCGGTTGATTCCTCGGTATTTTTTGTAATTTATCAAAGGACCAGGATTTGTTGGGCTGCACTTTGGGAACGAGGGAAGTTCTGTCGAAATATCCTTCGAGCAATTTTTTCTTAATATAATAGTATTTTTTGAACAACACGATACTCAAAATCATGTTTTTTATTTCTTGTAGAAAAATGAGGATTTTGCTATTAAGCTCCGCCCCTCGACTCACGACAAATAAAAAAAATCATCCGAATTGAGATAGGGCGGGTGGGCGGGGCTTATATTTTGCCTCTTTTTGCTTAATATACATACACGACTTAAGTTTCGTGTTGTGAAAAGAAGTCTACACATATTAAAACAAAACGGCAAAATATAAACCCCGCCCACCCATCCCCTTCTCAATTGTGATAATTTTGTTTTATTCTTAGAAACTTAAAGCACGTTGAAAATGGTTAATTTTTGCACGGAAATATGGAGTTTGCAGTTAAGCTCCGCTCTCTTGGCTCACGACCAATAAAAAAAATCATCACAATTGAGATAGGGTGGGTGGGCGGGGCTACATTTTTTGTGTTTTTCGTAATATGTGTAGACTTTTTTCGACAAGAAACTTAAAACATCTCTAAAATGGTAAATTTTTGTAGTAATCAACTTAAATCCGCAACGTCAACAGCAAGTTTATAAATCCCACTTGAAGCTGTCAAAAAAAATATTTTTTTTTGCAGTGAACATTCGGAGTGTCCGGTGACCGCTTGCACTTGCAAGTGTTTCTCAGTTGACTCCGTCAGCAACGCCATTATTAAGTGAACTGCACTGATTGTGATATTTTAGACTGTTATATACATTTTGGTAACGAATTGTACTTTAATAACGATTTGACATTTGTACGCGCAGTCGACTTTTCGTCCGTTTGGGTGTGTTAATTTGAGTGCTTTTTGACAAGAATAAATATACATATTTGAGACGTGTGTGATCTGACCTCAACGACTTGCTAAATACTTTATTAAAAGTTGCTCACATATACATAATACAATATTCCTAATATACACATCACGCTTGGCTCGAAATTTTATCAAAGATAAAATCCTTTGCTACGATCTCGATTTTCGGTAAACCGTTATTTTCTATAAAATTGCTAATTAATAATTTACGATCGTGATTGTTTTCTGCTAGCACGACTAGATTAACTTCGGGTGTCAATTCCTTATTCACAGCGCCTTTATAAAATTCAAACTCTAGTTCGTCCGGATACGAATAGTAAATTTGTTTTGAACCAGGATTGTTAATTTCCTCGAAACGGTCAAAATAAGCAACATAATCGCTAAAATAATACCTATCATTAACCGCCAGCGCGTCGTTCGTGTTCAAAAAATCGTCCTTTTTGCGCATCATGTCGAAAGCACGTTGCAACGACGCTTTGGATGTTTTTGCCATAAACGAATCACCGAATTGATCCAAATTTGTGGATAGATTTCGACGAAAATTACTACCGCAATAAAATATTTCGTCTGATTTATAATCAACCAACTCGCGATCCTCCAAAACCCGTCGCAACCAATCAACGTGGATTATATCAAAACCGTTTGATTGTTTCATGGCGTTGGATATTTTCGTGTTTAGTTTTGAAATCAACACTATGTCGACGTTGGGTTCCAGGCGATAGCTAACCTCGCCGCCTAGTTTTTTAATAGAGTGATAAATCTCCTCAGTTCCCCATTTTTCGGTACCCGAATCAACATAGAAACGTATATTTTTTAAAAAATCACCTGCATCCGGTTGTTCGAAACTCACAACTTCGACTTTAATTTTCTTAGAAGGTCGCGCTTTTGATATAATCTCGTCCAAATCGATGTGTCTTTTGTTGAGTTTGACGATGGTTTTATTCTGACTCAGTTCTAATAATTCGTTCATGGATAAACAGTCATCTGGTGGTTTGTCGTCGCGTATTTTCAACACACGAGGAAATCGTAAAGTGTAGGGACACTTGACTGCGTCATTCGTGACTCTGATTAGTTCGGTCGCTCGGATTTGGAAAATGTACGAATTTTCCGGCTCTATATAAACATGAGGGGTTTCCCGACCAAAAAATAGCTTGCCTTTGGTTTTTGTGCTAAAGTCTTTAAAATCTATACCGTGTGTTTTAAATTTATCGCTTAACAAGTCTAACTCTTCGTCGTTCAAACCCGAACTGATGCTTCCGAGGGAGTAAAAGGTGCCCACTCCTGCAGACACTCCAACGATGAAAGAGTTGAGTTTGTTGCCCGAGCCGTACGTTCCACCCATCATTAGTACGTCCAAATCGTGAACCACATCATCGAAATATTCCATCTTCATTTTAAACCAACCGCTATTTCTATCGCTGCATTTATACACACTAGAAGTATCTTTAACGACTATGCCTTCCTCGTTATTATCAACTGAAGTGTTAAGAGCATCAACAACGTCACTTCTAGTGCTCACTTCTGAGTACTTACTCACAACAACTGCACCCTCCACTGGGTTTTTGACCACTTTTTTCAAAATTTGCAGTCTTTTCCGCAACGATTGGTTAGTCAAAATCGTATCATTGTGCATCAGTATATCAAAAACGCAAAAACACGGCTGATACTTCCCCAAACCGAGTTTCTTGACGTCATAGTTCATCCCTTTTGACCCAAACCGCTTCGTTTTTTTATTCCACAACATCATCTCTCCATCAAGGATCACCCTCTTAGTTTCTAAATCAAAAACGTTTTTTAATAACGGCGTAAAAATCCCGTCTTCAAACGACGCCCCATACGAATTCGTAAAATCGTAGCCGTTTCGTGAAAAATACTTAAATTTCCCGTCCTCCATGTGCAACTGAAAACGCTCACCGTCGAACTTATTCTCCGTAACAAAAGTTTTCGCGTCCGGAAAACATTTTTTGAAGTTCGACGCGTCGCATCGCTTGGAAAGCATGGGTTTGAAGGGTTCAAAGATGTTAATTTCGAGCTCGTGCAATTTTACTTTGGGGTCGTGCAAAACCTCGCACAGTTTTTTCAGGTTGTTATTGGCGGCGTAGAAGTTGGCGCCGTCTTCGTGCACGCAGTTGAGGATCGTGTTATCGCTGATCCCCAGTTTGAGGTCTTTGAGGATAATTTGTATCAGCCACTTGATGTTTTTGGGGGAGAGTTTGCGGAAAATTTCGAGGATTTGGTCGTCGAGACCCGTGTCGGAGGTGCGGGTCGCGATTTGGTCCAAGTAGGTGTTGATGTCGTGGATTGTGAGACCGATTTCTTTATTTATGATGTATTTTTTCAGGATTGAGTAGACTATGTCGCCGAAGTCGACGCTGGAGCCCGTTACGGATTTAAGGAGGAGGTTTTTGTCGTTGCCAGGGGGCAGGCCTAACATTTTTATTAGGAGTTTGGTGATTTTGGACTCTTTTATTCGGTAGGAGGGGCGGTCGCGCTCCAGTCTTGGGACGACTAACCTCAAAACTGGGTGGATTTCGTGGCGTCGGTCTCGCAGTTTTGTGAAAAATGATTTTGTGTGTTTGGACTTTTCAGCTGCGCCTTTGGTGTCTCTTAGGGTTTCGAGGAAGTCGCACAGTTCGGCGAAGTTCATTTTGGTGAAAAGTAGGACCTGGAAGATAACCTATAATTTGGAAATTATAATTATACGACCGGGAATACCACCTTAGACAATTAAATGTACATTTTAAAGGATACACAAACAATATTTACAACTAGTTTTTCAATATATACAGATATTTAGTGTTAAATAGTATTAATTGAAGGTTATCTGTTGACAACCTTGACAGCTGTCATAACCATAGATTTTGCAAATCCACCCTTATTGACATTGGAGTCCTCCAGCGCCAAATTTAAATAGTCGATGCTAATAAAAAAACTTGTTTCACTACAACTCGTCGTCTGAGAACTTGTTTGATCTACAGACCAGACCGCGCTCAGGCCAATGTCGACTCTAAGCGTTCAGAAGCGATTTGGTTCGTTTGGACTATAATTTCTGCAGGAAATAGTTGTTTCGGTCGGTTTTTATAACGACTAAGTGAATATTTTTGGTACATATTTAGATGATTTTACATATTTTGTTTAACTAAGAATTAATTCTTTATTTGTGTTTCATACTACCAAAACGTCTTAAACTAAGAATATTGTTAAAATCGTAATAACCCAATGGATTTTTTTCGGGAAAATGTTTTGGAAACACTGTTCTATTTTGTATGCATTTTTAAATGTTTTTAGTGACAATTTTTGTGGTTGTTTTCGATACACTGTATGATATTAACAGTGAGAAAAAAAAATGAAAAATTAAAATAATCGAAAATTCGAGAAATCTAATAATCGAAAAATCGAAACCTTAAAAAATCGTAAAACCGAAACATTGAAAAATCGAAATATCGGAGAACTGAAAATCGAAAAGTGAAACATCAGAAAATCGAAAAAATGTAAAATTCAAAAACCGAATAACGAAAAATCGAGAAATCGAAACTTCCAAATTTAAAAAATCGAATAACTGAAAAATCGAAACATCGAAAAACTGGAAAATCGAAAAACCGAGAAATCGAAAAATCAAAAGATCAAGAAATCGTGGAGTCGAAAAGTCGAACAATTGAGAAACCGAAATAGGCCAAAATAAAAAATTGAAAAATTTATAAATCGAAAACCTGAACAATCAAATCTCTATAAATCGGGAATGAAAAATTAACAAATCGAAAAATTCAAAAACAGAACAGCTAAAACCAGGAAGTCCAAAAATTGAAAGATTAAGAAAAATCGAAAAATCAAAAAAGTGAAGTCGAAAAATAGAAACCTTAAAATCGAAAAATTGAAAAATCAAAAACCTGAAAAATCAAAAAATTAAAGAACTGAAGAACAGGAAAATCGAAACACTCGAAGGTCAAGAAATGGGAAAATCAAAACATCGATTAATTGAAAAATCGAAAAATTGGGAGTTTATATAAGTCAAATTTGAAAAATTAAAAAAATGAAAATTTGACAAAATGACAATTGAAAAACAGAAAATCCAAAACCGGGAAGTCGAAAAATCAAAAGATTAAGAAATCAAAACATTTGAAAAATTCGAAAACTTGAAAAATTCAAATATCGAAGAACTGGACTAAAAAATCGAGAAATCGAAAAATCTAAAATTTTAAAAATCAAAAAATTGAAAAATTTAAAAAGTAAAATAATCGACACATCGAAAAATCCAGGAGTCAAAAATCGAAAAGTCGAAGAATCAAAATATTGAAAAATCCCAAAACTGAGATATCGAAAAACTGAAAAATGAAAGATAAACTGAGAATCTAATAACCTGAAAAATCCGAAAACTGAAATATCCAAAAACTGAGAACCTAAAAAGTCGAAAAATTGAGCAATCGAAAAATCCAAAAAGTGAAGTCGAAAAATCGAAACCTTAAAAAAAACTAAAAAATGAAAAATCGAAAAATTAAATAATTGAAGAACAGGAATATCGAAATTCTCGAAAGTCAAGCAATGGGAAAATCAAAACATCGATTAATTGTAAAATCGAAAAATTGAGAGTTTATGAAAGTCAAATTTGAAAAATTAAAAAGTCGAAAATTTGACAAAATGATAATTGAAAAACAGAAAATCTAAAACCGGGAAGTCGAAAAATCGAAAGATTAAGAAATCGAAACATTTGAAAAATTCGACAACTTTAAAAATTCAAAAATCGAAGAACTGAACTGAAAAATCCAGAAATCGAAAAATGTAAAATTTTAAGAATTAAAAAATCTAGAAAGTAAAATAATCGACACATCGAAAAATCCAGGAGTCAAAAATCGAAAAGTTGAAGAATCGAAATACTGAAAAATTCCAAAACTGAGATATCGAAAAATTGAAAACTGAAAGATAAACTGAGAATCTAATATCTTGAAAAATCCAAAAACTGAAATATTCAAAAAGTGAGAACCTAAAAAGTCGAAAAATTGAGCAATCGAAAAATGCAAAAAGTGAAGTCGAAAAATCGAAACCTTAAAAAAACTAAAAAATGAAAAATCGAAAAATTAAAGAATTGAAGAACAGAAATATCGAAACCCTCGAAAGTCAAGAAATGGGAAAATCAAAACATCGATTAATTGAAAAATCTAAAAATTGAGAGTTTATAAAAATCAAATTTGAAAAATTAAAAAATCGAAAATTTGACAAAATGACAATTGAAAAACATAAAATCTAAAACCGGGAAGTCGAAAAATCAAAAGATTAAGAAATCTAAACATTTGAAAAATTCGAAAACTTGGAAAAAATTGAAATATCGAAGAACTGAAATGAAAAATCCAGAAATCGAAAAATTTAAAATTTTAAAAATTAAAAAAATCTAAAATTTAAAAATCGAAAAAGTAAAAACAAAGCGACACATCGAAAAATCCAGGAGTCAAAAATCGAAAAGTAGAAGAATCGAAATATTGAAAAATCCCAAAACTGAAATATCGAAAAACTGAAAAATGAAAGAAAAACTAAAAATGGGAAACTAAATCGGGAAATCAAAACATTGAAAAATTCAAAAATTTAAAACGAAAATTGAAAACAGAAAATCTAAAACCGGGAAGTCGAAAAATCGAAAGATTAAGCAATCGAAAAATTGAAAAATCGAAAAAGTAAAATAACCGACACATCGAAAACTCCAGAAGCCAAAAATCGAAAAGTCGAAGAATCGAAATATTGAAAAATCCCAAAACTGAAATATCGAAAAACTGAAAAATGGAAAACCTGGAAAATCCGAAAACTGAAATATCCAAAAACTGAGAACCTAAAAAGTCGAAAAATTGAGCAAGCGAGAAATCCAAAAAGTGAACTCGAAAAATCGAAACTAAAAAATGAAAAATAAAAAACCTGAAATATCGAAAAATTAAAGAATTGAAGAACAGGAATATCGAAACCCTCGAAAGTAAAGAAATGGGAAAATCAAAACATTAATTAATTGAAAAATCGAAAAATTGACAGTTTATAAATGTCAAATTTGAAAAATTGAAAAATGGAAGAGATGAAATGAAAAATCGAGAAATCGAAAAATTTTGAATTTTAAATATTGAAAAATTAAAATACCAAAAAATAGAGAAATCTTAAAAAAAAATTTTAAAATCGAAAAAGTAAAAAGTCGACACATCGAAAAATCTCTGGATTTCAAAATTGGAAAGGTCAAAGAACAGAAATATTGAAAAGTTCCAAAACTGAAATATCGAAAAACTGAAAAATGAAAGAAAAACTGATGAATCGAAAAACTGAAAAATCGTAAAACTGAGAATCTAAAGAATCGAAAAATTGAAAATCAAAAAAGTGAAATCGAAATATCGAAACCTTAAAAAAATCGAAAAATTAAAAAATCAAAAACCTGCAAAATCGTAAGATCGAAAAATTGAATAACAAGTAAACTGAAAAATCCCAAAACTGAAATGTCCAAAAACTGAGAAATTAAAAAATTGAAAAAATTGAGAAATCGAAAAATCAAAAAAGTGATGTTGAAAAACGAAACCTGAAAAAATAGAAAAATAGAAAAATCAAAATACCTAAAAAATCAATTAAATGAAAAATCGAAATATTTAAAAATCGTAAAATTGAAGAGAAAAAAAATAAATAGGAGGAAACTGAAAAGTTCCCAAACTAAAATTTCGGAAAACTGAGAATTCGGAAGTTGAAACAGCAAGAAATTATGGTGGAAACCGGTTAGGACGTTCTCTGGTGTACTATTGACGGTGTAAGACCGTCTTTATTACGTTTCAGTGGTGAAGGCAGCTTTAGGAGTTTAGTGAGTTTGAGTTAGTGAATTAGTGATGTGGTTGGCAGCGCCCACTAACAAACATCATTTGCATGAAGTTTGACATCCTGTCATTGTCAAGCCAATAAACGTTGTCCTTGTGGTTTTTATAATTGTTTATATGTAATAGTGAATATAAAATCTCGTTTACGATTTTACTGCGAATAAAACCTGAATGACCATTGACCTCTCGGGTAAGTCAATATTCGATAACAAAAATAAATTTGTCGTAAATAAGTAATCAGTGAGAAGTTTCTTTAACAATAGCATATTTCCTGTTTCTCAACAATAGTCTTTTATCGTTAAGTAACTCAACAAATTTACTCACGGTTAATAGGAAGATAACAATCGATAAAAATTAGCCTAAATAAATAATTATTTTTGCGAGTGGATTATCTAATTCGTTTAAGAATCGTGTAAGGTTAGGAAGATTTAAACCATACTTTCACTTTTAACGCGATTTGCATCAGAATCTTTCCCACTACAATCTAATCACTGTGTTTCCCAGAATCAGTTATGCAGATAGTGTGACAGCTTTGAAAACTCATAAAATGGCTGAAGATGGTCTTGACTTGATTCGAGACGTGTTGGTTGATGTGCAATTAAGCCAATTTTTGATCCCCCTTAGAGACGATCTTCAAATTACGAGATTAGAACATTTTGATTATGTGACGCCAAGTGATTTAGAGAATATTGGACTGAGCAAACCAGGTAACAACAAATTTGTTTTCAATTAGTTCCCAATTAACACTTAAATCACCCTCAGGCGCTAGACGATTATTAGAAGCTGTTAAGAAGAAAAAAGGACAACTCAAGAAGCGTAATTTAATCAATAAGTTAATTCCTGTAGCAAATAAAACGTCCACCTTGAAGAAAAACGATGAAAGTGTGACTTTGAATGACTTCACGTCGTGTCTGATTCAAGAATCTCAGATTTCTCTGTCGATTAAATTGGGTGATGGGTCATTCGGAGTGGTACGAAAGGGGGAATGGAGCAGCCCCAAAGGCAGAATTTTACCCGTCGCCGTTAAAATTCTAAAAGCAGACGCTCTCAACCAGCCTGGGATTTTTGAAGATTTCATTAAAGAAGTCCAAGCTATGCACATTTTAAGTCATCCGAATTTAATCCGCTTGTATGGCGTGGTGCTATCACAACCCATGATGATGGTCACTGAATTAGCTTCCCTCGGGTCTTTGTTGGACTACCTCAGAAAACAGTGCCAACAAACACCTGTACCCATGTTGTGCGAATACGCCACACAAGTGGCCACTGGAATGGCATACTTAGAAAATAAACGCTTTCTCCATAGAGATTTAGCTTGTAGAAACGTTCTTCTGGCAGCTGTAGATAAGGTCGGTTTTCGCTTGTCACTTTTCTGTAATAACGATAGTGTGTTTAGATTAAAATTGGTGATTTTGGACTGATGAGAGCTCTTCCACAAGAAGAAGATTGTTATGTTATGACCGAGCACAAAAAAGTTCCTTTTCCGTGGTGTGCACCTGAATCTTTGCGCTCACGACAGTTCAGCCACGCGTCTGACACGTGGATGTTTGGGGTTACGGTGTGGGAGATGTTCACGTTTGGGGAGGATCCGTGGATGGGTTTGATCGGGTCGGAAATTTTGCGCAAGATTGATAAGGAGGGGGAGAGGTTGCAGCAACCGGAAGCTTGTCCTCCAGCTGTGTACAGCACTTTGCTTCAGTGTTGGTTGAAAAATCCGACTGAGAGACCGACGTTTGCGGCTTTGAAGGAGTTTTTCCGGAAGAATAAAACTCCGGTGATGAAGGCGCTCTCGGGGCAGGATGAACCAAATAAGTTGAAGATTCAAGAGGGAGACGAAATTGCCATTATTGATGGGAGCGCCGAGTTGTATTGGTGGAAGGGGCAGAATCAGAGGACGTTCGATATTGGGTTTTTTGCACGGTAATTTTTTTTGTACTTTTTTTTTAGTGTCTAAGTAAATACCATATGATAAAGATTTCCGGAAAATTCGGACTGAAACTGAAATTTTTTAATAATTGTAAAAATTGCGGTATTTCAATTGGCGATTCTGAAAAAAATTACTTTTAGACATCGCAATATGCAAAAAATGGCTTTAGCTAAGTTTCGAAAATTATTGAAAAATGGTCGAAATTGTTAAAATTGTGCCATTATGTTATCTTATGAACTCAGGCCAATATCGACTCTTAAGTTCTTGAACATCAACAATAAAATGACGTAATCTCCAAATTTTACAATAGTTGATGTAATATAAATTTTGTATCCTCCGTTTATGGTTTATGAATCCGTGTTGAGTTTTTACCTTAGACGTCAAGATTTTTGAAAAAAAAAACCATTTTCCAATCTATAGTTATTGGAAGCATGTTAAATCGTTAGTCAAGATTTATCCGTTGATGCCTCCCAGAAGTCGATCATGATTATCTTACAATTTTGTTAAATAAATGTTATTTAAATGTAAAAAAGTAGCATAGTCCTGAACTTGTGGTTTATAAATACTCTATTGAAATTTTTCGATTTCTCGATTTTTCAACTTTGGATGTTTCAATTTTTCAATATTTCAATTTTGGACTTTTTCAGTTTTTCCATTCTTCAAATTTTCGATTCCTCGATTTTTTTATTTTTCGATTTCGATGTTTCAATGATATGATTTCTCAGTTTTTGTCCTCTACAATTTTACGATTTTTCAATTTTCAAATTTTGACGTTTCTGAATTTTCAATTTTCTGATTTCTGAACTATTTTTGTTCCATTTCTCGACTTCCCAGAGATTCGATTTTTTACAATTCTTCAATTTTTCGATTTTTCAGGTTTTTCAGTTTCTCACTTTTCCATTTTTTTAATTTCTCAATTTTTTGGATATTTCGTTCAGTTTTCGGATTTTCCAACATTTCGATTTTTGGGCTCCTGAATTTTGTACTTTTTGGATTTTCAAACTTTAGATTTATCAATTTTTCAACTTTTCAATGTTTTAATTTTTCAATTTTTAAAATTCTAGGTTTTTCGATTTCTGGAGTTTTCAGTTCTTCTATATTTCGATTTTTCCAATTTTTCCTTTTTAAAATTTTTCGATTTCAATTTTTTGATTTCTCGAATTCAGGTGTGTCGATGTTCTGATTGTTCAATTTCTCGATTTATCAATTTTCCAATTTTTAACTTTTCCTCTCGGCTCCTCGATTTTTCAATTTTGGATGTTTCAATTTTTCAATCTTTTAGTTTTGGACTTTTTCAATTTTTCCATTCTTCAAATTTTCGATTCCTCGATTTTTTTTTTCGATTTCTCAATTTTCCTATGTTTCAATGATACGATTTCTCAATTTTTGTCCTCTTCAATTTTATGATTTTTCAGTTTTTCAAATTTTGACTTTTCTAAATTTTCAGTTTTCCGGTTTTTGAACTATTTTTTTAATTTTCCAATTTCTCGACTTCCCAAAGATTCGATTTTTTACAATTCTTCAATTTTTCGATTTTTCAGGTTTTTTAATTTCTGATTTTTCCAATTTTTTAATTTCTCAATTTTTTGGACATTTCTTTCAGTTTTCGGATTTTCCAATATTTCGATTTTTACTTTTTGGATTTTCCAATATTTCGATTTTTGGACTCCTGGATTTTCTACTTTTTGGATTTTCAATTTTTTTTTTAACTTTCGATTTTTCAATTTTTCGACAATTTTATACTTCGATTTTTCCAGTTTTTCTTTTTTAAAATTTTTCGATTTTGCAATTTTTTGATTTCTCGAATTCAGGTGTGTTGATGTTTTGATTGTTCAATTTCTCGATTTATCAATTTTTAATTTTTTAACTTTTTTCTCGGCTTTCCACTCCACGATTTTTCGATGTTTCAATTTTTGGATTTCTCGGTTTTTCGATTTTTTACTTTTGGGCTTTTCAATGTTTCGATTTTTCAAATTTTTAAACTCTGGAGTTTCCATTTCTCGATTTGTCGGTTTTTCAGTTTTTCGATTTTTAAATTTTAGATTTTCGAATTTTTTTTTTTTGATTTTTTGATGTTTGGATTTGTCGATTTTTCAATTTTGCGATATTTTAATTGTTCAATGTTTCAAATTTTAGATTTTTCGATTTTTTGATTATTCAGTTGTTCAGTATTTCTACTTTTCAATTTTTGACATTGCGAAATGTTCAGTTTTCCGATTTCTAAATTAATCTATGTTAGAATTTTCCATTTCTCGACTTACCGAAGTGTCGATTTTTCATTTCTTCAATTCTTCGATTTTTCGACTTTGCTCAATTTTCCAATTTTTGTAATTTCTCAATTTTTCAACTTTAGATTTTTCAATATTTTAATTTTGGAATTTTTCAATTTTTCCATTTTTTAGATTTTCGATTCCTCGATTTTTTTATTTTTCGATTTCTCAATTTTCCGATGTTTAAATGATACGACTTCTCAATTTTTGTCCTCTTCAATTTTACGATTTCTAAATATTTGGATTTTTCATTTTTTCAAATTTTGACGTTTCTAAATTTTCGATTTTCCTATTTATGAAATTTTTACTTCTTCAATGCTTCAGTTTTTCGATTTTTTAAGCTTATGATTTTTGACTTTGCTTTTTTAGTTTTTCGATTTCCCGATTTTCCAATTTTTAGTTTTCTCAATTTTTTTTGGTATTTCTTTCAGTTTTGGGATTTTTCGATATTTCGATTTTTTGATTTTTCGATTTTTTACTTTTGGATTTTCAATTTTTCGTTAAACTTTAGATTTTTCATTTTTTCCACTGTTTTATTATATATTTACTTCGATTTCTCAATTTTTCAACTTTTCGATGTTTTAATTTTTCAATTTTTAAAATTCTAGGTTTTTCGATTTCTCGAGTTTTCAATTCTTCTATTTTTTTCAATTTTCCGAATTTTTAAATTTCCGATTTTCGGATATTTTTTTTTTTAGTTTTTCGATTTTTCAATTATCCGATTATTCAATTTCTCGATTTTACAATTTTCGATATTTGAATTTTTCATTGTTTTAAATTTTAGATTTTTCGATTTTTCAGTTCTTCTATTTATTTAAATTTTTCAATTTTCCGAAATTTTAAATTTCCGATTTTCCGATTTTTTTTAGTTTTTCTATTTTCCAATTATCCGATTATTCAATTTCTCGATTTTTAAATTTAGATTTTCCAATTTTTATTAATTTTTTTTTCATGTTTGGATTTCTCGATTTTACAATTTTTCGATACTTGAATTTTTCAATGTTTTAAATTTTAGATTTTTCGATTTTTCAGTTCTTCAATGTCTCTATTTTTTAATTTTCGATTTTTTAATTTTGCCATCTTGGTTTTTCGATTTAAAAAATTTTTCGACTTTTAGATTTTCTTCTTTTCGATTTCTCCATTTTTCAACTTTAGATTTTTCAATATTTCAGTTTTGGACTTTTTCAATTGTTCCATTTTTCAAATTTTCGATTCTTCGATTTTTTTATTTTTCGATTTCTCAATTTTCCGATGTTTAAAGAATACGACTTTTCAATTTTACGATTTCTAAATATTTCGATTTTTCAATTTTTCAAATTTTGACGTTTCTAAATTTTCAATTTTCCTATTTATGCAATTTTTACTTTTTCAATGCTTCAGTTTTTCGATTTTTTAAGCTTACGATTTTTGACGTTGCTTTTTTAGTTTTTAGATTTCCCAATTTTCCAATGTTTTAATTTCTCAATTTTTTTGGGTATTTCTTTCAGTTTTGGGATTTTTCGATATTTCGATTTTTTGACTTTTCGATTTTTCACTTTTGGATTTTCAATTTTTCGTTAAACTTTAGATTTTTCATTTTTTCCACTGTTTTATACTTCGATTTTTCAATTTTTCAACTTTTCGATATTTTCATTTTTCAGTTTTTAAAATTCTTCTATTTATTTCAATTTTTCAATTTTCCGAATTTTTAAATTTCCGATTTTTTTTTAGTTTTTGTATTTTCCAATTATCCGATTATTCAATTTCTCGATTTTTAAATTTAGATTTACCAATTTTTTTTTTTTTTTTCATGTTTGGATTTCTCGATTTTACAATTTTTCGATACTTGAATTTTTCAATGTTTTAAATTTTAGATTTTCGATTTTTCAGTTCTTCAATGTTTCTATTTTTCAATTTTCGATTTTTTAATTTTGCCATCTTGGTTTTTCGATTTTAAAAATTTTTCGACTTTTCGATTTTTAGATTTTCGGATTTTGCAAGTTTTCGATTTCTCAATTTTTTCAACATTATCAGTTTTGGGAATTTTTGAATTTCTTTTTTTTTAATTTTTCGATTTTTAAAATTTTTAATTCTTCGATAATTCAATTTCATGTCATTTGCCAAAATCAATCTTATCTTAGCAGGTACTAGCCCCGCCCACCCACCCTCTCTTTACCTAGAGGATATGTCATTTGCCAAAATTAGTCTTATCTTAGCAAGGACTAGCCCCACCCACCCACCCTCTATTTTCTTGGGAGATATATCATTTGCCAAAATCAGTTTTATCTTATCATTATCAAGTACTAGCCCTGCCCACCCCCAGTTTTCTCATTCTAAGGACTAATTTTATTTTTACCCAGTATAAGATCATTCATTTTAGTCAGACCGGATAAAATTAATCACTGAAATAAAGACCGGGTGGGTGGGCGGGGCTAATTAGGTTCCGCTATGGAGTGGGAGTGGAAGCCAATAGAATCTAGGATGTGAAAAAAGTAAAAAAAAAAGTGTTAATTGTAATTTTTTTCTTATACCATTTGCTACTGGAACTGTAAAAATTGCAATTTTGAAAGAACGATAGAAATTTTCGAAGAAACGAAGCCGAAAATGGTTGAAAACTGTCAAATAAAGAATGAAACAGTTACAATGCCAACATTATTATTTGAAAAATAAATTTCATCACCTACTAGACGACATCTTATTTTTTTATTAAATTTGTCTGTTAATATAATAGAGAAATAGCTCCTCTGAGTGACTTAAGCTACATAAATGTGTTAAGAAACTCATAAAGGACTTTTTTTAAGCGTAACCACATTGAAATATTGCCAAAAATAAAATTGTTTCGATTTTGAAAATTTGGCTACAGAATTTTTAGAAACATTCTTCATATATCCCTGAAGTGTTCTTGCATAAGTAAGACATATTTTCACGGTGTTTTGGCGCGTAATTCTTTCGCGTTGTCACGGTTGTTTAGCCAAGGTCTTTTTTTTACTTCAATGATCCTTTCCGCCTTATTAGTTTTGATTTTTAAACCGTTTTTATGAAGAAATCATTGAAAGACGTGCCATTGTTATTTCTTGTAAGATATTCTCATAACATACTTTTTGCCAGCAAAAAATCAAAATTAGTTTTTATGATTGGTCTTAAGAAACTAGATTTACCAACAATGCTCGCAGTTGTGTTGCCTGTAAACTGAGTCCCGTTGACCGAATAACTGATATTTTGAACACAATGTTATTTTTCGAGCAGTTTGTAACGTAGGACCCCCAATGTTTAGGTGTTTAGTCGACCCCATGCGCCCCAAACAGTCCGAAGACATCAGCAAACCCTTGCAAAACTCCTTCATCCACACGGGCCATGGTTCCGCCTTTGGGGACTCATGGGGTAGTCCTGCCTACATAGACGATATGTACCTTAGGAACCCCATGGAACCTCCAGACGTGCTAGGAATCACCCGTGACGCAAAACCATCTCCACAACTCTGTGATAGGAAAAAGAACAGTATGTAATTTTCTCGCCAAAACCCACTGTTAATTTTTTCGTTGTAGCAAACAGTCTGCACAAAAAACCCAGTGATAAACAATTTAATTACCGTAAGTTAACGAACGAAGGCAGCTTTAAAGTGAAGCCTCAGAGGCCTCCACAGCCAAAATTAGAAACGTCTCGTGAAGGGGTATTGATTGACTTGTCGCCAGAAGCCATGGGTTCGTCGAAACAAAGCAACGTCAGCGCTGACTCACGAAGTGTGTCGATAATAGACGAACCCATAGATGTAATGCAAGAGTTTGCGGATTATCAACCAACTAGTGCGCCGCCGCCCTACCAACAACCCCCGTCTTATTATAACACTCAGCTCCTTGAACAACCCTCAGACGATCCGTTTGATACTTCCAGAGTGTTCTCACCCGAACCTCGCAAATCTTACACTCAGTTACCTATGTACTCCCAGCCGAACGAAACAAAACAGAACGGATATATTAAAAGTGATATTACTAACAGAAGCGTGAATTATAAATCCACCGACGTGCAACTAGCCACCTCCAAAGGCGTCAGCGCCGCCCCCAAAGAAATCGCCACTCCCGTCTCCATCACCAACGACCTGTCTCTAATGACTCTAAACGAAGTGCCAAACAACCAAGACACGAAGTTCGTCCAAGACCTCGAAAAATACCTACTCACTAAAACCGAAATCCCACCCCTGCAGCCACCCCCGCCGAACCTCAAAGCCGCGAAAAAATCCGACACCGCCGCCCTACCACCCAAAGTCCAAAACGGAACCTACTCCAACCTGGAAGAAATCTACACGAAAGGCTCCAAGTACGACACTACGAACGTTTTCAACCAGATTTGGTACGAGAATTTCTCCAAAGAGAACGGTAACGTCAAGCAGTGCAAGAACTTCGACGTTCCGGCTCAGTCTAGTCAGAATTACTACCACCATTACGACCCGGTGTCGGATTTCGACCGCGCGTCGCTCTCGGGGGTGAATTTCTACGATAATTGTCACACGGCCGCGGATAATTTGTATAATTCGTCGTACTTACTGCAACCCACGTCGTCGCAGAATTCGTTCAGTTCGTGCAATACTCAGACCGGCGTTTACGGGTCGTATAATTCGATTAGACAGTATAGCGAAGTGCCTGATGCTGTTTACGCGGAGATCGCCGAAACGCCGTACAGCCAAGTGCCGCAGGAGACGCTGAAGCCGCACAGACCGGCGCCGCCGTCGCCGATGGTGCAGAGCATGCAGCAGATTCAGCGCAAGATTCAGCAGGGGCAGGTAACGAACGTTTGAATACGGGTTGGTTTTGATTGAGGTTAAGTTAATCACGCTTTTAATGAGGCGTTTAGAGATACCTGATTGGCGCATGAAAAATTTAGTGACAATTCAGCTTTCGGAAATCTGCGTTTAGCCTTTTATTTTTTAAATAATGTGAAAAATAGTCTTGGGGCTCCCAGGTGTTTATTTGTAGGAGGGTTTAAAAGAATGTTTGGGACTCTGGTGTTTTATTTTTGAAAGGACAAAAAATGGATCTCTGGTGTTTTATTTTTAAGAGTGTGTGTTTTTTAACGATGCCAAAGAATCTTGTTTTTTTTTTAATGGAAGAATCCTTTGATTTTTTTTTTTTAATATGAAAGAGTTCTTGGGACCCCTGGTAAAAGAATTTAACAAATTTTTGGGCAACTCCCAACTAGTGTTTTCTTTTTTGAAAATCCATGGAACCCCTGATGTTTTATTTATTAAAAAAAAGTTTAAAAGACACTTGAAACGTGTTTTTTTTTTAATAATGCAAATGAGTATTTGAGACCCTTGGTGTTTCATATTTAAAAGAAATCAGAAGAATCTCTGGGGTCCCTAGTGTGGGGTATTTTTAATGTAAAAGAGTTCTTGGCACCCTGGAATTTTATATGTATGTGAAAGTGTTTTTAAAAATCTCGGCCATTCCTAGTCTTTATTTTTAAGATTTTTAAAGAATTTTAGGAGTCCCAGTGTGTGTGTATGTGTGTTTGGTTTTTTTAGAATATTTTTGGGAATGTATTTTTTAAAGAATGTAAAGTAATACTTGAAATCTTCATGTTATATTTTTCAAAATCTGGGAAAGTCCTAGTGCTTTATTTTAGATAAGAGTTTAAAATTGTTTTTTAAGAAACGGGGCATCCTAATGCTTTCTTTTTAAAAAAGTTTGAATTAGTCTCGGGCTCCTCCAAGTGTTTTTTTTTTGCAAAAAAGTCCACTAGTGTTTTCTTTGTGAAAGAATTTACAAAAAAAATCGGGCACCTCTGGTACTTTTTTAAAAATAAAATATTCTTGGGGATCCTTAATGTTTGACTTCTCGGCGCCCCTGGTGTTAAAATTTTTGAAAAGAAAAAAAATTTGGAACCTCTGGTGTTTCATTTATAAAAAAAAATTAAAAAAAATCTGAGTACCCCAAGCTTTTTTTAAGAACGTGAAAGAGGGAACACTGGGGGACTCCAAGTTTTTTTCTAATCTTTTTTAAAAATAAAATACCATAGAGATGTCCCATATTTTTCAAAATTCGTTCAAGACTTCGGTCTTGGGTCTCCCTAATGTTTTTACAAAAATATGAAAGAGTTCTTGTGGCCCCTGGTGTTTAATTTTGAAAGGAAAAAAAATCTTGAGTTTCCGAGTGTTTCATTTGTGAAAAAATTAAAAAAAATGGAACCTCTGGTGTTTTATTTATATAAAAAAAAATTAGAAGAAACTTGGATGCCCTTTGTTTTTTTTTAAGAATGTGAAAGAGTTCTTAGGGCACCTGGTGTTTTATTTTTGAAAGGAAAAAAAAATTGAGTTCCCGAATGTTTTATTTGTGATAAAAATTAAAAATAAATTTTGGAAATTCTTGGATGCTTTTTTGTTTAATTTTGGTACTTCTGATGTTTTATTAATAAAAAAAGAAAAATAACAGAAACTTGGACGACCGTAGTTTTTTTTTTAAGAATATGAGACAGGGGATACTGGGGGACACCAAGTTTTTTCAAAAGTTTTTTAAAAATAAAATACCATAGAGATGTCCGATATTTTTCAAAATTTGTTCAAGACTTCGGTCTTGGGTGTCCCTAATGTTTTTTCAAGAATATGAAAGAGTTCTTGGGGTCCCTGGTGTTTAATTTTGAAAGGAAAAAAAATCTTGAGTTTCCGAGTGTTTCATTTGTGAAAAAATTTTTGGAACCTCTGGTGAAAAAAAAATTGAAGAAACTTGGATGCCTTTAGTTTTTTTTTTAGAAGATGGAGGAGTTCTTAGGGCCCCTGGTGTTTTATTTTTGAATGGAAAAAAATCTTGAGTTCCCGAGTGTTTTATTTGTGAAAAAATTAAAAAAAATGGAACCTCTGATGTTTTATTTATATAAAAAAAAATTAGAAGAAACTTCGATGCCCTTAGTTTTTTTTAAGAATGTGAAAGAGTTCCTTGGGCACCTGGTGTTTTATTTTTGAAAGAAAAAAAAATTGAGTTCCCGAATGTTTTATTTGTGAAAAAAATTAAAAATAAATTTTGGAACTTCTTGGATGCTTTTTTGTTTAATTTTAGTACTTCTGATGTTTTATTAATAAAAAAAGAAAAATAACAGAAACTTGGACGACCGTAGTTTTTTTTTAAGAATATGAGACAGGGGATACTGGGGGACACCAAGTTTTTTCAAAAGTTTTTTAAAAATAAAATACCATAGAGATGTCCGATATTTTTCAAAATTCGTTCAAGACTTCGGTCTTGGGTGTCCCTAATGTTTTTTCAAGAATATGAAAGAGTTCTTGGGGTCCCTGGTGTTTAATTTTGAAAGGAAAAAAAATCTTGAGTTTCCGAGTGTTTCATTTGTGAAAAAATTTTTGGAACCTCTGGTGATTTATTTATAAAAAAAAATAGAAGAAACTTGGATGCCCTTAGTTTTTTTTAAGAATTTGAAAGAGTTCTTAGGGCACCTGGTGTTTTATTTTTGAAAGGAAAAAAAATTGAGTTTCCGAATGTTTTATTTGTGAAAAAAATTTAAAAAATGGAACCTCTGGTGTTTTATTTATAAAAAAAAAATTAGAAGAAACTTGGATGCCCTTAGTTTTTTTTAAGAATATGAAAGAGTTCTTAGGGCACCTGGTGTTTTATTTTTGAAAGGAAAAAAAATTGAGTTCCCGAATGTTTTATTTGTGAAAAAAATTAAAAATAAATTTTGGAACTTCTTGGATGCTTTTTTGTTTAATTTTGGTACTTCTGATGTTTTATTAATAAAAAAAGAAAAATAACAGAAACTTGGACGACCGTAGTTTTTTTTAAGAATATGAGACAGGGGATACTGGGGGACACCAAGTTTTTTCAAAAGTTTTTTAAAAATAAAATACCATAGAGATGTCCGATATTTTTCAAAATTCGTTCAAGACTTCGGTCTTAGGTGTCCCTAATATTTTTTCAGGAATATATGAAAGAGTTCTTGGGGTCCCTGGTGTTTAATTTTGAAAGGAAAAAAAATCTTGAGTTTCCGAGTGTTTCATTTGTGAAAAAATTTTTGGAACCTCTGGTGATTTATTTATTAAAAAAAATTGAAGAAACTTGGATGCCCTTAGTTTTTTTTTTAGAAGATGGGAGAGTTCTTAGGGCCCCTGGTATTTTATTTTTGAATGGAAAAAAATCTTGAGTTCCCGAGTGTTTTATTTGTGAAAATATTAAAAAAATGGAACCTCTGGTGTTTTATTTATATAAAAAAAAAATAGAAGAAACTTGGATGCCCTTTGTTTTTTTTTAAGAATATGAAAGAGTTCTTAGGGCACCTGGTGTTTTATTTTTGAAAGGAAAAAAAATTGAGTTCCCGAATGTTTTATTTGTGAAAAAAATTAAAAATAAATTTTGGAACTTCTTGGATGCTTTTTTTTAATTTTGGTACCCCTGATGTTTTATTTATAAAAAAAGAAAAATAACAGAAACTTGTTCGACCGTAGTTTTTTTTTAAGAATATGAGACAGGGGTTACTGGGGGACTCCAAGTTTGTTCAAAACTTTTTTAAAAATAAAATACCATAGAGATGTCCGATATTTTTCAAAATTCGTTCAAGACTTCGGTCTTGGGTGTCCCTAGTGTTTTTTCAAGAATACGAAAGAGTTCTTGGGGCCCCTGGTGTTTAATTTTGAAAGGAAAAAAAATCTTGAGTTCTCGAGTGATTTATTTGTGCGAGTATTTAAAAAAAAAATGAAACCTCTGGTGTTTTATTTATAAAAAAATAAATAAAAGAAACTTGCATGTTCCTAGTTTTTTTTAAGATGAGAGCATGAGTTTTCGAGTGTTTCATTTGTGAAAAAATGTTTGAACCTCTGGTGATTTGTTAAAAAAAAAATTGAAGAAACTTGGTGTTTTATTTATAAAAAAATATATAAAAAAACTTGGATGCCCCCAGTCATTCTTTTAAGAATATGAGAGAGTTCTGAGGGCCCTTGGTGTTTTATTTTTGAAACCAGAGGTGCCCGAGGGGTTTTTCAAAATTCTTTCAAGACTCTTTAGTTTTGGGGTTCCCTAATGTTTTTTCAAAAATATGAAAGAGTTTTTGGGGCTTCTGATGTTTTATTTTTGAAAAGAAAAAAAATAATTTTGAGGTCCCGAATATTTTATTTGTGAAAAAAATTTTGGAACCTCTGGTATTTTGTTTAAAAAAAAAAATAGAAGAAACTCGAATGCCCCTACTTTTTTTAAGAATATAAGAGAGTTCTAAGGACCCTTGGTGTTTTATTTTTCAAAGGAAAAAAATCTTGAGTACTCGAGTGTTTTATTTGTAAAAAAATGTTTGGAACCTCTGGTGATTTATTTATAAAAAAAATTTGAAGAAACTTGGATGCCCCTAATTTTTTTCAAGAATATGAGAGTTCTGAGAGCCCTTGGTGTTTTATTTTTCAAAGGACAATAAATCTTGACTACCGGAGTATTTTATTTGTGAAAGAATTTAAAAAATTTTTGCAACCTCTGATGTTTTATTTATAAAAAAAAAAAATTAAACGAAACTTGGATAACCCTAGTTTTTTTAAGAATATAAGAGAGGGACACTGGGGAACCCCAAGTTTTTTCTAAGCTTTTTTAAAAATAAAATACCAGAGGTGCCCGAGGTTTTTCAAAATTCTGTCAAGACTCTTTAGTTTTGGGGTTCCCTAATGTTTTTTCAAAAATATGAAAGAGTTCTTGGGGCTTCTGATGTTTTATTTCTGAAAAGAAATAAATAATCTTGAGTTTCCGAATATTTTATTTGTGAAAACAATTTTGGAACCTTTGATATTTTGTTTATAAAAAAAAATAGAAGAAACTTGAAAGCCCCTAGTTTTTTTTTTTTAAGAATATGAGGCAGTTCTTAAAGCTCCTGGTGCTTTTAGTTTTGGAAGGAAAGAAATCTTGAATTCTCGAGTGTTTTATTTGTGAAAGAATTTAAAAAAAAATTTGGAATCTCTGGTGTTTTATTTATAAAAAAAATTTGAAGAGACTTGGATACCCCTAATTTTTTTTAAGAAGATGAGAGAGTTCTGAGGGCCCTTGGTGTTTTATTTTTCAATCTAAAAAAAAATTTTGAGTACCCTTGAGTACCTTGAGTTTCATTAGTAAAAAAATAAAAGAAACTTGGATAATCCTAGTTTTTTTAAGAATATGAGAGAGGGGACACTGGGGGATCCTAAGTTTTTTCTAAGCTTTTTAAAGATTGAAATACCAGATGTGGCCAAGATTTTTCAAAATTCTTTCAAGACTTGGAGTTCTCGAATGTTTTTTCAAAAATATGAAAGAGTTCTTGGGGTCTCTGGTGTTTTATTTTTGAAAAGAAAAAAACAGTCTTGAGTTCCCGAGTATTTTACTTGTGAAAAAAATTTTGGAACCTCTGGTATTTTATTTATAAAAAAAATAGAAGAAACTTGAATGCCCCTAGTTTTTTTTTAAGAATATGAGGGAGTTCTTAAAGCTCCTGGTGCTTTAGTTTTGGAAGGAAAAAAATCTTGAATTCTCGAGTGTTTTATTTGTGAAAGAATTTAAAAAAAATTTTGGAACCTCGTGTTTTATTTATAAAAAAAAATTTGAAGAAACTTGGATGCCCCTAATTTTTTTTAAGAATATGAGAGAGTTCCGAGGGCCCTTCGTGTTTTATTTTTCAATCGAAAAAAAAATCTTGAGTACTCGCGTGTTTTATTTGTAAAAGAATTTAAAAAATTTTTGGAACCCCTGATGCATTATTTATATAAAAAAAAATAAAAGAAACTTGGATAACCCTAGTTTTTTTAAGAATATGAGAGAGGGGACACTGAGGGATCCTAAGTTTTTTCTAAGCTTTTTTAAAATTGAGATTTTTCAAAATTCTTTCAAGACTCTTTAGTCTTGGAGTTCTCGAATGTTTTTTCAAAAATATGAATGAAAGTTTTTTTTAAGAATATGAGGCAGTTCTTAAAGCTCCTGGTGCTTTAGTTTTGGAAGGAAAAAATTCTTGAGTTCTCGAGTGTTTTATTTGTGGAAGTATTTAAAAAAAAATTGAAACCTATGGTGTTTTATTTATAAATAAATAAAAGAAACATGCATACCCCTGGGTTTTTTTTAATATGAGAGCATTTTTAGGACCATTGATGTTTTATTTCGAAAAGAATCCAAAGAATCTTAGGGACCCTTTCCCTTAGGCAAAGTATTGGGGACTCCTAATGTTTTGTTTTTAAAAAAGTTTGAAAGTATCTTTGAGCCCCAAATCTTTTGAAGGATGTGAAAGAGCCTTAGGGTCTCCTAGCGTTTTTCTAAGAATGTGAAACCTTTGATGTTTTATTTTTAAAAGAATTGAAAAGAATCTTATTGTGTTTTATTTTTAATGTGCAGGAGTTCTTAGGACTTCTGGTGTTTTAATAAATGAAAGAATCTTGAGGGTGTTTGGTTTTTATTTATGAAAGAATTTCCAAAAAGCTGTAAAAATAATACATGTAACATTTCTTATAAAGTTTGGGTTTCCTTTGAACCTAGAAGCGTTTCACACCGCACAGAACTTTTTATTATCCGCAGCAACACAGCGAAACAATTTTTGTCAAATTATGTTTTAATGTCCCAATTTTTCAGTTAAGTGCCGACGCGGAACGCCTGATGACGTCGGAATATCGCAATAATAAGATAAGTCAAGTCCGAGAATGTGTCCCTGACGTCAATACCACCGATTGTTTACAAGCTCTACAAACATGTGGATGGGAGGTGGCCGCCACCGTCAAGCACATCAAAATAGATAAATTACTAAAGTAAGTTCCACCGGTGTACCGTTACGCATACTTACGCCATATTTTTGCAGACTCGGTGTAGCCAGTCGCGACCAGTGTGAGGCAGCTTTACAACGCACAAATTGGAACGTGGAGTTGGCGGCTTCGGCCATTTTAGATACCTGAATGCGAATATTACATAGTTAAAGAAATTATTTAACTCATTGTGCCAAAGATTCACCACTTGGAAACAAATATTCATCGTTATTGTAGCAACATGACATGACTGCTTGTGATATGTTAATTTAGATCAATGCTTTAAGATATTTTAAAAGTTCTTGTTAAGGCTCGACTTATTTATTTGTTGAGAGCCTTATTATTGTGTTTGGTTGAGGTGTTCGTCAGTCGAAAATTGTCTGATAAACGCTTGATTTGGCAGATGTGTGCTTTCCCTTTATTTCAATTAAATTAAGAGACGGCGATCTGCTGACTTGTAGCTTACAAGTGGCTCAGTGTAGTGGTAGTTTACACTATTTATTTTAGGCGATAATGAACAATCTTACTTAGTTGTTATTGAACCAATAAACGAATATATTTTTGTAATTTGTTTTTGAGTAAAACGAGCGATTGCTTCCCGATATTTATTTGCCTATCAGAAAGTTACAAACATCAAATTTAACTCTGAAATTAAGTCAGATCTTAGAATAACATGGTTTCCCGTACAGTGGAAAAGTTCTCTTTCGAGAGAGCTGATATTAATAAAAATATTTACACATTTACATATCTAATTTGGCAAATTCTATAAGAGTAAACACGACAAGAAAAATAAACCACTTAATTGTAAAACTACAAAATACATTAACAACGTAAGGGATTTTCATCAATCACAAATTCAGTATAGCTATGTACAAGTACAAATATTTACAGAATTTAGTACCTAGGCGGGCGAGTTCCACTATTTCAAAAGCCGTGACACAATCTCTACAACGTAAGACTAATCAAAATATCTAATAACTTAAACGTTTATTGCAAAATCACCACCATAAATTAGATAAATTACAAAACGATGGTAGTACCCAACAAAATTAACAAACTATAAGCGTACTCTTTTTAAATAATAACAATATACAATAATATCAATAGTAACTATCAATTCCACAAGCTTCTAAATAGTAAAACTCAAAGTCCGCAAGAAATTCACGCCGACTTCGTCTTCGTCTTGAGCGACTCCCTCTTCTGCTGTCTTTTTTTCCTGCACTCTGGACAGTACCAGTGTCCCTTCGGCGGTACCATGATCCCCACGCACTCGAAATGGAACCATTCGATACTACAATCACGCGCATCGCACCCGATCATCTCCGACACCTCGTCATACGGACACTTGCAATAACAATACAGCGCGTCGGGGTTCACCTGGAGCATATTGCGACTTTCGCTACTCGAGTCGTTCGACTCCACCTCGCTTTCGCCGTCCTCCAACTTCGGCGGTTTGAGCTTAATCGACGGCATCTTCCTCGACGGCTGCGTGTCTTTGTTCTGGTACGACGTGCGATACGGCTGCACCGGAGGCGGCCCCGTTTTAATCGTAATGGGTGGTACCATCATCGACGAGTGCTGCGGAATCGCCGGTACTTCAGTCTTCCGCCACTTCGGAGTATTCGCCAACTTGTCGTCCTCCTCGTCACTCGAGTAACCGTAGAACTTGTTCGGGACCCGACGACGCTTGGACGCGCGCAAACTCACATCGGTATCTTCCCGCGGGAGCTCGGCTTCGGTTTTGGGAAAGACGTTCGTGGAAGGGAGTTTAGCCGACGGCGACGGAACCGGAGAGTTCCTCGGTAGGGTCAGCGTAATCGGAGCAACCGTCGGCGGCTGGTAGTACTGATGATAATACGGAGTCGGAATGTTAGGTGTGTGGAACTCCTTCGCTTCCATTTCTTTCCGTTCGCTCTTTTTCTTCTTCTTTTTCTTCGATTTGGATTTCTTCTTGGGTTTGACTTGTTCTTCTTCCGGGAGATTCGGAGTGGCGGCTCTACTATTATCCACGAGGGAACCATTCGGGGCTTGTTCAATCCCCGCAAGCAACTGGTTGCGTTTCTCTTCTAAGATTTTCTTCGCGAGTTTTTGGGGTTGTTTATCATAGAACTCTTCGTCGGTTTCGCTTTCAGTGGTTTCTAAATCCGACTCGAGAATTGGTGTTTCTGGGATTGTTTGAGCGTCGTTCGCGACTACGTCGATTTTAGTTTCCGGTTCTTTGTCTTTGGTTTTTCGCTGCCGTCGTTTGTCGCGTCGGAGTTGCTGTCGCTTTCTACCCTCCTCCGTCGAACTATCCGAATCCGAACTAGAACTAGAGCTAGAGCTGCCGGAACTGGAGCTACACGAGCAATTCGGGCCGCAGGAGCAACTCGACGAGTCACTATCGCTGCTCGAATCGCTCGACGAACTGTCAGTTTTCTTCTGGGTTTTAGTTTCTTCGGGGGTTGTTTTCACTTCAGGGGTGTCTGCCGACTTCACCGGGTCTTTCGCCGTGCAGTAGTCATGGTCGACGCTTTGTGACAAGTCGGGTTTAACCTCAGTAAAACTCACGTCGGGTTTGTTATCCGGGTCTATACAGTAGTCGTGGTCGCGCAGCGCCATCTCTAGAGTCAAGGGTTCATTTTCTACAATAGGCGCCACGTCGGCTTGATTTGGGTCACCTTTGTCAGTCTCGCTAAACATATTGTCAAACTTTTCTTTATTAGCTTGATAGTTCTTAAAGTCGTCCCATATGTTCTCGGGTACGACTTCGGTACTCTCCACTAGTGGTTCCTCGACTAGGGGTTGAGTTACTTCATTTTCGATCACGCTTTCGACCACTTCGCTTTCTTTGATGCTTTCGTCGGGTTTTTTCGCTTCGTCGTCCGAGTCGCTGCTGTCGCTCTCCGACAGATTCAACTCGGGTAAGTCGTAGACGTCCACTTTGGGTTTCACTTTCTCCTTCTCTTCGGTTTTATCTTCTTTCGTTTCGTTCTCTTCAGTCTTTTCCTGCTCCTCTTTCGTTTCTTCCACTTCCACCTTAGGTTCCTCGGGTGGTTCCTTGTGTTTTAGTTCGTGTTTGGCTAGGAGTTTCTTCGAGATGAATTTGTCGGGACACTCGGGGACGGTGCAGGCGTGCGGTTTCTCATCCGTGTGTAGTCTTTTGTGGACTTTGAGCGAAACGGCCCGCGAGAACGTGAGGTTGCACTCTTCGCAGACGAAACTGGTTGGTGGGACGCAAAAATGGTAAACGTGGGGCCACTTCTTTTGTAGGCATTTTTTACATAACACACTCTCGGTTCCGTGTTTCCAGAAAAGATGGCGCGTGATGTCCGGTTTGTTCCTATAGGCGATTCCGCAGCGGTAGCAAAAGTGGTGGAGTTTGTGCTTCCAGACGTGGTTGGACAGTCTGTATTGATTATGGCACATTTCGAGACAGACGTCGCAGACGTGGTGGCGCTTCCTTAGATGAACCATGAGACGGAAAGCCGATGGGAGGTCGTCTCCCACGCACATACAGCAACGAAAACCGACGTCGTAATCCAGGATATAAATTCCAGGACACAGGTGACAAATAAGCTCGCTGTAGCTGTAGAAGTTCGACTTACACATGATGCATAAAAGCAGATTCTTCGCGTGCGATTTTCGATTATGAAGATACAGTTCTTTGTGAACGGTGGTCGAATACCTGCACTGGAAACACTCAAAGACGTGCGAGAAAGTCACGCCTTCGTCTGAAGGACTAGATTCAAGACTGAAGAAAACGTTGTCCAGTTCAGGGAGACTGTCTTTAATTCTTGTCACGAAACTCTCAGGAATCAGTTCTTCAGCTGTTATGCTACTGACGACGGCCGAAAACCGATGTTCCCCGATCGCATGCAACCCCAATTCTTTACCGTTGACCGCGATCTTACGGGCGTGATTACAATAAATACAAAACGGAGCGGTTGCTTTGAGGCATTTTTGTAACAAAACGCGAATATCGAACTTATCTAAAGGTTGCTCAAGCTCTAGCTCGATTATAGTAATGTCAGTACCGGCGATTTTGATTGTGGGTTCTTCAACTTCTTCCTCTTTACTCACGTCGTTGCTTTCAATGGTTTGTTCGAGTTCTTCTGCGTTGAGGTCGTTGTCGCTCTCGGCTTGTTCCGTGTCGTTCTCGATCCTCTCCGCTTCTTCGTCGTGTTGTTCGATCTGCGGGAACGACCCGAGTTTGAGCTTGAGCGACAACTTCGGAACTTTGCGCGTCTCCACGGGCTCTTCCTCGATCTCCATCCCCTCGTCCATCGCTTCCTGGGGCAAGTCCGCGCTTTCCGCCTCTACCGTCTCATTGTTCTTGAAAACGGGCTCTCCGGCCTCCGTGAACCCTCGGAAATCCAGCTCGTCGTCGGTCGAATACACGATTTCCACGATTTCCTCTATTTTATTTTCACTGGCGGGTTCATCAGACGGTCTGTCAGCCGCTTCCGTTTCCTTGGAAACTAGCTCCCGCTTGTCGTCGCTCTCTTTCGCTTCGTTTTCCGAATTTCCGTTGATCAGCGTTTCGCCGGTGACGTGATCCTCGGGTCTGATCTGCTGCTTCGCTTTCAGCGCGATTTTCGCCTTCTGCGCGGGGGTCTTAGTCTTGTCGCGTCCGGCACAATTGTGGTAGAAAAAATTGTCCTGTTCGTTAAAAAGTTTGTTGCACTCGCAGCAGACGATGTAGCACGGTTCCGAATAAGCACTAAAAAAATCGTCCAAGCTGTCTTTGTGTCCCGGTTCTAGATTATGCCTCGACTGTATATGCAAACACAAGTCGTCTAATACTGAAAACATACCCAAACAATATAAACATAAGTAGCGTCTGTGCACCTCGATCATGTGCAAGTACAAGTTCCAGTTCTCGTAGTAAGTCCCGCACGCCGAACACAGGAACACTTTCCGCGTCAACTTGAAACTCGACGACGGGTTCTCCTGAGTCTGCGGCTCGGCGCTCGGCTCATCGGTGCACTGGACGATGTGTTCGTTCAACGTGGTGAGGGACTCGAAGCCGGCTCGGCCGCATCGCGAACACTTGAACTGCACGGTCGGCTGCAGGCCTAGATATTGGGCGTACTCGCGCAACTTGGGGCTGTTCTTGGCCTTGACGCGCTTGTGCTTGTGGGGCTTGGGCGGGGCGGCGTCTTTGAGCGAGGCGTCGGTCTGGTGCTGCTGGGACAGCTCGAAGAGCGACTCGTTGAAGTAGGGGTTGAAGTGGGGGATGATGTCGGTTTTCGGCGAGTTGGGGAGCTTCTTCTTCGCGGGGGCGCTCTCGTCGATGATGAGAGCGTCGCTCTCGGAGCTGTACTCTTCGTTATTGGAAATTTGTTCGGCGTCTCCGTTCACTTTAACAACGTCGTCTTTAACGGCTTCCTCTGGCTCAGAGGAGTTTGCCATTATTGGGGAGGCTGCGCCATTGCTTACATGATCTGCGGCTTCGGTCTCGGACGAAATACCATTTAATCCATCTTCCATGCCGATTCCACTCCACTGGGTTGATAATCTGTTAAACAAGTTGCTCATTAATTTCATAACCCTTCAACTGACAATCACTAAATTTATGTAGTTACGGGTCGGAATTAACAGACCATGCTGATTTTTACACGTCACGTTTTAGTCACTTTGGAGTGATCGTGATTCTGTGGGGACACAACTCGCGAGAACTTGTCTCACGTTGCGAAAGTTGGAAAAGTTTGAAATGTGATGGAGAACTAATTGTGCGACATACCGGGTTGCAATTAACGTTTTATAATACTAACTGGAACGTTTTTATTTAACACTTGCGAGCACATATTTATCAACAAATACGTCTCCCCGCCTAAAAGGTTAATAAAATGGCGCTCCATTACAGCCACAAGCATTTGCATTTCGCAGAGGTGCCAATAGCATAACGACAAATTCTCGAGCCGGGATTGACGAAATTGCCCCGGGAGACGCTCTATCAACTCTTACGAAGCATACGAACGCAGCAAATGATCCCCAATCCCACATTATCGCAAAAGGCGTATTTTTTTACGCTTTCGATTTTTTAACGTCATCGTGGGTTAATTAGTCGTGTCAAAACTCAGGGCTGCCAACACGACCCCCAAAGTTACTAAACAAAAAAAAATCATCTTTTACAATTCTTATTACGTTCATTTGTTATTCAGAAACCACTACTCTGTATTTTGTCGTTTCTATTTTTTAACGCCATCGCCAAATGGTAAATGTCAAAATCAGGGCTGCCAAATGCGTCAAAGTTACTAGAGAAATTTTACGTATTCATTTACTTGTAAATTCACAATTGTCTCAGTTACGAACTTTTATATTTAAACAATTTTGTGCCACGGTTTGTGCTGTTCAAAGTCATACACGTTGGATGTATAGGGGAATCGGTAGCGCACGGTTGGCACCACTTCATTGTCACTTTTCGAACAAGACGCCAGATCAAAATTTTTCCGATTAAATTCATCTATTACATGGTTGTTAAAGTTGTACAACAATGCGAGATTCTTTAGAATTGTTTGAAAGGACGCTAGAGGTAAAAACCGTGAAAGCTGAATTGAGTTAACTTGTTTTTTCAGGAGTCCACCAGTTGCCAGAATCTCCAGAATAATTTAATGGATCTAGTTGAGAATTTGTACAAAGATCTGGAGTGTGAACGTCTCTCAACTACGAATCTGCAGAAACAAATTCAATATTTTGTCGATCAAGACGTTTTCGGGATCACTTCAAAGTTCGCGGAGTTAAAAGGTTACATAATTTTTTGACATTGTAGGTGTTTCTGTGATTAGTTTGTCTACATCTTCGTATTTTGTGGGGTGAATGATAATTATCATTTTATTATAATAAAAAAGCAAATTCCGAAACCTTGCATAATATAGGCAACCCAATATACGACAAGTCCAAGCTCGAGCTGTGATTGGTTGAAGCTGAAACACAACCACTTGATTCAAATCTTTTAACATTCTTTTTTAATTCAACCACTTTGTTGTTATAAGGGCCAATTCTGAATCGAACATGTTAAAATTTAAAGGTTGTTAAAAAATAAACAACCAATCAGCTTTATGAATTTAATTCGTTACCATGGAAATTCGCAATTTAACACCCTTTAAATTTAACAGGTTTGATTCAGAATTGCCCCTATAGTGTCATTTTTCAGACGAATGCGATTTGTTAAACAACAAATTAACACTGGCGCGAAGCGAAAACGACGACTTAAATATCCAACTCATCGCCAAGAGTCAAGAAACCAAAAAATTTCTAACTGAAAAAGAAAACGAACTGAAAACTCAATACGAAATCAAGCTCAGACAAAAAGACGAAGAAATAACCAAAAAAGAACAAGAAGTGGCAGTCGTTAGGGGTCACTCAAAGCTAAAACAACAAGAACTCTTCACCGAGCTTCAAGTCAGCCAAACTTCAGCTGCTGCAGAGTTGGATAAAAAAGACTCCGAATTTAGAAGACAACTTAATGAGTCCAACAAGAAACTCAAAGATAGCATGGACACGTGTAACATCCTGAGGATTGAGTTGATAGCGGTTAAAGAGCAGTTCGCTGAATATAAAAAAGCGTCAAACGAAGTATATTTCGCTTGTGGTGTTAATAAAACGTAAATGATTTTTGTAGAAAATTGCGGAACTTCAGAAGAGAATTAAAGAAATGTCTGGTGGTGGCGAAGTTCCTGTGTCGTCAGACGTTTTGTGGACTAATGATCTTGATGGATCTGCTAGCAGCGACAAATCTAACAAATATAAGCCACTCAATGTCAGCTGCAGGAATATTTTCGCTTTGGAGGACAAACCGATTAATTTGAAAAAAGTGCCGGTTTATCGAAGTAGTGGAAAATCTGGTAATATTGTGCCGCCGTTGGTAAGACTGCGGGATAATTCAAAAGAGAGTAACTTGGTTACTAATAATAATAATAAAAAGAGGAAGCTTTATAATCCTGACGATTTGAGCTACCTGAGTGTGAACGTTGACGAAAATATGTAAGTAAAAGTTTCCTGTTTGGGTTTCAATTAAATATGAAATAAAGTGATTATTGTATATATTATAAATTATTTTGTACAAGATTATATTTACAGTCTTGAAACTTATTAGACTTAATTGTAGATGTATTTATCCAAATTATTCCAACTGTAGGAATAGTCTATTTTTAAATGTCCGTAGTTACTCAGTCCAAAATTCCTCGGCTTTCTCCTGCTACTTCTAACGTCGTCGTAAATAGGTAAAGTCGACTCTCGTTTTGGCCGTATTTCGTCAAGTCTGCAGTAAATATCTTGATTTGTTCTGTGAAAAGTAGAAACTTAGTGGAACGGGTTTAAACTTTTAGAACCATAAATACCCGTAGTCGCCGTATGAAAAACTTAAACTGCGATCTCTGGAGTTTCGTCCGTTTGCCGGTGAAGGAAACTTTCTCGATCTATCCTTCTGCTCAAAAGCGTAGGGTATGGAGATGTCCTTCGAGCTCACTTCATATGGATTCTCGTCGAATTCTTGAAAAACAATTAACATAAATTAAGCGTTTATGATTTTTATATAACTAATTGTTTTTTGATGAGATTATTTTTTAATCCTACACACAACCTACGCGTGAATTATGAGAAATGAGCTATAATTTGTTTCCGATTTAAGAAACTTGCAATAAAAAACGAATTAATTCGACCTTAGGGCTCTTGAATGATTTTTTAACTCGGCTGGCGCCTCTTCAAAGAACGTCCTCGTTTATACTCGTTATGCAACTGCTTAATGTGCAAGAATTTTGATTTTAATTTCTAAAAAAATTTGTTTTGTGTAGTTACCTATTTCGAAATTCTCTGTATCATTGTAACGATTTCATGACTATGATTTCTCAAATTTTCACATTTATTTGAATAGATATTGTGACGGCGATTTCGGGTTCGTAATCACCGGAAGATTATCTATCATTTGACAACAATTTTCAGTCGATTGAACTCGTTGTGACCATTTTTTTGAAAAAATTTTGAAAATTTTGACTTCAGTTTTCACATTTATTTGAATTTGAATTTATGTGACGGCGATTTCCGATTCATTGTCACCGGAAAATTATCTATCATTTGACACCAACTTTCACTCAATTGCACTCATTTTGACCATTTTTTGGAAAATTTTTGGAAATTTTGACTTAACTTTTCTCATTTATTTGAACAGATATTGTGACGGCGATCTCGGATTCCTTATCACCGGATGATTATCTATCATTTGACGCCAATTTTTAGTGGATTGAACTCATTTTAATAATTTTTTTGGAAAATTTTTGAAAATTTTGACCTCAGTTTTCACATTTATTTGAATAGATATCGTGACGGCGATTTTGGATTCGTAATTAGCGGAAACTTATCAATCATTTGACACATTTTTCAGTCGATTGAACTCATTTTGATAATTTTTTTGGAAAATTTTTGAAAATTTTGACGTCAGTTTTCACATTTATTTGAACAGATCTCGTGACGGCGATTTCGGATTCGTAATCACCGGAAGATTATCTATCATTTGACACCAATTTTCAGTCGATTCAACTTATTTTGACCATTTTTTTTGGAATTTTTTTTGGAATTTTGACTTCAGTTTTCTTCACATTTATTTGAATAGATATCGTGACGGCGATTTTCGATTCGTAATCACCGGAAGATTATCCTTCATTTGACATCAATTTTTAGTCGATTGAACTCATTTTGACCATTTTTTTGGAAAATTTTTGAAAATTTTGACCTCGTTTTTCACAATTTATTTGAACAGATATCGTGACGACGATTTTGGTTTCGTAATTAGCGGAAACTTATCACTCATTTGACACGAATTTTTAGTCAATTGAACTCATTTTGACCATTTTTTTGGAAAATTTTTGAAAATTTTGACCTCGTTTTTCACAATTTATTTGAACAGATATCGTGACGACGATTTTGGTTTCGTAATTAGCGGAAACTTATCACTCATTTGACACCAATTTTCAGTCAATTGAACTCATTTTGACCATTTTTTTTGGAAAATTTTTGGAAATTTTAACCTAACTTTTCACATTTATTTGAACAGATATCGTGACGGCGATTTCGGATTCGTAATCACCGGAAAATTATCTATCATTTGACACCAATTTTCACTCGATTGCACTCAATTTGACCATTTTTCTTTTAACATTTTTGAAAATTTTGATTTCAGTTTTCACATTTAATTGAGCAGATATCGTGACGGCGATTTCGGATTAGTAATCACCGGAAGATAATAATCTATCATTTGACACCAATTTTCAGTCGATTGAACTCATTTTGACAAAATTTTATGGAAATTTTGACCTAACTTTTCACATTTATTTGTACAGATATCGTGACAGCGATTTTGGATTCGTAATTAGCGGAAACTTATCAAACATTTTACACCAATTTTTAGTCGATTGAACTCATTTTGACCATTTTCTTGGAAAATTTTCGGAAATTTTAACCTAACTTTTCACATTTATTTGAACAGATATCGTGACGGCGATTTCGGATCCGTAATAACCGGAAGATTATCTATCATTTGACACCAATTTTCAGTCGATTGAACTCATTTTGACCATTTTTTGGAAATTTTTTTTTAATTTTGACCTCAGCTTTCACATTTATTTGAACCGATATCGTGACGGCGATTTCGGATTCGTAATGACCGGAAGATTATCTATCATTTGACACGAATTTTCAGTCGATTGAACTCGTTTTGACCATTTTTTTGGAAAATTTTTGAAAAGTTTGACCGTAGTTTTCACATTTATTTAAATAGATCTTGTGACGGTGATTTCGGATTCGTAATAACGGGAAGATTATCTATCATTTGACACCAATTTTCAGTCGATTGAACACATTTTGACCATTTTTTGGAAAATTTTTGGAAATTTTGATCTCAGTTATCACTTTTATTTGAACAGATATCGTGACGGCGATTTCCGATTCGTAATCACCGGAAGATTATCTATCATTTGACGCCAATTTTTAGTTGATTGAACTCATTTTGACCATTTTTTTTGGAAAATTTTTGGAAATTTTGGTCTCAGTTATCACCACTTTTATTTGAACAGATATCGTGTCGGCGATTTTGGATTCGTGATTAGCGGAAACTTATCGATCATTTGCGCCAATTTTCAGTCGATTGAACTCGTTTTGACCATTTTTTTGGAAATTTTTTTGGAAAATTTTTGAAAATTTTGACTTCAGTTTTCACATTTATTTGAATAGATATCGTGACGGCGATTTCCGATTCGTAATCACCGGAAGATTATCTATCATTTGACATCAATTTTTTGTCAATTGAACTCATTTTGACTATTTCTTTGGAAAATTTTTGGAAATTTTGACTTAACTTTTCTCATTTATTTGAACAGATATCGTGACGGCGATTTCCGATTCATAATCACCGAAAGATTATCTATCATTTGACACCAATTTTTAATCGATTAAACTCATTTTGACCATTTTTTTGGAAAATTTTTGGAAATTTTGACCTAACTTTTCACATTTATTTGAACTGATATCCTGATGGCGATTTCGAATTCGTAATCACCGAAAGATTATCTATGATTTGACACCAATTTTTAGTGGGTTGAAATCATTTTGACTATTTTTTTGGAAAATTTTTGGAAATTTTGACTTAACTTTTCTCATTTATTTGAACAAATATCGTGACGGTGACTTCCGATTCGTATTTACCGAAAACTTATCTATAATTTGACACCAATTTTAAGTCGAGTGAACTCATTTTGACCATTATTTTGGAAAATTTTTGAAAATTTTGGTCTCAGTTATCACCACTTTTATTTGAACAGATATCGTGTCGGCGATTTTGGATTCGTGATTAGCGGAAACTTATCGATCATTTGCGCCAATTTTCAGGCGATTGAACTCGTTTTGACCATTTTTTCGGAAATTTTTTTGGAAAATTTTTGAAAATTTTGACTTCAGTTTTCACATTTATTTGAATAGATATCGTGACGGCGATTTCCGATTCGTAATCACCGGAAGATTATCTATCATTTGACATCAATTTTTTGTCAATTGAACTCATTTTGACTATTTCTTTGGAAAATTTTTGGAAATTTTGACTTAACTTTTCTCATTTATTTGAACAGATATCGTGACGGCGATTTCCGATTCATAATCACCGAAAGATTATCTATCATTTGACACCAATTTTTAATCGATTAAACTCATTTTGACCATTTTTTTGGAAAATTTTTGGAAATTTTGACCTAACTTTTCACATTTATTTGAACTGATATCCTGATGGCGATTTCGAATTCGTAATCACCGAAAGATTATCTATGATTTGACACCAATTTTTAGTGGGTTGAAATCATTTTGACTATTTTTTTGAAAAATTTTTGGAAATTTTGACTTAACTTTTCTCATTTATTTGAACAAATATCGTGACGGTGACTTCCGATTCGTATTTACCGAAAACTTATTTATAATTTGACACCAATTTTAAGTCGAGTGAACTCATTTTGACCATTATTTTGGAAAATTTTTGAAAATTTTGACCTAATTTTTCATATTTATTTGAACAGATATTGTGACGGAAATTTCCGTTTCGTAATCACCGGAAGATTATCTATCATGTCACACCAATTTCTAGTCGATTGAACTCATTTTGACCAATATTTTGGAAAATTTTGACCGTAGTTTTCACATTTATTTAAATAGATCTTGTGACGGTGATTTCGGATTCGTAATAACGGGAAGATTATCTATCATTTGACACCAATTTTCAGTCGATTGAACTCAATTTGACCATTTTTTTGGAAAATTTTTGGAAATTTTGACCCAACTTTTCACATTTATTTGAACAGATATCGTGAGGGCGATTTCCGATTCGTATTTACCGAAAACTTATCTGTAATTTGACACCAATTTTAAGTCGAGTGAACTCATTTTGACCATTTTTTTGGAAAATTTTTTTTAAATTTTGACCTCAATTTTCACATTTATTTGAATAGATATCGTGACGGCGATTTCCGATTCGTAATCACCGGAAGATTATCTATCATTTGACATCAATTTTTTGTCAATTGAACTCATTTTGACTATTTCTTTGGAAAATTTTTGGAAATTTTGACTTAACTTTTCTCATTTATTTGAACAGATATCGTGACGGCGATTTCCGATTCATAATCACCGAAAGATTATCTATCATTTGACACCAATTTTTAATCGATTAAACTCATTTTGACCATTTTTTTGGAAAATTTTTGGAAATTTTGACCTAACTTTTCACATTTATTTGAACTGATATCCTGATGGCGATTTCGAATTCGTAATCACCGAAAGATTATCTATGATTTGACACCAATTTTTAGTGGGTTGAAATCATTTTGACTATTTTTTTGAAAAATTTTTGGAAATTTTGACTTAACTTTTCTCATTTATTTGAACAAATATCGTGACGGTGACTTCCGATTCGTATTTACCGAAAACTTATTTATAATTTGACACCAATTTTAAGTCGA